CGTCAGGCTGTGAGCTGCGCGTAAAGTGGCAGGGCCCACAAATGTTATGTAAGGTAGGTACGTACCTACAGAGGTACTTCGGTACTTTCCAGTGGGGGTTACCTAACCCCCTACCAACCCCCCACCGACCCCCGCCAACCCCCGCCAACCCCCCACCGTTGGACGTTATCCCGAGGCCATTCAACGACGCTGAACTGGAATGAATTCTTCGTGGAAGACTAAAAGAGTAAGACTACTACTAAGTTCTACTTTATGTCTATAACTTTGTCGTCTTGTTCTTAGGTTGTCCCCACAATGCTACCCGTCTCGTCTAATCCGAATCCGAATCACTGCCCGTGTACTCGTCCTCGCTTCCCTCTTCCTCGTCCTCTTCTTCTTCATCCTCCTCACCCTCCGGTGCCTTGAGACCGTAGTCGTCGTGGAAGTCAGCAAGCTGACGCACCTGTGTCTTGTACCCCGTCTCCTTGAGCGCCTTTTCGATATTCTGCAAGGCATGTCAACGTCAGTAAAACCAAGCCATCTTGCTTCGGGGGAGGACGAAGGAGGAAGAAAGAAAAAAAGGAAGAAAGAAAAAAAAAAGGGGGACATACCTCTTGCAGGATCGGTGCGCACGTCACAACAACATTGCTCTTCCCCGGCTCGAAAACCGGCAGGACGAGCTCGTTCAGCACCTCCCGAATCTGCTCGTCCGTCACGTCCCGCACGCTCTTCATGATCTTCTTATGCCAGTCGAGCGGCACCCCGCGGACCACGCCGAGCACAAAGTTCTGGCTCGCCGCCGCCGCCATGGTCGACTGCTCCTCCGCGAACAGCACCACGATCTGGCTGATGGCCCCCTCCTTGAGGTGCCGGTCGATCGGCTCCTCCCCCGCCGCGATCTTGCGCACCGTCTCCCGCGACGCCGCCAGCGCCCTGGACGCGTCCGGCGACCGGTACACCCTAAACTGCACCATGCCGCTGTTGATGTCCCTACCAAAGAACACGCCGTAGGCCATGCCCTGCCCCCGCACCGCGCACCACAGCGGGCCCTCCACCGCCTCGAGGTACCCCACCCCCACCAGGATCGCCGCGATCCGCGGGTCCTCGAACGAGATGACGCCCTTGGACGTGCTCACGCTGTACGAGCTGTCCACCGTCGTCATCGGCACGATCACGGCCCCATACGACCCGGGGTTCCGCCCTTCTTCCGTGAGGTGGTGGTGCGGCTTGACGATCGGCAGCAGGTCCTCCTCCCCGTCCACCCCGGATGACGAGGACGACAACGACGACGGCCTCCCCAGCGCATTGCTTAGCACGTCCCACGCAGCCACCGGTTGCGCGAGCTTGTCCACGTCGGCGATGACGAGCACGCGCAGGTTGTTGAACGTGAAGAGAGACTTGCGGATCTGCTCGAACCACGAAACCACCAGGTCCGGATCCGTCTCGAGGAGCTTCTTCACCCGCCGCAGATACACAGCACGAACCAGCGCGCGCTTGGTGACGGAGTAGGCCTCCTTCTTCAGGTGGATCGCCATATTCACCTCCGACGCCATCGACCGCCCGTCCCGCTTCAACTCGGGGATGTCGGCGAGCTGCTTCTGCACCCCGGCCTTGAGCCTCTGGACGTCAAAGACGCTGTCGAACATCATCGTACGGGTCCACTCAATGATCGTGGCGTACTTCTCAGGCTCGATCTGGAACTCGATCAGGATGCTGTCCGGGTCGCCCATGTCCTTCGACGACCGAAGGCCGTACCGAATCGTGTCCTCTTCCAGCTCCATCACCACCTGCTCGAAATCGACCTTCTTGCCACCGCGCATGATGGGCGTGTTGAAGAAGTTGTCGCGGAAGATGGGCAGCAGCGGCTTGACTTCGATCGGCACCTTTCCCGTCCCGAGATAGAGCGACAGGTGGACAAAGTTGGAAGGCACGCTTTCGAATTGGATGAAGAGCGAGTTTCGCGCACCTTCGGCCGCCGCCGCGTCGATGACCCGCTGCGCCTTGTTGTCCGGGATGCCCAACGTCCTGGCCTTCCCGGACCGCGCCGTCTCCGACTCGATGAAGTGAATCGACTCCGTCCCCGGCACCGCCCAGCGATCCACCACCTCCGGCGGGATCGGTTGGTCGTTCTTCTTCTTGGCCAGCTCGAGCTTTTCCGCGAGCTTGGCAAGCCCTTCCTCGCCCAGCTCCTCCTTTCTCTTCGCCAACCTCGCCTCCTCTTCCTCCTTCAGTTTCACCGCAAGGCTCATCGACGGCTTGGCCAGAACGGCGACGTGGGGAGCGTCGGATATCCCCTTTTTCAAAAACGCTCTCCACTGCTCTTCCGTCCAGGTCTCGAGCTCCTCGTATTCTGACACGGTCTTCAAGTCCGCCAAGGTCGATCCGTTGCGGGTCCCGAACAGGTAATCCATGATGATGTTGTTGGAAAAGAAGCTGTCTGAAGATTCGGCCTCGAACTTCACCTGACGCAGCCCCCGCTTGATGCACGATCTCATGTACTCCATGTCGAGCGGCTTCTCGGCGACTTCCTGAAGTAGTGAGATCAAGCGGTGGTAGACAAACTCCAACTTGTCCGTCGCGACGCTCGTGGGCTGAAACCAGATGACCGAGTTGGGCCTCGACTCCCACCAATACATCACCGAGCTCGCGAGCTCCTCCTTCTCCACTAAGACGTTCTCTAAGATGGAGACCGACGAGCCGCACAGGTACGTCTGTAACACACTGAGGGCCGATATCTCCACCTGGTCGGTGCAGTCCGGTCCAAACCAGCCGACGACCACCTCACCCACTGATTCGTCGGCTTCGGGGAATTCCACCGTGGTGACTTTGGTTTCATTGAGAGGTGGAGGCTGGACTGAGTCAATCCACGGCCTAGTATGGGTGGGGGGGTAAGGTTAGAAGGAAAGAAATATAGAAAAGAAAAATAGAAAATACTATTGAGCCGTGCTTACCGCTTGAAAGGGGCATCCAAAGGTGGAAGGTCATCCTTGATGCTCTCTTCAAATTCGTCCAAAATCTCGAGTAGGTTCTCATGGTCCGCCTCTCCGACGATGACAACGCACAAATTGCGCGGCTGGTACATTTCCCGGTGGAATTCACGAATCCTCTGTGTGGTGAGGTTGCGCAGCGCCTCCGTCATCCCACCCGTCTCATAGCGAAAGCCGACGTTCTCGGGGTACAAGAGGCGCTTTGCGGCGAGATCGATGATCTCAGCGCTCTTGTACTGAATGGCTTGCATCTCCGAGTACACCACACCGGCATCGTTGCCCTCGCCGTCAATGTGGTGCACCTCGGTCTGACAAGCCTCGTCGGTGATGACGGGGACGATGATATGCTCGAGATACACGGGGAGGATTTGCGCGAACCCTTCCCAGCCGGCACTTTCCAGGGTGTAGGCGGTGTGGTCTGTGGCGGTCCATGCATTCGTACTGGAGTAGGCCCGTGACGACAGCTTGTCGAGGAGGCCCTTGTAGCGGTAGTTCTTGGAGCCCATGAAGACGAGGTGCTCCAACGTATGAGGCGCACCCGAGTCGTCAAAGATCTCCGTGGCAAGAGTGAAGAAACCGTTCACCTTGGGACCCTTGCGGTCGGCCACGATGACTTGCATCCCGCTGCGTTCGGACACATACTGGCTGACGGTGCATGGTGCATAGTCCGTTTCAAAGCTCTGTACCTTGCGGAATCGTGGGCTGGGATGCTCTGCTGGGATCATGATGGCGGGTTGCGGGATGGTTGGGAAGTTGAAGAGCGAGAGTGAGTACACCCACCTAGCCAACATGTACACTTGAGAAGTGTAGATGTTGAGACGGATGCAAAGAAGGTCCTAGCGATTGGAATAATACTGTTTGAATGCCCAGGGGGGACGGACAATAGGGAAGTGGTGTATCAAGACAATGGAAAGTTGATAAAAAATTAATGCATGCGACTGAGGGGGCAACGAGTGAGGGACCGAGACGGGACGACCCCGATTTTTAACTGTACCAGCTGTGAAAAAGTGGCAGGAACTGTCAGTTGCCCTTCCCCCGCCAATCCAGCATTTCAGAGTCGTGATCATGGAAACGCCCAGGGAATTCGGTGTTACGACGGAAAGGACAACCGTGGAAAATCGATACCTTTATGTACTGGACGTTTAGCTGTTAGACTTAGGTACCTATATTATAACTCCAGACCCGAGAGAGCACGAAAACATGATCCATCACCCCGTCAGTAGGTATCCAGTACTCAGTACACGTACATAGCTTGCGGGGTAGCTCCAAGCCGTTGGCCAATGACCCCTCCCAACGCATCATCTTCCAAGCACAAGGGATGGTCAAGGGAGAGCGAGAAACGACAAGGACAATGTCGCCTGCTGCATTGTGATAATGTACAACACAACATGACCGACCAGTAAGATAGCTGTCACGTTATCGGTACCCTATTCACCTCGTAATGTCATGATGATGATGCAACTGTTTTCATGCCTCCTACTCCGCGAATGCACTACAATACCGAGTTTGTCTCGACTTCGAAGCTCCGTCAGTCCAGGGTATCCTCGATCGCTACGGTACTGTTACCCGGTATTGTATTCGTTACTCATCAAGAGGAGCGGTAGCTGCGTCCTATTATGAGCCCAATAATGTGGTACGCTAGTGTAAATAAGGAAAAATACTAGCACCAATACTCGGCTTCGATATCTTACGTAAGGATATGCACCGGTCATCTACCTCACGTGACCGAGATTCGGAGGAATCGGAAGCCGGCCTCCGTGACAGCTGGCAGTGAGCAGAAGCATGATGGTGTACAGGTCATACAGGTCATGGTCATGTCGAAGACCCTGTAGGTGCTTTACCCGATCACGCTTGTGATGTTGCCGTTTATACCCATCTTTAATCGGATTTCTGACATGGCATTCATATCTTCTTCTTTTTGGCTGCTATAGTACGCAGCGACTCTTACTTTGTCGGCGGAGTACGCTCCGGATACGTGGCGTCCCGACGTCTTCCCCAAGCTCCCCACGGCTCGAAGCTACCAACAACTCTGGTCTACCTTACTCAACCCGACACCCACCATGTCAGCCGCCACAGACACTCAGCTTCCAAAGCAGCTAGGCGATGCGATCGTCTCCTTTGCCCTCGAGGGCCGTTTCCCCGATGAGGAAGTGTCGTCCCTTCCGCTCCCGACGGCCGACCTCTCCCTCGCGGTAGATGCATTGGCCAAGGCGAAGACCCAACTGGAGGTACGAAGACTTTGGAAAGAGATGGATGAACAAAGAAGGAGGGGAAAGAAAATGCTACAGGAAACCAGATCTGGTGTCTAACATGCGGCCAGTCCGAGATCCATATTGTCAACGAAGAAACGAAAGACGAGGTCAGCTCTTGGGTCGCCCACACGAAGACCCTGCAGGAAGACATTCTACGGTCGAAGCGCCTAGCCGACGATATCGTACTGGAAGCCGAATCCCCAGTGGTCTCGGGCAAAGAAATAGAGGACGCCGAAGAGCACATCGAGTTCCTGCGAAGCGAGGTCGCATACAACCGGCAGCTGCATGAGGCACTCTCCGGTATACACAAGGTCAACGGGCTTCTGAACGAGGTGGAGAAGGCCATGAACGAACGGAGGGTTCTCGATTCCCTGCGGTCATTGGAATGTAAGCGCACGGCCTCATGGACGACCTCCCCTCCGATTCCGACCCCCGCTAGGCTAACATGCGGCAATAAAAGGTTTCTGGGCCGAACTCGACGCCATCCCTATCAACAAAAAGAGTTGCCGCATCACACGACTTCTCGACGTTCGAGCCTTTGAGCTCAAATCAGCCGTTCACGACGTATTCGATCATGTTTGGAACGCCCTTGTCCACGTAGATCGCGAGGCGGGGCGCATTGCCATCTACAACAGCCGCGAGGGTATGGGTTTCGCCTTCTTCCCCTGCGTTTGACTGTCCTCCCAATCTAAAACTGGAGCAGACGAGCAAATGACGCTCTCGGAAGCCGTCATCGGCCTCGAGGCCTACAAAGAAGTTGAAGATCGCATGTCTCGTCTCTGGCGAGATATCGACCGGGCCATTGTCGCCTCTCGGTTGGACCCCAAGTCGACGCAACTGTCCTCTTTCCAGATCAATGAGGTATGGATAGCTTTTCCCGGCTCTCTGTTGGCCTCACATTGACAAAAGAAATACAGAACATCCTCGAGAGGCAAGGCACTGCCGGCAACTCGATCGACGAGCTCTTCAAGGACTTGACAACCATGGTTGGATTCCTAGCACAGAGACTCCCGCCGGACTTGTTGATCTACCTGGGACCAATCATGATGAGTGGTGTTCTTCCCAGGCTGATCGATGGCTGGCTCTCTTCCACCATCCCAGTTTCGTTAAAGGACGTCGAGCAGTTTCAAGCCGTGATACAATCGGCCAGGGTCTTTTGCGAAACACTGGAGGACTACGGTCTTTCTGGCTTCACCGAGCTGAAAGAATGGGTTGGCAATGCGCCGTCTACCTGGCTCGCGAAGCGTACGGAGACGGCATTGGATGCTGTCCGCAGCCAGTTCATCCAAGGTCCCGTGCCCACTCCGTCCCGTCGCATTCTTTCCTTGAAAACTGACAGCATGGACAGGCCTCGGAGCACCCAAGCAGGTCGAAAAGGTGGAGAAACAAATGGTGTCGCGCTCGGAAGGAAAAGAACTGGCATCGCAGACGGTAGCCACTCAGGCCGACGACGACGATTGGGGCGCGGCGTGGGGTGCTGATGATCCAATGGACGAACCTGATGACGTGCCTCAAGTCTCGGCATCTTCCAAGACCACCCAGGTCAGCGAGGTTGCCACAACCGACGACGATGGAGCCGACGCCTGGGGCTGGGGTGACGACGAGCCGACCACGGAAGCAAAGGACGAAGCGGCACAGCAACAGGACAAGACGGAACTAGATGACGACGACGACGCCGCGGCGGCATGGGGTTGGGGCGACGAGGAAGAACGGGAAGACCAAGTCGTCCAGCCACCCAAAGACGACGAGAAAAAGGCCAGAAGCACCAAGACCCCAAGCGCTGGGGAAGAATATCGAGAAATGGTTCTCAAGGAAACCTACCATATCTCATCGATGCCAGATCCAGTACTAGAACTGATCTTGACGATTCTGGACGATGGTGCAGCGCTGACCCAACCTAGGTAAGTAATCTCCAGGGGGATTCCAAACGGGCAAGGCAATGTCGCTCATACATGACAGCAATGAGACAAAACCCGTGGCATCGGCAGCTGCAGGCCTGTTTGGGCTCCCAACGTCCGTGTTAGCCATTTTCCGAGCTCTATCCCCGCATTACTATGCAGCGGGGATGGGAGGGAACATGTACGATATCACCTCCTACCAGGACGAACGTGACCGTATCGTATCGGGAGCTAAACGAAAGAATCAACTAGGTTTCTCTACAACGACGCAATGTACTTGGCCGAGAGGTTGGCGGAGCTGACGGAGACGTGGAAGTCGCGCAACGACTTGCCGCAGCGTGCTAAAGCCATGCTTCGAATCGACGACGACATCAAGACCATGCGGAGTTTCGCCAACCGCACATACACAGGCGAGCTAGGACTACAGAAGACGGTTATCAGGGATCTTCTAGGGGGTGAGTGGCGCTAGCACAGTCCCAAGCCGTTATGGAATCTCTCGGTGGACGGAGACACAGCTGACATGTCTGTCTTTTGAACACATAGGCGAACAAAGCATTGTCCAGCAACAAGACGCGGAGAGCAGCGTCGACTCGGCCGTGGCACGCGTCCGGACGATGGCGACAACATGGGAGACGATCCTGGCGCGGTCGGTGTGGTGCCAGGCCACAGGGTCGCTGGTAGACGCGCTCTCGGCCAAGATCATCTCGGACGTGATGGACGCGCCGTCGATCGGGCAGGACGAGGCGTACAAGATGGCGCAGCTCATCGCCAAGGCGACGGAACTAGACGACCTGTTCCTGCCGTCGCGGGCAGCATCATCGGGCCAGGAGCAAGGGCAAGGGCAAGGGCAGGCGGACCCCGACGAGGTGCCGACGACGGCGCAGTACGCGGGCACGTGGCTCCGGCTCAAGTACCTGAGCGAAGTGCTGCAGTCGAACCTCAACGAGGTGCGGTACCTCTGGTTCGAGAGCGAGCTGAGCCTCTACTTCTCGGCGGAGGAGGTGGTGGACTTGATCGAGGCGAGCTTCGAGCTGAACGCGAGGACTAGGGATACGATCCGTCAGATCAGGGAGCGGCCGCAACCGGTCGAGGGTGTGTAGATGACTCGAGAATAAGAATGGAGGGAAGGAAGTCTTGATCCTTGGAACGACCTAGCGCTTTAAGGTACTTTGAACTTGGAACAAACTTATTCATCTTAAAACGACGCCCCCCCCCGATCATGAACAGGAAGGAAAGCTCCGTCCATGATCCTTGCCAGGCTTTCATTTCCAGCCTCGTGTGGCTTACCCAGGAGAACGGTTAGTGGGAGCGATGATGCCGACGCCTACTGCCCTTTCCCTCCCGTAACCGTACAGTACTTTGTTTGGTAGGGGGTGTGGCTTTTACCCCGCGCGCACCTCCATTTTCCTAGCCAAGATTAGAATTGGAGGTGTCCGTTCCTGGTTTAGGCACCCCTTAATCTCCACTTCCCCCCGAGCCCGAGTCCCCCACCCGAATTACACATCAGGATCGCCAAAAATAAGGAATCAGAGATAAAAAAGAGGGGGGGAAGAAAGAGATGGAAAGAAAGATTTTCCATTCTAATTCTTTCTCTACACCTCCGTCACGGACCACTGTTAAATAACAATGTCTTGGCCTGCTCTCCACCGTGGCAGAATCCAGGCCTGGCCTTGTGTGGGATTCATTTCAAGACGAGAAAATTCGGTCAGAGATGCGAAATCGTAAGGTAAGGCAAGTGTCTTTGTACCGGGGTGCATCTAGGTATCAACCGTTGCTTTGAGGAACCGGGTGGATGGAAAAGGTACTATACTTGAAACGAAGTACTCCATACCTAGGTACCTAGGGATATGTGTAGGTACTTCTTTGTACCTTTGGGATCATTGCCAAGTACTCCGTTTTCGGCTGTTTACGGTATAAACCGCCTTTGCCCGTCTTACTCTATCCCCATTTCGAGTCCACGATAGCTTTATGCAGTCACCGATTCGCCTGACTTTTCCTTTTCTTCTCTTTTTTTTCTTCCTTTTTTCTTACCCTGGTCCTGGTCTCTTTGTTTGTTCGGGCGAAGGCTATTTCAGTCTATCCATTCTTGGCTTCCTCTCTTTCTATCCCTGTCTATAACAATCAGTCTATCATTCCCGTTTCCTATTATGCCTAAGGTATAACGCACTAGGTATCCATACATGTGAAGTGTTTCTCATGCTTCTCATCACACAGGAGAGCCCATCTTAGCTTTCAGTCATAAGGCGAGCTTCTCAGTCCACTTTTGCCTTTTCCGGTCTTTGTACGAGTTAAGCTATCGACGTCTACGGGCGAAGGAAAAGTTTTGCGTGCTCCTCTATTGACCCCCACTCCTTTGGTCCGCTCTTCCCCATACATATCATATCGTCCGTCAGATGGATGTCGCTGATGGATGAATTGTTGCCCATATCCCCAGCGCCCCTGGTATATATATGTACGAAGTAGGGCCGTATGTAATAGCATACATGTTATATCCGCCCATCACATCCATTTTCGGCCCCGGGATCTATTGAATCCGTAGCTGGACTGGGAGGTAACTGTAGTCGCTATCCCGCCCTTCCTCTTGACATTTAACAGCTGTCAAGATTCCACCACACTAAGCCCGCCATGGCCCCGTGTCTCGTCTCTTCCCATCAAGGTTGTTTCGGGCCACACATGGCCATCTCAGTTGGATGGACAACTCTCGGATTCTGCCATCCACCCACCCCTCCTCTCGCACGAAGTGCTCGTAGGGCTAATCAATAAATCCATTCGTACCCACGACAGAATCGTCCCTGACCAATGTCTGTCCTGTCTCTACCTTCTGTGATGACCCCACCCCCTCCGACAAAAGCAGCACGACGTCGCTGCCGTAGTCGTCCAAAAACGCTTTCATGGCTTCCAACAAGCAAGACACCACGCGAAAAACAGCAGGAAGAGAAGCCGATATGTAAGGTACCTTACCTCACTTCCTTCACGGCGAATCAAGCCTCGCCCTATTGGTCCAGGTGAACCGCTTCCCGTAGAAAAGGGGTAAAAAAGGAAGAAAGAAAGCAAGAATTTTTTTTGAAAAGGGATTTTTTCCCCATAAATTTAAGGTTCCTGCTTCCCGGTCCGGCCGGACTCGCCCGGGCCACCGTCCACTCATTCCACCTAAAGTTCGCGCCGGTGTTGTGGGGTCTAGGTACCAGCTCTCAAACAAACGAGCTGCGTTTGACACGGGTCACACCGCTATACCTGTTTCCACGGTACCTTAGGTACACAGCTATGTACGTACAGCTCAAGTACCGGGAATATTGGACATAGGAGAGTGGGGAAACAATTGAGTGATGAGAACCGCCTTTAAAACGCTGTGTGGATGTTGATTTTCCCACGTCTGGGGGTCTGAGAAGGACTACGGAGTGCGTGCTAGCCTTGAATGCATAATAAAGGTACCTACCCACGTACGGATACCTCCTACTCCACAGACACCATATAAGCCCCATTTCCTCCCATCGCCACCAGAGAGACCAAGCCAATTCGGTCGCAGGGTCGTAGTGGAGTCGGCAGAATCGGATGGAATTTACCAGTTCAGTTCACGAAGACGAAATCTAAGAGAACCTTCCCTTCCCCCCCACGCCGTCCTTATCGTCTCGTCTCGTCTAGCTTTGTAGGTAGTTCCATGACAGCACCCAACACGAGAGCACGTCAGAAATTTTATGTTTTTCCCAATTTTCACCACGAATAGACGGTCTGCTTATTGGTTCGTTTCATGCTCGATTTATTAGACTGCCATGTCATGTACCATCGGCCCCTCCCGTTACGTCCCGAACCAAAGGAGGGGAGGGGGAAATACCTATCCAAAGCCATCGAGTGATTTCGCTGACAAGGCCCAATGCAAATGCAAAACAGGAAACGGGAAAGAAAAAAGAAGAAAAGGGGGAAAAAGCAGTATGACCGATAATGATGATGCTCTGCTGCCTCATGTCAACCCATGCCAAACACACACCGTAACCACAAGGGGTTCGTTCTTTCAATCATTGAGAGAAAAACATCCAAGCAAATGACCAGAGTCGATAGGAAAATAAAGGCAAAAAGGGGAGTATCCCCAAGCACACCAGAAAGGAAAAGTCGTAACATCATAATAGAGGAGACACAATAAAGAAAAAGAACTTTTTTGGCTCCTATGGTCTTCCTGTCTCCCCGCTCATCTGGCGGAGTGATCCCAAGTCTATCACGTAAAAAAAAAACCCCCGCCCATTGTGTCCTCCATGAAAAAAAGAATTCCAGGAAGAATAAAAGCCCCCATTTCATTCCCCAATCCCGGCCTCCCTGGCTCACGGGATGACATGCCCAATGTTCGCCATTTGATTCCCAGCATGATGCCCTGGTCCCCCCAAAAAAGGAAAATAGGGTTGGCAAAGATAGATAACCAAAGAAGCATCACAGTCATGAGAGAAGAAAGACAAAGGAAAAAAAAAGTTCGCTTGTCAAAACTCTTCAAGGCCAGCTATTGAATGTGAAGAGTCAAGAAACGAAAAGAAGTGAAGAAGAGTTAAAAAGAAAAAAATCCCAAAGTCAGGGACGAGGTAAACATTGACCTCCGTTTCGAAAGAAGAAGAATGTTTTTTTTTTGTTCTCTTTTTGTCGTCCTTCATTTGAAATCGACTGGATGCGAATCGGCCGTGTCATGTCATGTCATTTGCGTTCCCGTGCCAGTTGCGGGGACGACCGTCGAAATTATGTTTGGTACAACAGGGGGGGGGGGGGGGGCTTGAAAAAGAAAATGTGAAGAAGAAAAACCGTACGAAGCCAATGGAGCTTCTGATACTGGTACAAAGAAGTGGTAAAATGTCAACCGAAGAGCGCCTGGACGAGGCGATGATGGTGGATCATGGCTGAGGGCTCTCAAAGCTCGACCTATCCAGGCTCGACTTCGGGCTGACGTTGTTGGGTCGGTTGAATCTGGTGATGGTGCGACCGAGACCCCGAAGCTTACCGCTGGTATCCGGCTGATCGCCAGGGCAGTCGAGGAGGACGCTGTTGACGGGTCCCATCTTGATGTTGCAGAAGAGCGTCGAGAAGAGGTACTGCTCGCCGTTGTGGTCGAACAGGGGCAGCGTCCGGTAGCCGGCCTTCAGCCCGCTCAGCTTGGCCGTAAACGTCGCCACCGGCGGTTTCTCGTTGTAGGCCTCGCCGTTGTGCGACAGCTTGACCGACCACCGCACGAAGATGAGGTCAGGGTACTTGGTCGTGACCCGGAAATCGAACCTGTCGTTGAAGGCCGGGTTGAAGCCGTTCTCCCGGATCACCCGCGTTCGGTACTTGAGCGGGCTGTCCGTGGCCAGCGACACCGTCGGGTCCGCCTCCTTCTTGTTCCTCTTGTCGTTCGCGTGGAACACCTCCACCTCGACGTAAGGGTCCACCGTCCGGTTGGCCGGCATGCCGTTGGGCCGCATCAGCTGCTGCGCCGAAATGACCCCGATGCTGAAGCTGACTTCCTTGCGCTCGCGCTTGCCCGACCATCCCTCGGGCATGACCTGGATCTCGCGCAGCTCGCTGGGCTTCAGCACGTACCCGGATCGGTCGGTGCCGCTGTCGAACATGGCTTGGTTGATCTGCATGCCCGAGTCGAACGTCTGCCAGTTGAGCGCCGCCATCTGAACTCCTCTTCGCCAGTAGTGGAGGGGATCGAAGTTGGTCGACGTGTAGCGAATCCCGTCCGGGTACACCCGCATCAGGTAGCGCATATTGTGACGATCCATGGCGTGTTTCGCCTCCTTCGGCTTGCCGTGCTTCTCGAAGCTCGACTCCATGAAAGAGAAGATGTGGTTGTACGCCTTGGCATCGGGCGTGTCGAATCCCCGAAATTTGACCCCCGCACAGTATACCCCGAGATCGCCGAGCACCTTGACCGTCTTGTTGGACGACCGTCTCGCGGGCACTCTCTCGCCGGCGCTGTCGTTGTCGCTGGTGCTGCTGCTGCTTAGTGTCTCCTTCACTTCGCCCTCGGTGATGGTGTTGACGCGAGTTTTGCCGACCAGCCGACGAGAAGAGGTGCTGGGCCCGAGGAGGGGGCTCTGCGGCAGCGACAGCGGCGGAATCAGCGCGTTGTCGAGCTGGATGGGTTTGCTGTAGGGCGAGGTCAGGCTGTTCCCACGTCGGCGGCCTGGCTCGGGTGCCTTGGGCTCCTCTTTCAGTTGAGGCTTCTTGACCTTGATCAAAATGCGGTCTTTGAGCTGCTCGGGAGACGGAAGCTTGTCGGAAGACGGGTCCAGGGGCTCCGTGACGAGGCGCGACCCGAACGTCTCCTTCATGATGCGAGACATGATGGCCTGCTGTTGCGGGTTGCAGTGTACCTCGAGAGAGATCCACAGCGGATAATGTGTCTTGACGAAGGCGTATTTGTTAATGGTGGTCATGGTCTCCTGGAAGCTGATCGAGGTGGTCAGCGTCCGGCCGTGATTGACTGTGGGTTGGCCGTCGGCGCCGTTCCAGCAGTCAACTTCCACGCAGCGGCAGCCACGAGCGAGGGCCGCGATGTAACCCTCGACGCTCGACAGGCCGGCAACCTGTCGCCCGAGGAGATAGGTGTTATGGGAGCTGGAGATGAAATATTCGTTAATGGGCCGGTCCAATGTATATTCTTTCGGCTCCGTCTTCAGTGGCAGGTTGAAAGTCGACGTCAAGTAGGCCGCGAACGCCGCGTCGTTCATCCTAGGACTGTCGGAGTGGGCGATGGCGCCGGAGCGCTCTGCGTCTCTCGGCCTGAACTTGCGGGAAAGCTTGGCGTATATGGCCTCCCACGCAGGGAGGTCTGTCTCGATGTCCTCGCCTTGGACGTCGCGCAGAAAGCTGAGGAACTCGTCCAGGCTGAGACCAGCCTCTGGGTTCTCCGCGAGTGACTGGTATAAGCTCCGAATGTCGTCTCTTCGCTTCATGAACCCCACAAACGACTGGAACTCGAAGTAGTTCAGCCGGCCCGTCTTGGTGGCGTCGGCAGCGTGGAACTTGGCAAAGAGCTGGCTCGGCGAGGCGTGGATATGCAGCTTGCGGCAGACATTCTGGACGCCTTCGTAGTCAAGCTCCTCCTCGTCCGGCGAGTGGGGCTTATCGGCAAACTGCTTTGCCATCTCGCTGCGCCAGTAGTCTCGGATGGCCCGGTCGTTAAAGGCCATGAGCGATGCCATGAGGTCCTGCCGATGTTTCGAGATGGCTTCTAGTGTGGTGACCCAGTTGGAGAATACGCTCGCGTCGTCGGCAACCAGGTGCATCATCTTGCTCTTCGACTTGTCCGGGACGGCGTACAGGACGGAGAACCAGCGGCTCTCTTCCGACTCCGGGACGCCAAAGTCCAACCGATACTGGCGGATGTCGGTGCCAGTCCTGATTTCTTTGATGTCGTCAATATAAAGACACTTGTGAGGACGGGACTTGTCCCAAGAGATCCTGGCTGCATCGGGCTCGAGCACCAAGACAAAACGCTTGGCACGGTTCTTCTTGGAGACTTTCCTGATCCACGTCCCCTTCAGAAGCTGGAAGGGTATCACGGGACCAGCGGTGGCGTTGCCTGAAGGGGTTGAGCCGGCCACCGAGGCGGGAGTGCTGTTCGAGGGTGACTCCTTGAGGGACCCGTCAAAGGTCAATTGCGATCGGCACTCATCAGGTTCGTAGATGGACTCGTCTTCGGAGTCGGTCGGCACAAGAGGGAACTCGGGCGGCGCCGTGGCATTACTGTCGCTCCTCCGGCGGAGCATGCCAGGGCCGACACTGCCGTCCCTACTGGTGGAGGCGGCAGACGACGGTCTGCGCCTGGTAAATGGCCTAGCTGCCCGGTTGGACAGCCGCCTGATCAAGCCGCCGCTTTTGGCGGGGAGAGGCTCCACTGCGCTAGGGGCGGTACTGCTCAGGCTCTGTGGCAAGGAGGTGTTGCTTGTCCTCCTGCATAATAGCGACTCGGGCAGTTGAAAGGATCCCGAAGGGGTAGCGTCGTCAAAGTCTTGGCCCCGGAGAGGCTCGGGGGAGGGCTGAACCGAGCTGCTGCTGGTCATGACGGCGGTAGCATCGGGAGACATCAGCGGCGACCCCTGCCTCGAGCTGGAGGTGGCCGATGAGGCGCTGATAGCTGAACCGGGCATGGAGGGCTGCTGGTTGTGAGTTGAGGTATTGTTGAGATTGTTGGTTTGAACCGAAGTCGGACGTGAGTACCTCCGTTCGACGGTCTGCGGGGTCATAGTCCGGTTACCCGACGAGGAGGATGAAGGAGCTGGAGAAGGAATTGAAGGGCGATGCTGTAGAGAAGTGCTAGTGGACATTGTGATGGTGATATAGAGAGTACCAGGCTGCTACTGAGGGAGCGTCCTGCGAGGTTCCCCCAGGAGAAGTACAGGGGCTTGATCATGCGTTTATGGAGTATGCGAGGCGGGTTGATGACGGCATCCTTGACTGGTTGGCCTTGCAAAACGGCTCTCAACAGATGATATTCGAAATGAATTGTGTGAGAAGAGGAAGGGGGGCGTGAGGGTGTGGGGGGTGGGGTGGCTTGCGCAAGAGAGACAGACGATCCCGAGGGGTAAAACGGCGCACAAGTCAGGTCGTGTGAGATGGCTTACACGACGCGATATATCAGGGATCCTGAGAGGCAGAGTATGTAACCTGCAAGAGATGGGGTCCGTCTGGCTGGCGGCCGGATTGGTGCGGCGCAAAGCTGGGGAGAGTGGACTGCGGACTAATAGGAGAGAGGGAGGTGGTAATAAGATGTAAGATGCGAGTGGTACCTGTACCTGTACCTGTACCTGTACTTGTACCTGTACCAGCAGGCAGGGCAGGGCGGCGGCCGGGGTGTTTGTCAACTCGACAGGGGAAACTGTCGGGGGCCAATTGCGGGCGGAGGATAGTCCCGGTCGAGTTGAATGCCTGGCTTTGACCGCTGGGAAATCGACCAGGGGCCTGCCTCTCTCTCTGTGTGGTTTGTGTGCGGTCTGATGGTCAGTTGGGGGTGATGAGAGTCGGCCCCCCCGGTAGAAAAGTTATGAGGTGGCAGCCAGAGGCACAGATGGGTATGCAGGTGTCTGGTTTGGGTAGCTCTCCAAGCTGGGGAAAATGGGCCTAAGCATTGGCAAATGCAATAGTCGGGTGGTGGTAGGCCAGGGTTGTGTTGTTTCGCTCACAGGCCTCCCCAAAACCAAAACGGCTGCAGTGGTGTTGTTCCCTCTCGATGGTACGGCGCGGCGCGGTGCGGTGCAGTGCAGTGCAGTGCAGTGTACAAAGTCCTAGGCCCTTGTTCGTGCGCCGCTGATCGAGGCAAAAACAAGACGGGCTCGTTTCCCTGGATCTGGGATGCGTGCTGCAAGAAAACGGAATTTTTGGGCGCAAGGGGCGGTTCTGCGGGTGATGCGCGGCGCACAGCACAAAAGCAAGGATGCCTCTAGGGAAACTGCAAATCGGATATGCAAGGCGCTGGACCTGGAAAGCCAGGGACTGGCTGGCTGGTGAGAATTCAGGTCCAACGAGTCGCACCCTTCACAATCAGGAGTACCAAGACCCAATGATGTACTCTCGATGTTTGGCCGTCGTCGCTGGTCCCTTGTCGTGATGGTACTTTTTAAGGTCAGGGTTGAAAAAGCTCTGGGGAACGAGCCGGAAGCTTGAGGTTGGCGGTTGTGTTGTAATAGTATGTGCGCAAAGCGGGTGCGAAGGAAATGGGTTGAAAGTTGATGGAGGGTGAGTCTTGGAGGCAGTATTGACCGCAGCCAGGGTCTTAATAAGCTCTGGGTGGCAGATGCCGTTGTCGCAGCGGCCCAGCCTAGTGGAATAGTGTACGCCTAAGTAAGAGGCCGGATAATAGGAAAGAAGCAGAGGGGGGCAAAAAAAAAGAGGAAAGAGAAAAAAGGGCCCCTAAATATTTGCTGATGTTCATGAAGTCTTAGGGCAAAGACAGGAACGTGGGAACTGGATCGAAGTAAATATAGCGGGAGGGTGGGAAGAAAGTAGACAGTGGGAAGAACAGCCAGAGTTGAAAGGAGAAGAGAGGAGAGCTGAAAGGCAATGTCAAATCAATCAAGCAATCAATCAATCGCAATCGAGTGGATGGATCATATGGGAGTGCCAGTGCCGGATGTTGGGACCAGAAAGCGCCGAGTTAAGGGAGTGGGAAGAAAAAAAGCGCGAGTGTACGAAGTACGAAGTCAGAAAGGGGACATAGCAGGGGGAGGGGTGAAGCCAGGGATGGTATGGTGTACAACGTAAGAAAAGTATGGGGGTAGGGGGGGTGTTGGTTACCTGCCTTAGGTACCTTAGGTTGAGGTGAGGTACATCATTCTTCGTACGTCCATACTGGCAGGTGGGTTGCTCTTGCTGGGCGGAACGATGTACATCTGCCAAGTTGCTATACAGAAGGCATGTAGTGACTCCGTACCTTTGTAGGCACTATGGTAAATCCCTTAGGTATAAAACCATGGATACCTAATAAGACGAAGTACCAATATTCATACTTCGTACTAGGAGCGGGGTGGGCCAGGGCGTGCGTGGGTGTCGGCATTGCACCGAGAGACCGACTCCCTTTCAAAAGCCCTCCACTAGAAGGTACGGAATAGGTACCTACAAACCCTCCCCAAGTACGTACGAGGGTACAATGACTTCGTACTACCGAACTCGTCGGAGTTGGCGAGGGCACCTTACCCATCGCCTTGCCTGAGAGGCTGAGAGATACATGGGCGCATGTACACTACGGATGTTTTCGTACCACTTGGTACGAAAGGGCAACGAGCCAAGAGTTTTGCCAAGTCAACCACAAGGGCGGCAAAGCTATGCCAAAGTTGGAATTTGGGGAAATCAACATGGCGCATGGAGAGAAAGGCAAAGGCGGGGCCCGGAAACGGATGATGACTGGTTTAGAGCTCGTCCTTTTTTCTTTGGTAGTAATTACGAAGTACCTTACGAAGTAAAAAGGGCTTTGAGGGAGTGAGGTCTCGGGGAGGTGTGGGAAACATCATGGAGCTCCTACCTCGTCTGTAACCAAGCCACTAAAAAGATATTTTTTGCGAGCCTTGTCGGTTTCTGTCATGCTGTCTTCTTTTTCTTTTCCCTTTGTTCCCTCTTTCTACATAAATGCCCAGGAACAGGAACTGAACTTGGCACACAGCCTGAAGACATAGTACGGAGGTAGGTACAATACGTCGGGCTTAGCAGAATATCTAACCTTGTACACGTGTAACAGGACGCCCGACTGTGCAGCGTGGGTACGGCGTGTGCTATGGGTAGTCATCTTGCACTTCGCAAGGGACAGAGAGGCATCGTTGTCTGACCCATTCGTTGACAAGGATCAAGAGACGGAGAAAGAGTCGGCCAGAAACAGGAGGAAACAGATGTATGGGACACCTCGAAGAGTGACACATTTGAGATCAGCGGCAGAGGCAGTGGACAGTGGAGATGGAGAGAAGGGGCTGTGAACAGCAGCGCGTTCTCTGACTGGGTGCCGGTAGTCAAAGACCGCTACGGCTTCCTAGCGGCCAGCAGAGGTTTAGGGAGAACCAGGACATCGCACATTTCCATCCCGTCCGCCATCCGCCATCCGCTTAGAAGAGCCGGTGCCCGATTGAACCCAGGGGACGTCTTCGCCATGTGTCGTCCTAACCAACCAGACGACTTGGCAGGGGTTCAAGATTAGGGAGCAAATTTTGAAGGATTTCCTCCTCCGTAGTGTCCCAGGGAACCTCGGTCTTTGCCTCCCTGTCGTTACTTTCGAAGGATATAACGTATATGGAGGGGCTATATTATATCTTGGGGAAATTGCGACATCAACTGCCTGAAAATCGTACTGAATAGCCGGACAGAAACAAGGTGTTGATCCCCAAGAAAGAAAAAGGGGCCTTACCCTATAGCTTAGTAAAAACCGTGTTCCCTGTATAACGTAAGCAGTAAAGGAGTGTATGGATGGAGTAGAGCAGATCCACGAAGCGCTAAATTACGAAGACCTGCCACTGGAAGGGTCTGACACATTCCCCATCAATTCGGTTGGCACGTTGTTACAACTCCGAATACCGCATTACGTTGTACCTACGTTGTAATTTACGGGCGGCGCTATCCCTAATTTCCAATCTCCCGCCCTTCTGTGGTGAGGTCAGACTGACGTGACGTCTTCTAGTTTAAATTGAAAGGTATCTGAGCGGAGAATCCATACCGATATCTTCATTATTATGTACTCCGGAGCTAAAGCTGGCAAGATAGATGCACGCCACAGCGAGGTAGCCAGGAACATGGTATCACGGTCTTCTACGTGTAGTACGTGTAAGTAATCAGGTCTTTCCGAATAAGTTGTCTGCATGCAGGCCCAATGACTGCTCCTCCATCTCATCATCACCTGCCAGACCAACCCAATCGCACGTTGTCCATGCTCCGCTTTCTGTCACACCCTTGTGATTCAGGGTCCTCGGCATCGTTTCGTCTTCAAGTGTTGTTTGCCTTCTTTCCTTCGCTGTCGTCCGGCTTCCGTGATAGCTTGGCCGACGCCCACCTGTGGATTCGACTGCCAACACGGAGAAGTTCCTCATCAAGCTGGCGGTTCTATCTCCTCCGTTTCACTGCCAATTTGTCACCTGGTTTGTCGAGTCAATGCTGGGAACAAACGTAGAACAAGAACACTGAACGACGGTTCCCACCTACGGAGACTGTCTTGTTTCGTAGCAAGACAGCCTTACTCATCCGAGATGTCCGTAATCTCTGCGAACTTTGCTTCCTTACAGCGTAGACCTCCCTTTACAACGTACTGCCCCATTATTCGTCGCAAGCATCAGGACTACGTGATTACAGGTTCTCTCCTGATCAACAAGCAGGGAATTGAGCGTAGAACGTGAATACCAATGCAAGCCCAGGACGCGTAGCTTGGAGATTAGCCCTATACCTGCGAGCTTAGCTTGGAATACCCTGCTGATCATCCGGATCCCGGCGTATCATCTGCGACCTTCCGCGCGATAGGGACGCACTCCACGCGGCTCTGCTAATCACGCTTCACCTTCTCGAACAGGAGGGCAGGAAGCGTGTCTCTTTGTCGACTCATATAACACCGCTAATCGGCGCATCAGTGTTTGCGCGTCTCAGTCTCTGTGGGTGGCATTGATGGCCTGCAGTCGCCGGTGTTACAATGTTGCCCAGCCTGAAATGTCATGCTAATGAATTGTGGAGGCCAATAGTCAAAGCCCTGAGGCCAAAACACCACACAGGTAATAATAAGCCCGGTGAAGCGCCATTGTTTGATACCAACACCTCCGTGCGCCAAGAGAATAATGGTGCCTTGGCTTATGGACGTTTTGCTTCTACCGGCAATTTATTGGCTGTGGCACAAATTAGGAAAGGAGGCCGAAGTAAAAATAAAATAAAATAGATCGGGGAAAAGATTGTTGAAAGAAAACGAAACTGAGGTGGTTTTTTTTTTTTGCTAGTCTTCTAGGGCGTTGCGAGCTTGACTCACTGTTTGCGCGTCTTTCTGCTGCGTGGCTGCTCCATTTTCCAACCTCCCGGTCATATACTTCTCGGTCAGCAACAGAAACAAAACAAAGTTTTTTTTTTTTTTTTTGTATCTTGAAAGACTCTACAATTACATCTACCATTCAAGTCGAACATCCTCGCTGCCCTGTCGATGACGTGTCACTGCACAGTCTTGACGCTTCGCCGAATATGTCATTGATTCCAAGTTAGGGCCTTGGAACTTAGAACTGGACGACAAAGAGGCCCTGTCAACGGCCGGTAATGACGGCATTCCCGTGCTCCCATCAATTCCAGGGCCGAAATACCGCCAATAGCCTAGTTAAAAGGATGAAAATAAACAACGCCGAGGCTCGAAGAACTTTATCAGGTATTAGGTACGCAGCCCGAATGAACCCAACTCGGCTCTTCCCTTGATCGTCCCGACTAAAATATCGTCAATTCTTGTCTGGGTTTGAAGCCCAGCGCCAATGCACAAAGCATGTAAGCCCATTCCATTCTGGCGGATACTGCCTTAGTCCGCCCGTCTTACGAGGCACAGCCCTATGTTTCGTACCCAAGCTCAATTACATTTTTACATACATGGCCAAGGTTCATATGGGTCCGTTTGAAGGCCAACTGTCATGGCAGCAATTCGACGGCCCGCGGTCGTCCGACTGCTGGTTGACTGGGATCATAGCGGCACAGGGCCAAAGGGTTAGGGAGTGGCTTGCCTATGCCCTCAATCACTCACCGCAGAATCATCCTAAATTTATCCTTGTCAGGGCATGGTGAAAGCGCCAGCTGACCAGGACACTGCAGGCGAGATTGGTCGCCCGTCCGTACTGATATGTCATTCCTTGGCACCAAAGGGGACCTTTTTCTTTTCCTCCCGTTTGGACAGCTCCCACGCACAACCTGCCTTTTTCTTAGGCAACATCGTCTTTTCCCGCGCATAGTGACCGTAGGCAGACTCCGATGTCTCCCACGCAACATGTACATGTACTGTGTGTGTTATCATGTATGTCATGGATCGTACATGGCATAATCAGGACTACGCACGGGGCGAATAATGGACCAACTTTGTCCCGGGTGGCGTCTTCGTCGCCAGCCGTCCATGTGCGTGCCCAAGGACGAGCAATTTACGTGTATTAGGCGAACCCGAGGAGCTGGGCCGGCGTAGGCGCCGGCACCACTCTCATTCGCCGGCGGCATGCCGGGGCCTAACATTATAGCACGGACAGATATATACTGTACTCACCTCACGGTGACCGTTATGCCGAGATGAGCTCCGAAAGCTGCTACGTTACCTACATAGAGCATGTACTCCGTAAATTCATCAGGAACTTATGAATGACCAACTTACCCACAGGTCCAGAGAGAGGATAACGGATCAAGGCTTGGCCTCCATTGGCCGATGATTCCGACCCTCCGCCCCCAGTCAGCATCCCACTGCATCGCGGCAAATGGGGCAAACAAAAGGCAAAATAATTTAATGAAAGGGAGAACAGGCGACCAAAGTATCGCCATTAACAACAGCCAGCTGCAAAGAGGGGAACCCCTGGTCCCGTTTCACGCAGACCGCATTTTGTCAAGATTTTCGGACTCCATATCCTTCCAGGTGTCCGAGGTATGTTGCTCTGCTCTCCGTCCAATCACTCCTATTTATTTTCCTTTTCATGTTCTTTGTCGCTCTTGGCCGTACGACAAAGCAGGCAGGGCACCAGAGTATCCGCACCGTTCCCTCACCGCTTACTACCTATCCGTACCTGTCGTAGTTATCGGGCGGGTGCCCCCCTCCTCGGAAACAGCCTGTCGGCCTGTCGTAGCTTGTCATCCAACTCCGTACGTGGGATGAAGAGTGCGGGGGTTGAGTAATGGGCTGAGGCCAAGACCGCGGGACGCTGACAGCCAACCAAATAGACGGGTACAAGCGTGACCGTGCCTTTGATTGGTTGCCCAAGGATCCAGTGTGACGTATTGGGAAATTTCCGTCTTGTCTTCTCTGTCCTTTTTATTCTGTGACTCTGTCCTCCCCCTGTCGACCCCTCAATCGAACCCTGGTGTCAGATTTCTAGAAACGTGTCACGAGGACTCGGGGAAGAAAGGCAAGAAAGGGATGAAGAGAAAGATTCGGGAAAGAATGGCTGAGTTAGGAGGTGAGACAAGGCGAAACGATACAACCCGACAGGACAAACGGAAATGGCTCATCTGGAAGGCCTGGGGATAGGTATCCATTTCCCAGCGGTCAGCGTCCACCAGCCAGCGCTCTTCCTCCGCAAATCACTTGCCGTGCCCAATGCGTGGGGTGACTGAGTGATGGTGATTATGAGCTGCCCGTTGTCATCTGCTCACTGGAGCGTGTCTGATCTTCATTTTCCCCAACTCATGCGAGCCGGATAATCTGCAGGTCCCGCGTTCCACCAACATGTTGCGATAGGCACTAATCAAACCATAACGAAATATGTCGCTCGTCGTTGCTTCCTCGAGGCCTGTCAAGACATGACCACGTTTAACATGGCGTAATTAGCCCAGCCGGACAAAGACAATTTCATCTCGCGACACGCTAGGTATCTATCTATCTCTTTCTCTTCGTGTATCTCCGTCGCCGACCACTGTCAAAAGCCCCTGGGGCCGAAGAAATTGCGCGCTCGTCCCATTTCGTCGTACCCGGCCGAAACCTGTCAGCGCACTCGCTTTCCGACTCCCGGGTTGCGATGTGTGTTTAATGATCACCTCCAGAATCTTTTCCAATGAATCATTACTGGTGGGTTTGCGAATAGCCGGGGGTCGAGGTCACGTTGTCATGGTCGGCGGCTGCCTCAATATGCGAAGTATTCGGCTCCGCGACCCTCCTACCTATGGCAGGCTGTATCACAATCATCGCCATCCACCGCCATATCGCCCACGGACGAATCGATCACGATGTTTGATAAGGTCCAGTCCACCACGAGATAGGTAGTATACTTACCCGCAGGTAGGTGCCGAGCTAAGTTCCCACCCGTTTGCCCAGGACGTGATTTCCCCCACGTTTCATCAACAACGGAAAATCGAATGACCTTGCAGCTATTCGCAAACAGGGCAAAGCAAGAAATTACAAGCCCCCAAACTCGCCTCTGTGGTTGGGGGGGGGTGACGAGAAGTATTTCGCATTCGCACATGCCAGAACTGCATCGAAATCCCCAGCCGGGCGGACAACAACTGGAAGCTCCTTATTATTTTAGTTCCCGTTGGTTTGATTTCCGCCTCGGCGCCCTGCTTCATTCGTCCATCAGCGGACTTGCCCTGCCCGTCCACACCCCTTTTCTACCCCCCTTCGTATCCCCTTCTTGTAGAGAAGTCAATTGTTCGATGCCGTTTTTCCCGTACCAAGCAAATGCGTTTGTTTTACCATTCAATTCAGACTGCCTTGGTTCCCCTTCTCATCTACCTGAACCAGCAGGACTATTGAACCCCGAGCAGGGTGCACGCCCGCAAGTGTCGCCAAGCCTTGCACATGACCTTCTCTTCACGCCAGAGAGAGGCACAGCACAGGAGACGGGATCCCTTATGCTGAGCGACAAGGGCATGGCGGATGGATGGACGTACGTTGTATGTACGAAAGTATGTATTTGGTACCTATTCATGTACATGCATGCCCGCAAAACGCAGGTAATCATAGCAGTGTGGTGTAATTTTTCCGGATGATGTACTGCTGGCTTGCGGAACAAGGCGAATTGGCGGCGCATCCGGCGGTAGCGACGAAGTTGGGCGAGATTTCCGGCAAATAGCCTAGGTGCGACGCGCTCACGACAAAGGCATCTTTCTTGGACCTCGGATTATGCGGCCGTGTACAGGACGTGCTAGCTACCTCCTCGACTCGCTCCTCGGATTGACCCCCCCCCCCCCCCCCTTTCTCCTTCTCCTTCCTTTCTTTTCTTTTCCCCCTTCTTCCCTGGTAGGTTGGTAATGAGAGGCATTATTAACTCACCCTTCTTTCCCCGCACTTCTTGATACCAACGATCGGTGCTCGCAACCAGCGGGACTTATGCCTTATGCATATGCAGTGACTACCTAGAAATCCAATCCTTCCCTCCGCCCTTTGCGTGGGGGCACGCGATTCCTATTATGCCTATATTATTTCTCTCCTTCGTTGCTGCGTCGTATTCGACTTTCTGATTATCCCATCCCCGCCAACCCGCGGGGCATACTATACGGTACAGCTCGTGATGCAGTGATGCGGTGCTGCAGTGCTGCAGCTTGCGGGCTGAAGAAGAGAAAGGAGGAAAGAAAAAGTGTCGGAGCAACCACAATTGCTGATTACCGCCCACTGCGCAATGGGATTTCGAATCTGTAGCCGGGCAGCACATTTCTTATCTTGCACGCATGGAACTGACTGCCATGGACTTTTCTGCCCATCGCCTCGAGGTTTTGGTTGATTTGCGGGCGGGGCGGGGGATGGGGGATGGGGGAGAGTTACCCTCACGACGCCAAGGGAATGAATGCTGCATCTGTCTCTATGTAGGTGTAGGTTCTTCGTGACGCATATATCAAGATGACGAGGACTGTACAGCCAGCCATTGATCGGGGAGCTCGACGGACATGTTCCTTCTGCCTTGTGTTCTTGAGTGTTTCCCTTTCCCCATATATTCCTCTGTCCAATCTCACCCCTTCTCTCCGTTACTTTCCTGACTTGGTTAGATCGATGAAAATGCTATGCATAGTATGATCGCTCCAACTGCGAGTGTCGCAGGTGGATGATGATTGGGCGCTGCGCACCCTACACCTCCTTTCAACACATACAACGTTAGAGGCATTGCCCACATAGACAGCTGGGTAGGTCCGCAATGTCGTCCTTGCACGTGGCCGATGTCTTGCATAAAACACCGTCACAGCGCGCATTGCGTCAGGGGGGGGTATGAATTTACTTGCTCGTCGATTTGTCGACCTACCTAGGGAAAACCAAGCATGTTCAACCCGTCGCGACGATTCTTACTTTGTAGAGGAGGAAGGGCTTCTCGCGTTCATATGGATTCCTGCTGAGATCCTGAAACTTGTTTGCGTCTACCACGGTCTGAAGGAGGGCCATCAAGGTCCGTAGTGCGTAAGTATCTTAGTGAGTACTCCTAGGCCTTTACCTCAGGTACATATACTACATTCTCCGGGTTCCTGTTTGGCTTGCCTCACCAAAGGTGGAGGATCCGTACTCATGGGTTACGACCGCCTTTCTAACTTGTAATTAGCGACTGCGGGGGATGTGTTATGGATGGTGGTATCGGTACCTAGTAACTGCAATTGACTGGCGTTGGAACAGTACATTTTATAGCGACAGAGAGGGCGGAGAGAGCAGGAACACTGCCGAACACCTTCCTCATGACCTGCTTGTCCTGATTCAATGCGACCCTTCTCTTTCCCTCCATAGGTAGTCCCCTGTATGGTATGCCGATACGAATCTCCATATCCATGTTCATATTCGTACAGACTACCTTACTGGTCGTTGTATATTTCCCGACTCTTCCCTCACGCACCCAACTCTTGGCGATAATCCTTCCCCATCCCACGCTCGGCACCTACCTTACTCAATGTCACGCCAACAGACTTTCCACTACCACTGCAACATCAAATCATGAACATGAGAAGCTTCGCCATGTCCGTTTTTTTCTCGTGCGTCAGTACATGTTTTTCTTCTTCTTCTTTTCTCTTCTTTGCCCCCGTAACTTTCTCGACAGACAAGGTTCTTACATGATGAGTCGGAGTCCTCGCCGCTTGCATTACGATTCAATACTCCATACCTTCGCGAATGCGTTGCCATCGAACCGCACCTCGACGACTCCCTGTCAATCAAGGTCGGGAAGAGATAAGATGGTCGAGGGGTGGTCACATCATACCTACTATCCGATATATCCGATATCCGACACCAAGTCCGATAAATCTACAGTATAAGACCCCTCCGCCTTGTCATAATGGGTTAGAGGGTGGTCGTCAAATGGCCCGCAGATGTCGAGTCTTGCAGGTTGTGAGTGGCTGGTTTCCCCTCCCCCATATTCTTCTCAAAGAGGGGTCAATGCAATCGACAACGGGAGGGCCCGTCGCGAGGTGCAGTCTGCTACCCATCATCACGGTGGCCAACACCATCCCCGAGCCGTCGTGGAATCCTGTCTGCAGCCGTCTGGCTCAGACACCATCCGTTTTGAATGGTGCGCGGAAGGCACAAGGTGCTGCCGCACATTGCCACAGCCTTTTTCTCGTTACTCTGCAACACACAATTAGCTGTCCGCTTCTTCTTCTTTCTCCCTCATCCCCGCATTCTGCACATCAGTGACACCACCCGCTAGAGGTCTGGCGTCGTATTCTTCTCCTTGGCGCGCTGCAGACTGCAAAAGTTCAACAATTTTTATGCGAGGTATTTGACGCGGGATGGCGTATTATCAAGATCGTCGGTCCGACAAAAAAACAAGTCCCCTCCCTTGGCTATATCGCCAGAAGGGGGGTCGCCTAGCCAAGTTATCGCGCCATTCCTCTGCGTCTATGTGCAACCAACAGCCTCTGTCTTTTCACTGCGCAGCAAATATGCCGGGGACTCCCGCCAGAGGCACGAAAATGGTCATTTTGCCTTGTCCTTTCGGTTAGCGGTTTGAACATAGGTGGGTAAATGGAACCGATTGCCCGCTCTCATGTCTGTCGAAGACGTCGCGCCTGTCGTCACCCCGAGACGCCCGAAAGTGCACATGCGAAGTACGAAGTACGAATTAGAAGGGTCTTTTGCTGGATAGTGGGGTCCTTTCCTAGGAGGAGGTCAACTCCGGGATCTTTTCTCCTCGCTAAGAAATGCGCCCCAAGCCCCAGATCAATCCTGGCAAGGCTCCGTCATCACCGCGGGAGATGAAAGGGGGGCCCTCTCAATTTCCATCTCAATGTGGTCTCAGAGTCTTTGCGGGGGGGCTGGACTGTGCCATGGATTTTTTTTTTGATTAACACACATACCCCCATGGTATTGAAGCACTGCGACGTTATGTAACTCGGGCCAGGCAGCATCCATACCTACAAAGAGGAGTTACAAACAGGGCCCTTGGCCATTTCGCAGGTCCCCCGACACCAAGAGGAGGCATTACGGGGCAGAATCTTCACCCATTCTTCCGCCCGTCGAGTGGAGAAAGGTCCCGCGTTTCGGAAACGGACTGGAGTTTTTCCGGCAGTCCGTTCTTCTTTCCTTCGTTTTTCTCTTCTTTATTTTCCCAGCTTCCCAACGCATATGCGGCACGACAAAACGCGGCGCTCGCTAATTGACGGTGCGCTACTGAACAACCGAACAAACATCAAATTCTGTCTGTGAGCCCACATGGGCAACGCCCGGCCGTATCATATATGCACATCATCATCTTGCATTTCACTCCCTAGTCGGAGGATCGCCCGCGTTATGCTAAGAAGAAGGGGGGGGGGGTTCAAGATGATTTCCCCCGCGTTTCAGCTAAAATTGACCGTGGAGTTCAACAGTCGACTAGGGCATGGCCTGTTGCGATGCCGCCCTCCCCTAGTTGCACACCGGCTATAATTACGATGTACGGCACAGAGTTCTTTGGCACATGTCACGGCTCTGACGATGGTCGCCTTCGCCTTCTGGGAGGGAGGAACTTTGCCATCAGCGATGGCTTCTCTTTCCTCACCATTGGACCTGGGATCCCCATGATAGATGTCGTAGGGCCACCCTTGGTTCAGGGATAGTGCCGTGCAACCTCTGCAATCTCCGCGAAAAAAACCCCGATTTCACCGAGGGGCCAAACACTTAGAGAGTGTAATTAAAGGGAACGAAGCCGGGAAAGCCTGGCTCTATCTGCACAGCCAGCAGTGGAGTGGCATGGTCCGAATAGTTCTTTTCATCGAACTTCATTCTCGGCAACACAGGCAGCACGAAATCCCGCGAGACGGCGACCAAATCATCCAAACAGAGAGGTCTTTTCTTCTTGGCCCATCCGTCCAGAAGTTCTGCGAATTATACCCCGCGAGTCGTAGTCTTACCTGTCTTTGCCCCATTCTTGGGCCCGGAGAGGGAACAGGCCGAAGATTGGCCGCCCCAGCGTTCTCTTAGCTGCGCGATGTTTCTTCCCAGCCATTCTAGAATCAGTATTCTTTTTTTTTCTTCCTTTTTTTCTGTTGTTTTCTTTCCCCTCTTCATGTCCCTGGATCCAGGAATCAGGACCCCCCTGGTCGCAGTGCAGATCTCCCCACATCTCGCCCTGTCAACCGGGGGTTTTACTCCTCTTGTCGTCCAGTGAAACGCGTCGCCTTAACAATGTGGGGTTGGGGAAAGGAGGGTAGTCAGGGGTAAGAGGGAGGGTGTGGGTGGAGATCGGCGACGTGTGGTTCTCTCGTTGGTGCCGGCCGACCGGGCACTCGACCCTCTTTTCACCCAGATCCCGAAGGGACACTTGATTTCACGACTATGGTCACATTCCGAGAGTACGAGGCGAGGTAAGTCCCAAGAAAAGCGGCATGACGAATGTTTTGCATGGGCTGTTACTTATTTGCACTTTGCCTCGAGCCCGTCGTCAGGGCATGTTGGCCAAATAGGTTGGCCAGCCTCCTCTCCCTCAAAACATGTTTCAATGGCCAATTCTTCTATGATAGAGGCATGACACGTCATCCGATTGTTGAGATAGGTCGCGACCTTTGATTGTCACTTGACCTCGCCATCTCTCGCATGATGTTGCTTTTATTCGGTTGCTTGGCCTGTCGTGCACGGTGGCAGTCATCTCCTCCAGCTGAAAGGTGCCATCCATTGGAGCCCTACCGTGGAAAGTGGGATCAAACTAACGTACTTAGGGTTTCATAGGGTGATACGAGGCGCGATCGGTTCTCGGCTCCCACGAAAGCAAACAGCTCGGCAGTGATCAAAGATGATCAGACAAGACAGGCTTGACTTCCAATGGAGTGGTGTGAGTTCGCGAGATGTCAGCAAGAAAGAGAGGTCGCAAGAGCCTACTCGTACTGTCTGTCATTCTAGCCAGTCGAATAGTCATGGCCGGTAGACAGGCGTCTAAGCCGTCAAGGGCATGCAGTTGCGCAGCTTGTACACCTGCGATGGATTCAACGGTCAACTCCAACAAAGAAGGGGGTTCACCTCCGCCCACGACGGTAAGACTGCTGCACCAACCCGGCAAAGTGCCCTTTTCGACATTCTGACTGTCGATTCCAGGTGCAATGATACCAGAAGCGGATGGCCTTACACTCTCCCTGGCCTGCTTCTCAACGGCATGCTCAATTTGCTGATTTGTTCTACTTACGCTGGCCTTCACAGGTCGAAGCTGTACGACCGCGGTATGGCCGAGATTTGCCAGCCTTATTTTCCACACCGGTCTCGTTGCCTTGCGCCGGGGGGGGGGGGTATATATTACCTGCGCCACGGCTACACCCTGGCGCACTGGCAAGCATCGTAACCCCCTCGTGGCTACGATTGCAGGAAGGGAGATGCAGGTATTGAACGGGCACTAAATCAGTCCCAAGTATTGCCACTATCGGTCTGCAGCCGTGCAACTTTTCTGCGACCGATGCCGGGGGCCCGGCGGTGTGCGGAGTCCTGGGCTGTAGATGGTGCGGTGGCGCGCGGTGAGGAAAACGCAAGGCGACCGTCTCACCGAGGCATCACGCGTCGATCTTCGGCTTCTGTGATCACCGGCGCAGCATGAGTTATGGGACCTGCTTTGAGACATATCCCAACCGAGGGAAATGAAGTTGATGAGGATGCAAAGCGATCGGACGGCCGACGGGCGAAGCGAGCTTGAGACCGCATCCTCCGCATCTCCCGCATCTTCCGCATCTTCCACTTCTTGCGTTTCTTCGGCTGAAGCGAACTAGGATACAGTCTACTCCGTGCGGCATCAGGTCATCTGCGACGTGTCGTCCCAGTTGGGTCAACAAGGATCGGACAGCACCAGATGATCAGCCTGCGGTCGATCTGCTTTGGGTTGTCATAACATTCACGGGCTGGTCCCCTTCCCCATGCTCGCCAAGGCTTTTTTCTTCTTTTTTATCGCGATGCCAGGTGCTGGCACCGATCGGACGGACAAATGCACGTCGGATCACAGACATCAGTCAACCTCTGCACTCCGTGGCACGTCAAGTCAATGGGCGCATTCGGATTCGGACAGCTCATATTTTCCTTTCTTTTTCTGCCTTCTTTCTCTTCCTTTGTGGGGGTCTTCTGTTTGTTAGACGGGAAGAATCGCGAAACTAGTACGGCCGAGCTTGCAGCCCGCTTGTTTCGCTCCAAGGATGGTGTACGACATCAAAACAGCAGGCCCAGACAAACGGACGAGCCAAGCCTCGAGACATTTCCTCCCGCCCCAGTGGCCTCGGTTCCCATTCCTGTCCCATTTGGGCGATAGTACGCAGCACTTTACCAGCTGGAAGGACCGACCCCCCTGCCGAACAGGTAGGCGGGAGGTGAGCAAAGGCGGGGAGGGGATGCGGGCGATAGATGACCCGGCGCATGATTACGATTACGACCACGGCTGCGACGCTTGCTTTCATCAGTTCTGAAAGGGCTCGCACGGTGGGCGCGTGAACCCCGGGTCATAAATGCCCGTCGGCCCCCACGCAGCAATGCGAGGCCGAGGCGTGTGACGTATCCACCTCCGTATCCAGTGCGGCGGCCAGGGAAGAAGACTCGGGTTAGCTGCCTTCTTGATAAGCTCGCACATACACCCATCCAATGCATGGGTTAAGAATATGTTCCTGGGTTGCCAGGTTGGTCGCTATCACCTCCCCCCCATGATTACTTCGTACTAGGGTAGTACGAAGCACGCATGGTCCATCGTCCTGCAAGGGCCGGGGGGGGCCAGTGTTATGGGTCCTCATGGAGAGTCCCATTCAGACTCGTACGCCATACATAACGTCTTAAGGACTGGTATGGTATTTCGGGGTATGCGAGGGACCGGGAGGCAAGGGGTTCTCCGGGGCTCGTGTCTGCATCAGCACCAATATCAGGACAACTCTTTCGACGCCATGCACGTTCCTCTGCAGATGATGCGATGATACTTAAGGTCCTGGACTTTGACTAATTGCAGATTCACCCGGACACCGCGTGATCCGTGTGTTTGGCGAGGGATTCCGCCATGTCGGCGGAGGGAAAAGCAGGGGTTGTGATTGTGATTGGGGTTGGAGTTGGAGTTGGAGTTGGAGCTGGGGGGGATTCTTTTGTCCAAAGCAACATAGGGGGTACGGGGTACATTTAGGCTCGAGCGCAGCTACGGATACGCGTACAAGGTACCGTTATGCGTACATATGCGTAATAAGAATAGCCCTGACATGGGCCATTGATCAGGCCCGGCGCGCTGGCTCGACGGGCGGGAAGAGAAGGGAAGGGAAGGGGCGTGCCTTGCGGGAGGAATAGGTATCTAAACTCGTCGATCCTGGTCCAAAACAAAAAGGGGGGGGGGGTAAGTGGAAAGGAAAAAGAACATGGTTTCGTCAAGGCCAAGCCAGGGCCCAGGGGTCGCAGCAGGAAAGGTCGCAAAAGGCCTGCCCAGGATCAAGGGCCGCAGCGCCGGGAGGGTCTGGAGAGGGTTTGATTGAGGGTTCGATGGTACCTTTTGCGGTTGCCATTTTCGCTACCCGCACTACGCGCGCACTTGCTACTACGGGCACTTACGACTGACTGACTGCGCGCGCTGCGATAAGAGAAGGGCCAAGGCGAGGTGGGTTTAGCGAGGTGGGTTTAGCGAGGTGAGGCGACGCGACGCGTGACGCGAGGTGAGGTAAGGTGAAGTGAGGTCCGCCGAGGTGAGTGCAGATAAGGGAGAGACAGATAATGGGGTACGTCTCAGACATGTATAGGTACAGTACACATAGGGGCGCGTTGGTTTCGTTTTACCAGGCTGGCGAACGACGAAGGGGTGGTGTAAGCGCCTGGCAGGGAAGAAAGACGAAGGATGCTTTAGTTGCAGGAACAACAGGGCAGGGCAGGGCAGGGCAGGGCAGGACAGGACAGGACAGGACAGGACAGGACAGGACAGGACAGGGGATCAAACCCCCAGGACTCTGAGCTGGCGTTTCTGTTTCTACTCTGCGGCCTGCCCTGCCCTGTTGGGGTAGCTGCTGGGAGTGTTACACGACATCCCCAGGCTTCCAGTTAATCGAAGGGGTGTGTGTGTGTGTGAAAGAGAGAGAGAGAGAGAGAGAGAGAAAGCCCTTGTTGCTTTCCCTTTCCTACCTTTTCCCCATTGCAGTCAGTCTTACCGCATATCTGATATGCCGTTGACCTCATGACATGCTGGCAGCGAAGTCGTGCATGTTTTTGGACGAAAAAGGGCATCACGGAGATGGAACGGCCGCCCTCGCGCATTTTCGCCCACGTTGGCGCATTTTCGGTATTTTTGGTTGTTGCCTGTTCTCGTCGTCCTTGTGCTTGTCCTCGTTACCGTCGTCGGTCGTTGCCGTCGATCGTCTCCACGCCTCGTTTAGACGGCGGATTGGCATGCAGCAAGGAGCTGATTAATTACGATGGGAATTGGACTGGGTGATTGGATGGAAATAGGGAACGGAGTTAGTTACAGCGTAAAGACACAGGCACACAGGCACAGATTAGGCGTGGAGCATGGGCCAGTTGATTGTTATTGTCCGACCGTTTTGCTTCTCTCTCTGAATCCCCCATCCCCTGTCCGGAGAATTTCGAAACAATGGCGTCCGTGGGTGTCAGCCTCGTCACGTCGAAAAAGGGGAACAATTGAATCATGAAATGAAAATGAAAAAGCAAGGTGAGGCGTTCCTACTGTACTAGCCAGGGGCCCGAGACCTGGTATGGAATGGAGTTAAGGTCGGAGCCAGAACCGGGGATATGGGTTCAGACGGATCGGCGTTTTGCGGGGGATTTCTACGGATAGTGGGTGGCGCGCTGTGTGTGTGTGTGTGTGTGTGTGATCCCGTTGCGTTGTCACTTACGAGTCTGGGCGGAGCACCGAGGAAGAGGTACGGAGACGGCTGGGACCGGGGTGGGAGGGGTTGAGGCGGGTTGGCGAGGCGGAGGCGGAGGAGGAGGAGTGATCCACATATTCCGTACTCATAATTACAATGTACTCATTACAATGTACTCACGTATTATCATCACAATCACTGTTGCAGGGGACAAAAACAACCACAACCAGGGGCCGGGGGAGAGGAGAATGCCAAGAGGTGAAGGGACATTGACGGCGAGACGAGGACAACGGCGGACGGCAACGATATGCCATAAGGTCAGGTGAGCGGTGAGCTTACGTATTTCGGCATGTAGGTGAACGGTGAAAGGGCGGCTTGCATACCAAGATTCATCTAATTGAGCGACAGAAGTGAGTGAATATGCAGAATACCTAGCTAGCTTAGCTACCTAGCTTAGCTAGCTACAACGTACCTAGCCCCCGACATGCATGCATGCATGCATTGATTGCATGGATGGGGTTGAGTAGCGCAGCCTTTGATATGGAGAGATCTGCTGGGATGATAGGGGGTGTCTACATACCGTTGTATTTGGGTTGTTATTTTGGGTGGGTGAGGAAGAGGGGGCGGCCGGCCGGCAATGGGCGCGAACGGTGGATAAGGGACAAGGGGTGGTGGAGGCATTAGGGCGGCTAGGAGAGAGACGGAACCATGTTTTCTGTTAGGGGATGTGATTGAGGGGGAAGGGTGTCTCTGGTCAAGGTCAAGGTCAAGGTCAAGGTCAAGGTCAAGGTCAAGGTCAAGGTCAAGGTCAAGGTCAAGGTCAAGGTCAAGGTCAAGGCTATGATGTTGGTGCTCGCCGTTGCCTTGTCGGTCTGTTTGACGGTTGCATTGCCTCGTGAGTACGAAATCGTTCCTCTGATATTGTGCTGCAAAGTACGGATACTTAGCACGCTATAGCCATCGCGTTATTACTAAGGTATATTACTATTTTTACTATGACTAAGGTATATCCCCTGTTACGGTACTGCGTACTGCGTACTGTGTACTGTGTACGGGGTACTTGGTATATTAATGGCTGTGCCGTGTCTGGCATGCTACCAACCTGACCAGCCTCGCCTGACCCCGGCAAGCGATATGCAATGCTATCTAAGTCTCCATGCATGGCACCCTCCATGCAGTGAGCCGCGCGATGGAAGGGGCAGAGAGGGAGGGGAAAGTTTGGATGTCGATTTGAAATCCGTTCCTCTCCATCTGGGCATTTGTGGGAAATTGGCAACGGGCGGGGCAGACGGGGCGCGCGCACGCCGCACGGAGGTGACATCGGGGTTGGTGAGGCGGGCTGTGGTGCTGGTGGTGTGGTTCAAAATGTCCAGTCCGTTTCGCTATGCCCCCCTCCCTCCTCGGTGGTTGAGCTCGGTCAACTAGAAGGGGATCGCGGGAAGTTCCAAGTGCGGAGAGCATGAATGCCGGTGTGCATCGGAATACTGATCTTGATTGTGTTCCCTCGATGAGCCATCCATACTTGCACTTCGATTGCGTAGACTGTAAGTGGTTGGGAGTCGGGACTTGTCTGAGGCCCATGGTGTATGTTGTATGTAGCCTTCACCCCACCTCCCCTCTGTCTTCTCCGGACCACTGATATGATATCAGATGATCAACTTGATATCTTTCAGTGTGTGTGGCTCGCTGTCAGGTCCGTCCACGCGGCATGTCACGCATGTGCTACGTGTGCATTGGAAACGAGATGGTGCCATCAGGCAATCCTCCAAAGACCGTGAGTAAGCGAGTAGGTTGTCTGGAGCCAGGCAGAGAAGAACTGGCGATTTCTCTGGCTGTCGTCGAGTTGAATAATAAGTGCTCGAGTTTTTTGCTCTTTTTAAGGTACAGATATGATATATGATTATATCTACATCTGGGTAGATGCAAGCAGGTTCCCTTCCCTCTGACGCCGCCCCCCATGGGGTGAGAGAAAAGGAGGAAAGGATTGTGGCAGGAGGCGGGAAGGGGGTGGCCCTAGGGAGAAGTACTTGAGAGTACTTGAGAGTACATAACGTCTGAGGACTCGATACCTCAACTGTCTTGCAAGGGAAACATGCTGAAGACGAGACGAGGCTGTGTAGATCCTCTTCGGCTTACCATGAACTCCGACTTTGGTCCGACATCTGTGTAACTGGGGCTGGGCGTTCGAGCGTGTGAGTCTTTGGAGGGGGAATTATATTCGCGCGAGTGCATGGTTGCTGCAGGTACCTCTTGCGAAGGGCATCCGCTTGAGGAAACACGAGGACGCAAGACTGGCGTAGGGTAGCACGAGGAGAGATGAGGAGATGTAGGGAGGGCGGGACAGATGAGAAGATGCAGGGAGAGTGGGCGAAGGGGGGGAGCATGGCTGTACGAGTCTGTCTCTGTCTCTGTCTCTGTCTCTGTCTATCCCTGCAGACCGAACGGTATCCAAACCTGCAGTTCTGTTCAGTTGTTTGCTCTGGTGGTCTTGACCGGATCTTCCTGTCACCCTCGGTGTAGTTTATGCTTTCATGGCTCATCACTTATGGCTCATCGGGATGGACGGACGAGATGGGAAACATCTTTGGAGGACAGAGCTGCTGCCGGACAACGAAGAGACGAAGGGACAATGAAGAAGACGACAGAACTACGTCAAACAGACAGTCGAGAATGATATGTCTCCGTGTAGGCGGTTCGGGCGAGGACAGTATCGTGTGCGCCCCGGTCTCCCTCCTGTCGCCTGCCCTTTCCTTCTCCCTCATCTTTGTCTTGTCTTCATGTTTCTTCTGCCCTGCGGATACTTCCGCCTGCCCTCTCCCGGTCCGTTCTTTGATGCACACTTCCCCTTTTGCCTTTTGCCCTCGAAATTCATCGGACAGACACGGAGCGGGAAAGCAAGCTTGACGGGTATCGACAGGGGACGACGGGATAGCTCTCTCGCTCTGTCATGTCGTCATGTCGTCATGTCGTGTCACCACAACCTTCTACACAGGGAAATGGAACGTCGCACGCCAAGGACTTTGCATTGCGATTTGACTGTGGTATGTCTGGTCTGTCTTGGATATAGTTGCGTAGTTGCACACATCTGACTGCCTTGCCTGCTTGGCCTCCCTACCTGCAAACCAGACCCCTGACGGGGAGTTGTGCTGTGCATTCGGAGGGGATGGTAGTTAGATGTAAGGCAGAGTAGTTTGGTTCATGGACTTTTGGCCACGTCGTACGGCGGCGCAAAATCTAAGACATGAGACACGCGGGCGCATCTCGATAGCCAGCATGATGTGAGGGGTGGCCAAGATGGCATCGAACGAGAGCGAAGCCAGTGGCATGGGACGTCGGTGTAAATGTAGTAGTAGTGTTGGTGTTGCGCTGTGCTGCGTCTGCTGTGGAACGGCGTGTCATTTTGAAAAGGAAAAAAAAAAAAATTCCCCCGTCAAAGGAAAAGGGGGGAATACAGAGCAGAACACGGCCCCCAAGGCGGCCGAAGGGGCCTTGGCCTTCTTGACGGAGAAGCAGAAGACACGGATATCCGAAGTAAGATCCATCATCGGACAAAACGGACCACGGAAGGCGTCATGAAGGACCGACGGTGAGCAGCGAGCAGTGAGCAGCGAGCAGTGCAAGGGATGCACAGCGGAGAGAAGAGTCAGTTTGATAGGCACGAGGAGAAGAGGCCGCAGAAGCCAGCGAGATCGGAGACCAAACAAACCGTCACGGGGGCCTACCATCCATCACCTCAACTCTCCGTCCTGTTGTGAGTTGTGAAGCCTTGATTTGCGCCAACGAACGTTCCCATGCACCTCGACAGAAGGGGATCCCCCGTTGTCGGCGAGACTCATCGGACGACAACGACGAAGACGACCACCACGGCAATGTCCGATTCAAGGTAACACAGGGGCGCCCATCGTACATATTTGCTTTGTCTTGGCTTTCGCAACGTCCACCGACCTTCTGTTGCCGAGGAGGTCAGGTCGGGCAACCTCTTCCCTCTTCCCTCTTCCCTCTTTCCACTCCCCCCCCCTTCTCTCTCTCTCTCTGTCAGCCTCTGATTGCTCCCCTCGACTTGCGCCACATGCTCCTCTTTTTGTTGTCTGGTTGTTTCCCCGGCGACATCACCCCCTGGTCTTTCGGGGAGAGGTGAAGCGAGTCGACTTTTGTTCTCTGAACAACGACAAGATCCAACATGCGAGTGGTAAGCACCAACTTCTTGGTAAGCCCTCCCCGTCTATATTAGAACAACAGAAGACAGGCAGGGTAGGGGACATACGCGTATGAAAAGTCGTGGTATATTTGCAGCGACAACAGGCCGCATGCATAGTATAATGTAGGCTTTGAACGGGGGATCAGCAACGCCCGTGCTCGCCATCGCCCTGTTATGTACGCCGAAAGAAATAAGCAGAAATAAGTTACAAGCTGGTATCCGAATTTTCCCCGTTCTCCCTCTCTCGTACCAGTCGCTGGGTGAGTAGGTAAGTCTCTATCCCCTACTCTCTCGATTCACCTCCATTCCCATGCAGTCAACGGAGCGATGGGCGTTGGTTGCCATCCTCTTGTCAAAACCGGCGGGATATATGCTCAATAATGACGAAGAAGAAGAGAAGAAAAAAAAAGGCATCGCATCTTCAGATCATAGGGGCTACCGGGGCGAAACGGATCCCGAGACCGGGGCCGTCGTATGAGGCGACACGGCGCTCCCACCAGCATCAGCCGGCCCGGAAGGAAGTTCAGAAATCTCAAACGGCGTCCCCGACCCCGCAAGTTCGGAAACAGGCTTATTGTCCTGCACCGCCATCTCGTACACAGGTTGCTGCGGCTGCTGCTGCTGGAGGGGAGGCGAAGCGGCGTAAGCCATCGGCGGCGACTGCTGCTGCTGCGTCTGGGTGTAGTGCTGCTGGGGCGAGTACCCCGGCTGCGGCGGGTAGGGCTGCTGGGCCTGCGGGGCGTAGTAGCCCGCGGCGTTGACCATCGGGGACGGGGACGTCGTCGCGCTGGGGACCTGCTGGGTGTACGAGTGGACGCGGGCGGAGCCGTGGGTTTCCTTCATCGGCACGGGGCTGTAGCTGGGTTGCGGGGCGAAACCGGTTCCGGTGGCGGCGGCGCCGCCGGGGCCGGATGGTTTGCCGGTCTTGGGGGTGTTCTTCCCCCGCCTCTTGAGGAGGAAGAAGGCGCCGATGCCGATGAGGGCTAGGCCTCCTACCACGCCGACGACGATGCCGATGATGGCGCCGGTCGAGATGCCGCCGCCGTCGGACGAGGATTCCGGCTGATCAGAGGGTGAGTTGCCGCTGCCGCTGCGGCTGCGGCTGGGTATGCTTGAACTTGCGGCGCTGATGGCACCGGATAGAGGGTGGACGGCCAGGATGTCGAGGTCCTCTGGTCTCCATCGGATTTGTATGGCCGGAACTGTCGTGGTCCACACATCATCATTTACGGTGTAGCTCATGGTAGCCCAGAAGGTGATCCCGCTTGTGTCCTCGGAACATGCGAAGTTTCTAGAGGAGAAGAGAGGGGTTGTCAGCTGAGATGTGATCGAGGGAATAGTCAGGAGAGGAACGACAAGTGAAGAAGAAAAAAAGACGAAAAACAAGACGAAAAAAAGAAGAAAAAAGAAGAAAAAAGAAGAAAAAAGAAGAAAAAAGAAGAAAAAAGGGGTCACCCACTTCGGAACGCAAGCGGCTGCGGTCTGTTCAGCTAATATGTCCTCGAAATTGACGCTCCCCGAAGTCTTCGTACAGCCGACGGTATAGTCTGAAGGGCACACGCCAGGGGAATAATATCCGTCGTAGTACCAGGCCTCCGTCCACGCGGGCGGCGCGCACGTCTCGTGATACCCTGCCCCCTCGCCAGCGTTCCAGGGGACGATGGTCGAGCATCCGGATGGCGCCGTCCAGGGCTCAGTCATGGGAACAGCCCATCTCTCGCCGTCGCTTGAAGCACCCAAGCCCGTGGCAAGCGTCACGGTGGAGGTCATGGTGTGGTTATCGGCCGGGAAAGAAGAAGAAGAAGAGGAGGAGGAGGATCGAGGGTGCCAACGTCGAGAGTTGGGAGAAAGAGCTTCGTCGCTTTGTGGTGTCCGGCCAGCCAATGTTTTTCGAGTGGCCTATCGCCTAATGGGCTAATTGCCAATGACTGAGACGCCGGGGGGAAACGAGCGAGGGCACAAGGCGCGATGCGCGATGTGCTGTATTAGGCCCAGTCAAATCGATAGGCGAAAGAGAACACACGCGCGCGCAGTAGTTCGTCGGAGAGGAGAAACCCACGTCAATAAATCAATAAAGATCAAATATTAAGAACAACAAAACCAGAGGGTCGTTTAGACAGAAGAAAATATGAAAAACAAGAGTCGAAAAGGAGTTTTGAAAATCAGAGTCCCAAGGTTCGCGAGGAGAGCACAGAGAGAAAAGATTTACTCGCGGTATACGGGAAAAGGGGGAGTGGGGAGAGAGTAAGAATAGGCAATATGCACGGATGGATGATTCGAGGGTGGACAGGCGGGCGAGAGATGAGACGACCGAAACAAGAGACCGAAGAGGAAATTTGAGTAAGAGGAATAAGAGAGAGAGAGAGAGAGAGGAATAGAGATGGACAGGAAGAGGAAGAGAAAGAGAAGACAGCGGATGGATAAGACGATACGAGACAAATCGAATCCTTCCAGGGGTCAGGGCGGGCGGTACTGAAGAATCCCGGGGGAAAACCAAAACATGGGAAGAGTAGAAAAGGGTAGGGGTCCAGGGGTTGGAAGTCAGTGAGAGGAGGAGGGTGAAGAGGGGAGGGCCCATCATCTCGGAATAGCATCTTCTTCAGCCCGAATCAGCCACCCAAAGATCCAGATGTAATGTATGCGCCGGAATTCTCCTTGGGATGCGTTGGATTCGTACACTTAGTTATCCATCCGTACGGAGTAATGCGGATATTATTTCGAAATGTGCACAAATTTGGGAACATGTCTGCACCTCCATGAAGAACCAGCAGGGGTTCGAGACAGCGACCAGCCCTGTGGAGTTGCTGCCCCAGTACGAAAGTAACCAAATCAGTCATCCTCTAGTCCAGACTGACACTAGTCCTGTCAGATTGGACAGGGGTTTGGCGAGGGCCATGTAGATTTGGGAGAAGAAGAAGAGGAGGCCAAGCGATGCCAAGCGAAGACCCGAGGGCGAAGGGCCGAGAACGGTGTGATCGCTTCATCCTTCGTCATAAGAACCCTGGTCCGTGGTTCCGCATTTAGCAAAGGGGCCTCCTGGCTCTCTTCTGATTCGTATTTCCCTCTCACCTCCTTCTTCTCAGTCGAGTCTCGTTCTGATTCCTGGGCTTCCTTTAGCTTCATTTCATGTTCTGTGAGCAGTCGTCGCTCCAAGGGAAGAAAAGAATCATTATACCTTACCGCCGCCGCCGACGTTTCTCAACCTTCTCGACGGCCTGCACTCCTTTGTAACAGCTGTTGAGCTCAGTACCAAGTCAAACGACAAATGCCCAACGCCCAACGCCCAACCCCCCTGTCCCCCCTCTCCCCAGTCGCGACAGACATGCCCCGTAAGCCCTACTGCAAGTGAGTGGAATGAGTGACCCTCATCTGTCCACCCAGGCGGTCGAGACGTCAAGTCAAATCTCGTCAAATCTCATCCACAGTCCGGCCGGAGGAACTTGAAGTCCGACAACCGACAGCTTCAGCTTCGTGGCGGGTTTTGCTTTGCTCGGGGTTTGCTTGTTTGGCCCAAAACGAAAAGGAAGAGAGAAAGGAGCAAAATACCATTAAAAAAAAGAATAAAACGAAGAACAAAAAAAGTAAACATAAAACATACAACACATAACACACATAACAAAAAGGCCATATACAACGTACAGCCCAGTCCTCCCGCGAAATTACCCGAATCCTGTAGGGGTAGATGCGTCGACACAGGGATCGTCCCCTGTGCTGATAAATAATCCTATAATCAGAACAACACCAATCTGTAATAAGGCTGCAGCTCCAAGTAAAAATAAACTCTCGGCCTTCTTTCTCTAGGTACCAAGTTTGTCTGGGGGTATCAGTGAATAAGCGCTCGCTCCTCAACATGTTCAAAAACGTATGTATGTATGCGTAAGGTAGGTAGTCGTGCTCTGAACAGAAAAAAAGGCTGCATCTCCGCTCGCAAATCCCTTTTCAAATCCCATTTTTCTTATTCCTTCTGTTAGGAAACCCGTTAATTAGTCCACCGTGTCGTCGTCTTCCAATGGATCCTTGGAACTAACCGCCGCCCGTGTCGCGACCGGGCTGTGGCTGGCCGTTCGCAGCAACCCGCTGGCGCCACCGCGTCTCCAGTTATTTCCATTCGTCACGAGGTTCAACGTCCGGTGCTCCACGACCGCCGCGACCTCATCCTTCCGACCCGTCTTCGTGACCGCCGTTCCACCACCCTTGCGGACGAGTCGGCTATTCTCGCCGTCGTCCCCCCACTTGTTGCCAACGTCGTCGTCGCGATACTTCTCATCGTCATCGTCATCTTCTTCTTCTTCGTCATCGTCTTCATAATTCTCATCCGTAAGTCCCAACTCATCCTCGAGCGCCCGCCCTTTGCGGTTGAGCCTCTGCATCGACACCGCCTCCTGCGGACCATCCGCGTACAAGTTCGGGTCCCGGCCCAGCACGCGATCCGCCTTGGACGGCATCTTGCGTCCGAAGGGCGAGGGTAAAGGCGACGACCGAGAGGGCGTGGCCGACGGAGACGCGGCCGACGGAGACGCGGCCGACGACGATGACGATCGCTGTGCTTGCGTTTTTTGCGGTTGTAGATAGTGGCGCCCCGCACCAAACTGAGACGGCGACGGCGATGGCGATGGCGACGGCAACGGCAACGACAACGACAACGGCACGCTGGGGGCGTAAAACTGCGGAGGCGCCTCCGCACCCCAACCGGCCGTGACCTCCCTCGCGCGCTGCGCCTCCCGCTCGGCCGCAATGCGTTCCCGCGCCGCCAGCCACTTGGGGCTCGGCTCCCATGACCAGCCGTCTCCCGTGGTGTTGCAGACGGGGACGAACCACAGGAGCGGCGACGGCCCGAACAGGTGCAGCAGGTTGCGCTTGAACCCCAGGTCGAAGGCGCTGGGCAGGTTCTTCGAGTCCTGCTCGTCCAGGTACTCTTCGTAGCGCTTCCGGGCGCGCTGCCGCTCCAGCTCCTCGTACGACATGGCCATGGGTCGTCGCTGGCCGTCCCGGCCGGCCGGGTCCCTGCGCATCTCCTCGCCTTCTTCGGGACGCGTGATGCCCGGGAGCGCGTTGGCGTGCATGTCGATGAGCTGGCGGCCGTACCCGGGAAGCGGCATGCCGCGGATCGTGCGGCTTTCCATGGTCTTGCGGAGGGGAGAGAGGTAGCGGGTCTTCTCGAGGCACTCGATCGTCGTCTGCCCGCGGCCGGCGAGCATGACGTGCCACCCGGTAAAGGCGCCGATGACGACGCCGATGATGCCGGCGACGACGCTCAGGATGATGAGATTGATGGGTAGCAGGGCGTCGACGTAGGTGGTGTTGTTGTCGATGATTTCGACGTAGGTCCAAGCGCCCGCGAGGGCGAAGGAGTAGAAACAGAGCAGAGTGGTGTAGATGAGGAAGAGGAGGAAGGCCTTGTGGTTGCGGAGCCCGACGCATGTAGCCAGCCACGGGCAGTGGTGGTCCATCTTGAGCACACAGCGGCGGCAGCTGGAGCAGTGGTGGGCGCGGTCCGGCTTCCTGGCCTGACATTTCTTGCAGAACCGCATCTCGCCGTTCGACTTGACCGTGAACGAGGTGGCAACCGGGGGTGCTTCCGTCGGAAGCTCGGAATAGCCATACTTGTTGGTGGTGCTGCCGGGGTCGGTGAAGACGGCGGTAGTATATGACCAGTTGAGCAGAGCGTAAATGATGACGGCGCCGATTGAAGTTCCAGTGCCTGTTCCCGTTCCGATATGGTTAGCCTAGCCTGGGACGAGGTGGTCTCCTGGGGCAGAACGCAGAACGCAGAACGCAGATCCAAGCCGGAAAATGGAACGTACCAATCCAAGGCATCTTGGTAGGTAACGAGCCTATGCTCACGTCTACCCAGAGAGCCCATGTCGTGAGGCCATACACCAGCGTAAGGGGCAAGTATGTCGCGAAGAGGCAGCAGCCACGCTCCACTCGTCTGGCCCAACGACGAGCCATGGTGTTGCTATGCTTGTCGGGTCCGTATTCGGAGGGGGAAGGAGATTGAAATGTCGGCAATGAGGATGTAACTAGTTCGACTTGGGAGCTGCCAGACTCCATCAGCTTACGACCGAGGACGACGTGGTATTGACGGTGATGGCGATGTTGATGGTGGAGATCATGGCGTATGGATTGAAGAACGGAAGCAAGTCGTGGTTTGCTGCCCTTTGTCCTTGTTATTCCATCTGACCACCCGGGGCTGTACGACCCTCCTAAAGAACAAAGAGGCACAGGGTCGGTAGGGAGTGGGATTCCCGGAGATGCGAGATGTCCACGGAGTAAGGAGTATGTAAGAATTAGGGAAGACGTGGGTAGGTACGTACGTGTACGTAATCGAGCCAAGAATCCAGGGGTCGATTTGTTGCAGAGTCGAACACTGTACGGAAAGTACATGTACGGAGTAATATTAACCGAAAAATCTCCTGGGGCTTGTGCGTTGGGGCTTGTGAGGCTTGGATAGTGGCTGTGTAATTTGTCAGGCCTGGGTCATCAGTGCGATTATTACCTAATTACGAAGTACGGATACCTCCGATCTCACCGCCTTCTTCCGTCTCCCAGTGCCTGATATCGTGTCTACCCCTAGATACAAGATTAGATGGGAACCTACCTCCCTGCTGTAGAGGTAGGAAATCTTTCGTCGTCAGCCGCCACGCCGCAGCATCTTCACCACTCCTGAGCCGAAATCGGACGATTGTCCCAGTACGTCGCCTGGTCCTCCAACGCCTTGGTCCGGTAGTCAATCATGGCCTGCTGAACCTTGTCCTGGACCATGTTCATACCGTCGGTGGCATCCTTGCTGACCTCGTACTTGACCGTGCTGTCTTCGTGGACGCCGACCGCATCCACCACCCCGGCCGTCAGCTGGTCGATGAAGGGACGGTAGTGCTGCGAGAACCGAAGGTTGCAGCGCTTGCTCTGCGATTCGGCGTGCGCCGTCATGGCCACCACGTCCTTGAACCACTTGAAGCACATGGGGCACTGCAACTTGCGCCGCGCCGTATGCACGCCGGGCTGCTGCAAGTGATCCGTGATGCCCCGCGCCGTCTTGAATGTTTGGCTACGACAATATGTCCCGGTTAGAGTGGTTCGGTGCCCTTGTAAAAAGTGAAGGCAAACGCTGTAAGTAAAAAGGGATGGTAGAGGTATGACATTCACGTACCGGCAGGAGAGTTCAGGACAACGGTAGAGCCCGATAAATGGGTCGCGGTACTTCTCGGCGGCGATAGCCGCATGATGGGAATCATGTATAGAGCGGGACCTCCCAGCGACGACAGCCGTCTGGCCGTATCCCGAGGTGACTTGCATCGTCTTGCCCGTCTCCAGCTGACGGTTCTCGCTGCTGCTGCTACCCACCGGAGGAAACTCCTGTTTAAAGAAGACCTTATTGGCACTCGACTCATTCAGAGGGATGCGGACAGGTCTGGCGTGGGCCGCCTCCCAAGACGTGGTGCCGTGCGTATCGAAAGCCGTGAGGGGGAAGTTGGGCGACGCGCGCTTCTCGAGCTCGTGGGCAAAGGCAAGCTTCTTGATTCGCTTGGCATCAAGCTGCGACTTGCTGATCTTGGGGCATTCGCCATGCTCCAAATGGGCCATGAGACCGGCAGCGCGGATGAAGTGAGCCTTGCATCCGGGGCAGTTAAGGTCCTGCTCTTTGGGATGGGTCTACCCTCGCTGTTAGAGAAACTCCCCATTGCCGGCCAGCAGCCAGCAGCCAGCAGCCAGCTCGATGTGGCATAATGGATGAAGGAGAGCTTTTCCTTACTTACCTGCCGGATGTGGGCATCGCGCCCATCTTTCGTAAGGAACGTGAGGCCACAGATAGAACAGTGGATATGGCTGCCATCTTCAGCAAACTTGATCCGCCGGTGTTCGAAGATGGCATACGCTGACGGAAACACCTCCTCGCACTGATAGCAGTAGTGCCTATCTTCCGGGTCGAAGATCTGAGAAGCCATGGCCGTTGTTTGCTTGACGTGTAGAACAGTGAGAAAAAGAAGATATATCATACAAAATGTGACTCGTGAGAAGAAGGAAGAGAGGGATGAGTAAAACGAGCTGTTGAGGTCGAGGTGAAGCCAACCCTAACACTTGATGGGTAGGTTGGTAAGGTAGTTGCCGTAATGTCCCACTGACTCTCTGAGGAGATGAGTTGGGGGAACCAATTGAATGACCTACCAGGTTGCCATATAATGGTTTATTTCTCTACCTAAGGTACCTACCTTACCTTATTGTTATGTTTCCCATAGCACCGCTTCAATACGGCATACATACCTTAAGGTACGTATTGATGTATTATATCATGGAAAGTGGAAGTTACGATGCCCAACGTAGATCTGCCTGGGAAGGCACCACCATAAGACTTACACCTGAAGGTGAAGAGAAAGGCAGGAACCCCCAACAGGCAGGTCACCAAATGCCTTCCATTTATTCGGGATGTAAATACTCTATTGCTTTGTATTATGTCTTGAACAATTGGTCGTTTTCGTCACTTCGTAAGCACATAAACCCATCAGATGCCCTCGAGTTCACTCCTCGTGACAGTCAGCCATGTAACAAGAGCCGTCGGTTTCTCCTTGGGTCCTCCTTACTGTATTGTCCACCCCAAGACGATGACCCCACTGGAGATCATCTACTGAACCTTTAAGACCCTCGCCTTGCTCTTCTTCTGCACTCTCATAGCCTTCACCCAGTTATCCGTCTCTCTCAGAGCCCGCCGAGGCTCCTTCTTCCTCTTGAGCAAGAACCCCTGAATCTCCGCCGGACTCAGCAACCCGTCGGGTATCTTGGCCCCAAACTCCTCCGCCACGCTCCTCAGCTCCTCGGGTTCGATGACGTCTTCTTCGCCATCCATAGCCGCAAACATGACCTTTTCCCGTCCGCCTGCGCTCTCTTGTGTGTGTCCCTTTCGCAGGCTTCCTTCCGTCTCCGGCCTTATCCCCGTCTCTTCCGCCGCCGCACCCGAGTCGTACATCCGCTCGAAAAGCTCCCTCGCTTGGTTGCCCGTCGCGTTGGTGAATGAGACCTGCAAGTCCACCCTGCCGGGCCGGATCAGCGCTTCGTCCAGGTCCTCGGGCCGGTTCGTCGTCATCACGAGAACCCTGCCTTCCTGCGATGCCACGCCATCGATGGCGTTGAGAAGACCCGAGAGCGATATGCCCCGGCGCTCCTCCTGCGGAAGGGGAGGCGGGAAACCTGGACGGGTCACCGGCGGGAAACGTTGGCTTCCCGTAGGACGAGGCGGGAGTTGTATAGGCGGTTGACCTCGGGGCATTGTATTCGTTCCGTTGACCCTTTTCCCCTTCTTGCCCTTTCCACCTGTTTCGGGATTTCGTGACCGTTTAGCTTCCGCCCCAGCTTCATTTCTCTCGCTTGGGCAGGAAGGGTCGTCAGACTTGGTTCCGTTGAGGATGGGCTCGCTCTTCTTGTCCTCGGCGCCGTTGACTGCTTCCGCGTCTGCCTTTTTCTTTTCGCCCTTGTCCTCCTCTGCTGGTTCTTGGGTTTCGTTCTCCTGATCATCATCGGTATGTTTCTCGTCTGTCTCGTCTGGTTCCTCACTCACCACCTCCTCATCCGGCCTCCGCAGTCCGGCCGCATCTATATCCTCCAGCAACACCACACACCGCCTCGGCAACCCGCTGAACAGCGACCCAAGGTCCTCTTCCGTCAAGGTGGGCTCGAGCAAGCTGATGACGAAGATATCAAGCCCGAACACCCCCGCCAGCGCAAATGACAAGCTCGTCTTGCCTGTTCCGGGCGGGCCGAAGAAAAGGTAACCCCGCCGCAGCGGGATGCCGCGGTTCGCGTACCATCGCGGCGTGGCCGGGTGAAGATACTCGTTCATGTCGGCCAGGATGACGGCCTTCTGCGCGGCGTCAAGCACCACCGTACTCAGAGGCCGGACGGGCCGCACGGCGACGGTGACCCAGCTGTTACGGCCCGGGTATCGACGGGCCATCTGCATCGCCGGCCGCTTAATGGTCGTCCGCGCCACGTGGTCGCTGTAGTAATGCTGCTTTACGGTGCGGAGCAGCGTCTTGATAGGTTCCGGAGACCGGCCGAAGCAAGAGATCACGAGGCTCTCCTCCTTCCCGATCGGCATGTGCTGGGACCCGTTGTTGTCGACAAAGGTTTCCTGACGGCGACGGAGGTGGAAGTAGCGACCTTTATGCCAGAAGCCGTGCAGACCAACGGCTGGGACGAATCGAGGTGCCTATTGTCGTCATTGTGTCAGTTTTCGTGGCACTCGTCATGTTTCTGGACGGGTAAGAAGGGACATGTATAAGCCAGGGGTTATGGAGAGAAATTGGGGAAGAGAAAGCAAACCTACCGCGTTTGCCCTCTGATTAGAGAATTTCAGATACTTTGCCTCTCCTCCCCCGGCAATTCTTCTTAACTGCAACGCTTCAAGCTCGTCGTCATCCTCCCAGGCCGTCTTGGACACTGTCTCGGCCAGGACACTCCGAGAACTGCCCATGAAGTCCTGCACAGCGAGCCACTTCATCATATGCGTGTAGATCTCGTCACTGCTCGGCACGTGGACGGTGCACATCAGGTGGGCGGTCACCAGCTTAGCGACGGCGGAATAGACCTGGCGCGCCAGGCGGTTGAATGCCCAAGCGGCGCCGACGAGGGTGAGAACGAGGGTCGGGTCCAGCCCCAGCCGCGCCCCGAAGAGCTGGTGGAGAAGCGTCAGGGAGCGAATGATGGGGGTGAACTGGCCTCCCAGCAGTGCTGTGAGGGTGTCGAGGAGGGGGTTCTGGTTGTGGTTCTTGCCCACCGTCCCACCTGCCGTATATGTGGCGGCTGTGACGTTGGCATCCAGCCCGTTTGAGGAGACGGATGGTGACGAGGAGCCGTTGAAGCTCCCCATGAGGCCGGCGATGACTTCTTTCAAGTCCATTTTCGCCACCAAGCGACCGGAGTAGGGACTTTATTGAAAGAGCACAGGCAGAGTGAAACAAAGTTCAGATCTAAGGAGGTTAGCACCGGAGGAGGATGGAGGAAATAGGTTGACAAGGTAAGGAAGCCAGATATGTGAATATATTTGTAGGTAAGGTACGGGTGAGAGGCCGGTGACCGGTCGTGCCTGCCTTGCAGGTTGTGATGCAGGGTATTGCCTAAGGTAGTGCCTACGAGGTCCGTAAACTCCGTTAGGTAAGGTACCTTAAGGTAAATTAGGCAGCAAAGTGGAAAAAAGTTACACCAGCTAGTCGACCAGAATGACCAGAAGGCTGCAACTTTCATAAAAAGTTGACTGCATAAGGTAGGTAGACGACGACAGGCATTATTTATCGTATACTTTGTTTTTAGGTCGGGTCTCTGAGAGGAGGAAATTTGGAAAGGCAGAGGAAAGGGAATGACGGATCAAGACTTGGGAGGCCAATTCAAGTGTGGTATGCACACTAATTACTCACCGCCAAGCGGACTGAAGCCGACACAAAAATATAGGAAGTGTAGCTAGTACACATCGGTCTTTAGGGATAACCGCCCACTATTCGGCACCTATGACCCTTGGCTCTGGAGGTGGCCTCCCTTATTTCCGAAGTATTCACAGCTAGTCGTATAATTCCTGCAAAATACCGACAACTCTGGTTTGATAAACAAACTGCATTCGTTTTCATACTTTGCATCTATGTTCTAATCGCTATAAGCCCGGCGTTCAAATAAACGGTTTTATTCAGGTCGATTAACGGCTCTGGAGTGCTTGGGACATTGGACATCGTACCTGGTACCTTACCTACCTACCTAGGTACCTACCTGTATGTAGGGCTACCTTAGGTGCCTGACCTTATGATTACGTCCTAGGGACCCAAGTACCACATGCCATGGTGTACCTATACCGCCAGAATTCTCACATCATAACATAATCAAAACAATCAATTCCCATCTCGCTAAAGCAGCAGCGTCGCCTTAATAACTAGGTTATTTGTTTCCTCCTCTTCCTCCTACTATAAAAAAGGGGAAACTATTCACCCCTGCGGCAGCCTGGGACGGCTGGCATAATATCGGCGGTTAGATAAAGGTACCTGGTATTGTTGCTCCACTTTACACTGTGGGGCTGATAAGATAAGGGAGGCATTTGACATCTGTACTCCGTAAGGTACCCGTACTTGGCTCGCCAGGGACCTATGATGTCATAGCCCCTCCTCAGTTCCATGTCCTAGGTCCTGACATGCTTCGTCAGTACGAGGTGTCCAGGCACTACAGCTCCAAATTATATATATACATGTATAATACTCCGTGTCCAGGTGTTAACAACTACGAAGCTGTCAACTTGGAACAATTAATAGTCGGCAGAATTATTATTAGCCTATGGTAACATGACCCCTGTGGGCGGGCATAGGCGAATAGCCTCCTCCTTTTCCATGTCGTTGTCGTCGTTTTCGTTCTTCGTCGCCGTCCTTACTATTATCAAGGTTGTTGTTATTGTTTAAGGCGTAAGACTGTTCTGGATTCGACCCTCTTCACTAATTTAATCCCCCAACATCCTGTCGCGATCCTCCTGGTTCATGACCGCATACATGAGCCGAACCCATTCGTCTTGACCAACTCCCTCCCAATGCTTCAACACCTTCTTGGTCGCAGAATACAATTCGTTCACGTCGGGTGAGAAGTAACCCTTAAAATCCACAGTTTCATCGCATTCCGCCAGCCATTTGAGCAGGTATTTGATATCAAGCTCATCCATGTGAAACCTCATGACCGAACTCGGTCGGGTGCTGCCGATAAAGTATACGCATCGTTTGAGTTTCGTCAGAATCAAGACCCCGGGAGGCAGGATTGGGATGTTCGCTGTAAGCATGTTAGATATAGGACACACGGACACCTGGGGGATCTGATCTTAGGATGGGGGCGAAAAGAGATAGGTACTCACTGTCGCCTGGTAGGTAAACATCCAGCACGGGGGGGAGGCCGAGCTGCCCGACGAGGAGGATTTCAACTCGAACACGCAACTCGGGTCGGTTGGACGGCGTGAAGAAAAGCTTAAAGCCATCCACAGAGAAGCGTGCATCCTGTTCCGTCAAGAGGCCTCGCACCTCGGTGCCATTAGACATGTGGACCTCGACATCGATGTCTTCAGTCTCCCGGAGATGGCCAAGAAGGTTGAGGGCGAATCCTCCGATGAATGCGTGGGCGATGCCGCGTTCGGTCAGAATGTCCGACAGGGCCGTTGCGGCCTGTGTTCGAGCTTCCAGGGGAGTCATGTTGAGCGGAGCGATTAGAAATTTAGAATATAATTGTGCTGGCTTCGGACGCGGAAGACGTGTGTGCTGTCAGCGCTGGATGTAAAGATGAAGCAGTCTAAGAAGGGCGAGGTTCCGTATATGCGACGTGTGGCAAGAAGTGTTCTGGTCATCAAGACAAGGAAGTCCCCCAAGGAAGGTACGACCTACACCTGGAGGGACTCGAGGGAAGTACGACCCCTTTTGCCTTGGGGCGAAACGAGATTTTGTGGTATTTTGACGGCTTGGGGGCGGGTATACCCCTTTGAACATAGAAGCATCTCTACCTTACAACTACTTTTCGGTACGGCGTAGGCGTCCTTTGCTCTAGGTCTCTTTGACAGAGATATTCAGGCATTACAAAATATCATCATCATTGTAGAACCGCTTGAAGGCTGAAGTCAGAGCGGGACAGACATCGACTCGCTCAGAATTCAAGTACGACTGTTCACATTCTCTTGGTAAGGTGGATACTGTATTTTTGCATTCTCTGGGTAAGGTAACTCGTCACAGTGTTTCTTTGCAGTAACAACTTGAATCAGGGCCTAGATTCAAGTGTGTCTGCATCTTCTCCCGCTTGCCAAGGTAGGTCATCGTAGCCCTTCTTCGCAGTAGCACATTGAATCAGAGTCTCTCTCATCCACTCCTCGTCAGGCCTAAAGACCCATTTTCTTATTTCTGCCCCGGCATTCTCTATCTCTCGGACCTCCTTGTCTGACAGAGGCACATCATTCGAAGGTATGACTAGGTAAGATCCTTCGTAGCTCATGTCGAACAGACTGTATCCGAGCACGCTAGCAAGTCCTTCGAGAAGAGCTCCACGGACCCAACTCGAACGTGTCTGGCGAGCAGCCATACGCACCAAAGCAGCGCACGTCGCAGGAAGGGGCACCGTCATGGTGTTACGAGGTAGAGCGGGAATCTCGGGCCGGGAGCGTTCCCCAGCCGGGATCGGCAGCAGCTCGTCGCGCGTGATTCCAGTCCAGGACATCGGCACAAAAACGAGCCTAGGCAATGACGGTCCATAGCCACAGGGGTAAGGAGGAGAATCATCGAGACGGTAGCGAACTGCCCGATGACAGAACTCGCACTCGTATATTCGTGGTAACGACTCCTCATCTGCAGGACACAGCCCTGTATCGACAGCGAGACCGCAGGCTTCCTCCAACTGGTCATCTGGGACTAGGAAGAAAAGGCTCTGCCGATTGTTAGACTTCTTATTTATTACGGTTGAGAATTTGAGAGATGATGTTTGTCGACTTGCACTATCACCCGCGAGAGGATAACCTAATCGGATCTTGAGGCTGACCTCCCATTCAACAAGGAGAAGCTGGGACGTCTCCAGACGTTGCAAAAGCTCGGCAACGCGGTCTTCCAGATATGTCATGGCGGGGGCTGGTGAATTACGTGTAGGAAGAGAAGCTGGCCCTCAATACTTAGAAGGGTGTGACCGTGTGTGTTTGATGAGCAAGATGCCCATTCCCAAAACAGGAAGTTTATTTAGGGAGTGTATAAATAGCAGGCATGTTTGGATATCCAGCAGGTAGAATATGCAAAGCAGAGGAAGTTTCTTTTACTTAGAAACGACCTACAAAAACATTTACATATTCTACCTGCTGGATATCCAAACATGCATGCTATTTATACACTCTCTTGTTTTATGTTCTGTGTGTTTTCAGGTTAGATGTTTGATGTCACCGACCGTCAGAGAAAAGCCACACTTTCTTCATCTTGGAGACGTGATTGTCAAACCCAGAGCAAATTTGCAAGGGTGCTTGCCTCAGAATATCAGTTCAGTTGGACCGTATTCACTTCTCATCGTCATCGACATAAGATCACACCACGATGCTATGCTTGAAAATGGAATATAAATACCCCTCCCTCTGCATGCCATGTATACTATCCGGGAAACTTACTTCATCTCCTCTTGTACCCGAAAGAAAAATCAGGAGCAAACCAGTTGACAAAAGACAGAAAACCCCAAACCACTCTACATTTCTTCACCGTCACCCTAAGAAAAAAATGCCGAAGCAAGAAATGAGCAAATCGGATGCCTCCAGAATCCAGTCGGGCCAGGTAAGCCAACTAGTGGTGCAATTGGTTTCTGTAACTCCTTGGATTCATTCTAATGATAATCTATCGCGAAGGCCAAGGCTGGTGGTGACATGAGCTCTCATGGATTCGCCGCTCGTGCCCAGGGTGCAGCCGATCGGCATGCCGCGGCAGCCCAACAGTCAGCCGCGACTTCACACCAGGGCATCGGCCACTCTGCGGAAGGCAAAGATTCGTCCGGCTCGAAGAAGTAATCGTCCTCTGTACGGATGTTGAGTCTTTGCTTTGTTGTTACGGGAAGGCTGGAAGTTGAGCAGATGCAGAAAATCGGGGAGGAGGCCTTTCGCGGAGATTCGTGGTAGGAATTCGGGTAGGATATGAATACAATATTTGTGTGCAGAGTTCTCAAAATGTATATCCGTATGAATGTGCGATATCCGATACACTGGGAACACACCCGGAAGTACATGGTGTATACTTCCTCATCCGGGTTACAACTTATGGGTATGACGTACCCGATCGGGTCGTTCCCGTGGTGGGGCCGGTAGTAGCGTCGGCTTTGGACGGACTCCTCTCGGGCTAAAGACGGAGTGACCGCACATAGCATCCCTACACAAACTGGAAACGGCTCGTGCCAATAGCATTTGCCGTTTGATCGTTGTATTACCTTGGTGCTTTTGGAGACCTTTACCTCTTTTTTCCTTTGCTTCTTTTTTTTTTCTTCGTCTGTCTCAGCCTCACACGTTTCCTCGTTTATCAAAAGCCCTCGATCCGCTTCGCGTGGGGCCGGCTTCGTCATTGTGCACGCATCGAACCGCCCTCCACCAATCACTGTCCAACATCCAGGCTTCTCGAGCTTCTCGACTCCAAAAACAATGAGCGAGCTTGCGCGGGGGCTCGGCGACCAAGATCCAAGGCACTGCGCAGGCTTACAACGTACAGCTGGTCGAGATGTTCTATCACCTGCATCAATGCCCGTACGAGTTCTGAGACACCGGGCAGCTCCCTTCAAGCGGGGCGGCTGCACTGCATGCTCTCCCCGCGCATTCTCCCCCTGACGGTCTGAACTCCGAATGGATACTTGTCTCGGATGGACCCGCCTAGCGGATCTCAGTGTCGTACAAAATGCTTTTCATACGTGATGTTCGCGTACGCAAGTTGGATAGGGCAGAATGGACTCGACCGGCATTGTTCTTTATTCCGAATCATCGGTCGTGTCTCACACACATCGCGAGACCCATCACGATTCATGAGTCGTGACAACTCCAGGGCAGGGGAGCTTACCAACTTGCGACTGCATTTGGTGACTTCATGGTCTCTAGCCTCGGCCTCGGAGCTTTCAGGTGACGATCTTCTCCCGTTTCATCACCTTGGAACTTGACATCGTCTCTCGTGGTTGTCCGAAGAAGTCCCGAGGTGTGGCCTAGGCTGCGCCGCGATGCCTTGAAAAGTTGGAACTTGGTGCTGCATGGCCCTGATCCGGCGATGGCGCACAGCATCCCCAGTCTTAACCTGTCTGATATACCAGCGAGAGCTACATTCGGTTATTGACTTTTGCATCCTAACCCAATCACAGTGTGCCTGGCCCGCGTCATCTGATATCAGACGAGTCCAACCCATCCATCCCTGATTCCCTAGCTAGCGCGATGGTGCCCACAAACAGATATATACCCTGAATAGCTACAACAATAGCACCCAGCCTACAGGCTCTGGTATTTCCACATTTCCAGTCGCGTTCTTGGGCACTGGGCACATGCAGAAGTAGTTTGGATGGGGTTGATAAGTGGGCATCTGACATGGACATGGCCATCAGTGTAAATATATCACGATGTGGGAACGGAGGAGAGGAGGTATAAAGGGAGCCACCCTCGGTATGGACTTCCTGTGACCATGTCCTCGAACACATGTTATATGATTGTTGTCTTCTGTCTCTCCAGCCGGGTGAAAGCATGTTCAACTCCGCATTCTTCATGTTCAGGCTCGTCCTAGCCGTAGCCACTCTGGCTTCGGTCTCTCTCGCAGACACATGTGATGACGTCACCGCCCTCGGCGGGATCGAAGTCGTCAGCCACCGCCTTTCACTGCAATACATCCGTGAGCAGAAGCAGTACTGGTCCACAGCGGCCGGGGACTTGAAGCCCAGCTGTCTCCTCTACCCACAGACCACGGACGAGTTGGTCGCCATCGTGTCTATCCTCCGAGATAACAACGAGACCTTCGCCGTCAAATCCGGGGGCCATAACCCGAACAACTACTTCTCCAGTGTGCACGGGGGTCCTTTGATTTCTACTGCGAAGCTGAACCAGGTCACGCTGGACCCTGAGGCCGAGACCGTCCGGGTCGGGCCGGGAAATCGCTGGGAGGACGTTTCCGAGGCGCTGCAACGCACCGGCTACTCCGCCGTCGGAGGCCGCATCGGAAATGTTGGTGTTGGAGGATATATACTTGGAGGTGAGTCTCACTTTGCCCTTGTCCCTACGATGGGGAGGGAGGCGGCCATAAATTGTAATCAACACCACCACCCTCCCCAACTTCCACACCAACAGCAACAAAGACAAAACAAATAAATATGGCCAAGACGCTCTCTCTCTCTCTCTAACTCGCGGGGTTTCTTCCCAGGTGGCCTGAGCTTCATGAGCACACAGTACGGCTGGGCCGCCAACTCCGTCCTCGAATTCGAACTCGTCCTGCCCAACGCAACGGTCATCAGCGTCACCGACTCCTCCAGCCCGGACCTCTTCCGCGCGCTCAAGGGTGGCGGCAACGCCTACGGCGTCGTGGCCTCCTTCCTCCTGCAGGCCTACCCCCAGGGCGAGGTCTGGGGCGGGGTCCTCACCTACCTGTCCACACCAAAAACCGACGCCGCCATGCTTCGCGCCATCCGCGAATTCACCGAGCACTACCCCGACGAAAAAGCCGCCATCATCCCCACCGCGATCCTCACCGCGGGCGGGGCCCTCAACATCTGGATCCTCTTCGTATACTACAACGGCCCCTCGCCGCCCGCGGGCACCTTCGACGCCTTCGCCGCCCTGCAACCCTTCGCCAACACGGCCCGCACGCAGAGCTACCACAGCCTGGTGACGTCCAACAACTTCGCCGTGGTGGAGGGCAGCGTCTACCACATCGGCACCGAGACCATGCCGCTCCCGGACGCGGCGAACGTGGCGGTCCTGGACGACATCTACGAGCACTGGAAGCAGGTGCGCAGCAGCATCCTGCTCGTGCCCGGCATGGTGGGCAACGTCGCCTTCCAGCCCCTCCCGAGGGGGATGGCACGCATTGCGCGCGAGAAGGGCGGGGATTTGCTCGACCTCGACGATAGCGTCGATCGGGTCGTGCTCGCGATTACGGTGAGCCACCTTTTGGACGTCAATAGCCCGAGGATACAGGATGCCTTGCGGAGCGGGTATAGTGGGATGAGGGAGATTGTTTTGCAGGCTACGCGCGAGGGACGGCTTCCCGAGGCGTATCTGCCGCTCTTCATGAACGATGGGTTTTACGAACAGGATTACTTTGGAAGGTTGAGTCTTGAGATGGCAGAGTTGGCGGCAAGGGTGCAGGAGGAGGTGGACCCGAGTGGCATGTTCAGGAATAGAACGGGAGGATTCAAACCCTGAACGACTGCGTGGGTGTTGAAGTGAAGTTAGACTAAGGTGTCTGTCTTGATAGGTTGGAACCTGTAGGGCTGTAAACTCTCAGGTCTCAACTCTCAAAGCATGTTTGTAAGGTAAGACGAGTTGGGGTTTGTAAGAAAAAGGGGGGGTGTTGTTTTTCTTTTACTTTTTCTTTTCCACTTTAATGCAGCCTTCACAAACATGTTGCCAAGATCATTGATTCATTTTGTGTTAAAGACTGGGCGTTATGTATTTTGTTTGTAGCACATAATAATAATTAGCCATAAGCCCTCAGGGGGTTTGTGCTCTACTTAACCAGAAAAGACCTTAGCCAAACAACTTAGAAGACTATCCCGGTTTCCGCGACATTAAGACCAAGCCTTTTCAGTATTCGTTTGTACTTACCAGTGTTTGGTCTGTATTAAGCGACGTGCAAACGCCAACGGTCATTTCAACCTCTGTCCTTGAGGACGTGCCTGTCAGCATGCTGCGTCTCGGCCAGGACCAGGAGTGCTACGACTCCATCAAGTGGTGGACCGTGGGATACCGAGACGGCGCCGACTACCACAAGGGGGACAAAGCTGCCTTCCCTTCTTTGAGAAGCAAGAGAACTTTTTTTATGCTAAATGACAATCACAACACTGGGCAGCGAGCAGGAGGAGCTCCATCGGCGACGCGAAAAAAAAAACCGGCAACAGATAACAAGAGTATGGTCTTATGTATCGGCATATATGTACAGTAGATGCAAGATGGATCGGCCGACCGATATGTTCGTTGGCGCTCAGCTAGATGAAAAGCTTCTTGCCATGGTACTTCGTCTCCTGCGCGTACAGATGAGACGTCGTAGCGGCATCCACATCAGTTCGTTCCGGGAACCCGTCGAAGGAGACGGCATAATGAGCAACGGAATGAGCCACCAGCTGTGAACAGGAAAGGTCAGCAGATGGCTTCTTGGGACGCTAGACAGAAGAAAAAAAACAAAAAAAAAATTGACGGGCATACCTTGGTGTTAAGCTCCCAAGCGGTCATATTGACATTACTGACATCGTCGCAAAGCTGGTGGTAGCAAGGGTCGTACCATTCGCCCGCCCGACCGCCGAACATGTCAACCTCCTCCTCCGTCTTGATTCCCTCGGCGCCGGTGGCAATGCCTCCGCCAGGAATGCCATTGCGGATGAAACCGTCGTAGTCGCTCCGGCCGTCAAAGGGAATGAAGGTGTAGTTGAGATCATGGCTCTCGTACCAGTCCTCATAGAGCTTGCGCAGCTCCCCGGAACCAACCGGATTGGCCTCGTTGGTGGCGTTGTAGATTTGGAAGGCGAAGTTGGGGCTGGCCATCATGTCGTAGTCCATGAAGAGGCGGATCTTCCTGTTCTCTTCCGGGGAAAGAACGGAGACGTAGTAATCGGAACCGAGGAGACCTTCCTCCTCGGCGGACCACCACGCAAAGCGGACGCAGTTGTTGACGCGAAAGTTGGTGAGCTGGGTGGCGACCTCGAGGAGAGTCAGGGAGCCGGAACCGTCGTCGTTGATGCCAGGACCTTCGGCGACGCTATCGCTATGGCCGCCGAGCATGACGCAGTTGTCCGGGTCGCCCTCCACGGTCTGCGCGATAATATTGGTCGTCTCGATCGATTCGACCACGGCGTCGATGTAGGCTATGGCATCCACCGTCTCGCCGTCGCGGAGCTTGTCGAGGTAGGGCTGGGCGTCGTCACCACCAAGACCAAACGTGGCAACGTGATCGGGAGAGGGGGTGCCGAGGGTGCCGTGAACGGTTTCGCTCTCGTAGTTGTAGATGACGGCAGCAACGGCGCCCTTCTTGCCGGCGTTCTCCGACTTGGTGCCGAAGGGGCAGGTGCCGCGGCGGATGAAGGCGATGTTCCCGGTCAGGTCGGACGGATAGTCGGAGAGGTGGCAGCCGTCATTGTCAACAAGAATCAGGTCCCCGTGAACGGGCTGCTTGTCCTTGGTCGGGGGTGTCAGGCTCATGGGCGCGGCTGACTTGGGAACGTCGGTACCCAGGACCAGGCGCGACTCGAAAACATTGCCGGTGACGGCGGGGAATGACTGATTGGAGAGCTTGTAATAGTCGCCCAGGTCGGCGAGAGTGGAGTAGATATACGACAGCGTTCCCAGGTGGCCTGGTGGAAAGTCAAGAGGGTCAACGGTCTACTTCTATGAAAGAACGAGTAGAGAACGAGTAAAAGAGGGCGGAAACCTGCACACCTTCACTTCCAATGACCCGGGTGGGATGATTATACTCCGGTTCTCCAAGCTTGGCGATTTCGTAGAGGTGTTCTGCACGGGCAAGGAGATTATCCGCTTTGATGAGCTTCTGTAAGGCCTCGGTGTCTACCAAGGGCTTCTTGTTTGATGTGATGGGCGGTTGAGGTGGTTGAAGTTCAACGTTGCTAAGCATGGGGGCTTGAGCAGCGTCATCCTGGGCGTAGGCAGGAAGGACACCCGCCAAGATGGCGAGACGGAACGTGTTGCGCATGACGAGAATGGGGCGTCCCTCGAGGAATTGAGAGGAAAGATGACAGAAAGCGTGAAGGATGAATAAGAGGAGGATGAGAAGAAGAAGACGACGATGTCAGGGACTCGAGGGAGGGGTGAGTCTTGGGAGACGACGGCATGACTCGAAAGCAGGAACGAAGGAAGCTCCGAAGCTCCGTTGTTGCGGAAACAGCTACCCAGGGGCAAACAGGAAGCGATAGAGCTGATAAGCGACATGGAGTACCTGAGTAATTACCTAAGGTACGCAACTGAGAAGCGATCGGCCCCGCATATTGCGCTAGACTTATTTGGACTTGAGGTCCACGATGAAAGACCGTTTGGTTGGTCGAGTCGCGTGACGAGCCGACAGTTCTGGCTCCGATCCAGCAGTTGTGCCATAACGGTGTACACTACCTTACTAACGGCTCTCAATGTACATGTACAAACTGTGAACCATGGTAGACTCGTTCCTACCGAGTACGGATACCTACATGCGCCGTACAGGTACACTTACACGGCAGGTGTCATGTGTGCTTGACCGGTTCACCTAATTATGCAGGGACGGACAGGGGGTTCGGTACTGGATATTAAGCGTCCATACTCGACATTATGCCTCCATTATACCCCTTATACAGCACCGATTTGACCACAAATACGGTCTAGAAAAAAAATCACATGGACTGAAAATACTGAAAATACCCAATTTGAGGTCATTACAGCCAAAAGTGTGCTAGTAGGGTGGAGAAGCATACACATAAAACACCGCCCCCCAGTCTAGGGACCAAATATCTCGACAGACTCCATCACCAACTGCCGAGACACCTACGTGAGACTATTCCTACACTGCACTGCTTTGTCGATCTCGCCCCCAACGTCTAGGAATACCGACGCCCGTCTTATTGATGCTTCAGTATTTGTCAAACCGTCGTCCTTGATGGTAATTCCGTTCTATCATTGCTGTCTTTCTACATCACGATCACGGGACCCTGCCCAAAAAAATTCGCTTCACGACGCTTCGGCTTGACCGTCATCCGCCCTAGCCCGCACCACTCACCACCATCTCGGTCCTCCGGTTCTGCAGCCGTCCTCCAATGCGGTCCTGGAGACCTTGGGAGACGGACACGCAACCCCCAGCCCCCAGCCATCCCAATACTCTTGGTCCAAAACCTCTCCCTCAAGCCACCACGCTGTTGAGCATTGTACGGTCCCGTTACTCCTCGTCCCTCGTCACTCCCCCCCGGGGCCTTGGCATCCGTTGAAAATCCTGCTAATGAGAAGTTGTCTCTGAAATTTTGCAGGCCTCTCTGCTCGAACCCTCAGGAAATGAGAATCGTCCCGTCCACGCCATCAAGACTTCCTCCAGGACTGTACCTCCTCCACCTCTCCCGTCGATACTCTGTAGACCAGTTCTTCATCCTCCCGGCGCAAGTCCCTACTCCACCAACGTAACCCCGACAAGCACTGCCGCCGCCTACACTCCGGGCACGACCACCTGTACTCCGACGACACCCTACTACACTCCAACGCCCACCTCTCCTCCGACGTCAACAACCTACACATATGCCCCTTTGACAACAACCACGTCGAGGAAACGCAAATCGGACGTCTTCGAAGAACACACAACCACAACCACAACCAGAACCACAACCACAGCCACAGCCACAGCCACAGCCACAGCCACCATCACAGGCCACCCTCACCTTTACGTCTACGACGACGACCCTCGCCTCAACGACACGCTCGGCTGGGAATCCTGCGACCAGATCCGCGTCCGGATCCGCAACATCATCCAGTCAGGCACCATGCGGGTAGGCGAGTTCCAAGCCACCATCAACTGCTCCGCGGCGTCGTACCAGCGGTTCATGAAGCAGAGCGGGCCCGAAGCCGGCGTGGGGAGCGACGTCTACTACGGCGCCTGCCGCTTCTTCCGCAAACGCGAGCTGCAGGGCCTCCACCAGCCCACGCCGGCCAAGCGGGCCCGGCGCGACGAGGACCTGGACGACGACCTGGACGTCTCCGGGATCATCCTCCCGGGCGAGCCGGAGGGCGCCGTCCGCGTCCACGACACGTGCGACGAGGTGCGCCGCCACATCCACGCCCTGCTCCGCCGCCCGGGCATCCGCCAGGTCGACTTCCTCCGCGCCATCGCCAAGAGCTTCCCCGCCCCGCGCAAGATCCAGTCCAAGCAGCTGCACGACTTCCTCGCCAAGAAGGGCGCCACCGCGGGGAACACGTCCTGCGTCTACTACGGCGCCTACGTCTTCTTCGAGAAGCGACGCCTCAGGGACGGCCGTCCCAAGTCGAAGATGCGGCTGGAGATGGAGTCGATTCACCCCGCTGGCATGAACACCACCGACATTATGAACATTTACGTCGGTCCCCTTGGGCCCGTGCCTGTTGAGGATGAGTATGGCCGTGTTGTCAGCGCCCGGCCCATCTCGCGACCGTTTATACGCAAGAAGACCGTGAATTAGCACCTCACTTTTCCCTGCATCACCACTTTTTACCTTTGGAATGCCCAAACCAAACGCTCACATCAGTCCCCTTGCAAAAGAAATACCCATTTATACCTATGCTTTTTATTCTTATATACCCTCATAATGCTTTCTTACTTTCTTCTTTTCTTCCCGGGCTGGGCGCCACATATCCCTTCCGCTTTGTTTTCTTCGTCGCTTATTTCCTGTCATATATTAGAGGGTCGCATCACTGCGTGTGAAGTACACGGAAAAGTTGTACTGGAATCTATCTGTCATGATAGAGGGACAGCGAAAAGTATCACTTTAGAACTAATTAATCAGCTCGGACTTGCTAATGCTTCCGTTGCTTCAGAACTTTCACGGCGGCTACCGATGTAGGGGCTAACACGGCGTCTAATAGAGAGTTTCATGCCACAACAACCCTGGTTTCTCCCGCGAGGTGATGGGCTCTGCCGATTATGAGTCGATTAGGCTTCGTCATATTGTAACCGGCGATCTTCGGAACTTATCCGAAAGGTACTCAACTTGCGTCTTAACCATGTTCAAAAGGCTTATCTAACCCCTGCTTATCACTGAGCGATTTGAACTCTTGAGTCGCACTTATATGGCTTTCAGACTATAAGGTACTCAACAACTGTAGGTACTGAGCTTCTAGACTACACTCTAGTCTTGGTCACACTCATAATTAATGGCCACTTACATTATACTTGCTCCAAAAGACATATCATCATGCTCATCCCTTTTATTTGGCTTGATTAAAAGTTTTCAAATGCATTTCTGTGGCGTAGAGTCCAAATCAGGGGCTTGGATCTGCAGGGCCCAGGTAGCCACTCGAGACCAAAATCGGCGCTTCCCTGCAGCGACACGTGAAGTAACACTGCATCTATCTGCATATCTGGTCCACCTGCCTGCAGACAGAAAAAGCCCTCGGTTGGCCTTTCCTATCAAAACATTTCTGCAGGCCTCCAATGCCCATCCAGTTTCTGCCTGACCTCCTGAATCCCGATTACCCCGCCATACCTGTCAGCGGTGAGCGGTGAGCCTCAACCATCTTTATCCTCTCCCGCCGCCGCCGTGATCAAACACTCCCAACTCCCAACTCCCGTGTGCAGGCTGCAGTGATGCACCACCTGCCCGGCACGGACGATTCTGAAATCACTCCACCAGTTTTCTCTCAACGTTACACGCCTGCTTTACATCCTATCGGCCTGCCACCCGCGTCCCCTATTCACCGCAACCTGCCATGTCTTTCCTAGACGTGAGCCGGCTAGCCACCAAGCTAGGCCTCTTCAATATTCCCGACGACCCTGATGAGCCCATACAAGGTCAGCGACATGTTCCACTACACTCCTTTACATTTCCGTTTCCCATCCCATGTCCTGTTGTTGACAGGAAGATCAAGTGAGTCCTGATTAACAAAGACCAGGCCACAAGGACTACGGATACACGCAAGACGACTCCTACGGCAGCGGTTACTCTGGCGCCCCTCCTAAGGGATATACAGGCGGTCCGCAAGACGGAGAGGAAGAATACCAACAATCACACCCGGACTACTCCACCAGCGACCCCACCCGCACCGGTGCAGCACCCGACGCCTCAAATGCCGCCGGGCCGGGAAGACGCTACGGCGACGATGAGGACAGCCTGGTAGACGACGACGACGACGGCGGCGACGAAGAGGACGAGAGAAGAAAGCACCCGTCCGACGAGCCGCCAGTCCCCGAAGGCTGGCTCGCGCGCTTCGATGACCGGCACGGCGAGTGGTACTTTGTCAACAAAGTGACCGGTCTGTCGCAGTGGCAACGCCCTATCCGGTCGGCGTACGATGCGTACCCGAATGACGAAGGACAACGACCGGCTGCCACGGGAGAAGAGGACCAGGAAAGGGGTCATGGTGGCTACCCGACCGGCGAGTCGCGGGGCTACTGGGATCATTCCTCCCAAGCTCAGCAGAGCCGACAGAATACGGGCGGACAGGGCCACTACGGACACGGCGGTGGCCCGCACTATGGATATGACCAGTATCGGGGACACGAAAGCGCGTATGGACAGGGCCAATACAGGGCCTACGGATATGATGATACTGGGGAGGTGGAGAAGCAGAAGAAGAAGAGTGGAAAGTATGGAAAGGTCCTGCTGGGCGCAGCGGGAGGTCTTGCCGTCGGTGCACTAGGCGGTGTGCTGCTTGCGAACGCCCTTGGTACGTTCTCTTTGCCCATCGATTTCTTTCAACTCCTCGTCTTTTCTTTTCGCCGAGTCCCAGACTCCCATCATTTCCTTTCTTGCACATTTTACCCTTGTTTGGAGAGGTCATCTCAGGTCCGCTAATACTATTCAGCATCCGATGATGAGGACGAGGGAGACGCCGAGGCTTCCACACAGGACCGCAACTTCGAAGAGGGCTATGCAGAGGATCGCGGGTTCGCGTCGCAATATGCGGAGGTGGAATCTGAGCCGGAGCCGGAGCCCGAACCCGAACCCGAACCCGAACCCGAGCTAGAAGAGGACGAGGATGAGGAAGACGGAGGTGGCGACGTTGAGGAGGCAAGCTCAAGCTCAAGCAGTTCATCCAGTAGCGATGACTCTGAAGAGGAGGAGGAGGAGCCAGAAGCGGAACCAGAGGAGGAAATTGCCGATGAGGAATCAGAAAGCAGCAGCGATGAGGAGGAAGAGGAGGAGTCACATAACGAGGATTCCGACGAAAACGATGATGAGTATGATTAGAAGTCGGAAAATATGAATGCGGCGAGATATTGAAGACTCTGAGAGATTATGAAAGACGAGGTACAAACATGGGGAGACTAGGCCGCTACCGTCTTGAGTTTCGTGATACCACCTGAGAACATGTCCCAACAGGCCGCCATGCAATGCAAGGAGATAGACAGGCCCGGCTCTGAGTCGCCCATGAATAGGAGCAGAATAGCCTGGAATGGTATTTTCTTCGTCTTATTAAAAAGAAGGTAGATTTGAAGAGGAGGTGAACGAGACACAACTGAACCTTAAGCTTCCTTCGCGCTTCGATATGTATACCCGCTGAGCAATCCTGTCTGTTCTTGGTGGCTGTCGGTGTGTCACCGTCCCCACACCGCGGGATGATCGACCTCTTGCATCGGCAGCTATTCCCGATCTAGAGATTAGTAAATGTCCACCCACTTACCAGTTCGCGTCCATTTGACATTGCCATCGTCTTGCTGTCTACCTAGGTGCTATACGGTGACCATATCTCACAACTTATATTCTCGACTAGGAAGTTCATACGACGCGTCGCTTCCAAAATGATGCCGATTACGACCGCGAAACTGAGCAAATTGGTGGTCAAAGTCATGCAGGTTGAAGCTAAGGAAAAGTAATACCTAATCCACAACTCCTAACCCATTCCCGAACCTTCGTGTTTACACATAAGTTCTTGCTGTATCCCGAGATTCCCCCATAACTGTACCAGAATCAGAAAGAAAAACCCCCAATAATCATTCATTCTGTCGTCGAGATTATCCATACTGTCGTTTTAGTCCGATGACCGCTTTTGCATGCTCATCCGCCCATGTCCGAACATCGCCAATCCGTGTCTCCCGAGGATGTAGGTAAAAGAAGGGAGGGGGACGAAAGAAATTTAAAACCTCATTTCTTCAAGAGTCAGTCCTCTTCCTCCTCCTTCACGACAACCGCCGAAGACTTCTCCCCATTCTTCTCGCCTGCCTCCTTGTTTCCATTGGCCCCAATCTTCTCATTCGTCCCCTTCATGAACGCCCCGTCGTAGCCGTGATCGGCAGGAGAATGTGACGCGAGCGCCCAAAGCCTCTTAGCGACCACGAAACTCCCTGCAGCCCAGACCCAGACAAGAAGCCCGATGGACGAGGTCAGGAACAGGGTGGGCACGAGGACAAGCAGGGCGATGCCGATCCAGAAGAGCGAGAATACGATAGCGGCGCCGAGGGCCAGGGTCGCGAGCGAGAGCGCAAAGACGGCGAAGGTTACGAGAGGGAGGAAGGAGAAGAGAAGTTGGAAGAGAAGGAAGGCCTATGAGTTGCCGTGTTCCCCGGGCTTTGTTAGCGTTGGACAGTCCCACCAGTCTTTTGAAATCCGTCGACTCAGAAAGAGGGAAGGGGAGGAGAAAGGCGTAGTACGTACGAAGAAGAGAGGACGCTCTTGAGCAAAGTCGAGCGTCGCGGCGTAGAGGTTCTGGCGCGTGGAGGGGCTGATGACGCGGTCGAGCTGGCGGCGGCTGAAGGCACGGATACCGCGAGCATCGTCCTCGGCGTTCTGCTTGTTATATGACGTGGGCGCCATGACGTGATGAGGCGGAGAGTAGAGCGTGACTGGCGATAAAGGGACGCCGAATGGCTTGCTGACCGGTTCGTGACTTTGAAAGTTGATGACGACGCTGGTCGATGGGAACGGTGGTATCGTCTGGGTGTTTTATTGTTCGAGCTTCATCCGTCTCCAGCTTCGTTCGTAGAGGAACTGAGGGGGAATGATGTACGTTGCACGCCGTCAATTGTTGTTGGTGTAGTGTAGTACGGACCGATTTCGTGTTGAGAGCGCAATCACGACGTCACTGACAATCTACGGGTTTCATTATCAGCTCAGCCACGGTCGTCACGTGATTACCCAAGGTATCAGCTTACCTAAGGTATCAGCCCTCAACCACCCCTGTGTCCATGTCCATGATCCCGCACTTCAGACATTCATGTACGGTTCACTTCTACATACCCCGTAGTCAACGATCGACATCGCCATCCGACAGTCAAGAAGCGAATGCCTCACCTCAAGGAGGCTGTTTTGAATAACTACAACAACTAGTCGGTCTAACGTGCAGAGCCAGAGCATCCCGTCTCCGAGCCCACTCCCTCTATAAATGCAAGAAGGGGAATGCCAATCCTACGCTGATGCCCTAAAACTGAATATATGATCCACCTCCGCCCCTGAACCCGTACAAATGAACAAGAGTGTGTGCTGTGAAATGATGTTTCCAGAAGAAACACTCGGTCCTCTCATGGGGCAGCGAGACGAAGCCACACCAAATCCTAGACGAACCGCACCTCGTCGAATAAGCTGGCCCTCACCTGCACCAGAGCCGCCAGCTCCAACAAGAAGCTCTGGAATATGAGAACATTAGTGATGACATGCGACACGGATGCCATCCGCGCCGTCTCCTCCCCTTCCTCCCCTTCCTCGTCTCGCTCGCCGTCTTCGGCCGACTCCCCTAGCTCACCATCCTTATCCCGCGTCATACCGTCCTCGCCTTCTCCGCTCTCAGCTTCCTCCTCCTCACCCCCCACATCGTCTTCTTGCGGATCATCATCCTTGGGAGGCGGGATATGCGGTGTCGCCTGCTCCGCCCCCGACGTCTGCTGCTGCTCCCGCTCCAGTCTCAGCGGTATCGCTTCCACATTATGCGGGATCCCCACCCGCCTCGACAGGATACTCTGATCCACGACAGTGAACGCAGCCATCTGATTCGCGACCACATCCTCCTGCGTCGCGATCCTCATGCTGCCGCTGCCGGGCGATATGCTACGCATCCGTTCCCCGCCTTTCGCCGGACCTTCGTACACGTGAGGCGGGTAATCCTTGGGCGGGGGCGTCGGTCGTCCCGTCGGGGTGGCAACGCCGTGACTCCCCCCGCCAGCCAGAGATCCGGCCCCGGGAGTCGGGCTTGCGGCGCCGGATCCACGGTGGTGCTGCTGCTCTTTGGCACCGCGGGGACTGTTGGTCCCCCGGCCAGGGGTGCCGAGATCGGACAGGAGACGCTGTGCGAATCCCTCGATGCCCGAGGGTCGCGCCGGCGACGCGCTGCGCGAAAGCGCATCGGGGCTCGCCCCGTCGGGCGTGAGAGTCGACCCTTGTTGGTGAGGAGTCGGTTTACGATTCGGGCGCGGCGTCGCTGGCACTTGCGCTGCGTCGGTTGTATGAAACGCCTCTCGTCGCTGCTGAAGAAGATCGTCAAACCGGGGGATGCATCCGCGATACTCTGATACCTGGTTGCAGAGCTTCTGTAGAAGGGTCAGGAAACGCGGCAAGGTCGGCGGTGCCCATATCGGTCGTCTTTGGCAGTCCTTGATTGCCTGGATCTTTTGCAGCTCGGCCGCTGACGAGAACTCGGCGTCAACGGGTGAGCCCCCGGGGGAAGTGGGGGTTGGACTCGTCGGAGAGGTGGAGTCGGCGGGTTGCTCATCATATGTATATTTTTGCGGATTTCGGAGAAGCCAACCTTCCACGGTCATGTACCCACAAGTGGCCAAGTTCACAATCGTCTCCGTGAGCGACAGGTTGGTATCGACGGGGTTCAGGAAGAACGTCTCCAACAGGTCCAGCAGAGTGTTTAGCAGCGGGTCATCCGGACGTAACGTGTGCTCACGGACGCTGCGGGGAGCACCCGGCAAACCGTCGGGAATGGCCGGCAGCTGGTGGTTGTGGATGGAGAGCCTGGGTGCGACCAATTTTAACGAACAGGGGTGGCTCTCTAACCGGGCCATAGTGTCTTTCAAAATGTTTTCATACACCTCGTCGAAGTTGTCACGGCCGCCAATGCAGCCCACCAGATTGACGAAAAAGTCAACTTCTTGCTCATGCGCGCCCACCGTCCGATGCGCTCTTTCTCCCACAACGCCCTCTGTCCGCAAAATGGTCATGACGGCGTAGCGGTGATGCCTTTTGAGAATGGCCGATACGAGCTGCAGGGTGACGTGGATGGTTTGTTGGTTTTGTGACCGTAGACAGGCAAGAATCAGGTCAACGAGGTTAAACAAGAGAGGCGTCGCCGTCAAGTCCGACTGGGTCTGAGCCAGCATCGAGGCAAGGTCCATCGACTTGCGCTTGCGGGCATCGCTTATTGTCGTCTTATCGTCCGCCGAATCAGGCGGGGTGCGGTCTGAGAGTCCGAGGAGGTAATGAAGAATGAGATGGACCATATCAGGGTGATCTAGGGACTCGAGAATCCGTCGCAAATAGGTCAGAACCGCCACGGAGGAGCCGCCATCTATATCAGACGATTCGAGAAGCGAGGGATACCTAAACTTGTCAGCGGCTCCGAGTAGGCCTTCGGGGCCAAGTGGTGGATCGTGCAGAGGGGGGTACCTACAACAGCTGCTGCAGGAAGATAACCTGGAAATGCTCGAGGAGTGTCTGCTTGATCTCGACAGACTTGCAATGCTCCAATACATCCTGCCAGAAGAGAAGGTGGGAAAGGAAGGTCTGCAGGTGTAGTTGAAACTCGGCAGAGCAGGAGCTGACAATCTCCTGGTTAGAGACGGGATGTTGGTAGTCGGAGAGGGCGAGAACGGGAGGAAGATCGTGGGGAAGATGGTCGATGACGAGCTTGCGGCTTAGCTGGCTGTATAAAGCTCCCAGGCCGGTGGCCATGAGGGTGGAGAGATCGCTTTCGACGATCCATTGTTCGAGTGACTCGGAGCTTGCGGCAGCCTCGATGATGTATAGGAGACCGGTGCGAGCAAAATCGCCGACTTTGCCCTCTTGGTGAATGTAGTCCATCAGGATGTAGAAAAGGGGGAAGTCTTGCTTCTGGGTACGGCCGACAAAGTTCTTGCGCTTGTCCTGGGCCGTCGATTGAGGATCTGTGCGTCCGTCGTCGCGATCTCGCTGGGGCTCGAACCATGCCGGGAGGATAGAGCGATCCATGCGGATCTTCGTCGTAATGCTGAAGGCGAGCTCAACTACCTCGGCTTCTGTGTCCGAGCCAAGGCGTATGCTGTTGAGCCCGGTGATGCGGACGAGGAAGTTGGTCACGCTCGCCGAGAAACTAGGAGTGGAGACGAAAGACTCCTCGTCTGTCTCAACGAGGGTAGCGAAAAGATTGACGGTCTCCTTGATAATCCATTCATTGTACGAGGTGGTCGCGATCTTGCCGATGGGGACGTATATTTGCTTCTTGGCGGCGTATTGGATGCAAGGATGGGGTAGAGGTTTCCGCGCTTCGTCGCTTAAGATGTTGGTGAGTTCGTGAAGACGTATTTCGATGGCTTCGGCACGATCGTCGTCTTGGGCGAGGTTCGACGCGGTCCTCCACAAATGCTGAGGCGTTTCGAGTCAGTACGAACATGCCGTCTCGTCTCTCCCCAGCCAGGTGGCCTAGGTGACCCTCGTAGTTGTAGGTTCGGGGAAGAACGCATCTGCATACCAGTACATGGTTGAATTCCTTATCGAAGCGGTGAAGCCGCTTGGCCGGGTTCTTCGCATCATCTCTCCTCGAGTTGCCCGACGAAAGCGATGTGCCTAGGAGGCGCGTCCACTGGAAAAGAAGACTGATGTTAGATACGTGGTCCAACGGGGCGGATGGCCAAAAGGACCTCTTCAGAACGGACTTACAAAGTCCATGATGTCTCTGGAGGCATCTCTGAGCCAGATGGTAGACAGGGCTGCATGAGGTTGTTTAAAAGGGAAATGAAGCTTCGGGGGCGCACCTAGGGCGGGGGAAGGCCCGACGCATGAAGCTAGAAGACACCAGTGTCGCGAATATGGAGATTTTGTCTGAGGTATGGATGGTAAGGTACTGATGGAACTTAGCTCTAGGTACGTACCGGACCACCTGAACGAACGCTACCTTACCTTATCGCAAAGACCCGTTATCAGTGAGCATATTAGAGCGGAGATATTAGTGGGACATCACCAGCCACACCTGAGGAATTGTACTTCCTCCCCTTTTCCACATCACTCCCCCTTTGACCTCCTTTTTGTACCTTACACTACGTCTGGATACAGATCCTACTGAAACTAATGGGAATTAAATCACTGGTTACCAACACTGAAACTGGAGTCCGAAGGACCAAGTATTGATAAATCAATCAACTATCAAGATATGACAAAGAAAGAACGGCTATGGGGACCTCTTTTACAATGACCTGCCACCATGCCGACGCTCTGCTGATGCACTATGTGTAACATCAGAATCCATACACCATACCATCAGGATGCTTGTCGAGAAAAGCATGTCCAAACTCAAGAACAGAGAAGAAAACCACCCGCTTGGTCCCTTGAAGACGGCGCCTCAAAGCTCCTTGAGCATGACGCGATCCCTCTGGATACCACCGCCGACATCAAAGCCGCAATACCCAACCTTCCTATACCCAAATCTCTCGTAGATCTTTCTGGCCGTCGTGTTCCCCTCCCAGACACTCAACCAGAGGTGCCTGAATCCTTGGGCCCGAGCCTCACTCTCCACCCAACTGGCGAGGCGCCTCCCCACGCCCTTGCGGTGGAACGCGGTGTCGATATAGAGGCGCTGCAGCTCGGCAGTGTCCGGGAGGTGGGACACGCACGGCTCGAGACTGCTGCTGCCGCGGGTCAGGACGCTGAACCCGACGACGGCTCCGTTGTCGAGGGTGGCGAGGAACACGTCCTTCTGGGGGTTGGAGATGTCCTTGGTTACCGCGCGTACGCTGTAGGTCTCTTCGATATAGGATTGGATATGCCGTGGGGGTACCGCGTGGCCGTAGGTGGTGGCGAAGACGGCTGCACCGAGCTTGGCCACCGCCTCGGCGTCCTCGGGGGTTGCTTTGCGGAGTGATATTGATAGGGGGGACTCAGTGGAGATGACCATGTTGCAGCGATATAAAAGAAGGGAGACGGGTGTGTGTGTGTGTGTGTGTGTGTCGTTTCTTTCTCGACTATGCAGTTTTCTTGCGGAGGAGAAAACTAGGTAGGTGAAAGTGAGAGATGTGTACGGAGTAGGGAGTATATAAATGGGAAAATGGGTCAATTGTTGCAGTATTCCAAGACGCAGCTTCATATAGTCCGGCAGGGTGGTTTTCTGTGTTTAACGTTCGAGTGGCTGTCTTCAAACTTTCCTCGCGAGCTCTTATAATAAATACACATTGAAGGTTATACCGGACAGTTTTACTGGTTTCCATCGGAGGATGGAGATCCGACCAAAGCTTGAACCTGTGGCGTAAGTTAAAGGACGCCAGAGATTGAAGATGGACTTCGTAGCAATCGTTCAGTGACTGTTAGTTTCCGAGATGTTGAGGGCATCGAAGACAAAAAGGACGGCCAATTAGATGGAAGTCTTTGTGAACTTGTCGCCCCGTAGACCAGAATACGACCCGCCACACTACAGCCTAAAGAAAGGGTTATACGAGGTGACGCATAGCACAGCCTGATCACCGAGCCGATACAGTTTTACCCGTGGAAGCTTACATAGTCTAGAAGACCGTGATTACTCGTAGAAGACTGTTATAATCCGTAGCGCGTGGTCGTTATGGTCGTACATTGTAGTCGTGAGCCCAGACCTTCCACAGCTTGTCTGACGCCCTTTTCCACTTTGGACACTGAGTTGGTCGTGTATATTGACCGGTCCTACAGTCAACAAGCCATGTACAAGATCACGTCCTTGACCACGACTGCGGGCAATCGGACATGTAGGAAGACGGTCGTCATATTTTACAAGTGTCAGCTTAACACGAACGAAAGGAGACAAATGCCGGGCACCTATTCAGGCGTAGTTGGCAGCATGTAGCTGTATTACCTCTAAACTCCCGTTACAGCTCTCCACCATCCTTGGAAGCGACGTTGTACACAGTCATACAGTACCTTACAAGTACAGGCCTTCGGGTTCGCTCTCCTGCTTCGTGCGCAGTACCCTCTCCCTCGCGGCCCGGAAATCGGCCATCTGGACGCGCATGCGCCTCTCGCGGAGGGCCATGAGACCAGCCTCGGAGCAGATGGCCTTGATGTCGGCACCCGACAGGTCATCCTTGGCGGAAATGAACTCCTCCAGGTCGACGTCCGGGTTGAGCGACATCTTGGAGGTGTGGAGCGTGAAAATCTTGCGCTTCGTGTTCTGGTCGGGGTTCTCGAACAGAATCTTGCGATCGATTCGGCCAGGTCGGATGAGCGCAGGGTCGAGCGTTTCTATCTTGTTCGTGGCCATGATCACCTTGACGTCGCCGCGGTCGTCGAAACCGTCGAGCTGGTTGAGCAGTTCCAACATGGTTCGCTGAATTTCTCGTTCGCCGCCTGAAGTCGATTCGTATCGTTTGGTGCCGATGGCATCAATCTCGTCGATGAAGACGATCGAGGGAGCGTTCTCTGCGGCAACCTACACGACGGAAAAAAAAAGAAGAAAAAAAGGAAGCGTCAGATATTGTTTCCCTCAAAATCGTTACATGCCAAGGGCGATAATTCATACCTGGAACAGCTGCCGGACCAAACGAGGGCCATCGCCGAGGTATTTCTGAATCAGCTCACTGCCTACTATGCGCAGGAAAGTGGCCGAAGTCTGGTTCGCCACGGCCTTGGCCAGCAGTGTCTTGCCCGTTCCAGGGGCACCGTAGAGGATGACACCCTTGGGGGGCTTGATGCCCATCTCCTCGTAGAGCTCGGGGTGTAGCAGGGGTAGCTCGACCGATTCGCGGACTTCCTGGATCTGATTCTCGAGACCACCAATGTCGGCGTAGGATTCGGTGGGGGCTTTGTCGAGTTTCATGACGCTGACCAGGGGATCGGTGTCATCGGTCAGAACGCCCACAACGCTGACACTCTTGTGGTGTAGCAAGACGCTGGCGCCGGGCTCGAGGAGGTCCTTGTCGACGAAGCTCATAATGCTCACGTAGTACTCGGGCCCGGTAGTGCTACTGACGATGGCGTGGTCGTCGTCAATCATCTCCTCCAGGGTGCCGACGCCCATGGGGCTGCCGCGCATGTCATCGACGCGGCTTCGCTCGTCGGCAAGACGGTCGAGCTCGTTTTCGGGGTTGACAGATGATCCCTCCTTCGCAGCCTTGGCCTTCCTCAGACGCTCCTGGTTCTCGACATATTCCTCCTCCAGGATCAGATGGTCGTGGATGCGCTGCATTCGAAGTAGACGTAATTTACATCTACTGGTAGGGAAAACGGCGGGAAGCTTGGCAGCAGCGCTGGTACCACCTGCCTTTCTCTTCTTGCGGCCAACGCGGGTAGTTGGGCGAGGAGGCGGCTCGTACTTGGGCTTCTGCTTCTGCGGAGGGGGGTTAGTTGCATGTCAGAATCGTCGGCAGAGCTAGGTCTGGTCATGCAGAGAGTCTGGCGTAGAGATAACTGGCGTACCTTCTTATCCTTGTCTTCCCGACCCTCGCCTCCACCACCCATTCCAGATTGATTTTGACCCTGCGGTTGCTTGTGGTTAGCTTGGGGAGAGCTTCAGCGGTAGTTGCGGAGCTTTCGTACCATAGTGCCTGATGGGAGCTCGGGGAGCTCTGGATATGTTTTTTTTTTTCGGACAGATGACTGAGTGAAATAGAGGTTGGCCGCCGAAGTCGATTGGCAAGAGATGAATTAATGGAGGGAACCGACCTGGGTTCCGGGCGGATAGCGAGGATGCTGATAGTAGGAAAGGGAAGGATGTTGATGGGGCGGCTCAGCAAGACTAGATGGCAAGCTCACTCCGTCCACATCACCTCTGACCTCAAGGCGTCAAAGGAACGCGACATCCGTGGCTTAAGGCTAATCTAGATTAGGTATAGACACCCACGTGACCAGCTCATAGCTTGCTGATTCATCACTTTGCAAGTTATAGGGAAAGTAGTACTCCATACTTTGTACTTTCTCCCAGAACTGTGACTATCGTATGTTCAAGGTGTGTGTGAACTCTCAGCTGCGGCGGGGCAGCCACCTCCAAGGGTACCTACGTACCAACCTTACCTATCGTCCCAGCTTATTGTTAGAGCCATATTGCTTGAACACTGCGTTATACCCACCAAGAAGAGGGTAGACCTGCCCATAACATTCTTGCCACCTTTTGGTTCCTGAATTCAGATCCTTTATTTCTAACATCATCACTTTTTGGTATTTTATTGACTTTCCGGAGGTGATCTCTGTTCACGTCACCGAGCATAAACCCCACCGAGGCCGAGCACTCTCCTGGATAACAACTTTCGATAACCACCGTGAACAACCATGTCGAGTCCAAGGGAGCGTCGTATTCTGAAAGAACTGGCTGATATTGAGGCCGACAGAGACAAGTCGGGTGTCTATGCCCAGCCCGTTAGTGAACAAAATGTGCTGCACCTCAAGGGCACCATTACCGGCCCCCCCGATACACCTTATGCCGGCGGCCGCTACATCGTTGACATTGTCATTCCGGGAAACTACCCTTTCAAGTCTCCGATAATGAAGTTCGAGACGAAAGTTTGGCATCCCAACGTTAGCAGTCAAACTGTTTGTCAACCCAGCATATCCCCTTCATTCCATTCCTACCCCTCTTCCGCTTCCCCTCGCAACCCCCACTGGCTCTGTCTCATCGTCTCCCTATCCGAGTACTCCGGCAATGGCTGACAGTTGTTACCCCTTTCTACCTGTTAGGGCGCTATTTGTCTCGACACCCTCGGCACCGGGTGGTCCCCCGTCCAGACCGTGAAGACGGCCCTGCTCTCCCTTCGCATGCTTCTCGAGTTCCCCAACCCTAAAGATCCGCAAGATGCCGAAGTGGCCAAGATGATGATGTCGCGCCCCGAAGACTTCGCGCAGAAGGCGCACGAATGGGCCGTCGTCCACGCGTCTGCGCCTCCTAATCCATCGCTTGACAAAAGTCGCTACCGTCGTGACTGCAGCCCAGAGAAGGCAGCCATCGATGAGAGCCGGTACGTCGGATGACATGGCAAAAAATAAAATTAATCATAATAATCATAAAAATACACGAGAGGAGTAGGCAGGGGAGGAAAAGCTAACATGGGCGTGTTCTACAGATACCAAGGCTACAATAGGGATCTTGTGGAGCGATTTGCCAGCATGGGGTTCGAAGTCGAAACCGTCGTGGACGCTTTCAACTACGTCGGCATAGATCGCAACAACGGACAGGACTACGAGCTCGAGGAAGCTTACATTGGCGACATTACCGCCCGTCTTTTTAACGAGCACTAGCTTCTCCTCGAATCACCCTGTTTTGACAAGCAGCATTAGGCGAGCTGCGGGTTGGGCAAATGGGATTGTCCCAGATGGGACGGGATTTCTATTAACATGCATTGCGTCGGAAGGGAAACGTGGTAAGGAAACTGGGCGTGTCGTTTTTCTGTTCTTTCTATTGCCATTTTCTCGTTCGGTATTTATTTTCCCCCGCTTTTTCTTCTATGGCGTTTAGGGGGTAGGTAATATGATTCTCGTAAACTCATGCTGCATCACTTTGACATCTTCTGGCCTCGTATGTCGGCAAAGCCTTGGCTTTCGACACGCTAAACACAACGGCAGCTGTCCATAATGTATTACAACATCCTTCCTGTATCATCAACAAGCCAAGGAACAGTGTCCGAGATCAACGACAAGCAGTATACACGATATGATTCCAGATGCTGAAACGTGGCTGCGAGAATGTGCATCTCGCCCCGAGCCTTGCCCTGTCTGTGCATGATCGCCACGCCCGCCCAGTCTATTTGGTCCTTGACAATACATTCCGAGGGCGGAAAAGACGAAACGAGAAAAGAATAAAAAAATTAAGCAACAATGTCCTAGGCAGGTAGGCGCAGCTATGCCCGCCTGCCACTAGTCCGATACCCCCACACATCCGCTTCCCCTATGCAAAAAGCAGACAGCAGACAGCAGACGGCTTGTAGAGAACCGTTCCCACTTCTAGAGATACATCCTCTCAAAATCTCCACCTTATGTTCGGGGGGACGTTCTGCTCAGAGCAGGTCGCGGCGCACAAACTCGTCGTACAGGGCCTTGCCGAGACCCGCGGGCGAACGCTCGACAATAACGCCCGCCGCCTCGAGGGCCGCGATCTTGCTGTCGGCACCGCCCTTGCCGCCGGAGACGATGGCGCCGGCGTGACCCATGCGACGGCCGGGCGGGGCGGAGATGCCGGCGATGAAGCTGACGACGGGCTTGCCGCCGGCGACGGTGTTGTTGGCGCGGAGGAAGTCGGCGGCGTCCTCCTCGGCGGAGCCGCCGATCTCGCCGATCATGATGATGCCGTCGGTCTCCTCGTCCTTGAGGAAGACCTTGAGGCAGTCGATGAAGTTGGTGCCGCTGAAGGGGTCGCCGCCGATGCCGACTACGAGGGACTGGCCCAGGCCGGCCTGGGTGGTCTGGTTGACGGCCTCGTAGGTCAGGGTGCCGGAGCGGGAGACGATGCCGATGCGGCCCTGCTTGTGGATGAAGCCGGGCATGATGCCGATCTTGCACCGGCCGGGGGCGATGATGCCGGGGCAGTTGGGGCCGACGAGGCGCGTCTTGGACTGCGTCTTGAGCATGTTGGTGATGCGGACCATGTCTGGAAATTTATGCCGCGTTAGTGAGGGAAGGGGGAGAGGGAGATGAGGGAGGGTGCGTTCGGCGGTCAGTACGGCCGGAAACTTGCGCGAATTCGTACCATGTTGCGGGATGCCTTCTGTAATGCAGACGATAAGGGGGATTTCGGCCTCGATGGCCTCCTCGATACCGGCAGCTGCCACGGGAGGGCTGGGAGGTAAGAGGTAATATTGTTAGCTGTCTTGGAATAGGTCGAAAAAGGTTCGGCATTTCCGTTCGGCGTGGGAGTGCTTACGGGACGAAGATGGCGGTGGCAGTCGCGCCGGTCTCCTTCACGGCATCGCTAACCTTGGCGAAAACGGGGAGGCCCAGATGCTCGCTGCCGGCCTTTTTCGGGTTGGTTCCGCCGACGACCTTGGTACCTATGCGCGTGTCAGACCCCTAACCACCAAGTAGGTCGACCGGCTAGTCGAATGACTCCATGTTTGTTCAGTGTTTCTTTCGTACCGTATTCGATGGCTTGTTGGGCATGGAAACTGCAAATCTCGAGTCAGCTCGGCTTCCATCCTCAAAGAAGTGCGACGCGAGCAAGTAGGAAAAGGGAAAGGAAGGGGGAGGAATGGAACTTACGTTCCCTGCTTTCCGGTGAAACCCTGGAAGAGAACCTTTGTGTCGGCATTGATGCGAAGGTTATCTATGGTCTCCTGGTAAGGGCCGGCGGAGGATACGCTGTAGGCAGCACGACGAGCAGTCTGGCGCAGCAGCTTGCTCGAGGGCCGTAGCTGTCTTGTGATGGCCTGCATTATGACGAAGGGATATATGGAGGACGAAAAGGAGATATCAAAAGCGCGGCACAATCGCAGCGCTGACAATGGCGTTGACGTTTCGGGAGCAGGGGAAAAAAAAGGGAGAACAAAGATGATATCTCCAGCTTATCTCGTCCAAGTACTTCGTAGGCGTCACAAAACCATATAAGCCAAGCAAACTCGAAGATGAAACTGGCGAAAACTTGAGCTTCTGCTATAACCAACACGGTGCTAGCTCGGCCGGGATCCTCCAAATCTCCAGACCTCGAAGGGGGGAAGCAAAAATGTCGGGAAAATTCGTGGCATGTGACGGAAGTATGATATTCCGTCTGGACCCGACTGTCATTCATTGTTACGTTGTAGGTCGGATAGCAACGGCACGTGGGTTCGGTGATGGCTTATTAGTAATCAATGGATGTAGTCGATCTGTATTAGGTAATTACCCCACGTCCCAGTTGCGTTGCCAAATGCCCGCTGCTTCCCCACAATGGATTTTATCGACTGACTGACATTTGATCGACGCACTCACACTCGACACTCAGCGACTGGACAGAGAAAAGCTACGCCCAAAATTTTCTATATCCGTAAAGTCTTCGAACAGAATCACCGCCACTTTGAACCGTATTCTCGACAATAGAACCACCATCGCATAGACACATCCTCGCACACCTTCGGTCCAATCGTCACAACGATACTGGGAGCATCGGATTACGAGGCCGACCCGACGAAGATTCTATTGTCCTATCCATTCCATTACCCTCGCCACGATGGCGACGGCGACGACAACGGCAACGGCAACGGCGACAGTCACGACAAGCCGTCGGACCAAGCCAAAGAAGGAAAATCTACCCCCCGAGAACGAACGGTTCCTTCGCTGCTGCGCCGATGTCGCCAACGCCCTCATCGAAGACCATGAAGCGTCCAAAGACCCCAAGAATCCCCCGCGGAATATCAATCTCAATGGCCTGAGGAATAGACTTTCGAAGAAACACAAACTCGCCAACATCCCGTCTTTGACCGCGATTATCGCCGCCATCCCCGAGCACTACAAGAAATACATTCTTCCAAAGCTTATTGCTAAGCCCATAAGTATGTTCCTCCCCCCAACGACTTCTGGTTCATGGATGATGGCGTAGCTGCAAGATGTGCTGCCATGTACTGACAAAGTTACAGGGACATCATCAGGCATCGCTGTGGTGGCGGTAATGTGTAAGCCCCATCGGTGTCCGCACATCGCCTACACAGGCAACATCTGCGTCTACTGCCCGGGCGGTCCAGATTCGGACTTTGAATACAGCACGCAGTCGTACACCGGCTATGAACCGACATCGATGCGGGCCATCCGGGCGCGATACGATCCCTTCGAACAGGCACGTGGGCGTGTCGACCAACTCAAGTCGCTCGGCCACTCGGTCGATAAAGTGGAATACATCATCATGGGCGGCACGTTCATGTCATTGTCCGAGTCGTATCGGGAGGATTTCATCGCTCAGCTGCACAACGCGCTCAGCGGCTACCAGACATCCAACGTGGACGAGGCGGTGGAGGCGGGCGAAATGAGTAACGTCAAGTGCGTCGGCATCACCATCGAAACCAGGCCCGACTACTGCCTGCAGCCGCATCTATCCGACATGCTACGGTACGGTTGTACGAGGTTGGAAATCGGCGTGCAGTCGCTGTATGAGGACGTGGCGCGGGATACGAACCGAGGACACACGGTGGCGGCCGTCGCAGAGACGTTCTGCCTCGCGAAAGACGCCGGCTACAAGGTGGTCAGCCACATGATGCCGGACCTCCCCAACGTGGGCATGGAGCGGGACATGTACCAGTTCCAGGAGTATTTCGAGAACCCGGCCTTCCGGACCGACGGCCTCAAGATCTACCCGACCCTCGTGATCCGCGGCACGGGCCTCTACGAGCTGTGGCGCACGGGGCGGTACCAGAACTACACGCCGAACGGGCTGGTCGACCTCATCGCCAGGATCCTGGCGCTCATCCCGCCGTGGACGCGCATCTACCGCGTGCAGCGCGACATCCCCATGCCGCTGGTGACGTCGGGCGTGGAGAACGGCAACCTGCGCGAGCTGGCGCTGGCGCGGATGAAGGACTTTGGCACGACGTGCCGCGACGTGCGGACGCGCGAGGTGGGCGTCAACGAGGTGAAGCACAAGATACGGCCCAACCAGATCGAGCTCATCCGGCGCGACTACGCCGCCAACGGCGGGTGGGAGACGTTCCTGGCGTACGAGGACCCGAAGCAGGACATCCTCGTCGCGCTGCTGCGGCTGCGCAAGTGTACCGAGAAGTACACGTTCCGCGAGGAGCTGGCGGGCCAGCCGACGAGTCTCGTGCGCGAGCTGCACGTCTACGGCACGGCGGTCCCGGTGCACGCGCGCGACCCCAAGAAGTTCCAGCACCAGGGTTTCGGGACGCTGTTGATGGAGGAGGCGGAGAGGATAGCGAGGGACGAGCACGGTAGTGATAAGATCAGCGTCATTTCGGGGGTTGGTGTGAGGAGTTATTACGCCAAGCTCGGGTATTGGCTGGACGGACCGTACATGAGTAAATGGTTGGATGGGAGGAGTAAAGAGGGCGGGAAGGGAAGCTAGCCGAGAGAGAAGGGGTGAGAGAAAATGAGAATAAAAAGCAATGCCGGCGAAGGTAGGTATTGTACATCTATAGATGAGGCATGCGGTTGAGTTTCCGGTGAAATGTCCGAGTCAATAGCCAACCTCACTCGTTTTTCGTCGACTTCCCCCCCCCCCCCCCCCCCCCCCCAAATGGAGAAAGTGCACGAGGGAGGTCAAGGCATCCCCACCCGACCAAGCCCATCCTCCCATTCCCGCAAGCAGCGCAAGACACGCTCGCCCGCCTTCTCCCGCAGCGTGCTCTTCTGGAACGGCGTCATCTCGCGCAGGACGTAGTCCGAGACATGGGCCTTTTCGCGGGCGGCGGGGCGTCCGATGCCGACGCTCACCCTGGCCCAGCGCGCGCCGGGGAAGTCGGCGGGGCGCAACGACGCGTTGACGCTCTTGACGCCGTTGTGGCCGCGGTGGCTGCTGGTCCATTTGCGCAGCTTCACGACGCCGAGGTCTTCTTCTAGGTCGTCGTGGATGAGGAGGAGGCTTAGCGGCGGCGGCGGCGGTGACGATGGCGGTGACGGTGACGATGGCGGAGGCGATGCGACGTCGGTGGGAGCACGAGAACCCGAGTCTGGCGTGTAGCGGGAGTTGAGATCGCGGTAGGCGCGTGATACCCAGCGGCCTGAGATGTTCATGAGGGAAGGGGATTGTAGGAGCGCATACTGGGGCCCTATGGATGCGAGGACTGATTTGGAGGCATGGCGTTCGGATGTGAAGGCAGGTTGGGATGGGCCGAGGAGGGGTCGGAGGGCTGTGAGGGCGTGGTGGCCGGCGGAGTGGAGGGTGTTGAGGTAGGGCGCCGGATTACCGAGGCTGATGAGGACGATACGGGGGTGGGTCATTAGAGCTTTGGTTTTGGAGTTTGGGGGTTAGGTTAGAGACGACGAGGGAAAAGTTGGAGGTAGTCAATCTACCTTAGAGTTGTGAGATGAGATGGAGGTTGTGTTGGGTACATAAATGTATGTACCTTAGGACGAGGTGGATATAAAATTTAAAATAAATCTTAAAATAAATTGAAGATCGCGGTCGGATAAATTGGGGTTTTATTATTTTATTATCGACATAGCTCGGCGTTTTATTAGCTGCACCGCCGTGTCACCCAGAACTTCAGCCCCTTTTCCAACGACCGGTGCGACCTTCAAGAGGAAGCACGATTTATATCTCCCGTTTATTTATTTATTCTTCTTTTCATCAGGTTGCACCATCCTATCGCTTGAACCGGCTGCGCTGCCATCTGCGACTATTTAATGTCTAATTCTCTACACAATCAGGCTGTGCAAGGGGCCCCGAGACTGCTTTGTTAATTTTTCATTTATTTTCCTGTCTAATTGTTCAATACGGATACTTGAAGCCATCGCCAGTTGTTGGACATTTGATTTCTCCGAGTCTTGCGGCTTCACCACCCCTTGTCTGAGTTGCACTTACACCTCAAATATCCAGGGGGATTCGCACATTAGTTCTATCTACCAGACCAGTTTCTTATATTATGTAGAGTATATATATGCGTCGCGTCCATTAACACTTCCTACATCACACGCACAAGTCGATGCGCCGCACCCCTCCAACTCCCGCTACAAAAGCAGCCCAAATCAAAAGGTAAACTTCATCAACGCCGGATTCAGAAGGACAGGCAACGCAAAGTGGCATCCCGTCAGCCACGCCAGGGGATAAATCGACGCGAACGTGCTGATGCGCCACTCCCGGGGGAAGAAGAAGACGCCGCAGACCATGAGCCCGGTCATGGCGAAGCAGAAGAGGAACGTGCCCCAGAAGCTGCGGAAGATCTTGGGGATCTCCTGCATGAAGTTGCAGCTCTCGACTTCCTTGGACGTGGCGCCCCATTGGATGTTGATTTCGAAGAAGTGGCAGAGGAGCGCTTTGGAGACGTGCAGGGAGAGGCCGCCTAGGAAGATGGAGAAGAGAGGGACCCATTTGAAATTGTTCCAGACTGGTTTTGTTAGGAAAGACCCTCCATGTTGGGAAGGGGGGGGGGGGATGCAGGGGAAATAACTCACTGGCGCTGATAAAGCCCTGCTCTCCCAACCTGTACCGCAGCACGGCCAAGGCGACGTTGCCAGCCAGGGGGAAAACCACGACAATAGAAACGTAAATCGCAAACGAATCGAGGTAGTACTGGTCGTAGAGACCAAACATCCACCCCGTCAAGAAGTAATTCATCAGCGTGAGCATCCACGAAATGCCAATGGCGTAGTACGTCCCAATATAGGCCAGAATGGTCAGCTTCCGGAACATGTGAATGTTCGAGGAGAGGAACCGTCGGAAAAGCGGCGTGAACGGCCCCCGGACCACCCACAGGCGGAACGGGTGGAAAAGCAGCTCGTTGACCCCGTACGCGTACTTCTCCCACCGCGCCAGCTCGTCGTACACCGTGAGCGAGACGCCCTCCTTGAACCCGTCGCCCGAGTAGGCGCCGAAGCGCAGCGCGTACCCGGACGTCTGCAGGCGCAGCGCCATGTCGAAGTCCTCCGAGACGTGCGACTCGGACCAGAACTTCTCGTAGCCGTCTTCCTCGTCCATGTAGGCCGCCGCGTCTTGCAGGGCCGCCCAGCGGAGGACGGCGTTGTGGCCTACGAAGGGGGGGATGTCGCCGTTTGCCACGGCGAACTTGATGGATGTGTAGATTAGGTTGGTGAACCAGGTGACGCTGATGATGATCGCATGTTAGCCTCGGCCTTTGGTTTTTTTTTTTTCTTTTTCTTTTTTTTTCTTAAAAAAAAAAGGGGGGGGGGGGGGGGTCAGGAAAGTCCTCACGCTTTCTCAAAGAACGAATCCGTCACGTTCATCACCCCCGACGTGTACTGCAGGATGGCAATCTCCGGGGACTGCTCCATCTCACTGACGGCATCGAGGAGACAATCCTCCGGCACTCTCGTATCCGAGTCAATGAGCAGGATATAATCACCCATGCGAATATTCCCCTCCGCCCACGTCCGGCCCTCATCCTCCTCAAGCACCGTGGCCAGCGCCTCCGCGTACGCCTTATCCTCGGCCTCCTGGTCCCACCCAGCCCCGCGCACCACCTGGCTCAATTTCTCTTCGATCCGGTTGCTGACCATGAGCCCGTAGTTCATGTTCGACGCCTTCTTGAAGCGCCCGCGCCGCAGGAACGGCCGCTCGCCGTCCTCGGGCTTGGGGTTGTGCGGCGGCCGCGCGACCCAGCCGATGTTGTGCTCCTCGTAGAAGTCGCGCCGGGCCTGCGCCTCGTGGTCGGGCAGGAGCTGCATGCCGTCGTCGTTGACGAAGATGTTCGCCGTCCCCCCTTGCATCTCGTAGGTCGACATGGCGGCTTTGAGGGAGAGGACCGTCGGGCGGATGACGGGGCCGAGACCTTCCTTGTAGACCGGCATCTGGATCGTCACGTGGGGGCGTGCTTGCATCTCTCGCTTGAGCCGCTGCGGGGGCTTGCCGGAGTAGTTTCGCGAGTTGGACAGGATGTTCGAGATGGGCCCTGCGATCTGGAAGATGTCGCAGACGATGATTTGGAAGAAGAACTGCCGGACGAGTGCAGGTCAGATCAATGCCTTAGTTCTTCCCGATCGTGACGAGGGGCGAGAGGGATCCCTTACCAGGCTGACAAAAAAGGTAAACGGTGACACGGCGATCAAGGCCATCCGTACATAATTTCCGTCGACTGAGCTCTGCATCGAGAGATGCCTCCACCCGAGACCAAGACAGGTGAATGAAAGGGCTAGTGTTATCCCGACCATGAGGGGACTGATCAGCCGGATAGGTCTGGGGTCGACCGGCTGCCCCTTTTCCGGATCCGACGGGTCAACCTCTTCGACCTGGACATGGGGACTGGTTTGCTTCTCCTCCTCGTCCGCCTGCTCTTCCATGTCTTCCTCGTTCCAGATGTGCCGGATGAGGGTCTTCTCAAGGCTCTCCGCCCGCGCGAGAACCTTGTCTGCTTCGTCATCCCAGATCACCATCAGAGGCGGGTCGAGGATGAAGGCGGCGAAGTGATGCTTGTGACACCGAGGCAGATCCGACATTCGCGGCAACACTTGCAATTTCAAGTTTCCGGAGATTGGGACGTAGGGGGGGTTTCCCAACTTGCCCACCGCAGTGATGACTGAGTGGATGACGGGCGTGCTGAGGGTGATGGCGCACTAGAAGTGTTTTTGGGTGAGCACATCGTGAAAAGGGGGGCCCGAGGTAGGACCCAAAAAAAAAAAAAGGGGGGGGGGGTTACGGGAAATAAATAGGGAAAACATGCCACATACGCGAACGTTCAGTTGACACACCATATCGTAAAAGCCGCCTGGGTACTGCCTCAGCTCAGGAGGGGCGCAGACCCATTCGTTCCGGGCCTTCTTCAGCACGGCGCCCTCCCAGGTGTGGTAGGCCGAAGCATACATCCTCCGCAACTGGTCTTGCCACAGACTGTGGACGACCACGTCGGCTCTGAGACCTTCGAGGTCATGTTTCTCGCCGAGTCGCGACGACGATGACGATGCGATGACGGCGGAGACGCCGGAGCTTCCCCTTTTATCGGCCCGCGAGGGAGAGGTGTCGGACGGGGATCCGGGTTGTTCGCGCCGCTTTCCCGATGCCGACTGCGGTGTTTCTGTATCGGGCTTGTCGGGAGTGAAATACCGCTTGAAGGCCTTCATGTTGGGGCCTCTGACAGCCGAAGTTGCCGAACCGTCAAGTCAAGTTGTAGAGAACGGGTGTCCGCCGGGTCACCGAGTCGAATTCACCGGCCGAGAGGAAGCACAGGTAGTCGCGTGGAGACAAAGAACATGATGCCATAGAAAGATGGTGAACGGAAGGGGGGCAGTATATAAGAGAAGGAGAAAAGGGGACTGACTGCATGACGCGACTAGGGGAGGGACATGGCTGGGAAGACTTTTTGCTTCTTGATGGTAGCATTGGAAGAGCAACGCTGCAGGTAGGTAGGCGTCAGGGCTGATGGGGATGGGTTCGATGGATTATGGGAAATGCTATCGGATCTTGCCGCGGAACAGAGCCCGCTCTCTCATGTTTATTACATTGTCTCTCAGTGACAGCCGTCCTTCTCTAATACAGGGGCTTCGAAGCGAATACGGCCAGAACGGTCCAGCGTCAGCTCGGTCTTTCCTATTCTCCCATTGCGTCCGCCGACCAGGCCACTGGGGCGACCAGTCACCGGTGAGGGACTTGCATGGAAGCCAAGCTGGTTGCGGCTTCTGACTGGACACAAGGATGGGATCAAGATGGTGGTGTGAACGTGAATATGGACGTGAACGTGAATGTAAAAGCGAGATAACGAGAGATATGTGGTGTGGAACCATGTGGTGTGGTGGTGGAGGAGAGGCCGCTCGACCATCTGCAATCCATCGATATATGCCTTCTTTGGGAAAATTGGCTTGGCTTGGACTGGCTTGGCGAGCTGATATACCGCTGCAGGAGATGCATACTACTGCGCAGGTGGGCCATGTTGCCTGGCTAAGCAACTTACTTGCTGCCTCTGGGTCCGAACATGAAGATACCGTTGCCACGTAGCGAGCATGAAATCCATACCGAATGTAGATAGGTCGGGCCAATTCAGGAAGGGCAAGGGTGATTAGAGCCAGCCAGTCTTCCTCATCAAGTAGGTAGGAACCTTATGAGCTGCTGTTGCGGTGTGGGAGCCAGGCCATGTGCCCTTTGTGTTAGGAGTAGGGGTTGTTAAAGGGGTGGGGGTGGGGGGGGGGGGGGGTTAACAAAAAAAAAAAAAAAAAGCAGCGAGCTGAGATTTTGGGGGGTTGGAACGAAGCCAGGGAGCCCAGGCACCAAGGTCCAACAGTCGGGGGTCGGGGACCACTCCAAGTTCAACGTGATGGACCCATACGTGTGCAGAATGCATGCGCCTGCGACGCCTGGTATAGACCTACGAAGTAATTAGCAAAGAACGAAACACAAACTCAACTACTGAGCCTTGGCCTCGGGACCGCTGATCCGGCCGGAGCCGGGGCAAGGGTCTTGCACATGGATCATGGTTCTTGGATGATGAACCTATTTATCAAGCGTCGGTAGGGTGTGTGTTGTGCTTCGTTTGATCGCAACGGACTACTGGGATAGATCAAAGGGGAACGCCGTTGCCTCGTACTTCACTCTGTGCTGTTTGTGTCGGGTTGAACCAGATAAGAAACATGAGGTGAAAAGCCAGCTGTTGATGGCCGAGTCATCTTGCCTACCTTACCACTCTTTACTTGACCAAGACAAGGACCGCAATGCATGTCTGGTCTGGCTTGAAGTCTGTCTGGTAAGTTGTAAGTTGTAACATCGTCAGGTGTCAGGGATACGGTCACCCTTCCCTGAATTCTCATCAATACCTAAATTCATCAGCACAGAAGACAGGATTGTGTCTAAGGTCCTGAGTATCCCTATCTCTCAGCCTGTGGTGGAAATGGGGCCTCCGGGGGAGAACCGAGATGGAGACCTGCGCTGGTGCGGTCAAAAGTTGCTAGTCAGCCGTCTTCATTAGGCACAAAGTACCAAGTACTTGGTAATCAGTGCCTTCTCCCCGCCTGCCATTGGCCCGTTGCCAGCGGACATTTCTCTGGTGCCGGGCGTGCCTTGATGCCGAGATCCATGGCGGTCTCGGCGGTAGACTTAGTGACAAGGGTCCAAGGAACAGGCCGAAAAAAAGGAAAACGAGGCGAAGGAGGGTCGACTGCCTTCTTTTCCTTTTTCCTTTTTCCTTTTTTCTTCTTCTTATTGTTCGTTTCCAAAACAACCAAATCTTCGTGTATCTCGGCCCGGTTCGACATTTTAACGTGATGAGACAGGGCTACCTTAGGAACAGGACCGCAGCTACACCACCACATCGACCGCCATTTCAACATTCATCGAGGTTCTTAGCATTCATCGTAGGTACTTCGTATTGTTATGGAATTATCATAAAATGCTTGAAAGAGGAAAACGGTCTTCGCAATGTGGAGCAAATTAGCCTAGAGCGGACGGCAGCTCCTGAAAGAAGGTTTCCGGCCAGTGGGGGGGAGAGACATGGGAGAGACGGGAGACCCCGCGCGGACCGTATTCAAGGAGTGGATAGAGGCGGCTAAGGTATACAACGTACGTTGTATGTAGGTAGTGTATACGTACAATGTATGGTTCGACAAGCGTCCGGACGGGTGGGTGTGGGTGGTATCCATTGATCCTACCATGTACAGGATACCTTACACATGGGCCACCTGAAAATATCCCGGGCTTGGCATGGCCGGCGACGCTTTGTACCTGATGAGTGTGGCTGCGGCACAGGGCGGGCCAGAGCGAGGTGTCCAAGATAAGGGCAATGTTCTGAACAGTCTGGATAAGGTATTCAGCAAGCCCGTTCAGTGTTTAATTAGATGGCCTTCGATGCTTGATAAGGAGGCAGAACATTTGAACGTGTGGGTGCAAGTGAATTCATGGACGGGAGCGGCATCCGTGGACCATAACTACTTCGTAGATCATAGGACTGGCAATATTTAAGACTCACCTGAAGACGGGTAGCGATGTAACCCTACACGGCGACCGGCACCACGGGTGGGGTGACGGGAGGCTTTGTATAAATGTACACGTGTAGTCCGTTTCGTACAGCCAAGCCAGTGCCAGAAGTCTACTCGATACGACACAATTACAATACAGAAAGCATGAAAAATAAAAAATAAAATACAATAAAAAGGAGAGAAAAAGTGATACATGCAGCACTTGCGGTGCCTGGGGTGGGTCTATCCGTACTCCCTTGTCCAAAAGGAATGCATCCATGATAGATGGAAGAGGTTTGTAGGAGTACGGGAGGGTTGATACTAGGTTAGGAGGAACAGTTAGCTCAGGCTGGTGGTGGCTTCCGCAGTCTTGGGCAAGGGCTTACGCCGGCCTGGGCTTTCCCGCCGAACATGTTGGGGGTAAGTGTCCGCATTAAGTAACCTCCTTCGTATACCTAATTGGAGAAGAGCAAACAAATGCAAACATGAAAACACCGACTTCTGATCAAACGAGAAACAGCAAGGGGGAGCAAAGATTTCACTCTATGGCGTCAACGCCACACAGAAAGCCACCGCGACTTGCTGGGATTAATCACCCCATCACCAGAGCTCCCGCCCCCCCCCCCCGACACCCAACAGACACTCCGAGTACCCCGTAGTCCTCCAGTTATCCCCTATAAGCCCGCTGGAGTGTATGGGTGGTAGATGGGCAGGACCCAAGAGCCTCGACCGAATCCATGCAGTCTTGGGTGCCTTACACACACCATTTCTCTTTGTGAAAGATTTTCAGCTAGCTAGTCCCTCCCCTTCTCCTATAACTTTTTTTCTTCTTTTTTCTGGGATCTGACAGGCACCTGTCAATACTTGTATGTAGGATGATGAATGAGCGACTATCAGTTACATGGCTACCATGGATCTGGGTTCCAGGCCAAAACGACGGTTAAATCGTGTCTTATCACGTAAAGAAAGATGTTGCATAAGCCACATAAGGTAGGATACGGATACGGGAACCATAACAGTAAGAAGAAAAAAGGTCTCTGGAACCAAGTTACCAACAATAACAGCTTAGTAAAAGTGATGCAAAGCAGAAATTCCGGCGTGTGAACCAAGTATCACTGGTATAAGCTCTAAAGCATGAATTCCACCAGAGAAGAGTAATAAGAGAGAAAGGGGAAGAGAAAGAGACAAAGGGAAAGGAAACAAAGGGAAAAGAAAAAAAAAAGCAGTTAGCAACTGAACGTTTCGATCGTTCGACCTCCGGGTTATGAGCCCGGCGCGCTTCCGCTGCGCCAAGTTGCTTGTGTTATGCTCCGTCTGACTAATCACAAGCAATGGGAACCTATGACCCTCAAGCTGCCGAGGTCGACAGATGCCGCGCCACGCTAACGTGACTTGGGTGTGGCGCAGCTGTGTCCTGCCTCACTTCTTGGCCGCTGACGTCGTCGCCAGGCGATTGGGCTTCGTCCGCGAAGAACCAACAACACAAGAGAATATTCGTGCCAATCCGATCCAGCATCTCATTCCCTTCCGACTCGACACCGACCACTACACACTACAACCTGCAAACATCCTACTATCGCCGCGATAGACGAACATCAATATTTCCGATCAACTTTAATACATCACACGAGTAGATCACCATACCTAGACCGTTCCCCGCACAGTACTCGCCATGTCTTGGGCAGGTAAGCTGCGAAACGCCTCTCCGCTCGTGTCTCTTCAACCAGAGACTAGCCTCCGTTGTAGGATAGTAGGGCCGCTGACATTCTATGCTATGCAGGCTTCAAGAAGAATGTGAACCGCGCGACGACGCAGGTTATGATGAAGACGGGTCCGTGAATCGTCCTACATCCCCTCCCCCGCCGCACGACCCGATCTCAAAAAGAACAACACCTGACTCTCTATACCAGGGCACGTGGAAAAGACAAACGATCGGGACTATGAAGTCGAAGAGAGGTGCGTGGGTTTATTACCGGTCGGCTACCCGTCATCACCGAGCATCGTGCTAAGATTCGGAACTACAGGCGATTCAAAACTATGGAAGCCGCCGCGTTACGGCTGCAGAAAGAGTCCAAGGGCTACCTAGATTCACTCCGAGGCAAGTCTGCGCAGTTGCGTGTCTATCGGCGTTTCGGCGTGCATTGAGTAACCGAACCGACTTGTAGCTATGACTGCGTCTCAGATGCGCATTGCCGAAACCATAGATGCCTTCTACGGCGACTCCGGTGCCAGGGACGGCGTAAGCAGGAGCTACAAGCAAGCAGTCGAAGACTTGGATGCCGAGACCATCAAGGCCCTCGATGGCCCCTATCGGACGACCGTTCTGGATCCCATCTCCCGTTTTTGCGCCTACTTTCCCGACGTCAACGAATGTACGTCCACACGGCCTCTAAACCTACTGTCTGCCATCCAAGTCCCATCTCTTCTACTAACGAACCTGCGCCTTCCCCCCCACAGGCATTAAGAAGCGCTCTCACAAACTCCTCGACTACGATGCCCTCCGCGCCAAAGTAAAGAAGCTAGTAGACAAGCCCGACAAGGACGTGACGAAGCTGCCCCGCGCCGAGAAGGAAATGGAAATGTCCAAGGCCGCCTACGAACAACTCAACGAACAGCTCTCCACCGAACTCCCCCAACTCATCGACCTCCGCGTACCTTACCTCGACCCCAGCTTTGAGGCCCTCGTCAAGATCCAGCTCCGCTTCTGCGCCGAGGCGTACAGTCGCATGGCCCAGGTGCAGCAATACCTCGACGCCGATACGCGCGAGCAGTACGCCCAGGGCCACCTCGATGCACGTGTCGAACAGGTATTGCAAGAGATACGTGAACTAAGCATCGCTGGCACGGTATAAACCGGCTTTACCCAAAAGAAGAAGACGTGGGGGTGATGGTCGCAGATGTATGATGTCTACGTTGACGGGCGGCTTCAGAGCGTTGGCTATGGTCTTACGGCCGTTACGGATAAGCAAACGGGAGTGGTAATGTTATGGTTAGACCGGTTACCTGGGCCTTTTGAGAAAACACTGGCTGCGGACGACTGTTTTACAAAAGCGTGTTCGGAGCAACACCATCGAAAATCCACTTTGTACAGGAAAAGCTGATGAATAGGCACGCACGTTCCTGAAATTAGGTACCATGTTCCCTACTTCGTGTCATCCCAAGGTCGCCCGGCTGATCCTGGAGGTCCCTAAGCCTGCTCCCCATCACCGCCGTCGGGGACCGCAGGCCGATCGACCAGCGTACTAACCACCAGCTCCGTTCCGTGAGGCGAGAAATAGATCGTCAACGTTCAACCTCTGCCCCACCGTTCCTCCAGTCGTGCGACTCGGGGCTTCCGCGGCCTGCACCGGCCGCTCTTGTTGTGGATAGTTCGGCACGCCCGGCTCCTCGACGTCATCCTCTTCTCCGTGGCCGGCGCGCACAGACCGGATTGCCTCCTGCACCATAGCGGCGTTGGTCATCCTCGTTTCCTTGTCGTCGGCGTGGATCCACACGCCGACGACGCGGCTGCCGTCGTCGGATGTCTGGTCGCCTCCGCTTCCGCTTGCGACTTGGACCGGGTGGTGGGCGTCGCTAGGGGATTCCGGTTCCGGTTCCATGTTAAAGATGTAGATTTCGTCCATGACCTCAAAGTGCGCGACGCGGCTGAGGTCTAGGATCTTGTTCTCGAGGCCCCTGCGGTTGAGGACGAAGAGGCAGGCACCTGGCTTTGCCGCCGCCGCAGGGTCGGGCTGCAACAGACACAGGAAGTAGGTCCCTTCGATGCCGGCGCGATCCCAGGAGGAGGTGGAGGAGTTGAAGGAGTAGACGACGGCGTTGGCGGCGATGCTCAGGATGGTGTGGATGGAGGGTAGGTAGCGCTGGAGGACGGAGAGGTTGAGTTCGGTGTTTGTGCGGTTGATCAGGGCGGGGTTCGGTGGGGGGAGCTGGCTCTGTTGGTTGTCGAGTAGGAGTTGTTGGTGGGCGGCATCGGAATCGTAGTCGGAGGCTTGGCCGTGGCGGTGGGAGTTGGAAGGTTGGCGCCCGTGGGTGCGCTTGCGCGGTGTTGGGCCGACCATTTCGTGGCGCCGAGATTATCCTATCCTGCTCTTTTGCGCAACGACTCGGCGAAGAAAGGTGGGAATGCAGTAGTGCGATTATGGCGAGGGCTATATGTTCGATCCCGCAAATCTGAGCGATCGCCGTGTGGCTCTTCGTACTTCTGTCTGGGAGTCAGGACGTGGGAGCTGGGAAAGCACAGAAGGTATTGGCTGAAGTCGGACAGGGTTTGTGATAGATGAAGTCGCCTCTACTTACATTGAATCCAAAGACGTGACCGCTGAAAATGCGTAAATAGTACTGGGGTATTTCAAAGGTTCGATGCCGAAAGTTGTACAGAGAAGGTTGGGTTTTGGTCAAGGCTTCGTTCGGAGCACTCAGTCCGCCTACATGCCGTAACCTCAAGGTACCTACACGGAGTAGCTTCAAGCCACGAGGGCTGACTGAGGCTGGTTGTACCTTATCTCTTGACTTATCTCTTATCACTTATCATTTACCCCTCCATTCTTCTCCAAGGGCGTGATCACAGGTAGCCCCACAATTTATGATGTACGTACTCTGCACGAGGACTCGGCCGCATAACTATAATCTGCCTGCATTCGCGACTTGATCTGGGGGTTCAATGTTTCCATCTGTCTTCTCATTCTCCCTTGTCTCCCTTTCCTACTCTGTACACTCTACCGATCGACTTTCACCATTTCTTAACTCTCAACATCTCCGTGGTTTTATCTCGCCTGTTACTTTGAATCCACACGCTCCGACTCTCCGTCATATTCTTTCTTCTATCCTCCCGTCCACTGGCATTCCCTCTCCCTTCCCTTCCCGCCTTGTCTTCGCTAATATATTGTTTACCAAACACTGCGCCGTCCCTTTCTAGGCCTTTCAATAACCATGCAACAGCCGATATCTGATTAACAACAAGTGGAAGGCATCGAACTATTGCTTTCCCCCCCTCCAAGTAAACGAACGGCTCTTACCGTAGGCCCCGTGGCGAGTCGACAAGTCCATCTATCATGGCTGTCACCGACCCATCCCAACCCGACAGCTCGACGCCCTCGGACCCTATCGATCTCACATCTACCCCGGTATCCCTCGCTCGCGCCGTCCATGCCCGTCGGTCCGAGTACGTGCGGCCCCACCGAGTTCGCGTCAAGGTTGGCTCCTGGAACGTTGCTGCTTGCCCAGGAACGGACAAGGACCTCGCCAGCTGGTTTGTCGACGGGAAGGGCGTGGATAAAAGCTTGGCCACCCTCGATATCTCCCATACACGGGCTGTCGAGGATGAGTCCTATGGCTCAAAAAGAGCCGGGTCGTCCGAAGATGACGGCAGCGAGGTTCGACTCGTAGGAGGGGACCAGATCGGCCTCTACGTTCTGGGCTTGCAAGAGATTATCGACCTCAACAGAGCCAGGGAGGCCGTCAACCGCATGTACTACGACCCCGGGCCGATGAACAAGTGGAAGGAAGCTTTGGAACGGGCTATGCCACCCGGTTACAGGCTCATCACGGCCGAGCAGATGTCGGGCTTGCTTCTCCTCATATACGCCTCCACCGAAGTGGCAGCAACCGTCAGCAACGTGAGCACCGTACAAGTCGGGACGGGGTTGCTTGGATACCTCGGAAATAAAGGGGCGGTAACGACGCGCATTCTCCTCGGCGAGACCACGCGCATGGTCTTCACCAACTCCCACCTCGCTAGCGGCGCGGAACAGGTTTACCTTGAGAGGAGACTGTGGGATTATGGCCAGGTTCTAGCGCGGACGCAATTCGAACCCATCCGGCTTCCCGGCATGTCGGAAGCAGAATGCCCGTCGGAGAAGATCGGCGACGAGGATTTCGCGTTTTGGTTGGGCGATCTCAACTTTCGTCTCGACGGACTGCCTGGTGATGACATCCGGCGGCTCCTCATGCTTCATTCCCGGGGAGAATACGACCTGACCAAGAAACAACCGTACTTGGAAGGCGAGGAGGGCTTTGTTGTCCAGAGCGCAGATAGTGACGATGACGACGAGTCGACGGTGGAATCATCCACATCCCGGAGTACGGTCGTCGACGAGTCCGATAGCTCTTTGCCCGATCCAGACGATTTCTTGCCCGATCCGCGTGATGATCCCGGATCGCTGCAGGCCACGCTGGACTCGTTGTTGCCTCATGACCAGCTACGCCGTGTCATCAAGCAGAGGAAGGCCTTTCACGACGGCTGGCGGGAAGGTCCCGTCACATTCCTCCCATCCTACAAGTATGACATTGGTACCGTCAGCCTTTTCGACTCGAGCGAGAAACAACGTGCCCCCAGCTGGTGCGACCGCATTCTCTACCGGACAAGGAGAGACCGGGAGGAGTACGAACGGAAAATCAAAGAAGAAGAAGCCGCCAAGGAGAAGGATGCTGAGATGAAGGCCCGCGGCATGGAGGACGCGGCTGACGACGACGATGTGTTGTTCAGCTGCGATCCAGAGGAAGACGCTGAGACGGAGGAGCAACGACCCAAGAAGACATCCAGTTTCGACGAATACGATGACTACAACGAAGATGAGGACGCCGATAATAGGGTACGAGAAGGAGAAAGAGGAGGAGAAGAAGGAGAAGAACAAGTCACCAAGGAAGGGTTCACCGATCAAATACAGCTCGACATATACACCTCCCATCAGCGGATAACATCATCGGACCATAAACCTATAGTTTCTATTTTCACAGTCGACTACAATGCGGTGGTACCCGAGCTCAAGGCAGCGATCCATGCCGAAGTGGCCAAGGAACTCGACCGCGCTGAAAACGAAGGCCGGCCCCTCGTCACGGTGGTAGTGGATTCCCAGGATGGAACCGGCAAGGAGCCGCCAGGTCGACTGGCCGACCAAGGCGAACCGATCGACTTTGGCGAGATCAGCTTCATGGGAAAGCACACGACATACCTGACGATAGCCAACACCGGCCAAGTACCGGCCAAGTTTGCATTTGTTGAGACGCCGTCTATTGTGGATCACGACAGCTCAAGTGCACCACAGTGGCTCAACGCATCTTTCAGGCGACGGGAATCCGATGCGGATGAGACGCAGGAGGATGCGGTGGACCTCGGAGACGAGGTCAAGTTGGAACCCGGCGAGACGCTGAGCGCGGTTCTCGAGGTGATGGTGGACGATCTATGGCACGTTCGAGCGCTGAATGACGGCCGGGCGAAGCTCGAGGACATCCTCGTGCTCCGGGTCCGAGACGGTCGTGACCATTTCATTCCCGTGCAGGCGACGTGGCTGCCTACGTGTTTCGGACGATCCATTGAAGAACTGATCCGGGTCCCGAGCGGCGGCATCCGCGCGTTCGCAAAGGAACGGGAACGGGCGGGTGGTCCAGGCGGTGGTGGTGCCATCTCCTACGACCTCGAGGTGCACAGCGCCGCCCCGAGGGAACTGTTCAAACTCACGGAGATGCTCGAAGCGCTGACGACGCGCGCCCTGGCCGACGCGAGTATGCTCGACCAGGAGGTCGTGCCGGCCGATAAGCCGGGGTGGCCCCTGGACGAGTCCGCCTGGGTGTTCCGAGACGAAGAAGAGCGCCGCGCGCAGAAACTGTCCCTCATCGAGGCGCTCGACACCGACAAACCGCTCGCCGACGCGCTTCCCCTCGACACGCCGTCGCCGCACCGCCTCGAAGTCGTGTCCGAGGTCCTCCTCCTTTTCCTCCGCGGCCTGACCGACGGCATCATCACGGCGCCGTTGTGGGCCAAGATCGAGGTCGCCCTGCCCCAGTTGTCATCCGCGCCTGCGCCTGCGTCGTCGTCATCGTCGTCGTCGTCGTCGTACCCTCTCCGAAGGACCCAGGAAGCCGAAGCCGGAGCGGAGGACGATAAGGAGGCGATCCTCGACATTCTCTCCTCCGCGCCGAACCATAACATCGCCTTTGTCTTCCTCGCGGCCGCCCTGTTCAAGGTGGTTGAGGAGTTGGCGCCGCTGTCGAGGGCGGATGTTGGGGCGTTGACGTCGCCGGTGTCGCCGGTGAAGAGGATCAGTGCGCTTGGGCGGCATAGTCTTGGCTTTCGGCGCAATGGGGGCGGCAGTGGCGGCGGCGGCAACAACGGCAGCAACAGCGGCGGCGGTAACAGTTTGGCCGTCGCCGAGGCGGCGCTGGGGAGACGGAGGGCGAGGGAGAGACGGTTTGCGGAGATTGTGGGGAGGGTGGTGTGTCGGGTCGGGTTGCCGGCTAAGGAGAAGGAGCGGAGGGCTGTGGAGGAGAAGATGAGGTGTGTCGTGGAGATGTTTTTGAGGAAGCCCCTAGATTCTTCGTGAGAAAGTGCCCTTGGGAGAGCTTTTCTTGTTCTGTGTTCACTCTCATCAGCCCAAGTTGGATGCTTGTAGGCTGTGATCAATAGACGGGGATTCTCAACGGTTACGTTTCAGCAAGTACCTGTATCATACACCATGATCGTTTCAACCAGTTTTATGTCTTTCGAGACGAGTTTTCCTCGGTCAGGTGTCGCTGTGTGAGGTCGGGGCAGGGGGGTTTGGGTGACAGACAGTGAGTGAGCCAGGACGAGAGCGGTGTAGGGGGTTTTCGCTCCTCGCTATTTCGTTAGTGGTGCCCATTACCACCAAAGCGTGAAGGAAGTGGGATGAGATACATGTATCCCGTAGTTAAGGCAGTCATTTTGGTTAGGGGACTTCCCATTCGAGTCGGGGAGAGCAGTCGGCAGGCTTGTTTTCCTCCTTTTCAAAGCAAGTTGACGGATGAATGTAGAGCTTCTGGAGGTCAACAATTCCGTGGGGGAATGACAGGCTACAGCTGCTAGTCGCGTACATGGATCATCCAAATTCTACCCACCTTTATTTAGGCTTTCACATCAACGGTGAGGGCCGTCAAATTTCCAACAAGCCTGGCCCTGGAGTTCGCCCAGACCGCCTTCAACACAGCGGAGCCTGCCTCCATCGGGCATAGTATGGATAGATATGGCATTGGCAGGGAATTCCCGGCCTGTGTTGTGAAATCTTCACGCTAATAATAGCGGGCGTTATGCCGTGGTAGATCTGCCGACGGAAAGGTTACTCGGCGACTCGGATCTTTCCGTCCATGTGGCTATCGGTGGCGAGTAGCGGTATCCCGCATCCCCCCCTTCCGGCCTCCGCAAGCGCCTATCCTATTTAGGCCGCGCTGCCGAGGGCGCGTTACTCCGCTAGGAAATCAGCGTCTATGCCTAAAGTCCCGGTATATCGTGAGATCGTGGACACAGGGACGTTAGTGGTGTGAATTAACTAAGGTAGAGGATTCTTAATTAACCCGAATTCCCTCATATTATTAACTCTTTACGAAACCTGCGCCTTAACTATAACTACCACTACTAATACTACTATCTAAGATAAGTAAATTTCTAGGTCTACGGCCACTGCCCCCTAGGCGCCTGCTACGATCTTACGATATACCGGGACTTTGGGCATAGACGCTAATTTCCTAGCCGAGCAACGCCCTTAGTAGCGCGGCCTAAATAGGATAGGCGCTTACGGAGGACCGAAGGGGGGGATACGGGATACCGCCACTTATCGGTGGCTCCCTTTAAGATTTCGGATCCTTACAAAGATCGTCTCTTCGTACAGCACGCACAAAGTACGGGTGACAGCTAACAATACCAATACCTATCCGATCTGACGTGGCGAGTCTGGCCATCTTCTTCCCCCTGCTGGCTTCCTCAACGGTCCAATTCACCTCAAGAACGAACGGGTGCAAAAGAAAGACCCCGAGTCTACCTAGGCTGGCTTGCAAGGACTTGGCTGTACGAAGTACACGAAGTACATCCCCACCTCCGTGAGTCCTCCCGCACCTACTTGGCGGCGGAAGACATCCCGACAACAAATCAGCACTCAGCTGACCTCTGAGCCAAGAGGAACGTACATACATTAGGTATGCACGGAGATGGAGATCTGTCACTCTGCTCCCACGTGTATTGGTGGTTCAGCCATGCGATACATGCTCTTAATTCGGGCCATTCCGAGTGTCTGGATGGCATTGCACGGTTGTCAGTCGAGTCGAGACGACTCGGGAAGGGTATCGGTCTATCCCTTTCCTTTGGAGTGTTTATGGGGGGGGGTTTGAGGCGTTCGCTACCAGGATATCTATGATCTATCCGTACTCAACTTGTCATCGTACACTATTTTTCTTCGCCAGGCTTATGCACGCCTCGCGGCCTCACGCGGTACAGCGCACACGGCCCCGACCAGAATCCTGGTCCTGATTCCTGCGCGAAGCGATTGGGGGCACGAGCCCTATGCCTTGCATTTCATGCCATCTATGTACACTCCAGTATTCATATAATACCTGCAACTAATTAATAGGCATCGTCCGGCATGGCTAGACGAGTGAGTATTAATACTTAGACCTCGTCATCGCCCTATCCCCCGGTGCCTCCTTGGGGACTAATGGTCCTTGATCCCCTCCCTCCTTGGGCGTCCTCCACCCCAAGCTCAGACCGTTCAGAAAGCTAAAGGGGGTTCGGTAACTTCGGTCTTGCAACGAACGCTTTTCGCGCCTTTTCTTTCCGCCCCCCATGTGTCTCTCCTGTCGACCTCCCTGAGTTTCCTTCCCGGCCTGCAGCATCGACTATTGCCTCCCGAAAGATGGGACAGAAGTACGGCTTCTTGATCCCAGACACCTACGTCCCGGAGGTCCCTAACGAGGTCGACATGAACACGTCCAGCATCTTTTGGGGGCTCTCTCTGGGCATCGCCCTCTTCACGGCGGCAAAGGCGGGGAAACAGAGCCTACGGTCATGGAAGCGGTCACGGCGTCTCACGGCGTATGTCTTTATGGTCTGGGCCGTGTGGTGGAGTAGTATGGTCCTGGGCGTGTTGGCGTGGGGGTTTCAGAGACAGTACATCCCTCCAAGGTATGCGATGCCCTGGGTAGTAGTCCTATTGCTGCGCCAATTCCTTTCTACGGACGTGTAATGTCTTTTCTTATTTTCTTTTCCTTTTCTTCTTCTTCTTTTCTTTTTCTTCTTATTTTGTTTTCTACATGGGGATTCCCGTCTGACTCTACGTACAGCTTCGGTTTCTACTTTTGTGTTGGTATGATGGTCAACGTCCCCATCTCCTTCCGCGGCCCCTCCCTCCCTCTTCTCCTCTTTGGACTCTCCGTCTAACACAAACGACCAGCCCTCTTTTGGGCATTCCAGATCCAGTTCCTTCTACAGATCATCATCAACCGTCTGGGATTGTTATTAGCCGTGCGCGGGCGAGCCACGAAACTGAAATGGATCGTCTTCCTTATCATCCTGGCCATCAACATCAGCGTCTTCATCATCTGGATGCCTGCCCGCTTGCAGATCAACGAAACGTGGTACCGCCTTAACGAGATTTGGGATCGATGCGAAAAAGTCATATTCGCCTTTGTCGACGGTTTCTTGAACTTTTACTTTATCTACCTTGTCCGTTCACACCTCATCAGGAACGGCCTGACCAAGTACTATCGTCTGTACTACACGAACTTGGTCCTCATCTTCGCGTCCCTGTCTCTGGATGTAAGAATAAGTTTGGGATAATCAACTGATCTTGCCAACTGATCTTTGCTGACGCACTCCGTCTAGTTCGTCCTCGTCGGCCTCATGTCACTCCGAAGCAGCTTGGTGTATGTCTACGTTTCCTGCAAACCCCTTCACTACCGTTGTCACTTTGAAGAGCGAGTAGACCGTCTCTCTCTCTCTCTCTTTCTGACAAGACACAGATACCTTTCTTTTCATCCGGTCTGCTACCTCCTGAAGCTCCAAATCGAGATGGTGATGGCCGAACTCATCAGAAAACTCGTGCAATCATCGAACGCGAATGCCATCGACAACATATCGTACAAGGTCTCCACGACGGAACCCCAGTCCGGGTCGAGTAGGCCAGCTGTGAGAAACAACACACTGAACAACATCCCCCGGACACATCAGGGGACCTGCATCGGCGGCAACACGACGCACATCTCTGTTGGGGATCGAGAGGACGACGCCGACGGCTTAGAGCTACACGAAAGGGGAGGTGACTTGGAACAAGGCATCCGACAGACCGATTGAGACGAGAGTTGCTACTTCGCCCGCGGATAATGCCGAGAGAGAGCCGGGGAGCGGAAGTAGCTCTAACCGGAAGCTGCACTCTCATGATATTGATGAGCCATTATCTTTGTTCCGTTTCTGCATTTTTTGATTCTTTTCTTATACTTTGGGGTCTCGGTCGGGCCCCCGGGCGTGTGGGAGTTGACTTGATTCGTGCGAAACATCGCAGCCAGGGCAAGCGCGGCGTTCCTTTTGGTTTCATGGTGTTTGGCTTTATGGGAATGGCGAAAGATGACCTGGAAGCGAAGGGATCATATCAGTTTCCTCTCTTGATCAATGTACGAACTGCCTATATACCAATTTTTCTTTTTCTTTTTTTGCTCGCTTCCTATATTCGGGGGAGACCTCGAAGAGAACTTCCCCGGTATCATCAGTGCTTCAGTCTTCGACAAATGGCAAAGACCCATGCCAGGAAACTCTTCCCAAGGGACCGAATAGTCGTTACCTAAGACACCCGTGGCCAACCGTTTAGAGACGGATTTCACTGTCGCGGAAGACTGTCGGGTGAGTCGTAGGTACTTCAGGTTGACATGACAGCTTACCTAAGGTATCTTAGGTATCTAGGTAGGTAAGGTACCTTACCTTAGGTACCTACCCGGGTTTGGGGGGGTATAGGACAGAGCCCGATAACTGGTCAATCTGTCAACAGTCTTAGAACATCATGTCGACAGAAATTTCTCTGTCCTGGCTCTGGTCAGAGCAAAAGTCTCTGTCCGAGCTCTGACCTAGAAACCCCCCCTCCCGGGTAGGTAGGTAGGATGGAATATGGGGAACTGTGCACGCGTCGCGTAAGGTACTTCCGTACTTTGATACTTCGTAAATTGGATGCTTTCCTTTCCTGTTGATTGGTCGGTCGCAACCATCACCGTCATGGGCCACATATCGTATCAAGATACTACCTTAAAAGGTACCTTAGATACTGGAATGGCTGGTGCCCTCTCCTCCAATCAACCGCGAAAATTGAAGCTATTTACCCCGTACAACCACAACCATCATCCCGCCGATACGATGGGCGACGAGCGGCCTTGCGGCTTCGGGCTGCCGCAGCAGCTTTTTGCTTCAAAAGAACAAGGCCACGATGCCCTTATCGCGCACGCCTACGCGAACGGCTACTGCCTAACCAAACACCAACAATACCCCCGAGGCGGCGAGCCGACACGCATCACCTATCGTTGCGCGAAGGGGAGGTCGTACACCCCGCGAGATTCCCAGACCCACGAGACCAAACGCCGGAGGACCGTATCCCAGATGACCGGCTGTCCTTTCAAGGTCAACCTCCGACTTCGCGACCACGGCTGGGTTGCCGAATACATCATACAACACGGCGGACAGCCGATAACGACCCATAACCACGGCTGGATCCCACCTACCGAGTTCCCCCTGTATCGATCCCAGGGGATAGCGGCATACAAGGACGACATCGTCGCCATGCGCAACAGCGGCATGCGGCCCCGCGAGATCATGATAAGGCTCCGGAATCCGGAATCCCCGGAACGACAGCCCTTGGTGGTGACGGTGCACGATATTATGAACCTACTTGCCCGCCATTGTCGCAACGAGCTGGGCGGCAAGATTCCGAAAGAGTGGAAAGAGAAGAAGCCCCGTGGCATCATCCCGCTCAGGCCACAGCCTGTACAGGTGCAGATGGAGGGGGTTCGTGGGGTAGACGGCGGAGCTGCTGGGAGCAGAGTCGACCATGTCGAACAGGCCGACGACGATGTGGATCATGCCGACCACGCCGACCACGCCGACCATGTGGATCACGCAGACCAGGCCGACCGAGCAGAACGCGCCGACCGAGCGGATCGCGCAGAACGCGCAGAACGTGCCGACCACGCCGAACGCGCCGACCACGCCGACCACGCCGACCATGCTAAGCATGCCAAACATGCCAAACGTGCTAAATATGCTAAATATGCCAAACGTGCTAAAACTGCTAAACATGCTAAACACGCGGACCAGGCGGACCGTGCCGATTACGCCGAATATGCCGACTTTGCCGAACACGTCGAGAACGCCGATCATGTTGATTATGCTGGCCATGTCGAGAATGAGCGGGAGGAGAGTCTGGAGACGATGCAGTCATGACGGACACAAGCCACGAACCACGCGCCCAAGTGTGCGCGGTGAGGATGCTTTTCAATATGGGAAGACGACAATGTTGCCAGCCGAGCCGACCCGATACCCCTAATTCGCATGGCAAGCGACGCCTCCTCTTCTTAATCCATGTTGAGGAAGGCGGACGAAAGGAGAAGAGCGGAACCTCTGAAGTGGACATCGTGCTGTAGAACAACAGGCACCAGTCGGAACAATCGACGGTAAGGCCACGAGAAGGGGTTGAAGGGGGTGTCGATGGCATTGAGCCCGAAGCCACCAGGAAGCATATGGCCCGTTCCACCAGAGGAGCTGGGCCGTAATGATAACTCATCTCGACGAGTATATAGAAACGTCATCTCCGATGCCCCTATGTACGGACGAAGGCATTGCGTGAAACAGTGATATACCATCGGGTATCTGAGATTATTAGCGAATTCATCAAGAAATATCCGTCAGCACAAAAATGAAGAAATTATCACACGCATTCAGGGATCAATGGAAACAAGGCAAACGGTTGTGGTTTCTAGGCTTCGCAGAGTGGGACGCTCAAGTCGACCGCCGTTCTGAAGCAACTGGGCTGCTTCCTTTGGCGGAGGAGGCAGGAATACGTATTTGATTTGTGAAATGGAGACTAAAGTCTCGTGATATGACCGTGTTCAAGAGAAGTGCTGTGCTGCATTCAGGGGCCTGGACTTATGTCCTTGACTATGGAGGATCGTTCGTATGACCCCCGACCCGTGGTGGCAGTTTAGGAGATTGCGTTCTTAACACCTCATCTCTTTTATCTCTTCATGTTTTCAATAGACACGCCTGTGGTGCCAGCAAATCGATTTGATCCTCCTTGTACGAGACGTATATCTTCCATCCAAGTCAGGACGCAGGAGGTGCCTGAGATCAAGGACAAATGGCCTTGGACTTTTCGCCTCCACTTCAAGCTCGACTTATCCGAGGTAAACAGACGATACGGGATGCATGCTAGAGGGTCACACTGCAGCAAGTCAATATTTGACCCCGAAACAGACTGCGGTAGGCTGCATTGCCTCGGCTCTGAAGCACTCCTAGACCCACCAGCCTCTGTTTCAATGGTTTCTAGATGCCGTGAGCCTTGTGTATGTTCTTCTACTCTATCGTTAGCATTGCCTGAAAAGGGGAATTAGCTACCCCGAGACTCGAGTTGACCGTACATTTCAGGTTGTTCTCATGTCACAGACCCGCACCCACTCACTCACACCTTGAGAGCCATTCATTCTCCTGAGACCGTCCACGTCCATCAGAACCCAAACTGCTGTGTCTCGGGCAGCAATCAGAGTGACCAAAAAAAAAAAAAGCTCAATCAACGAGGGGCACTACATCTCAGGTTCGCCGCTTCAACGCATTGTTGTAAAGCGAGTATCCATCATGCCGCCCCCGCAATGCTCGCGTGAGACGCCACACAGGTCTTTCAACTCCTTCCTCAGCAGCTCATAGTAATCAAGAAGCCGAGGCAACTCTGGACTTGGCCATTCGTAGGATGAGACACGGAGTTTACTCCTCACGCGTTGGACCACCTCAGCCGCGTAATGTCTCACATGATACGTTGTAATCTGACTACACTGCGATGCAGTATTCAGGCCAGAAACCTGACTCCTAGATCATCATCGTGTACGAAGTGCGGTGTACGGGGTACGTAGTGTACCGTACATACCTTACCTTTAGTCGCCAATGGTTGGCGGAGAAACATCACTGCGAGTTCTCCAAGAGAGCTCAGGAGTCAGGACTCAGGAGCAACCAACTGCGCTAGTAAAATGTACCGAGGCCCAAGTGAACTACCCCGCATTACCCCGTAGGTCTGGCTGTTGGACGGGTAGGCGTTTGATCGTGCTCGTCCTTGTGAAAGTTGCAGTATCAAAGTTGACAAGTCCGTCTGAAAGTTTGGACCGTTTGGGTGTGGGAGGGTGGCAGGACGTCTTCGGGGTCAAGACCCGAACCGGGGAAACTGCAACAGAACTAATGCACGAAGGTGGGAGATTAAAATGAAGCTCTTGATTTCTTGACCGTGACCGGGGAACTTACAAAGGGCGAATCTTGCGAGAAGAAAAAAGAAGGAAAAGAAAAAGAAACTAGACCGTATTCGGGGAATTTTGCGATGTCCCCAAGAAGCCAAGACCCCGCACGCGCGCAAGTGCCGGACGAAGTATGGGGGATTTGCGGGGTACAATCGCGGGGTGGGCGGGTGAGATGCGGGGTGCAGGGGCGCATCGAGACGAAGAAACAAAGCTAGTCGAGAGATCTGCCTCGGCTCAGGGGTTGGACACACACTTACTTTCAGGTCTAAGGTGAGATGTTGGCTTAATTGGGACAATGTTGCGAAACGAACCCCAACTAGGGTGACCTGCTGCCACCCTCTGCTTGGTCTATTTGCAGAGTCGGTGCTGAGCCTCACAACACACCGACCATTAACCATCAACCATCAACCCTCAACCATCAACCCCCAAGCTCCTTCACTCACCTTCGAAACATCGCAAAGGACCCAAGACTTTGCCCAGTCTGCATAGCGCAGCTGGAAGATTGAACTTTGCGGGGAAAGATGCTCCGCTCGCCCAATTCGCAAGGCCTACGAACCTCGGCACAACAGGGATGCCCGTCGAAACTCCAGACTGTACGACTCCACGACGATTTTGGCTGAATGTTCGACGAGAAGTAGAGAATCGACGCTCTGTTGATCGCGATGTGTTCCAGCTCTCGAAAAACTATATGAAGTCGAGTGATCGTCGTCGTTGAAAACAATTCCAGTCCAGGATCTCCAGCTCCAGCTCAAGCCTCAAGCCTCAAGCCTCAACACCGCTCGAATCCACCAGTCCAGTCTGCCGGCAGCTTTTTCGACTTCTCTTCTCAAGCCCAACTTTTCAAAACATCCAAATCAGTCTTCGGTTCCCATAAGCCAAAATGAAGTTCAACAGCGCCCTCCTCTTCCTCGCTAGCACCCTGGTTGCTGGTCTTCCCGTTGCCCCCGAGGTCGACACCGATGTCGTGGCCCGGTCTGACGAGGCCCATCTCATCGAGGCCCGCCAGAGCAACACTCGCAATGATCTCGAGGAGGGCAGCTCCTCGAACTGCCCCGAGGTGATCCTGATCTTCGCCCGCGGCTCCACCGAGTCTGGTAACATGGTAAGGCGAAACGGAAACCCCCTGTGCTATAGCCTATAGCTCTGGTGTTTACCAGGTTCCATGCAAATCACGGCATCGACGCTAATGTGAATCTTGACAACAGGGCAACACTGCCGGACCCGCCCTTGCCCGGGCCATGGAGCGTAATTACGACAACATCTGGATCCAGGGTGTTGGTGGCCCCTACACCGCCGACCTGGCCCCGAACTTCCTCCGCGCGGGCACCAACCAGCAGTCCATCGACGAGGCCAAGAGGCTCTTCACCATGGCCTACACCAAGTGCCCCAACACTCCCGTCGTCACCGCCGGCTACAGGTACGTTTCTTCTTCTTCTTCTTCTTCTTCTTCTTCTTCTTTTTCTTTTGCCCATGAGCTCCTTCCTGGTTCTTGTATCGCCCGGCATATACTGACCAACGACAAACAGCCAAGGTACCGCCGTCGTCGGCAACGCCCTCACCGAGCTTAACCGCACCCCTATCCAGGACCAGGTCGTCGGTGCCGCCCTCTTCGGCTACACCAAGAACCTCCAGAACCTGGGCCGCATCCGCGACTACCCGAGGTCCAACACCGAGGTCTACTGCCAGCTCACCGACGCCGTCTGCTCCGGCACCCTCTTCATTCTGCCCGCCCACTTCCTCTACCTCGACGATGCCGCCATTAGCGCGCCTCGCTTCTTTGCGCGCCAGATCCGCCGCGCTTAAGCGGGCTGCTGCTAGCCTGCTGCGGCGGCGGCCCGCGCTGGGGGCGTTCATAGGGGGCCGGCATTCCCCACGGTTGGAAAATCCGGGGTATCCCGCTGGTTCTTTTCCTTCCCCAGTTGGGTCTTTTCATTTCATGGCTGTACGCTGCTGCTCCGCGGTGTGTTTAGCCTTGGGGCTTTTCTGAACATTTCTTTTTTCCAACTGAAAGTGGTGTTTTCAGTTGCGGCTTGAGGTGGGGGGTGGATTTTGAGAATTCATGTCCCACAATGACTCGTCGGACTTTTCCAGGACTGTTGGATTCTGCGAGCCTTTTTTTGTATCAAGTTGTCTTCACTGTGCACATATCAAATCTACCGGTACATATATGATATTATGGAACAATCGCTGCGTCCTCCCCTGAACATCGTGAATGATTAGCAGTGTGATCTTTGGCGCATGTGGCATTCGAACCGAGCCTCTCGGGCTTTTGTGACCAAGTTGAGAGCGTGAAGTCAACCCAGATATGAAATTGTAACAGAGATGTGTTGATGTGGCCTCATCGCAGAGAGTTCGAACTTGGAAGTTCAGTCCTCAGTGGTTGGAGGCTTGGACTCTCACTCTGGAGCTTGAGAAATGGGAGTGTCCGAGTGACTCGAGTGAGTGCAGCCAGTAAGGGACCTGCAAAAGATGAGAGCAAGGGTTTTTCAAGAGGTGTTCATCCGGGGTTTCGACTCCTGATTTTTTTGAACTTGTCACGCGAAAACAGAGAGAGTCTGCAATGTCCTCAGTGCTCAAGAAAAGATGAGCGTCCGGGCGGGACAAAGGGGAAGTTCATTCTGTAATACCCTAGTTATGTAATCGGTGGCTGGTGCAGTGGCGGTGTTTTGGGCACCGCCACAAGAATCTTTAACTATCAGAGCTAGGGCACCTTAGGTAAGGTCTATGAAGTACGTACCCCATACTTTTCTGGGGAAAGGTCTTTTTCTGGCTCTCTCCCCCAACTCTGCAGCTACAGCTCCCCAGCTCTGCAACTCTGCATCTCTCCATTCTCTCCCACCCTCGCTGCAGCTTTCTCCCCCCCTTGACACGAGCTTCCAGGAGCGCGTGCTGAAGGATCTCTACCATGATGAATCCCGCCTAAACCTCCGAATACGAAAAAGAATCAAGGGAATTCGCTTTCACGATGCTGCTGCCATGCAAACCACCATCGCGAGCTGGCCTCGTCCGCCTGGCATGGGCGCCAGCTCGTCTAGTCCAACCCAGGTCGACGTACCCGCTTCGACGGCTCTATTCCACAGCTACAGGTTCTCCTAGAGCCGCAGAGATACGAGACGTGGTCCATCTCCCTCGGCGGATCACCCCGAAATATCGCGAGCCACCCATGACCACCTCCGGCCTGCTCTCTCTTCAGTGGCCGACGCCCCCTCGAAACATTCTCCTCATGCCCAAGCTCGGGTCCCCCCAAGCTATCAGGTCGACCATCGATTTCGCCAAGCATCTACAGAGCACCTATCCCGACCTGAACCTCATCTTCGAGCCTCGAGTTGCCCAGATGGTCCACGAAGGCGTAAACTTCCCCATCTACACCTGCGACCCCTCCCTCTTCCCCGACAAGATCGACATGATCACGACCCTCGGCGGCGACGGCACCATTCTCCGTGCTGCCAGCCACTTCAGCATGTATTCGTCCGTCCCTCCTATACTGGCCTTCAACTTCGGCACCATCGGGTTCCTGGCCGAGTGGAAGTTCGAGGAATATAAGCGAGCCTGGAGGGAGGCCTACATGTCGGGAAGCGGGGTGCCGGTACGCGACCTCCTCACTCCGCACACGCGGGTCGCTTCCGGCGAGAAATCCGACGAACCGGACCACGACACGGCATCCGGCTGGCACAGTTCGCCGGGCAAGAGCATGGGTCCCAGCCGGGCCGCCAAGATCCTGCTCCGCCACCGGTTGAAAGTCGGCGTGTACGATCCCAACGGGGAGAACATCAACAGCCAACTTTCCCCGACGACCAGGTCCCAGGCGCATCTCCCGGCCTCCAGTCCGGAGGAGGACACCAACACCACGCCGGGCAGCCGCAAAACCGTGCCCCCCGCCATCCACGCCCTGAACGAGATCCTCATCCACCGCGGTCCGAACCCCCACCTCGCCATCATCGACATCTACCTGAACAACCGCTTCCTCACCGAGGCGGTGGCCGACGGCATCCTCCTCAGCAGCCCCACGGGGTCGACGGCGTACAGCCTCAGCGCGGGGGGTTCCATCGTCCACCCGCTCGTCAAGTCGCTCCTCATCACGCCCATCTGCCCGCGCAGCCTCAGCTTCCGCCCGCTCGTGCTCCCGCTCAGCACCAAGGTCACGCTCCGCGTCAGCAACAAGAACCGCGACGGCGAGCTCGAGGTGAGCATCGACGGGAAGCGCAGCACCAGCGTGCCGGTCGGGACCGAGATTCGCGTCGAGGGCGAGAACGTGGGCGAGACGAGCGACGGCAGCTGGAGGGGCGGTGTGCCCTGCGTCATCTGCGGGCCCGGCAAGGGGGATACCACCGACTTTGACGACGATGGCTGGGTGGGAGGTCTTAATGGTCTTTTGATGTTTAACTATCCCATTGGGAGGGGGTAATACAGAATGATACCCGTGGCATTTAATCGATAGGCGTTTGGCATCTCTCATTCATTTCTTCATTTTCTCTCTCTCTCCCCCCCCCCTTCCCTTTTTTTTTTTGTTTTTTTTTGGTTTTCTTTCTTTTTTCTTTTCTATCACAGCACTCATGCTAGACCCATGGGGAACGCTGGGGGGCACCTAGGCTGCAATGCAATATTTCATTGCACCTATCTGCAGCGGCATTATCAGATGGCAAATCGCTGCTGTTGCTGGGTCATCTACTCATCCGTTCACTCTGTACGGAAAGAGGCAGAAGCCGTACATACATGGCGTATCCTTTGCACCCGTCGTCGTCGGGTCTCGTTTTACTTTTACTCAACCCAAATCACAGCGCTCAGCCCATCCTCCTGGTCGAGGGTACCCGCCCGGCCAACGCGAACCGAAGCCACCAGATCCCCCAGCCGCCCCGTCGTCACATTCCTCTCAATGATAGCCACATTGGCGCTCGTCTGGCCACCAACGGCGACGAGGTCACCAGCGGCGTTGATCTGGAGGGTGCGCGGGAAGAAGGAATGCGCCGACGTGATGTCGACAAACGACAGCTCCACGTCCCCGTCTTCCGACGTGCCAATCTCGAAGGTGGCGAGCGAGTCCTCCTGGTCGCCGAAGGAGCGGTCGCGCCGGTTCGACACGTACAGGAAGCCGTCGCGCTGCACGATGGCGGCGGCCTTGGCGCCCTCGGGCGGCTGCACGTTGTCGGGCAAGGTGGAGATGGTCTGGGTGAGGGTCAGCGAGGGGCAGGCGGCCGAGTAGTTGATGGACCAGACGCCGACGGAGTTGCTGATCTCGTTGAGGACGAAGACGGTGGTGCTGCATTCCTCGTGGAAGAGGAGGTGGCGGGGCCCGTCGCCCTCGCTGGTCGCCGCGGCGGGGCATTCGGTCAGGAGGCCCGTGGAGGGGTCGATGGCGTAGATGCGGATCAGGTCGGCGCCCAGGTCGCCGGAGAAGAGGAAGTTGCCTGTCGGGTCCTCGACGACCGAGTGCGGGTGCGGCGCTTCTTGGCGGGGGTTGGGCTTGGGTTGGGACAGCCGGTAGGGGAATTCCTGCAGGGGTCTGGAGGAGGACGTCAGGGGGAGCTGGAATGTCGAGATCTTGGAAGAGCCGCTACATTGGACGGGAAAAAAAATGTCAGTCAGCGGAACACAGCTCCTCTCGCATGAAGACGAAGAAAGAAAGAGACAGAAAGGGGGGGCTGAACGAACTAGTGAGCCAAGGCTAGGAATGCCCGTCCATCATCGCCGCCATAGAGGGTGCTATGCACTTCTGCGCCTCCCGTCACGGCTTGGCCATCCGAGTTCTGCGACAAGCTGCCATCGGCGTGAACAGTGAAGGTGGTCAGGCCGTTGGGGGGCCGCCAGTTGGCCTCGTCCGCGACGTAAAGGGTGTTGCTCTCGCTGTCGAAGTCCAGCCATGCGGGCCAGAAGTTACCCGACCGAGTCTCCGAGCTGATGGACAGCTGGTTGCTATCGGACAAGGTGAGGCTGTAGAGGTTCGCGGTGAAGTGGGAGGCAATCAGCTGGCTCGTACCGAGGACGGTCGAGGCATGGAGCACCCCCGCGGCGAGGGAGTATTTGCTGGGCATGGTTGTCGACTTTCGTTGGGCTGTATTGTACTGTACGATAGGATGCAAAAATAATTAGCGAAAAGCTTCTACGCCTTGGACTTCCCATCAGACCCTCCAGAATATGGCCATGTTCCCTCCCCCCCGTATTATATCATGTTCTTGGCTACTCCAGTCTCCGTTTCAACTGCCGGATGTAAGACAGGGGTCAAGGTCAATATGGCACTCGGCACTAGTATCCCCCCCTGCCGTGAGTCCGGGACTGATCCAGTGGTTCTCTCATCCTAAATAGGCAATTGTCGGAGGACGAAGCCGTGGGATAGCATGCACTTTGTTCACTTTCGTTCACTCTGTTGGTCGGGGCAAGGCACGATTTCGGGTAATTGTCGATCAAACGAGCTGAGGGGGGCTTAATTCATCCGGAAGTCCCTGTTTCTAATATATGGCAACAACATAATGCCAGCATTTTGCTGCCATTTATGTGTGGGGTATAAGCTGGGACTTGTGAGCGCTTTACGATGTGCCGGGTTTGCTGCTGGACCATGTTATTTGACCCGACTGGATCGGTTGAATTCGCTGCATCGAACTGGGCTGCGGAATGGCGGACATCGCGGCACCTTGATTTTTTGTTTGACATGATGGCATCGAGTCGGAGGCATCTGCCATCATGATCACGACATCGCCGACATGACGTCGGGATCCATGATTGTTTGAAGGAGCGGGCACTCGTTTACACGTACTGTCGGCCCGAGGCGACTTTATTACTATAGTCTATGAATAGTATCTGCTCGGGTCGATCCTCTCGTCTAATACGGAGGACGGATAAGGGGTCTCGCTATCCTGAATGAGACCCGAGAGAAACCTGTAAGTTAATCCCAATGTCAGTCCGTCAGATGGTCAGAGTACCAGGCATTGCCCAAAGCTCATCCTATTGAACGACTCCTCAGGTTCCTCAGGTTCCTCAGGTTCCTCAGATTCCTCAGATTCCTCAGCTCCCTCAGCTCCCTCAGCTCCCTCCGCGTCCTCAGCCTCCGCAGCCTCCTCAGTCTCGGTCAACTTGGTCAAGTTGGTCCTTCTTTCCAAGATTTGCTGTACGGTATCCTCAAGAAGACGCCCTATAACACGGTTGTTGTCACTGTGTTGCTTCAACATTTCGTCAATGAGTTTCTGTTGTTGGCTGCCCAACTCTTCCCGTTGCTGACTTATTTCCTGCAGTCTCACAATCGTGCTAAGCTTGAGCAAGGTGCTCCTGAACTCCATATCGTTGATCTTTTCCTCCGTCTCCCTTTTCAGCTCTTCGAGTTGTGCCGCGCGAGGATAATCTCGAAGCGCCTCGGCCAGCTTCTGGGCTGAGTGAAGTAACTGAACGGTTCCCCGCCCCGTCTTTTTCTCCCTGTGCACGGCGGTATTCCTCAGCCTTTTTGCCCGGTTATACACCTTTTGCAGTGAAGACGCTTCGATGCTCAAAGCGTCGGAAGAGATCTCCGAGAGCCTGGGGCCTGTCTTCTGGAAGATGCGACCCCAGTGTGTCAGTTCGGCCGCCGAGGCACATTCCCAGCCCCTCTCTGCAATGGCGTCGGGAAGCCAACGGGTTCCGAAATCGAAGCAGCATTCTTCGAGGATTCGTTGAGTTGCGTTGAGGACGACGTGTTGCGCGTTATAGGGGAGATAACATGGTTGTAGGGACGGCACCGGGATGAATTCGCTTGTTGACTTGATGGGAGCTTCGTCGATTCATGCTCATCTGTCAGCCTTTATATTGCTCGTGTCGAGTAGATTGCTAAAGAGAAAAGAATAACGTACCAGGACTAGCATCATGAGAGGAGTTGGCGGGTGCCTCGGTGTCTCCTGGCCTCTGAGCCTTTGTCTCTCCGCGTACATCCTCTTTCTCTTTCTCCTCCGTCTCGCTGACGTCCTCGCCCCCAGAAAGCTCGTCCAAGCGCGCCTTTGCAGCATCGGCAGCATCTGCTTCGGACTCTTCCGGCTGCGTATCATAATGAGGCGGCGAGGCAGGGAAAAGCGCCGGGAACTCGGCCTTAGCCCGTGTATCCGACTCGAAGATTCTGGCCTCGAGTAGTCTCTTCAAGTTGAGGACAAGCTTGCGTTCCCCGAACGACTGCAAGAGTGGTTGCAGCAAGTCTGCGTTTTTGCGCACAAGATTTTTAATTTTCTTGGGGTTTCTCATCTCAGCAGCTTGACCGCTGAATATCCCCCTGCATAGGCAGTAGATCTCCTGGTCACCAGGAGAGGATTCTGCCATTGTGATTTGAGCTGGTGAATGTCCTGACTGAACCTCGTGATGTGGTTAACTGGAGGAATTTGCGGAGTTTTTCGGATGCAAAATTCGATGGGCTCAAAAAGGATCACACCCGACGGCTATAGCATGAGGGGTAGGTGTATACGTGGGCCCCTTCTTCATGCTGGGAGCACGGCAATCAATCTCTTTTCGTCGGCCTCTTCATCGTCAGGGTAACAGGTCTTTCGAATATGACTCAGTTATACAGGCATACTATGTGGTTCATGCACCAGTGGTAGAAGATTTCAGGATCCCAGGATAGATGCAGATATAGGCGTGTGAATTAACTATTTGATAATTCCCTAGAGTCAGAGACTACTCATTTTATGGCTTTTATTATCTTTCACATTTCTGCTAACTTCAGGTATATATTTATTGCATGTAATATATGAACAAGACTATGGCTGTAACATAATCCTAGCTTCTCGTGAATAAGGTAGTTGTCATAACGCAAATACCTGTCACTGGATTCTCTAATACCTATGTAAGACCTTTGGCCTATGACAGTTTGTGATCAACTTTGCTCCAGCAAACATTATACTTCAGAAGTCAAAGCCAAGGTATTCTGAAGTAAGAAAAAAATTTGAAAGGGGCATAAAGAAGGCACAGGTTGTTCTTCAGTCTATAAGATGTGGTGAGTTAGCCATTAGCTTCACTTTCACTGCCAGTACACTGTGTTCTTTGTCTGGCATTTTAAAGTGGACTTCTTTATAGAGAGCTCCAAGTTGGTCGGCATAAAAGGAGACATCTACGTCTTAATAAAGGAATGAGTATTCTGCCTCGTTGATCTCCATGTCCATCTTGTCGATGAAAGATCTGTGAGATCATAAGGTGAGATGGTCGGATAGGAGAAGAATTAGCGAATATAAGTAAGATAAGAGTCTAAGACAATTACACCTTGAACCTACTGAGTACTCCAGTGCACATACAGAGACATGGACAGCTCTATGATTGTAACCTTGCCATATGGCCTCTTTTGGCTGAAGCAAACTTGGTCTCCGATTCAAACATTCAAGAGGGAAAGTCTTGTAAGGGTTGCTGGTGGTTGGACTTGGGTACCTTGGCTTCAAGCCAGTCGCCAAGGCCCAAGTGTAAAACAGGTATCATAACAAACAGAAGTTTATGGTTCTGTTCGACCATCGATCAGCCAACTTTGACCGGGGGAAACAGTTTGCCCCTCACTGAACGAGTGGGTAGTCTGATGGCCCAAGAGCAAGTTGGCAGTTCAACAGCTGCTAGAAATTAGAATGATCGAGGTTTATTAGGGGGACCCGAAGAGAGGGAAAAGCACGTGCACATGATTAATGATAAGAGTGTCACGTGAGAGGCCAATCCGGATTAGACAGGCGGTGAGCGGCAAAAAGCCCGTTTCTGACACCTCGGTCGGGGTCCCCCGCGTCTGGCGGCGTGGGTCAAGAGGGTTGTCGCTCGATTGGGAATGTCCCGCACCCCCACGGGGCCGGGGTTATTCTTCCAGCTGGCCTCTCTCTGTTGCTGTTGACCTGTCAAATCAGCTTGTCGAACACTTGAACTTCTGCAACGGTTCTCGATCCTTCCAACCCCGTGTCGTCCCTAATACTTTGTACTTTCGACAACGTATAACCTCCGCCCTCCCCCCTCCCCCCTGCCACCACGGCGATCAAGAAAGGCACACGACCCATGACGATACAACAAGACCACGACGAACACGCTGCTGATGCTGCCGCCGCCTACGAGGGGAAGCCGTCGCGCAACGGCTACCCCGCCGAGTCCAAAGGATGCGCTGATGCTGCCCCCCGCTCGTTGCGCGAAGTGTGTTTGGAGTTGAGGGAGAAGATCGATGCTTTCCTAGCAGAGGAGCCGACAACGCCTCTGCTCCGAGACCTTCAGTCACGACTGCGCGTCTCCATGGCCGTAACAGAGGAGGCATTGGAGCGGTATCAGTGTGTTTTTCCTCCCCCGTCCTCGACAAATACAAAATCACTAAACAACCTTTGATTTTACAAGACCGGAAGAGATTTCTTTATCCTATAACGGAGGGAAAGACTGTACGTGCCTTGACAGGATCCGTCCCTCCTTTCCCCCCTCAATCGCTCTTGTGTCTTTCAAACCGGACCGGAAAGCTTACGCCGGATATCTACAGGTCTCGTCCTCCTCCTCATCATTCTCGCCTGCCTCCCCCACCGCTTCCCCTCGCCAAGCAACCCGACCGGCACCGCGACGAACCCCCCGAACACATCCTCCGACCCCGCCGCGCCGTTCCCGGAAAAGGTCCAGGCCGTCTACATCGTCTCCCAACACCCCTTCTCCGAAGTCGACGACTTTGTCGCCTCGTCCGCGCAAGAATACCACCTAGACATCAACCGATACAGCCTCCCGATGAAGCAAGGACTGCAGGCGTATCTAGCGGACCGACCCAGCATACGGGCCATCTTTGTGGGGACGCGGAGGACAGACCCGCATGGCGAGGATTTAAAGCATTTTGACCCGACGGACGCCGGGTGGCCTCCTTTTATGCGGATTCATCCGGTTATTGACTGGCATTATGGTACGTCTGAGAGAAGAGCAGATCTATCCTACTGGTGTCTTTCTTCGTCTCTCCCGGGACTCCGTCTCGGCCTAGAGCCGGACTTTTGCTGTTTCGGACAGACCACTGGCTAACTCTGCACCCTTGAACAGTGGAGATTTGGGCTGTAAGTCTGATATTTATTCTGTGACCGGGCCGCCCCTGGCCGCTCGACTGTCACCATCATGGGAGAGGGAAAGGATGGGGAACGAGTTGAGACTGATGACTACTTCTAGTTCATTCGGCATCTGGGCACTCCGTATTGTCCTCTGTACGACCAGGTGAGTTTGATATCGCAGCCCACGCAGAAAAGAAAATGGACTAACAGTCCGAAAGGGCTACACGAGTCTAGGCGGAAGACGCGATACGCACCCGAATCCCCATTTAAAGAAAGAAGGGGCGAACGGAAAGGAGTTTCGGCCTGCGTACGAGTTGACGGATGATGAGGAAGAACGGCTGGGTCGGGATAGATGAAGCTGATCGCATAGAGAGAGCAGGGTCTGATTGTTTCTCCTTCACTCGCCGCAAACAAAGCAAACGGATTTGGTTGAGCATATTATATATATATCGACATATCTTTGGCATGTCGTCGACTTTTGACTTTGTCGCGACGATTATAGACGATGCCCCCAGGGAAATAGCATTCTTAGAGGAGGGAATGCGGATTTGGTTGTGTGCCCCCCGCATGTTTGCTGAACATTGTCGGCTGTCGCTACTTGGACAGAAAGACCTTTCGAGAAGAGTACCGGTCTTCCGCCACCCCCTATTCGGTCTTCTTAAACCCTTTCTGGATAGATAATCCACTACATCTCCACCACCCGAAATTCTAGGTTTCTTAATGTACACAAATATATCCAAAGAAACAGTACGAGTTACCTCTAGCCTCTAAAAGTCAGCCGAACTACCATAAAACCAACTACCAGCTATAGAGCAGTTAGTAGCGTGGATCTCACGGTCACGGCTAAGAAGAGGTTAACCCCTATACTGTTTCTTTGGATTATGTTTGTGTATATCGAAAAACCTAGGAAACCTACCTAATTTCGGGTGGTGGAGATGTAGTGGATTATCTAATCCAGAAAGGGTTTAAGAAGACCGAATAGGGGGTGGCGGAAGACCGGTACTCTTTCGAGAAGGTCTTCCCCTGATTTGGGAACCGAGATAACGGGAATCGTCAGTGGCCCGTCCCGATATAAAAGTCACGTGGTTCCTGAGTTATTAGACAGGGGTAATTCCAGCAACCGAAGAGATCGGAAATTGCGAAATTTCGAACATTCGAGGGCAATACAAACGGACATGATCATAGCGAGGGTGATCAGGTGAAGATAATGGGAGAGATGTCCCAGGCGTCAAAATGCATACATACCAGTCGTCACTGATACAACTGAAGGAGTCTGAATTCCCCCGAAGCTCGACACTGGCTGGCCCGCCGCCCCCTATAATCTTGTCTGTCTAGCCCCGTTTCGCCCGTTTTTCTAGTGCCAAACAAATGCAGCCCTATTCCTAGAACGGAGACTTCCACGCATGATGGATTACAACGGTGTAATCAAAAAAGCAGTACCGGACCCTCAGCTACCGCGCCGGCAGGGCGACACGAGAAACGTCGGTCTCGACTCTGGTGCAGGAAAGAAAGCTCCGACACCCCCTTGTTTTCCCACCAATATTTTCGTATAATGCATTCGCCAGTGTTACAATGCTTGGACGGATCATTCAGCCGGAATGAGAGCCTCGGGTACGTGACCATATTATCATTCGCTTTGGTACGCTATATTTGCTCTCATATCATGGACTTTTCCCGTCATCCGGCCCTCGCTACTCCGTACAAAACCCCCCCTTTGCTGCCCACGTTGCGAGGTCCATGATCCATATCCATCTGGACTCTTGGAACCGGATCCTTCGACGACTCGTTTGCCTGTTCCCTGTGCAACTTCCCACCCCCGGATTTCAGCATCCTGCACCGTTTCAGCACCCAGCACGATTTGGAGCTTGATCGATAAACTGTAATAATCATGGTGCCGCCCCTGTCAACAGCCCTCAAGCTCGCGCTGAGCGCCGTCCTTTTGGCGGCCACGCCCATCGCGGCTCAGGATTCGCCGGTCACTCGAGTCTGGGAGGGGAAGGAATATGCCTGCAAGTGCTATCCCGGCGACGAATGCTGGCCGCAGCAAAATGCTTGGGGCAGCCTCAACGACACCGTCGACGGGAACCTGCACGTCCACATCCCCCCCGAAGCCGCCTGCCACAACACCTTCGAGGGGCCTCTGGGCACGGTCGAGACGTACGACGCACAGGAGTGTCAGCATGTGATGCAGAATTATGCGGATGAAGAATGGTCGTAAGTTCAAGTGTTGCTCCTAGGAAGAACTTGCTGATCACATCTCTCATGAAGCACCGGGCAGCAAGCTCTTCTTCTGTGGAAGTATTTCACCAACCACACCTGCACGCCGACGAACAACCCGAACGAGCCCTGCACGCTTGGCTACTACGGCGTCTACGTGATCGAGGCCCAGACCACAGACCACATCAAGGCCAGCATCGACTTTGCGCGCGAGAACAACCTCCGCCTCGTGATCCGCAACACGGGCCACGACTTCATCGGCCGCAGCACCGGCTGGGGCGCCCTCATCATCAACACCTTCGGCTTCAAGGACGTCCAGTTCATCGACGCGTGGACCGGCGCCGGCGACTACGACGGCGGCGCCGTCAGGGTAGGCGCCGGCATCCAAGGGCGTGACCTCCTGCGCCAGGCCTTCGCCCACAACGTCGCCGTCGTCACGGGCGAGTGTCCCACCGTCGGCATCGCGGGAGGGCTCGTGGGCGGCGGCGGCCACGGCCCGCTCACCACGCTGCACGGCATGGTGGCCGACAACGCGCTCGAGTTCGACGCCATCACGGCCGAGGGGGAGTTCGTCACCGCCAACGCCGACGAGAACGCCGACCTCTTCTACGCCCTCAAGGGCGGCGGCCCGTCTACCTACGCCGTGGTCACCTCCGCCACCTTCCGGACCTACCCGGAGGAGATGGCGTCCGGCGGCGAGCTGTACATCAACGCCACCGTCCCGGGAACGACGGAGGACCAGGTGTGGGAGGGCGTGCGTATCTTCCACAGCTACGCCAACCACCTCGTCGACCACGGACTGTACGTCTACTACGAGGTGGCGCCCTTCACGCTGCGCATCCGGCCCTACGTGGCCATCGGCAAGACGCGCGAAGAGCTGGACGCCATTGTCGCGCCCATCCTGGCCGACTTGACCGCCGCCGGCGTGCCCTTTACGGCCACGAGCAAGCAGTTCGCCTCCTTCTTCGAGCTGTACATGGATCTGTTCGAGGACGAGGGCGCCGGGGCTTTCGCGCTGACGGGCGGCTGGGCCTTCACGCACGACGACGTGGCGGCGCGCAACGACGACATTGTCGATGCCTTCAAGCTTGTCGTCAGCCCCCGCGAGGACTTGGCGTACACGGGCGTCGTGATCGGCCACTTGTTCAACCCGGGGTACGGATGGCCTTCTGCTGCCGACAGCGCGACGCACCCCAAGTGGCGCAACAGCACCGATTTCGTCATCAGCATCGTCCCTGTGCCGGTTGACGCCAGTCTGGAGAAGAAGGCTGAGCTTCAGGATCTCCTGACCAATACTGTCGATGCTGCGTTGAGGGAGGCTGGCCCGGAGGGGTTCACGTATATCAACGAGTGAGTACACTTGAACATCCACTTGAAGCAGCAAGCCGTCTAACTTGTTCTACAGGGCCGATCCCTACCAGCCAAACTGGCAGGAGGCCTTCTGGGGCGACGTGTATGAGAGGTTGGTCTGCATTCGTCGGAAGTGGGATCCCAACGGTGTCTTCTACTCCATCGCCACACCTGGCACCGAGGATTGGGAGGTGATCGAGTACGGCACCCGTCTGTGCAAGGCCGTGTAACTGTAAATTTGTAGTCTCAAAGCTGCTATTGTGAGACCAGGGTTGCTCTCTGCGAAGATTGGCTTTTTTTTCGCTTCACCTTCTCTTTCTAGGTTTCTTCCTTTGATATCGAATACCATCGTTACGCATCCGGAGTGTCATTCCCCATCTTCCGATGCGTTATCCCCTCCGGCAGCTCATCCTTCTTCTTCTTCTCCTCCTCCTTCGGCTTCTTCTTCTTTATCTTTAACTTCCTTATCTTCTTCTTCGGTTTCTTCTTCTCCTCCTCCTCCGGCTCTACCACCACTACCTCCTCTACTACCTCCACCTCCTCTACCTCCTCCTCCTCCCCCTTCTTCTTCTTCTCTACCACCTCCTCCTCCACCTCCTCCTCCTCCTCCACCACATCATAAGGATCCCCAACGTCCTCGATAGGCGGTCCCTCCCGGTCGAGATAGGGGTCGAATTCGGGCAGAGGATTCCTCTGGTTGATAGCCGCGTGCAGCGAATCGCCAAACTGGCCATTGACGATTCTGGGCTGGGCCCTTATAAATGTCTGTAAGAGGTCCCGCAGCCCCGGGCTGGGCCACCTGTTCCAGCTGACGAGCGGGCTGCGGTACCAGTGGCCGAAGTGGTTCTCGACCTGCTCGATGTCCGGGCGGCGGGCCTGGCGCATGCAGTGCGCCTCGCCAAACCCCTTGTGGTAGACGACGAGGGGGTGCGTGCCGTTCAGGACGTAGAAGTCAAAGTTCTGCGCCTCGACGTAGTCTTTCCCGCACGATGGCGCGACGCGCACGATCCTGCCCTTCTTGATGAAGACGACGACGTTCTCCCAGTCGTGGTTGTGACCGTGTAGGAAGGTTATTGGGTGTCTCTGGTCCTTTTCGAAGTAATATGCGTACCTAGGGACAAGGAGCAAGAGGGGGGTTGTGTTAGTATAGGAGCCAGAGACAGGGGAAAGTGGCGACCACATATAGGTAGAAACGGAATATATATATATATATAACCCGACAGAAGAGTGACAGAAGAAAAAGAAGAAGAAAAGGGAAAAGGGGAAAAAGGGAAACCCACATAATGGCGCACACACCATTATTGCATCGTCGGCGTGCGTACGCGTTGCTGTTCAACAGCTGCTGGCGCCAGCGACAGTTGCCACTGATTTGGCCGCTAGGCTTCGTCGCCCCCCGATTCCGTCTACCCACAATGTTGACGGCAGCCGTATTATAGCAGCTGTCCAGGTCAAAGTCGAGGTATGGCTGGTACTTCAGGTCCATCGGGTCTGCGCTTTCGGGGAGAGGCCTGAGGATCTCGCCGAGGGCCACCAGGGCCCCGAGGAGCCCTACGATGGCGTAGGAAAGGGCGCGCATGGGCGCGGTGGCACTGAAACGGCCAGAATCGTTCTTGTGGTTGATGTCGTCGTTCTCGTTGCTGTCGTCGGTCTCAGTCGCAGACGGGACAACAGTTCGACAGTTCGACCGGTGGGAGATTGTTCGGGAAGACAGAGTTGCAGAGGACGAGAGATCAAAATGAATGACAGGTGGAAGACAACATAATACGAGGTCGGCCACGTTGTTATAACTTATATACATGTAATTTTCAATGTACTTTCTTACCCTTGTTGGTTTTGCCTCGACCTCGTTCGTCGCTTCAGTGGAGTTACCGGGAATGCCATAGCGGGAAACAGGCTCTCGTTACCTCGTATTCCCAAGATAGACACTCTATACGGCGTATTCTGGAGTTGATGCTTTGAGCCACCAAGCCACGCTGGGGGTTGCCAACCACTAAAAGCAAGCCACCAAATGTATCTGGGTGTCTTTAGATCTGTGAAGTTACGTAGTCTAAAAGAGACCCTTGAAATATCCATGGCCCCAGAAGGGACTGCTGGGATGGTCGTGGACCTTGTGGTGAGTTTAGACATTCCCTGCTCTTATCATCATATTATAATTTATCCCCTACTCCGTACCGTGTAAGAAAGCCCAGTAACACAAGCAATCACAATCTTAATGTACAACTTACACCTTGCCTTTCTGAGAGTGGTGACTTGGTAACAGGTAGACTGTACACGTACAGCTACTTCACAGAATATGTACAGTACATGAACGGGATCAAAAGCCACAGGCAAGTGGCAACAACTACCTTAGTAAGAAAGTCCCAATTTAAGGCTGACTCACGAAGTATCATGTATACATACATGCATGGCTAGGGGTATTTACATAGTGACAAGCAAGGGAAGAGAGGAGAGGAAACGGAAGATAGAAGAGCAACACGTACAGGTCAGTGGCGTTAAGGTACTCCTCCCTGCTTGTTCTCAGGGGACCGGGAGCGCGGGTCAGCCAACCGGGGTAGCCGCCTCCAGACACCTCGGCGTTGATGTATGGACCTGGGCGCTGCATATCCGAAGGGGGTTAGCAACCCAGAGCACAGGGATCGGATCAGGTAAAAGGAGAGGCGAGTGGGAGCCATGGAAGGTAATTAAGATGCCGGCGATACCGGTCTTTTGTACACATAGTTCGGCCGATATCCTAGCGAACATGGTCGTATTCACCACAGAAACCTCGGTGTTTCCCCGCACCAATTCCCCCGCATTAGTTCCCCGCACGAAATATCCGTCGGGGTGTATTTGCCTCCCTTATGTCCTTGTGTGTACCTAGGTTCGCAATAACGCCATAAATACAAGGGCCAGCAGTCAAAAATACGCAATCATTAGCAAAAGTAGGTGGTCACGCGTAGACAGTTGACGAGCTGAGCCACCACCGCCTTTCATCGTTGAAGGCAGAATTGGTAGAGATCCAAGGGGGGAACCAGTAGTGTAGGCCATCCAACCGTCCGTGCTCGTCAATCTCCGTCACTGTCGTCGCTGTCATCCACAACGCGGCGGCGGCTGGCCATCCTTCGAGGTCGCGACGCAGCAGGCGCAGCAGGCACGTCGTCCTCCACAGCTCCATCAGCGTTGTTGGCATCTCCTATTGTCTCTTCGTCCTCATCGCTGTCGTCTATTACGAGGGGACGCTTAGCCGGCCGTCGAAACGGCAACGTGGCAGGTGCGCCACCTTCCGAATCGCCACCGGCATGGCTGGAATCATCTGATGCGTCGTCGCTTCCACCGCTGCCCCGAAGCGGCGAGAAGCCCTGGTAGTGGTTGTCGGGATCCCCGTCGGAGGTAAGGTCGACGACCGGGGCGGACAAGCCGGGTTCGTACACGCCGTCGTCGTCTGTTTCGAGTTCATCATCATGAATGCTGCCGTCGTCGATACCCTCGCTCTCGTATTCGTCCCAATCCGTGGCTTCCTCATCGGCGTATCCCAACTGGTCGTCGGTGGGCAAGCCATAGCCGCCGTCGGTCTCGGACTCATCCCCATCCGTGAACTCCCCATCGGCGTATGCCAACTCGTCGCCGGTCGGCAAGCCCCAGCCGTCGTCCGAGTCTGAGAGCTCTCCACCGGCTGCCACCACGTCATGCCGGTACTTCAACTCCGCCTCGTACGATCTGTGGGAGAAGAACATCATGGGCAGGTGCTTGACGCGACGCAGGCAGTCGGCGCGGGAGGGCAAGCCCGCGATCTCCAGTAGCACCTGAATGTGCCAGATCAACCTCTCTGAACCGCTGACGCTCATCGGGCCATCGCTCAACGCGTTGCAGGGTCCTTCAAACTCGCAAGGAACGTCTGCTTTATGCCACCGGTAAATGTAGTCGATAGACATGCCGTATTCTCCTTGCTCAAAGGGAACCATGAAGCGCTCGGTATGGTCGGGGGAGACAGCCCACAGTGCCTTGGCGGTGGAAACATCCTGGTAGTCGACAGAGGTGTAAAAGGTCTTGAGTTCGGTGAAGGCGGATAAAAAGTGCCGGTGGAGGAAGTACGAAGTGGAGTGAGGAACAATGAGTTCGTGCCTGTCTAATTCGCCAAGTTCAACCGCCAGGTTGGCAACCTGGTCGGTGAAGCCAGGAAGAACCGTCATGGAATCCGGACTAAACATCTGACGGTTCGTGATGGAGTGAATGCTGAGGTAGACAATGTCCGTCTCCTTGTTGAAGCGAACGTAGGCGTCCTCATCGTGGCTCTTGAACTTGAGAGAGTCGGGAAATCGCCTCAGGGCCAGTGCGCGGCTCTCGTGGTGCGTGGCCATCAGGCAACGGGTCAAATTCGTTGTATACACTAGAGCCATGGACGCGTCGGGACTCCATCCGGCACGTCCCTCGCAGCTCTCCAAGAAGAAAATGAGCAGACGAGGTCTGCGGGCGAGGTCCGGGCAGAAGAAGGACCAGATGTGGTTCCGCAGCTCAGCGGGTAGCTTCCCGAATAGGTGGAATTGCGCGCCTGTTCCATCGGAGGTGACACTCGAGCCGGACGCCGCGTCGGAATCGTAGCTGCGATCGTCGTCTTCGTGGGCCTCGAGATCAAAGAACCCGGCCTCTTCAACGGCGTCATTCTCCTCCCCTTCGGAATCGGAATCGTCGGAAAGGTCGATGTTGATCGGGCGTCGGGCCGTCATGGTTACTCTATTTTTTTCTATTTTTTTTTCGACGGGAGACTGGTAGTTCGCTTGTGAAAATCTATTAGAATGGGTTCCCTTGAGAAAGAAAGAGTGCTAACAGCTACCTTGATGCAAGAACGACGTTGACGAGGAGACGCGTTGAGGAAGAGACGCGGAAGGAAGAAACTCGGAAACAAGGGGGTTACCCAATGGCTAGGCCAAAAATTGTGAAGTGGACATTCAAGGTAGGTACGTACCTATGATGCACAATGCAGCATGCGGCCTTGGCCCAAACCAACCCCACTTTCTTTCGTCTTAGATAAGCCAAATCAGCACGAAGGCCTTCGTACCTTAGGGACAATAGCCACACGTCATTCCTGTTTATTCCCTTTATTTTTATTTTCATTTCTTTTTTCCCTCTCTTTTCTCTCCCACAACTCTGATCAAACCCTCGTCCAGAATTCATCACACGGCCACAGAGAACTTACAAGGCACCATTTACATCGCTTTCAACGAATCTCCGACATCAATATCAGGCACAATCTTTTTGGACTTTCGCAACTACCATTCGTGGCCCATATTGCTGCTTACACACCTATGCGACGACGTACCAACAAGCGCGCCCTCGCGGCTCCCCATAGAGGAGGATAGCTCGAAGGGTCTCTTATATACTCGAGCTCACTGAAGAAGGCAGCCAGGATGCCAAAACACGTGCCAATTGGCACGGGATATCCGCGCCACTGAGAGTAAGGTAGATCTTACGGGTTGATCTCGGCGGCCGCAAGGAATCGTCGCAGGTAGGGCATGCCACCCTGCTGCCTCTAGCAGGGGGGAAAGGTGAACCGCTTCGTATACATTCAGATTCCCTGCATTAAGTAGAGCTGCTGCTTGAGGTGCTGGTGGTGGACCGTGGTCCACTATCGGTGTATCCCGGTACACCGTCCGGGCCGTCCGGGACTAGAGTGGGCCCGTGGCAATCCATCCGGCGAACGGCAATGGTTTGGCGCTAAGACTAATTAGCGGTTTCCGGCATAATGCCTCAGGAGTCGCCGAGTGGGGACTCGGAATGAAGCCGTTAAGCCGTTTCCTTCCGTTGGATTTAGCTCTGATCCATCAGGTCACAGGTGTCAGAGGCACCCGAATCACAGGCATCACTTCATTAATCACATTCGACTCACTAAAGATTCTTGACCGCAATGAGTTCAGATTGCATATGTTCTCCAATGTCATGACAGACATCTTTGCAGCTATGTACAGATATCCTTCTGATGCTCAGTTCACATATACATCTTGAAAAAAACCGGCATCTTTCGCCCCTCGAGTTTCGTAGCCCTTTAGACTTTAGAGGCTTAGATGCACTGGGAGTACCAGGGGTTCTGCTCACTGCAGGTGCCCTGCGAGCAGCAGGTCGGGCCGTTCCAGCCCTGGCCACCGCACTGACCCCACATAGCCGAGCAGCTGCCGGAAGGAGGAGGATTGGTAGGGGGAGGGTTGGTAGGAGGAGGGTTGGTGGGAGGAGGGTTGGTGGGGGGCGGGTTGCTAGGAGGCGGGTTGCTAGGAGGAGGGCCGCCACCCACGATATCGGAATGCGCATTCCTTGTGAGCATCTGGGCGTACTCGTCGAACCAGGCGCCGGCGATGGGCGCACCCTGCATGCCGCACTGTCCGTCGGACTCGCCGCCGGGCTTGATCCACAGGACGGCATCGACGTTGGAGTTCTGGGTGTTCGTGATGAAGGGTTGGCCGAAGCCGGCCTCGACGTTGCACCACTCGCCCCCGGTCTCTCGGGCACCGTCGATCGCGACGCGGCCTTGGTCGACGATGAACTTGGTGGGGAGGCCGCGCTGGGCCAGGGCGCCGCCGAGGGAAGTCGCATAGCGAGACTCGTCGGCGGAGGGGTTGCCCTCGGTGAAAGGAGGCGGGTTGTTGGTCATGTAGGCGTTGTAGTTCGACACGTTGGTCGAGTAACCACGGATGCGGTTGTTACCGCCGGCCTTCTGCAGGATCCTGCCGACCTCATCGGCGGCTGTATGACATTGTTAGTTTTCGTGGACAAGGCAAAAAAAAAAAAAAAAAAAAAAAAAAAACAGGCACAGATAAAAGACGTAAAGACGTACTGGGTCCGAGGTTGTCCGACCATCCAAGCCATCCACCGTGAGACACATCCAAGTAAAGGTGGATGTTGCTAGCCTGCATCTGCTGGATGGCATAGGCAATGCCGTCCTGGTGAGGAATGCGGGCGTTGGCGCAGAACGGCTGGCTCTGCGCGGTGACCATGTTGCCGAGCGCATCGGGCTCCATCACGACGGCGAACTGGAGGTCGGACGCCGCCTTCAGCTTCTCAGCGAAGGGGTTCACGTACTCCGACCTGTACCGGTTCAGGCCGTTCTGGTTTAGAGACAGCTCACCGGCCGACTCGCCGGCGCTGCAGTCGCGGTCCGGCAGGTTGTAGAGGACCAGGCCGACGATCTGCTGCCCCTCGCCACGGGCCTGGGCGGCACGGGCGTTCTGGATAGCCTCGTCGATCCGGCGGAGCAGGTAGATATTGGCGACCCAGACGAAGGTGCCGACGTGGTTCTGCACATACTGCACCTTGTTGGCGTTGGCGGTGTCGCCGCGGGAGACGAAGGCCAGGCGCGTCTGCTCGAGGGAGGCGCTATAGTTGGGGTTGATGTAGAGCGAACGGCCGGCGAAAGGGTTGGCCGACTGGCGCGGCTCCAGCTCGGGAATGGCCGAAGCGCAGCTCGTGGCGGCGAGGCCGGCGGCAAGGAGGGCGAGGGCAGATCGCATCTTTTCCTTCTTCTTCTCACGTGTTTCGTGTGCTGGAGGAGATGATCGACTGAAGATCTTTATAAGATTAACCCCGGACTTGGCACGACGATCGCGAGAATCGTACCCAGGTTTTCGTGATCAGCGAAGCGCAGGCACCTTTTATGTACTTTCCCCTCGCCAAGTCTTCCTCGCCTTTTAGATGGGGTCTCCCCAGGGGGGATGACCTGGTAGGATGGTGCTCCGAACCATGGGTCGCTTGACTCGCTTCGACGCTTCCGGCCGCAGTCTGTATCAACCGGCATTCGCAGAAACGCGGTACCGGGAACCTCGTGATCTCATCATCTCATTGATCCATATGAAGGAAGCGCACTCCGGCCACAACAAAGTCTTGCCTATTACGGCATATATCTCGGAGGGTATCATGTTGGGATAGACGTCAAGTTGAAGGGCCGAGATAATCCCCGCGAACGCTCGATTATTATCTGCCGACATGCTGGCGAGTAACGAATCCAATGCCGTGGGGAGGCAAGTTCAACCATTTTAGCCGATATCGAAGGCTTCTATTGGAAACCAGTTTTCGGAGATCTGAGATCCGGTTGCTGGTTTGGGAAATGCAACTGTGGGCCTAGCCCTTGGCAGTTGGAACTTGGCCCCCTTCCCAGACAAGTGAGCACCGAGCAGCACTGCAGCAGGATATTGGCAGGTTATGGAGCTCTGGGTTTCACCAGCCCTCGAAGGTCGCCTTTCATTTGCCGTGATTGTTGAACATACAGCGTGTGTGTTTTACTGTACGAGGCCAAGGATCATGCACCGGAGCCTCCCGCTTTAGTCACCGGAGGCTCGGAGCCGGGAACCCGGGATTTGTCCCGGGTTCCCGGGTTCCCGGATTCCTGTCCAATGACGGAACTGGTTGCAATTCGTCTTGGATATGCGTCAGAAGGATATGCAGCTGCAAAAAGCGTTAATGACGTGATGCGGAGAGCATGGACACTAGATACAAATCCATAGACAGAGACCTGACATTTTTCATGAAGTTATGAATTTATATTATTATGCACCTGCGTCTTAGTAATCGATGCACGAAGGACGAAGTCCGAAACGGAAAAAGGCGCCAACAAATAAGTGGGGCGTGGCACGAGTAACAACGGGCACCCAGATATGTTGTATCGGTGGAATTGGCGGCCCGCTACCGCTCAGAGATCACATCCGGGCAATCGCTTACTAATCATTTACTCGCTTATAAAGAGGGACCCCGATTTCCCAAACACGCAATAGCAAATATAGCAGAAAGAGAAAGAGACATCCCTCATCAAACATCAAACAACAGCGTAGGCCGACACGTAGCTCACGCTGAAGTCGTCCGGCTCTTCGACAAGGTTGCTACGATCATAGCGAATGAACTTGAACCTGCATTCGTCCTCGCCCGCACCCCGCTCGGCCGCCAGGGCCTCCAAAGCGGCCATCGTGACCCCGATCGGATGGCGTCCACATACGGTGTTTTTGGTGGCGGCCAAGTTGTCGTAGAACTGCTCGTACTTGCCCGACTTGATGGCTTCGATGGCCAGATCGTCCAGCACCTTGATGGTCTCGTGGATGGGCTTGCCGCTGGGCACGGAGCGGTGGGAGAGCTGACGCAGGGTGCTGTCCGCCTTGGCTTCCGGGCTGTAGGGCCTGTAGCTGAAGTGGTCTCCCCAGTGACAAAAGTCGGAGCTGACAATGAAGGCGTTGGACGGTTCGCGGAGGTAGGGCAGGAGCCAGGACCCCGCCTCGCGCTCGCCGGCTTTGTCGTTGTCCCCCACCAGAATAGGCACGAGGGTGGGGAACTTATCGGGCGAGCCGAAGGCGTTGAGGAGCGACACCCAGAGGAACGGCAGATGCATCTCGAGCGAGTGCTCCCTGTTGTCGTTGGAAGAGGGGATGTCGGGGATATCGTGGTCTCGTCTCAACTTCTCCGTGATCTCCTGATCCACCTCCAGGTTTCCCCACGGGGTCCCATATTTTTTGAAGCTCGTCAAGGCACATCCCCGGAGATAGAACGTGTGTGACGGTCCGAGGAGGAAGACACGCTTGGCTTGGCTGAGATCGAGGCTCTTGTAAGCCCACGCCGCTGTCGGGCCCGAATAGCTGTAGCCAGCATGCCTGTAGCCCATACCCCTGGTTAGCACTCGATGCAACGGCACGTAGCTCAGCCGCTCCAAAGGGACCTGGCAGGTTGGAACTGACGGTGCCATTATGACCCTGGCACGGGGAATAGGAACATCGGAGCCGTCGATTTGATTAGGGACATCCCCGAGAAATCCTTCTAGCTGATCCGAGAGCCTGTTCGCATCACCAAGATACCAGGTGCCTTGCTTGCCGGGTTTTCGGACCTCTCTCGACGACATGATGGACATGCAGCAGCCAATGGTGGACAAAGGGAACAAGTTAACAACGCTATCCGAGTTGGAGTATGTGATCCTTTGATCCCTCGGGTATCGAGTGCAGAGGATTATGGCAGGTTGGACGGAGGAGGGGTAATGGAAGACGAAGGGCAGACGTGGAGTGGGTAGTGGGTACCTTGGTGAAGGCAGGGGGGAGAACCTACAGCGTAGCAGCTCTACGTTGTAGGTATCACTGAACTGGGGGCCGGCCCCGCACAAGCTTGGAGGGGCTGCAGCTTGAGATCGAAGCTTCCCCGATACGTACCCAGTATGATGACGCTTCCAGGTTCTTGGAATCTTATCAGCGTTATCGATTAGCAGCGTCTTGGCAAATGGGTACCCGACCTAAAAGCTTGGATTGAATTCGCGACGAAGCCAGAAAAAAAAAGAAGAAAAAGAAGAAGAAAAAAAGAAAAAAAAAAAAGGATCTTACGAATCGACATTGCCCGACTTTCAACGCCATCGAGTCCACTGTCACTCATTGGCAACCTGTTACAACTACAAAAAGGATCTTCAATCTTCAAGCCAACCTTGACTCGGCTGGCCTGGCGCAGAGGGCCCATCACACGCTCGAATGTTGCGACGCTGCTGTGCCTGTCGAGGACTCCTATCCCGAGCATCGAATCCTCGACAACAGCTTCTATCACCATTATTGCTGCAGCCATGGAATCTACCGACTGCCACGTTGACGCGCCACGCCCGTCGTCCCTACTCCTCGAACAAGCCAAAGGAGCTGTCCCCCGACGAACTATCGAGCGAGTTCAAAGATCTCCGTCAGTACACACAAACACACACCTTTCCAGCCTCCCTTCACCCGGATAGCGGCTGACCGAATGCCACCGGCACAAAAAAAATTAAAAATTTACAGTCTTCTTCCCAACGATGTCTCCGAGAGAGCGCTGGAAACCGGGCGAGACCGAAGTGGTGGTATACGGCTTCATAGGGAAGATCAGGAAAGTCTCCAAGGACCTGGCGTTCGCCAACCTCGAATTGAACAACGGCGAGTACCAGGGCCAGATCTGCGCAAAGGGCGCCGACCTAGCCGACGCTCTGCGTAAGATCCAACCTTATAGCGCCGTCCTAGCTGTCGGGGCCATGACGGACTCATCATCACCCGCCAGGTTCGACATGGAAATCTCCTCCATCCGCTACCTCAACCCATTCCCCAAGGACATCATCGTGTCTTCCGACGCCGTCTTCCCCGCCGAGGCGCGGCACCTGCAGCTGCGATTTCACGACAAGCTCAAAGAGGCGCTGCGGTTCCGCGCCTTCCTCAAGTCGTCGCTGAGCGAGACGATGAACGGGTTGGGGTACCTGGACGTCGAGACGCCGACGCTCTTCAAGTCCACGTCGGAGGGCGCCCGCGAGTTTCTCGTCCCGACCCGCCGCGCCGGCTACGCTTACGCCCTGCCGCAGAGCCCGCAGCAGTATAAGCAGGTGCTGATGGCGTCCGGCCTGGGGGGGTACTACCAGTTTGCGAGGTGCTATCGCGACGAGGACCACCGCGCGGACAGGCAGCCCGAGTTCACGCAGATGGATCTTGAGCGGTCATTCGCCACGGGGGAGACCATCATGGGGGATGTGGAAAAGGTCGTGCAGCGCGCCTGGGACGCCATGAGGGGCGAATACGTCCTCAGGGACGACGGGACCTCTTTTACCCCGGTCAAGAGGACAGCGCAGCAGTCTTTGGATGACAACTCGTCTACTCCTGCCACCTCCGACAAGGTCTCCGAATACCCGCGCATCTCCACGCCTTTCCCGAGGATGACATACGAGGACTGCATGACCTTGTATGGCTCCGACAAGCCGGACCTCCGCATCCCCAACACGATCCTGCGGGTCGACGAGAACCTGAGCCCCGACTTTGTCGGCATGATATCACACTTGGAATCGCCGATAGTGGAGGCCTGGAAGCTTAGCTTGCACGAAGACGTCGACCGGGGAGAGGCCCAAAACTTCCTCCGGGGCTTCATGGAAACCCTGCACAAGAGCTTCCACCAGAACCCCGACGGAGCGCCGCAGGCTCTCGCGTACGACTCGAGCAAGCCGTTGCAAGGGTTCTCGGCCCTCGGGCCCGACGGCCTCCGCGCCCTCCAAGAAGCCGCCACCCCGTCGTCGGGCCTCTCGGATCTGCAGGACGGCGACATGGTCGTGTTCCAAGCGCGCCGGAACCGACCGCACCAGGGCGGGTGGACCAAGCTCGGGGAGTTCCGGGTGGCGCTCTACCAGGCGGCCGTCGAGGCCGGGCTGGTCGAACGAGACGACGCCCGCTTCCGGTTCCTCTGGGTGACCGACTTCCCCATGTTCACGCCGGACGAGGAAGTCGACGTGGGACAGGGCGGGTCGGCCGGGTTCTCGGCGACGCACCACCCTTTCACGGCGCCGCTGGGCCCCGAGGACGTGGACCTGCTCTTCGCCGACCCGCTCCGGGCAAGGGCGGACCACTACGACCTCGTCCTCAACGGCGTCGAGCTCGGGGGCGGCAGCCGGCGTATCCACGTGGCGAAGATGCAGGAGTACGTGTTGCGCGACATCCTGGGGCTGGGCGACACCAAGATGGCCGAGTTCTCGCACCTCCTCAAGGCGCTGCGGGCCGGGTGTCCGCCGCACGCCGGCTTCGCGTTGGGATTCGACCGCTTCGTGGCCGTGCTCAGCGGCGCGAGCTCGGTGCGGGATGTGATCGCGTTCCCCAAAAACAACAAGGGTGTGGATGAGTTTGCGGGAGGGCCAGGTCGTATCTCGAACGAAGCTTTGGAGACATATCACCTTCAGTTCAAGAGACGGAAGTAGGCGAGAGAGATGCGTGCTTCCTCTCTCTGAAATACGGTGCTGTACTATATAATGTTGTACAATCACGGATGCTGTGTATGTATACCCCCACAATGTCACCATGAGTAAAGCGAGAGGTCGTTTGGAGATTGCGGACAAGGGCGGAAGGTCCCAGAAGGTGGAATTAAAAAGGGCGGTAGCTAATTGTACAGCAACACGTTGCCATGAAATGACGGCAATGTTTCCTCAGATACACTGAAACTGAAAACCAAAGAGAACCTCCCCAAACCGTCGGCCATTGCCATTCCTTTCATTTTTCCGGTTCGTGGCTGATTACTTCTCAGACTTCTTCCACTGCCCGGCACCCTCCACGCCCTCGCCGGCAGCGTTAGCGGCGTTCTCGACGCCGGTGCCGATATTCCCGAGAGCGTCGCCGACGGGGCGGCCCGCCGAACCGGTGACGCTGCTGACGGTGTCGCCCACGCCGCGGGTGGCGGCGCCCGTGACGTTGCCAGCGGTGCGCGAGACACCACCCACCGTGTTACCGACCGTCGAGGTTACGAACTTGGCGGCGCCGGTGACGCCTGTGTCGGTTTCGGTCTTGTTCTTGTCGGTCATGATGAAGAAGGTTTTTATTTTATTCTTTCTTTTTGTTTTGTATGTTTGTGTTCTTGGTAGAAGAGTGGTCTCGATGTTTATTGAGGCTGGTCGTGATGGTTGTCCTTGAGGTTGGAGATGTTGTTGTGAAGGGGCAAGGGGGGAAGCGGGGGGACCAGAACATTGGAATCCGAGAAGGGCTTAATTTAAGTACCTTAGGTCAAGTACGTACACGTAGAATACGCAATGCCCTTGAGGAGTGTCGTCACCAGAGATCTACGTGTACACCACCACACAACTTACCTCACAGCGAACTACACGTAATTACGGAGTATCCGTACTTCGCCTTCCCGGACATCATTCAGAGAACCCAGGGAAGGTGCACAGGGAAGTGACGTCATCCGATTGGGAGTCACCGAGGTCGAACATCATCCACCTATCAGCGGTATATAAATCCCCCTTCTTTTGCATCATTCGCGTGGCAATGCGCCTCGACGTCCAAAACTATCGCCATCTAGTGTAGATGATTGCTACGACTACCCGTGCCACGCCCCACTTATATTGGTGAGTGCCAAACGAACCAGAATAAGTGGGGCATGGCACGGGTAAGGGGAAGGTCTAAGAAAGTCAAAGTGCGGAGAAGGCTGCATGTGACAGAATGGTCCCGTAGACAACATTGAATGGAATTGTTGCCAGTAAATCCCCGCTTCCAGTAATACCCTGAGTCTTAACTCCGTAGTTAACGTGCATCTGGTTCCATAACGTAACCGTCACTATATAGCTAGTCTAAACATCGCTACCATCATCAACTAAGCAAAACACGTATCTCCGATCGTATAGTGGCTAGTATGCCAGCTTGTCACGCTGGAGACCGGGGTTCAATTCCCCGTCGGAGAGACTTTTTTTGGTCTCCTTTCTTCTTTTTTCTCTCCTTTTTTCTCTCCTTTTTTTACCCTCTTTTTTTGCGACCTCACGACCTCGCTTTAAAGCCACATTCGTATCCTTTCTCAGTCAACTCGTCACTTGTTCTCATGACCATTTTTATCACCAGGTCTCATTGACCCCCTATCTGATTTGCACACTACAACGTATGTCCGAGAAGCAAAGACACCCCCACGTGCCCGAGGATCTCTGCCCGAATTCCCTGCTTGATATACACTAGTGACACTGTGACGAGCTATCGTCTCTCTTTGCGATCAAGCCCAAGAGGTTTCTTATTCCTCCCCAACATCTCGTCCGCATGAGCACTAGTAATAGCCCCCGTCCATGGAGGAATCGCGCTTGAATCCGCCGGAACCCGCACCCGACAGGCCGGACATACCCGACCCGTAACTTTCACTTCCACGAAGATGAAAAGTAACACCCGTGCGCACAGGACGGTAGCCGCGAACATCCTGAGAGGGCCTCCCTCCCCTGGGCCTGCGCACCTGGTTCCCCCGAGACGATGGCACATTCACATTCCGACCCGCTTCTTTGGCCTCGCTACGCACCGCGTGCTCCCTGCGCAGAGCCTCGATCGCCCACTCGACTTCCTGAAACTGCTCTCGGAAGGCTGGTTGCAGGTAGGAAGGCAAGGTGGCCTCGGTTTCTCCAAACTGTTCCTGTGAAGATGGGTCTAGGTGGGATGGCAAGGCGGGTACGGGTGCAGACTCGTATTCTTCCTTGAGGGATGGTTTGCCTACTTCGTCGTACATGTTGACGTCGCCAGAGTAGACATGATGATCGTCCCTACTGTTCGACACGCTATGCATTAGTCTCTCTCTTATGGCAGCCGTCGATGTTCCCTTGCGTGCCGACTCCTTCTCGACTGGGTTGACTTGCCTGCCATGATTCCCCGTGGCCGCCGTGTCGAGCCAGGCTTCAAGCCTATGGCGGTCTTTCTTGCGCGCCACCCAGTCGTCGGCAGGGTCGTTCTTGACTCGGGGAGTCTTAGTTCTAGTGCTACGTTCTCCATTGGAGGCCGGGGAAAACGGCGTCCAGGTCATTCCCTGCGGCGCGCTGGCCGGGGTTGAACGCGGTTTCTGGGAGAGATGTTAAGACGAGTCCGGGGGGGTCTGAATAGGGCCAGTCCCATTCTTACCTGACGGTTCTTCGGCGTTTCCACAAGCTGGCCGGGTGGCCAACGGTATGGTGAATCCGGCATACTTGTTGGTTTCTTTTCGGATCCACTCAACGAGTTGGAAAGACGGGTTTATGTTTGGGGTGGTGAAGATGGTTTCTGGTGTCTTCTGAGAGGTGTGGGGAAATGCCCTTCGGCCTGTATGTTTGATATTGCCTACCTTCCCAAGGCAGGTGATTTCAAACCATATCTAAGGTATTTTAGGTAGGTAGCTACCATGAGCATGGGCACCTGATCTATGGTCTAAATGAGATGGGGAGGTGACTACTTCCGTTGCTCTTTCCTTTCAGAATCTGAAATGTCTGCCCAGAACAAGCTACCCAGCTACCTGCCTCAAACACTCCCTCAGGCAGGCAAAGGTAGGCAGGGGAAAGGGGGGGCAAGACGGAAGGAAGGCTAAGGTAACCAGCCTAGCCCAGGCACCCAGAAATGCTCCACCCCTTTCCAGGCCTTCCACTTGACTTACGCTCCAGGGGAAAGGGGAATATCGACATCCAGAAAAAGGAGCAGCTCACAGACCGATCACATAGGGCTAAGTGCAACCCTTCCGATTTACTGCTTCAGTGGCAGAAGTCCTGATAATATTATTCTTGTCTCTTTCTGCTTCACCCCTTTCGCCCTCACGGGGCTTTCTTAAGTCAACAACGAGCCCGACAAATACCCAAACTTCCGACGGCGGCCCTTGTCCTGCATCTGATGATCTTACACCAGACACATATGGATGCCTTGCTTCTGACTTCTTGCTGCCCTGGCTGCCACCGCTGTAGGACTCCCTGACATTGCCACTGGGGGCAGTGTACCGCGAGTACCCCGTGCCGCTGTCATAGTAAGTGCTGTTGTTGGGATTGTTGTAATAATAGGAACCGTTCCTGGCGTTCCAAGAACCAAACAATGTCAGCCAAGTCGGGCAACGATATGTAAAGACGTCAAGACGTTAAATGACGGGTCACTCACTGGTTCGAGTAATGGTACGGGTTGGAGTTGGACTCGCTGGGGGCCCCGACCCGGTACGAGTTGCCCTGTTATCCTCTCTCGTCAATACATGAGATGATTTTGATGCATGCAGATACATCTGTCTATTGGGAAGGGACACGAACCTCGCTGTTCACACCGGAGCGCGTGTACGAATTGCCGTTGTTGCCGCTCATCTTGCAAGTCTTCGAGGGACAGTGAGAAAGTGATTTGTGTGTGTTCGGTCTTGAGACGAGAGACGAAGTGAGTTTGGGAGGAAATAGAAGAAAGACGTTTAGGACGAGCGGAGGGGGGCTTACCTGCTTATATATGGCTGTTCTGCTCAAACGCCCGGGCGGCCCTAGCTCGTTTGATTCAAGAATATGGCACCTGAAGCAAACAAGGGTACCCAGCCTTATTGGATATGTCAGATGCCCATAGCCACACCTTATTGAGGTGTGATAAAGCATATTATATTAGACGTGTGGAGTAGGTACCTCGATCCTATATATCCACACTTATTTCCCCTTATTTTTCCTAATAGTCAGATATCCCCGTGAAGTACCACGAACTTCACTTAGATAAATACATATATAATTCCGCGCGTACCTTATTTGTGTTCTGACATCACGACAAACGCCCGGGCGGTCCTTAGCTTGTTTGATTCAAGACTACGGCACCTGAAGCAAACAGGGGTACCCAGACTTATTGGATGCTTCCGGGGTCTGACTGCTCTTGCCCCACTCACAGACTTGACACCAGGAAGCCGTCCTGAACAGAGGTGAACGTTGCTTGTCTGTTTGATGCCTACCATATCTATTTGCAATCCAACTTGACTGGTTGAATCCAACATTGAGACGTCGCTTCAACCAAGTTAGTCTTCGAGATGCGTCTCTAGCGTCCTCCGTCTTCTTCCCCCTCCCCCCCCCCCCCCCCCCCCCCCCCGTTTTTCTACCTTCTATATGGTCCGCAGTCCGCTTGAACGTTATAGATTGGGTGCTGCTAGTCACTCCTTCTTCCCGTTCAACTCCGCCTGGACGCTCGGGTCGTACAGCTCAGTGACGTACTTTTCGGCATCCAACGCAGCCTGGCATCCAGAACCTGTAGCGTTCATTTGATTAGTGTTTTGTGACGGCTGCGACAAGAGGGGTAAAATGGATGGAAAACGCACCTGCACTGGTAATGGCCTGCCTGTACCGCTTATCCTGCACATCCCCGGCCGCAAACACGCCCTCAATGTTCGTGAGCGGCGTCCCGGGCTTGGTGATGACGTAGCCCTCCGAGTCCGTCTCAATCTGCCCCTTCACCAGCTGCGTGGCGGGCTCGTGCCCAATGGCGTAAAAGAGCCCGTTGGCCTCGAGCGTCTCCTCCTGGCCCGTGACGGTGTCCTTGACGACAAGGTGGGTCATGAGGCCCTGCTCGTTGCCCTGGGCCTCCTTGGCCGCGGCGTTGAACCGCACCGTGACCTTGGGGTGGGCCAGCAGCCGCTTGGCCATGATGGCGCTGGCGCGGAGCACGGTGCGCCGCACGAGCACCGTGACGTGGCTGCCGTACTTGGTCAGGAACAGCGCCTCCTCCGCCGCCGAGTCGCCGCCGCCCACCACCACGAGCGGCTTGTTGCGGTAGATGGGCACGGCGCCGTCGCACACCGCGCACGCCGAGATGCCGCTCTGCCAGTACTTGTCCTCGCCCGCGATCCCCAGCCGCCGCGCCGAGGCGCCCGTCGCCAGGATGATCGCGTCCGCCGTGTGCGTCTCGTCCGGCGACCACTCGAGCGAGTACTTGAACGGCCGCGACGAGAGGTCTAGCTTGGACACCGTCTCCGTGACGATCTCCGTGCCGAAGCGCAGGGACTGCTGCCGCATCTTGTCCATGAGCTCCTGGCCCATGATGCCGTCGGGGAAACCGGGGAAGTTCTCGACATCGGTCGTCGTCGTAAGTTGACCGCCGGCCGCGATGCCGTTGGCGAGGAAGCCTTCATATAGGACGGCTGTTGGTGGAGGGGCGAAGTCAGCGCTGTGAAGTGAATTTCCCGTAGTGGGTTTGAGGATGCAAGGCTTGGGTGATAAACGGGAGAATAAACATAAAAAAAAACCACCCGAAGGAAAGAAAAGAAATAGGACGCGCTTACGCTTCAGCTCCGCACGAGCCAGGTAGACCGCAGCGGTATGGGCAGCAGGCCCGGAGCCGATAACTATTGTGCCGCTTGTGTCAGTCTTCCTTTTCCCCTCCCTGCTCGACGCCTCCCCTCCTCCATCGTTGCGACAGAGCATGGGGAAGAATCAGCATCAGAATCAGCCAACGTACTGACAACCTTGCTATGCATCTTTCTTGCGCTCGCACCCAATTCTATAGGTTTCGCCGTGTTCTTCTTGAGAGTGGTCGCTGCAGCTGCCAGGGACAATCCACCCACGCTGGAACGTAGGGTCTGTCGAATCGTCGACGAAAACAGCTTCGCGGTGTTTTTCGCGTTGTCGCCCACGGCCTAGAATGCCTGTGGGTAGGATCGGCGAGGGATGGAAGGGGAAAGAAAACAAAGACCCCCCTGTTCGGTTTGGTGTATCGCGAAATGTACCAGAAACGTCCCTGCGCTGATGCCAAATTGCTTCTACACGTACCGTACGTTATTGAAGAAATGCGAAGATCGGGGTACAAGCAACAGGGGAGCAAGTGTCGACTTTTTGTACCGAGTTACAACGTACTTTTCTCGTCTCATTTGCCCCGCGATCGGAATCTTCATGGTGGGGTAATTTCTCTGGACCCTTGGCTTATTAATAAGCAAACCAGTCTTTCCTCATGGGTTGATTACTCATTTCGGATTAGAAATAGGGGCAAAGGAGGTACGAGAAGAAGTATGAATACCTTAGGGAGAGTCACTCCGTAATACCTATGCCCCCCCTCTATTCCCCTTACGCTGCTATATTAGCATCCTGGCTCAGTACAGTAGACCTATAGCTAAGGTAGTCTAACCCCCCTTCGAATCACCGAGACGACCCATCCTCACCACCATCCCTCTTCCCGAACCGCGCCCCAAACCCGCCCAAGTCCCGTCTAAAGAACTTGCCGAAATTCTTCAGGTTCTCATTCATCGCCTTCTCCGCCTGCTGTCCCACACCCGACGTCACCGCGCCGCTCTTATCCAAACCCCCGGCACCCTGCCCAAGATCCCTCGCCGCGCTCAGCAGCTTCTCACCCAGGCTAGACGCGTCAAACTTGCCCTGCAACCCCGTCATCGCGCTGGCCCCGCTCCCCGCCGCCCCCGACAGCGACGAACCCGCCACGGCACCGGCGCTGCCTCCACCTCCGCCCACGCTCGCCAGGCCGCTGCCCTGACTGCTCAGCAGCGGCGTGAGAAGCGGGCTGCTCTGCGCCAGCTTCCCCTCGTACGTGTTGCTGCCGCGGTGGATCGCGAAGAGCTCCATCAGGTGCGTCTGGTCCTGTTTCCGGACGCCCTTGAGTTCGAGTATCTTCCTGAAGTTGCTGTCGGAGCGGTCCGCGATGTGGATTAGGTAGGCTTGCACCAGGCCCTCTGGCGGCGACGGACGCACTTGGAGCGTCTTGAGGAGAGGGTCGATCCTGTTCATCGTCTGGGTCACCCGTTTGACGTATCCGGCTGGTGGTGGCTGTGGTGGCTGTGGTTGCGGCTGCGGCTGCGGAGTCGCTGATCCCTTGTTGTGGTATAATAGCAAGTTCTCATAGGCCTTGGTCATGATGTATTTGTCCAGAAGCATCTGAGAAGCCGTTGGTTTTCGTTTGGGGAGAAATAGCAAAAGACAGAGCAAAGAAAAGCAAAAGAAATAGCAAACCAAATAGCAAACCAAATAGCAAAAACAAAAAAAAAAGAAAAAAAAAAAAAACACGTACCTGCTCCGCAGCGACCTCGGAGATGGGCTTGCACTGCACAATGTTCGAGATGTACGCCGTCGCCAGATGATCCACCAGATTGTCGCAGAACGCCCGTGCATACTGCGGCTTGAGCAAGATAGCCAACACCTCCTCCGCCTTCTCGTTGACCGCTCTGAGAAGCTCCCCGACATACGCGCTGTGATCGCCCACGCTCTCCATCGTGGCCCAGTTGGTGTTCCTCATCTCCCTCCACGGACCGTCGCACTGCCGCTCCACAGTCCGCACAAGCGCCAACACGGCCGCACTGGCCACGCCGAGAAAGGCGTCTGCTTGCGAGGAGAGGTCGATCTTCTCCTTGAACTCGGCATCGATCCTCTTTTTGATGTTCTGCTCCAGCTGGTTGGCGTTGATGGACCAGAAATCGGCCGTGTTCAAGACCATGATGATATCCTGCAGCGACGGTCCTTGCGCGCCGCCTCTCTGCTGCAGGAAAAACAAGAGAACCTGCTGCGCGTACTCGTCCAGGTACTTCGCCAGCGTCTTCGCGAGATCAAACAGCCTGTCGCCCGTGGAAAGCTTGGCGCATTGGGACAGCGTGAGCTTGTAGAAGTGGAAAAGCTCAATGGCCGAGGGGATGACGGTGTTCGGGGAGAACTCTTCGTCCTCGGGGATGAGCCGAGTTCGGTTCCGGTACTGGGGGATCATGCTCGCGAGCTGCTTATCCTGGTTCTCGATCCATATGCTTAGGTACGGCACGAAAGCGGCCGAGATGGATCCGTGAAAGTTGGACGTCCGGTCGTCGGCAGAACTCAGCGTGTCGATGCTGGCCCGCGGCTCGTTGGCAAAGCGCTTCTCCAAGCCGTGCTCAAAGTCGAGCGTCTCCTGGAGACAGCTGAGCAGCAGGTTGACGTCGAGCTTGGGGCCGTCGGTCCGCCGCATGCTCCGTTCCAGGATCCCCTTGTAGTCCTCCCTCGTGCCGTCGCAAAAGGCCACGGCGAGCAGCTCGTTGACCTTCCAGTGGGGCGGGAAGATGACGGCGTGCTCTTCCTCGTGCGACTTGATCATGCGCTTGAACCAAGCGTACCGCCTCCCAATGTTGTCCAGGCTGCCGGCCTCGTCGTTGCCGCGGAAGAGCTGCCGGTACTCCCGCAGCTCGGTGTTGACGTACCAGGCCGTGAGCCTGGACCGCGCCGTATCGCCCAGCGCGTCCATGACGAGACACGCCTCCACCAGCATGCCCCGCCGCGCGGCCACCTCCCCCTTGGCGAACGCCATCTCAAAGTCCTCGCAGACCTGCTCCAGCAGCACGCGCTGCAGATCGGCCACGCCCCTGCTCAGGGCGGCGATCTGCTCGATGCTGCGGTAGCTGTTGAAGTGCTTCATGAGCTGCAGCACGGCCTGCAGGAGGCTCGCGCACTCGCGGTACTGGCGCGCCTTGGACAGGCTGCGGAGCTGCTCGTAGGCCGTCGTGAGCATCTGGAGCCGCTTGAGGGCCGTCATGCTCAGCGTCAGGTTCCGCTTGGTCCCGTCCAGGCGCTTGATGTCGGCCGTCATGGAGGTGATGTTCTGCTCGGTCTCTATGGCGCGGGACCGCACAGTCTCAATCTTGCGGAACAGCTGGGCGAGCTCGGCCTGGGCGGAATGCATCCGCTCCAGGCTCGAGTCGGCGCCGTAGGCCTGGTTGAGCTCGAGCTCGGTGATTTCGGAAGAGACGTCATCTTTGTGGTCGCGGAGCGTTTGCGAAACTCGGCTGATGGAAGAGACGGTCGAGGGGTGGGAGAAGAGGAGGTTCAGATGGTCGATCGGATCGTAGTCCACTACGCAAACTCGAACAACGTGTTAATAGAGCTGGAGCTTTGCGAATTTTCAGGTTGGGGAATGGTTGGGTTCAGGGCAGCGGCAAAGGGGAGAGAGCAACCTGCATCAAGTGACGTTGGCTCATTCAGCAATCTTGTTCCCATATTCACAAAGGTTCGACTCTTACGAATCACGAATCGTTGTTCGTTCCTTGCAATTGCGGAGCGACGTTCAATCGTCTCCAGGTCGAGGTCGGAGGTCGAAATCGGACGTCTGATGGGGAAGAAGCTTGTGGGTACCTGTTCTCAGGTATCCACTTCCCCAGACACTCTTATCGTCACGTGCGGATAACGACCAGCAGCTAACGGTTCCTCCTCCGTATTACCTAATGCTTTCGGAGTGGTGCTGGACCTTGGGTTCAAGGGTCAACCAAAATGTTGCTGCTTTCTCTCCTCTGCACACACACGCGGACATTTCACCAGGGCAAGACACAGAAGGACTGCCGACTTCGACGCCTGAGTTTTTCACGGCTACAGCCACTGTAATACCTATCATCTGTGAAGATCAAGTCCCGTTTTCCCAACGCATCTCGCCGTCGCGTCACTCTGAGCAGGTAGCTCATCCCTTCGGGCCGAACATGGCCTGACACTCGTTAACCATCCTCGGTGCTACTCCGTAATTACTTTTTGCTTTTTTTTGCGCACCGAACGTCAACCGCCGAGTAACGCGCAGAATAGCCGAATGCAACCATATCATGGACCTCTCCAGGAGTTGAATGCTCCGAGATTCGAACCGATGCCGTGATTCACTGGGCATGCAATGCATTCGGGCTCGAAAAACGGAGCATCAACTCCGACCACAGAGGTATAAGGAATATGGGCCCATTGCTCCCTGCGGATACAACAAATACGACACCACGGTCCAGCGTAGGGCGCAGCAAAAAACGCAAGTCGCAGCGCACTCGTTCGCTAGAGGGTACAGAGCCTACGACCCTATAAATATCATCTACGGTAAATATCCATCTGGACTACTTGCCTACCTAGACCTACCCGCCCATGGTACACGAGGACTTCGTCATCACCGTCTTGTTTCATCCTCGCCAGCTGCATGTAATGGAAATTGGTACTTTCACTCTCACCTGTCGTGAACTTCACATGACAGATGCATGACATGCAGTGGAAAAAAAAAGGGGGCCGTCTGGATGTTATACATATCAACGTACATACATCCTTCGTTCGGCACGGGGGAATTCGATTTGCCGTGACCCTCCCCTCACATCCCCCCAAAACGCCAGACGTCGCCAAGCATGAATAGCCAGAACTGATAGTCCTCGACTTTCGGCAAACTTGTTTGGTTTCAAGTATCCCGGACATTGTCGACACAGGATGCGCATCCAACATATGCCGAGTCTAGGACCTCGGCGAGGCCCGTCCGTCGCCGACAAGGCATAAGAGAAGAGTCTCCACATGTAATGCCTTTTGCAGAACGGACCGTGGTGTAAAAACGTATGAATGAGGTCTCCTGTTTCAGAGACCCAGCAGGAGCTCCTCGACATGCTCAAGAGCTGTGAAGGGCTTGAAAGCCGGCGGCCACCAGGCTTCGTGAGCCTTTCCCGTCAGCTGGCCCGTTCCAGTAGAACAGTCCCTGGAAAGAAAAAAAAAAGATATATCAGCCCAAACCTCCCTCTCATTCATTCATCCTCATCCCTCCCCCCCCCCCCTTAGGTCCACTTACCCCTAATCCTTTTTGCTTGCAGAATTGCGCCTTCGTCTTCACCGTGTCAGGGTTGTCGTATGTCACAAACCCCCCGGTGGCTCCGACGCACTGAGCCGCAATCGCCTTCTTGTCTACAACTTCCTTGGCCCCATCCAGGGGAAGGCTCTTGTACTCGAACGTGCCAGTCTGGTCTCCGCCTGCCCCCTTGAAGTTTTGCCCAGGCCCAGAGGCACCGAGAAAAGAGCGACCGTACAGCGGGATCCCGAACAGAATCTTCATCGAGGGGAACCCTTGCGAGAGGATATATTGCACGGCGTTGGCACCGGACTCCTCGTCTTTCTGCATCGCATAGAGCTGAGAATGGTGGCCGCTTTTAGACATCCAGGGGCCGAAGAAGTCGTAGGCCATGAGATTGATGTAGTCAACGTACTCGGCGCTGCTCTGCAACGGGATATACTGCAGGATTCCCCTGTTGGCAGGGAGAGCCGCAGTCAGGAGGTACTGATCCTCTGGGAGATGGAGTCGCACCGTGGCTAGGAGGGCCAAGAAATCGAGACCCTGTTGAGGATCACATGGGTATTCCCAGACGACTTCAGAAGGATGACCGGAACGGGAAGAGAGAAATACGTCAGCTTTCGTTCGTCTGGCCATGAAAACTTGCACGGGCATGACTGGTTTTCTACGTTTTCCTTTTTTTCTTCTTTTTTCTTCTTTTTTTTTTCACTCACTGTCAATGCCATCCAGCCCGGATGCTTCCACCAAGCCCTTCGCGGAACGGGCAAAATTGTCACGGCATAACGTACTCCCGGCTACAACAGGGAAGACGGCGGACGATCTTCCACCGCCAATGGACAAGAGGACCTGTAAGTGCGGGTGCCTCTGCTTGAGATGCATGAGCGACCCCAACCCGCCCTGTACGCCGTCGACCGGAGCGCCCGCATCGGCCCACTCATCGCTCAGCTGCCCCCCCGAGAAGTCAGTTGCGGGTGTACTTCGCACTTCTTTCTGATGAGCTCACAAAAACACCACCGTCCGGCGATACATTCGCAAAGGCGTAGTACACGTGGTTGGTGTATCCGTAATTCAACGCCCCCGGAGTGTCGCCCTGGTATATGCGTTCGTTCGGGAAGTAGACGGCGTTGGTGTAGGCCAGCTTCGATATGCTCTTGCCTCGGCGCGTTCTGCGGGAGGTTGACGATGAGCTCATCCTGTTGTAGGCCGGCGTCTCATAAGTCGTCCAGACGACGGGTGGGAAAACGAGGACAGATGCGAAATGCTTGGGGTTGCGCCAGAGAACACGACAAACATATGAAACTGAGGCATGTTCCCCCGTCCGACTAAAAGAAAGGGTCAGTCGGGCAGCAAGTGAGTCCGGAAGAAAAAAGAGAAATGAGAGCGTCCGTCGACCATGACGAAGTAGCAGACCGTGGGGCTATTATCTATATGCCCGAGCCAGGGGAAAGTATGAGATTCAGTAGTATTTTTGTAATTAAAAGTACAGTCAGTACGAAGTAGATGGTAAGTAGTACTTTCGTACGGAGCAGGTTGCGACCTTCACTGCCCGGGCCGTGGTGGTGGAGACGCCGGGCACCGAAGATACCAAAATTACAGGTGGGGGGGTCCAGGATGCCACGATATCAGGACGCCACGACGCATGACATAATTTGAGCTGGGGTGCAATGGAGAGCGGGGGTCCAAATACATTACCTACATGGACAGACCTGCAGGGATATGGGCAGGGTCATGGGTGAAACTTGCTAATCCGTCCTAGGACGCGGGAGACATGAGGAGAGCCAGGAAGCGAAATCGTGGTGGAGAGGAACCGAAAATACACATGTGCGAATAAAGCAAGCAGGAAAGAGCCACTTTCTGTGACGGCCATCCCTTGCCCGGGGTGTGGGCGATTTGTATCCATACTTTCGTACATACTTCGTAGGCAAACTCGTATGTATGTAGGGAGTGGATAAATCACAAGTCCCCTCATGGGCCTTGGCTTAAAGGGTCTTCAGCCGAGGCTGCTTCTGGTATTCCGAACCAGAGTACCTTTCGATCCAAAGTACTTTAGAGCTGGAAGTGCCGTGATCGGGAGGCTCAGACACAAATATATCGGTGACCAGTTTTGAGGCGGAAGCTTCTGGCGATGTTCCACCGTGCTCGGCGGCGGCGGCGAATGGCGGGGATACAAGGCACGGCTCAGGACTCAGTTCACTGAATCGTTCGCCCAGTGTTTGCTGCAATTGACTCGACCAGTTGGCGGTGATTGCGTGAAATGCACTTGGTTCCGGGCATCTAATGATCTAAATTCTGAGCGGAAGCGCTTCTTCTTCTCATGATGCGCCGCAAGAGAATTTGCAATCAAATTTTCCTTTTCCGGTCGGATTCGGTGGTCGTTCAAAAGTCTTGTCCAGAAAGCTCGTCGTGGTGGAAGGAGAAGATTCGGGCCGGGATGCCGGATATTCGATTTTCGCAACCAGTGTTGGGGAATGGAACTGATCTCAAAGTGAAACTCGGGTTGACCGTTGACCCAGGTTCCTTTGTTTCTTCGGCAAACAAACGGTACAGGAGCTGTCAACTTCGGACCTGTGGCACCCATGTGGGTTGTGATTTGCGGCTCCAGGGGTTTCTAGAAGGGCGGCGGAAATAGGGGTGCCACCGTGCCACGAGGCTTTTCCACGCCCCAAGGTTCAGCAGCTAACCTCTCTCATCAGAGGGTCATCGCACCAAGACAGCCATGTCAAGTTCTAGCGAACACTCACCGCTTGCGCCCTCGAAATATGAATAAACCGTCCTCTCGCAGGGGGGACTTGCCACTTGGCGCGTTACGGGGGCCTTTGAAGCTGGCTTGACTCACTGCGAGTCGGTCAGGATTCAGGAATTCTGAAGCATAAATTGAAATGGGCGCAGGCGCAGGAGATCTTGTCCGAGCCCCCGCCATTTCAATCAACTTGGGATTGATGGGCGATGAGCGGTGTGTTGGTTTGAGGTTCTGAAGAGGGCGGCCAAGACCAGTGTCTCCCCCGCTAACTGCCGATAGAGGAGCGAGGCGGGCGATTCATAGGTAGGCAGACTATGGTGACTAGGTCGAGTCACCGGGAGAGAGGCCGCCAGGACGTACGAAGTAAGAGAGACCGGACGGCTTGGCTTCCTCTTAGGATCCGCAGTGCAGTGCAGTTTGAGGATCAGACGATTGTCAGTGGAGGCGCCGAAGGTCCCTTGCTCACCTGCATGCCACGTTGGCAGGCGTTGCCCATGCCCCCCCCCCCCCCGGCGGCCCTCCCTCCTGAACAACCACAGGCCGATAAATTGAGAAGGGATAGAGAGGGGCCGATCCGATGACTCGGAGCTGGTGAAGTCGTTGGTGCGGCGAGCATGATACAAATGCCTAATGGCGTGGGAAGACACTTTTGCTGGAAGGGTCAAGAGGGAATCGACATGCAAAATGCAAGCCCGGAATTTGAGGATACAACTCTCAACGAAGGGGCCAAGTGAGGATGAGTACGACGGAAGAGTTCAGGCCTCTACTGACAAAGGCACGTCTTGGGCCGTCGGGCTCATTGACTTTCCGGGAGAAGCGGGGAGGTACCTGACACCTTGATGGAAACTTTCTATGAAGCATGCGCTTCGTACGGAGAAATAATACATACCGTAGTTACCTTTCAATCCAATAGTGATAGGCGTCCCAAGTAGATGGCCCATGTGGGAGGGGAGGGCCAAGGGACCTGATGGAAGTTCGCTTCCTTTCCACGCGGCAGGTAATAAAAGCCAGCGGCAAGGGAGTACTTCGTAGAGATACCTGGGGTGGGACCAAAGGCTCCAAGCCATTCATTCACCGGAGGCATTAACACCGCGCGGAATTCGAGGGGAGGAGTCTCTTTTAAGGTACCGGCGCTGTGCTCGTCGTGCCATTTGAATTAGGCTCCGAAAGGTTGGGTTGCCAGAATAGACCGCCTGATGGCGTCTACGGTCTACCGGTTCGCTAAGGTAGTGACCAACACAGAATGGGCTCGAAAACCCCCAAACGGAGTGGAATGCGTAAACGTAAAAGTACCGACTCTGTATCTATTCGCACGAAGCCGCATGTAGGGCGCAGGCAGAAAAGAAAGAAGAATAAAAAACAAGAATAAAAAAGACGGAGCGCAAAAGAAGGGGTTGGTTGGCGGGGTGGATGAGGGAGGGGGAAGGGAAGGAGCTGCATGTCATTGTGCAGGCTTGGCGGGGGCAGCCCCCCCTTATTGTTACAAGGGATCACCGATCCCACGATTTCATATCATCCACATTTTGGGGGGGTACCTTAATAATCCTTATTCGACGCAACGATCGGCCAGTCACCACACCGCCTTGTACCCGCCCGTCTATCGTGCCCACCGAGTAATACCACTATGGCTTGATATAAGAGATGAATGGGCTACCTTACTCCCTCCATCTACGGAGTACGAGGAAGAAAGAGCCAAGTAAACTAAGTCAACCAAGTAAAGAGGTGTTTACAAAGCGGCAAAGTCATGGTATTTTAAGACATGGCCTGTGACCACCTGGTACTTTCAGTCAGGCTTCTACGGGTTTGTCTTCCCAAGATGTACGCACAAAAGATCAAATCCTAGGCCACTCGGCAAGAGATAGGGCCCCGATTATCTTATTGACGGACCACGATTAGTTGAATCTATGTACCGAGTAGTTCCAAGATCGTACTGATTCATCGCGTATAAAAAAAGTACGTACCTTAGTAAATAAGGTAAGGTAAGGTATAAGCAGGGCTCCCGCTCGCGACGGCACAGCAACCATCTACCTCAGATAACCAACAAAGCCACAGCCGAAACGCGCATCGAGATAGGCGACTAAAAGCACAACGAAGACATCAGTGCGCGTGTTTTGGAGTTAATGCCGGACAACTTCAGCCTAAAACGAACCGGGAAGCTGGGATTTATTTGTATCATGCGGAAGCTAGCCAGAACAAACACTGCCCAAGGTAGGTTAAAGAGAGCATGTGTAGGCTGCCCGTGTCTCGGTTCTCTTCGGTGGACGTTAGCACAACATGTGTGCGCCTCTCGGAAGGATGGGGAGGACTCGGTAGTGATCCGCAGCCACACCCGGCGGTGCCGCGCTCGCGCCTCGCCCGCGCCTTGTCTCCTTATTTGGATTTGGATCTCCGCATGTGGCTGAGGTGCAACCCGAGCGTCAGCTACCTTAGAGAGCAACCTTCGGGGTTTGCACGAAGTAATTAGTTCTTCGTAGGTGCTTCCGCCCGCAAGCCCCTCATACTGTTGATTCTTCGATCACCTGAACCCAGCCAACAAACTCGACAAGCATAAAATTACAGGCCAGCGATCAAAGGCCGTTTGACAATACAATACGGATAAACTCCAACCACGTGAGTCGAGAGGGATCTCCGATACCCGAAGTTCCACAGCATCTCGCGACTCTCGCACCCTAGTTGAGCACTGGCATACGGGCTGCCAGGTGGCAAATTAATGCTCCAGACATGACTAATCAGTCTGTTAATTATCATCCGCCCGTTGCGAGAGCTTCCAGACTACCTCCTGCAAAATACCGTCATCGACAAACAACGCGTCGTCCATCCATTCATTTAGCAAGCAGACGCGAGTATCAATTCCCATTTGAAGAGCTGCGGGTCGTTTACTGCATACGAAGCGAAAATACGTCTATGTAATTGAGCATCAGAGGGCCAGCCTTGCCAGAACACAGGTCGTACCCGGCCGACAACGACATCGACGACATCAAAGCCATCTTCCCATTATCTACCGAGAACACATTCGTATAACCTAAGGTAGTCCAAGAGACGAGCCCGACGATAGATATTGCACTGCATTATTTCGGAGATCATCCTTCCTATTCACCTTCACCTACAATCCGCATCGTTCCCGGCAGCACCGGACAGCAGATCATCGAACAATGGCGATCACGACGACCCATCGCCCAGAGACGACCCAAATCCTCAACCACTCACAACCACCTCGTTCCTTCCCTTTCACCCCCTTCCTCCGCCAGACCCACCGCCATTCTCTCCTCCCTTCCTCCCACGGCGACGGGAACGCAACAACAGCAGCAAACGGCGCCTCGAGCAATGACAACACCACAACAACAACAGCAGGAGGAGGAGGAGGAGGAGGCGGCGGCGGTCGCGGCCCCTCGCTAGTCTGCAAGCACTGGCTCCGCGGCCTCTGCAAAAAGGGCGAGCACTGCGAGTTCCTGCACGAGTACAACCTCCGCAAGATGCCCGAGTGCAACTTCTTCACCCGCAACGGCTACTGCTCCAACGGCGAGGAGTGCCTCTACCTCCACATCGACCCGCAGTCCAAGCTCCCGCCCTGCCCGCACTACGACCAGGGCTTCTGCCCCCTCGGCCCCCGCTGCGCCAAGAAGCACGTCCGCCGAACCATCTGCCTTTTCTACCTTGCCGGCTTTTGCCCCGATGGCCCTGGCTGCAAGGCTGGCGCCCACCCGCGCTGGCGCAACGATCTTGACCGGCCCCGCGCCAAGTCGGAGGTTGCGCGCGAGGAGGGCGAGGTGCGGAGGGAGGAGGATCTCGCTGGTCGTGGCGACGCTGGTGGCCTTGGGCGTGGCAGCTTTGACGGTATGCCGAGGGATGGCAGGGACCGGGATGATCGCGGTCACGGGGATAGGAGATTTGGGCCTGGTGGGCGGGGAGGCAAGTGGAGGGATCGTGGCGGCCCGAGGAGGTTCCGTGGTCGGGGACATTGAGCGAGTCACCGAAACAACGCCGAAAGGACGTCCTGGTGATGCGACCCACACAAAGTCGGGTGCACCGACTCGATCTGTACTACATGATGAAATTTGCTGTTTGAGGCTGGGAAGCCGCCGATTTGCATTGCAGTTCTAGCACAGAACAAAGGAGCGGTCAAGTGTATGTATGTATGTGTAAAACATACCATACTGTAGGGATTCACTTTTGCAATAATACCCAGCATTCGACATCAAGAATCCATTTTATTTCATTATACTAGTCATCAATGATGAAATTTCCCACCCGGAGAGTCGTGATATTTTTGTCCTTTGTAACACCGAAATAAATGACTGCAAGGCCAAAGCGAATGGGAGTGCTACCCCGGAGCCGAGAGCTATTCCCCATCTCGCATATCAACTTGGTAGCTTGCCAAATAAAATTATATACCATGCCAGGTTTTGGCCCCCCCGCGCCACCGGGCGTATTATTACGACTGCTTCCACACGTTGCTCTCCTCATCTTGCGGCACAGCAACAAACTCGTGGCTATCCCCAACATCACTTCCCTCCCGGGAGTTGTCGTACGAGCTCGTCTGCCAGGCCGACAGTTCGTCCACGCGCCGGATGCCCATCATCCAAGCGACGAGACCGCGGGGCACCCAGCGGCCGACGAAGCCGTAGACGCCGGCACCGAGGCCGAGCCGCACGGTGCCGCTGGTGATGGAGCCGTCCATGACGTCGAAGACGGCGGTGTGGAGCTGGCGCAGCGACGTGCCCTTGAGCCCGCGGATGCGGCCGGCCGAAATGGCCGACGTGTTCTGCGTGACGAAGTTGCGGCCGTAGGCGTGGCGAGCGTTTTCCGGCCACATGAGCGTCTCGGTCGCGTCGGCGTCGATGCCGGGCCCTGCGAGGCTCTTCTGGTACGGCGACGCCGACGCCGACGCCAACGAGGCGTGGGGATGTCTCGAGGAGGTGAAGCCGGTAAAGTCGAAGGTGCCCAGCTGCATGTGGGTGACGGGGACCGAGAGCGGTCGGAGCTCGGCGGTCAAGACCTCGGTAAAGGCGGAAAGCGCGGAGCAGACGGTCGCCTCCGGGGCGTGGAACGGCGGGTTGATGGATGAGATGATCGAGGGTGTGAGGACCATGACTTTAGGAGGGTACCACTTCTCGCCGGCGGGGGTGAGACGGGCAGTGAGGAGAGGCAGGAAGGCTTGGATGGTGAGGATGGGGTGGAGAAGATGAGTGTTGAAGAGGTCGGCAAAGCTGGAAGGCGGGATGGTGGCGATGGGCGAGGTCTGGTAGTGGACCGATGGGATGAGGATGACCGACTTGAGCGAGAGGAAGTTGGGCTTCGTCCTCGGTGCAGGTGCGTGTGGAGATTGCAGGTACTGGGCGAATCGTTCAATGGCAACACCGGCCTTGGGAGGCTGTTGTGCATCGGGGTCAGTCAAAACCTATCTGGCTTTCTGGTACAAATTGCGAAGGGCTGTGAAAGGACTCACGTCGGTGACGTCTATGCTCAGTGGCCGGATATCGGGTCTAGCCATACTGTGAACCATAGACTCATCCTCGGCGGCATTACAGACAACAAAAACGATGAAGCCCCTCCTCTCCATATCCAACGCCAGCGACTGGGTTAGCGGGAGCGTCGGGGAACTGGCGATGACGACCACCTCGAGCCGGCCACCATTGCGGGCTCGCTTGGCCCTCCGGGTCTTTCTTCGTAGCCTCCTGCTCTTGTAGCCCTGGTAAAGCACGACGCCGAAGACGGCAACGGCGGCGCCCGTCAAGACCTTATGGCGCGAGATCCAGTCTCGCACTTGTTCGTAGCGGGTCAGGGCGAGGACCTCGATGGGGACCTCGCGGCGAGGAGGCACGGGACGGGCATATTCGGGCAGCCACGTGGCAGAGGCGAGAGTCTCGCGGACCGTGTTGGCGGCTCTGTCGACTTGTGCGTTGATGTGGTCGGCGACATCGTCCGAGTACCGGCGGATATGGTCGGGTAGGGACGAGAGCTGAGTGGGTTCAAATCATGTTAGTTGGCCTGCAAGTAGTTCGCTCGCTCTCACGCCGAGGTTTAGGTTTGGGGGTTCCAGGCAGGTGTTCGAACCAGAACCACCGTCGCTTATTTATGACTTGTGGGTTGGTGCTTACCAAGTCCAAGAACTGCTGGTCGTCGGCAGACATGGTGCCGACAGAATGTAGACAACTGCAAGGCTGAAGAGTTGTGGGATGTCAAAGTGCGAAGTGAAGTGAATGTGAATCAGGGGACAAATTCGAAAGAAAAGGAAATAGGAAGTATAGAAATAAAATGAAAATGAAAATCCAAGCTTGGACATCGGGTTATTGGCTGGATGACGTGGGTGAATGGCCGCCATAGGCAGAACGCGTCCTCCCGTATGTACACAGTATTCTAGTGACGAAAGGACTGTGACGGGGTATCGCCGCTCGGACCACATCCCCCCACATCGTCGTACTCGGCTCCGGTTTGTTGTTTCGGAGGCATCACCACGCTCACCGAGATCTCACCTGAAGATTCTACCTTTGTCCCCGATTATTCATACTTAGTTTAGTACCATACAGTATCCGACTTCGTAGGCTACATCTCACTGTCGCTACGAAGATCAACTTACTCAGGATACAGACTTATGTGTTAACTTATGGGATGCTTGTCGGGATGTATGGGTTGACCGTAATCTCCCTTGTCGGGATCAGGAGAGAGGGATAGGTTTTTTTTTCTATTTGTATGGAAGAAGGCGGTCGTAAGCAATCTAAAACGGAATAAAGGTAATTCGAGTGCTGATCCCGTATAACTTACTAAACACTATTTAAAAAGAGAGACCGGTCAGCAACCCCAGCCTGTTATTGTCAATTCTACCTAAGTTAGGTAGGTAGACTGTAGACGTCCAGCCTACAACGGAGGCCGGAAGGTTTACATACGGCGCCTCGTTCTAGGGCAGGTTTACCTAACTGCCCACCACCTTCCCTCCCCGTATTGATTACAGGTACTGATTGGGACCAGTTTGTGGCGGTCGCAATGCTCGGTATCTGAGCATGGCAGATGGTCAGGAACCACGGAAACAAACGTAAGTGGCTAGCAGCCAGAGCGAGGGCACAGCGCCATCCTCTGGCTTTGTGGAAGCTTCCTCGAGCTTGAACCAAAATACAATAACTAGACGTGAAAAAGAAGCCATGACCCGGAGAACTATGGCGGGACACGTCAACTTCTTGAAATACCCCTAGATGCGCAACATTCTATGAAACCTACAGAACGCAGCAACTCAGTAGGGCGAGGACATTGTTAGGGACCACAACATTGCTAATAGAAGGAAGACGCGTTATGGGATATTATCCACTAAACCCTTCACAGTCGAACTAGCTGACGTCGCTGAGATGTCGGATTCCGAGCAGGATAGTAACCAGGCTCTGGATGCGGCGGGGATCGGTGGACCGCCACCAAGAGCCCCGGGTCCAGCGACTAGAGGGCCAGCAGAACTCCAGGAGGCCGATCCAGGTGCGAACCCTCAGAGAGCTGGGGAGCTTGACGCCTATGAAGACTCTGACGACGACGATGAATTCATGCCATTGCTGGATCGTCTCACGGACGCTCCGACCGTCTACTTACCATGCGGAGGTTCATCGTCCGAGGAAGAAGAAGTTGACGACGATGACCCGATAGTGGTGTCGGACCCCGTCACCGACGCCGAGGTCGTGAACGAACCATCCCCAGATTCGTCCGACGAAAGCAGTTGCACTCCACCTGACGCCCCGAGCCCATCAGCCGGTCAACCCGCAAAACCGAAATCGACAGAGGGGTCTCCCACGCACTCCGGCGAGGAACATGACTCCGAAGAAAGCAGCCACACTCCCCCTGACGCCCCTGGCCCAGCAGTCGGGCAATCCCCAAGCCCGAAATCTGCAGAAGGGTCTACCACGCAAGCCAGCAAGTCCAGCCCCTCTAGGCCCCAATCGCCCGGTCAATCCTCGGATGCTAGAAACGAACCTTTCCCGGAGTACACGGAGCCGGAGGACTTTGTGCCTGGTGAAGTCAGAGAAACGCTTTACCCGCCTGGGTCGCATAACTGGCACCCAGCTTTGGTTAAGTACTGGGAGCGAGAAGCGAGGTACTGGGCCGAACGGGCTGCTGCCGAGCTCCGTGAGAACCTGAGGGCTGCCCTCGAGGAACCTATTTCCCCGGAGGATTCCCAACGGTCAGAGGAGGGGGATCCTAGAGGTTCAGCGAGGGGGGGGGATTCTCAATCTTCAAGGGAGCAGGACGAGCCTGAATCTCCAGAGGGCCAGGGCCCCGTGCATCCAGAGGAGCAGGGGCCTCGGAGTCGCCTGGTAGTCCTGAAGAGCAGGAGCCTCGACATCCAGAGGAACAGGAGCCTGTGCACCTAGAGGAGCAGAAGCCTTGACATCCGGAGGAAGAGGAGTGGGAAATCCTGACGAATGTGCACATCTCAAGCGCTCAACCGTCATCAATACACCAGCGCGCGAAGCCGATTGTCTTTAACACAGGACGACGAGGAGAGCCGTCTGTCTGCGGAAAGGTCGAAGCAGCGTGGTTGCGGAAGTTTTGATGGATTGTCCGAACACGTTGAGCTGAAGCGGGAGGAGTCTTCGTTTCATTTTTGTTGTTCGGTATGAAACAATGCCAGCGTAATAATATTGGTCGAATGAACAAGTCGTTGATGTGTCACAGACAGTCTGCTGAGGCGGCTGATAGAAGTGCTGGCACTCTTCTATGATGTGTCTTTTCCCATGAATAAGCCGGGGTGCCTCGAGCTCACGTTAGGACCGCATCGAAGTCGGGCAGCGGGGTTGGATGTAGGGAATAGGTTAGATGTTGGAACTTAGGTGTAGGTGGTTGACGCGTAAGGATCGCACACGCGGATTGCAAGCAAGCTTCTAGGAAAAATAACTATATAAATAACTATATATAAGTACTATAGCTAAATCCTACTTTGGATTAGCCTAATAACGGATTTCCATAATTAACACGATTCCTTATATAATCCTGCTAGGTTGATCTTGTGATTTCACACGGATATTAGGTCACGTGACAGTGCTGCGCGGGGTTGCTAGACAGCAGTCACACACGGGTTTCTTCTATATCATGTCTCCACAGTGAGATTAGTAGCAACTGGTCGCGTTGCGACACCGCCTTTTGCCATGAGAACTTGTCGCAAGTTTTGGCCCTTGGGACATGGACCGAAGCAGCTGAGTGCCTAGATAGACAGGAGTACCGTAATACGTATGATTACGACTGAAATAGGAGTGCCTGGGGTCTCAACTGGGGTCTCACGGTCTCACCTCGCCGTCTCGCTCACAGGAGTCACAGCTTCCGAGCCAGACATCTCAGCCTAACATAGGAAATCATCTCCCCACCATCACCATCGTCGCAAACAACCCTCAAAGCTTCGGCAGCTTCCCTCACCACTTCCTCGACGGCCTCCTTCCCCGCCTCTTCCTCCACAGCCCGCAGAAACTCCTTCCCCATGAGCCGCACCCACCCCTCGACGCCTCCCTCCCCAGCCTTCGTCGGCCGCCACTCCCTCTCGACCTTCTCAACCTCCCAACCGCGCCCTTCCAGTTGGCGACGCACCCACGCCTCGTCGGGGAAGAACCACGGATCGGCCGCCACAGCCCTCGCCATGCCCACGCGCCGCGCACTCGCCATGAGCAGCGCCGTCCGCATCTCCGCCACGTTGCCGAGCCCGCCCATCTCGAACACGAGCGTCCCGCCCTGGACCAGCCTGTCACGGACGGCCGCGAAGAAAGAAGACGCCGCCGCCGCCGTCTCGGGCCGCAGGATCCAGTGCAGCGCTGCGTTGGAGAAGGCTTTCGTGAATCCGTCGCGGGGGAGGGACGGAGCGCCCGCCAGGGAATTCGCGTCCAGGACTACACCGCACGTTAGTGCATTTTGCCGCAGACGTAGTGTAGTGGCTTTTTTGGGAGAGGGGGACACGTGCCATGGAAGGTGCAGTTTGATTGCACTCCCGCTGCAGCAACCGCCTCGGTGGCCGCCTCGATCATGGCTGGGGAAGCATCGATGCCGTGCAGGAAACCTTTGCCTTGTGCGAGGACATGGCCGAATTCGACGTCTAGCAGGCCGTCGCCACAGCCAATGTCGAGGATGACATCGTCTGGTCCTACGTCGAGCCACTGTACCACTTTTGTAGCGAGTTTCGGTACAAAGGCGGCTGAGTGTTGGTATTCCTAAGATTGGTCTTGTCAGCTGTCAGTCTGTCCGATGCAGATTGCAGATTGCAGATGCAGGCCTGGCACGATGCGACCATTCATCGACGAACCTGAGACGACCAATTGTCGTTCTTCTCTCCAGCCATGATGAAGTTCTTAAGCAGAGTTTGTATAAATGAGCGGGATCAATGCCGTAGAAACTGAATGCCTTAACTGTAAAGTGATAATAAGAAGAAATACCAACTGACGTTCCAGGAGCGGCTTCGGGGTTATTTTATATCTTTTTTAACTCCTCTCGTGCGGAGGTGTCGTGTAAGACAGCACAGGAGGCGCAAGCCGATCTCGGACCATTGGACCGACCCCTGGCTTACAAGGACCGAATGACCGGTTGGGCCCGCCGTTCTGAGTCTTCAACACAGCTCTGGTCCCGTCCGGCAATGATACGCTCCAATATATCCCAAAATTTCATGTCATCGTAATTGATGTGAGTAAAATGTACTAGTCTTCACTGCAGAGTGTTCATGCTAGATGTAACGTGAATCAATGCCCAGTAAAGAACAAAACCCATGTACCACCATCAGTCAATATCCAGGAGCTTATACTTGTCGTCTCCGAGGGCATCCTCTACCCTCTTCATGATAGACAAGACCTTCTCCTCTTCCAGACGACGTCCGACAACCTGTACCCCGACAGGAAGGCCGTGCATGGCCGTCGCATCGTACAACTTGTACGCCCCCCGAGCAACCCCGTTCAACTTGCGAATGTTAAAGTCCTCGGGGAGCTGATCCAAAGCCTTATCAACGTGCGTCACGGGGAGGACGCCGGCGGTGTAGTCGAGCTTTTCCCACTATCCGTCAGTAACCAAGGCGGCCAAGAAGAAAAGGGCAGAGGAGATCTTCCCATAGGGAAGGAAGCAAATGACTTACAAGATTAAACAAGAAAGTATAACCGCAACTGCTCACCGCGTCCTTCATCCCCCCGTGAGGAACAGCCGGGGTAGCATTCGGCGGCGTAATCAGAAAGTCCACTCCCGCCTCCTCCCACCAGTCGAACCAGTCCGACCGGATCGCCTCGCGCCTGGCTACGAGCTGCCAGTTCTCAAACGCGCTCTGCGGCCGCCAGTCGCGCACCAGCCCGGCCCACACGTCGTCGCGCCGCACATACTTGACCCATAGATAGTACAGGTACCGCAGCGGCCCCGGCATGCGCATGAGGAACTCCATCTGCGCCGCGCCGAGATCGTTCCACTCGCCCGTCTGGAAAAACGACCGGAACATCCGGCACCCGTCCGCGTTGAGGGCCAGCGACGCAACCCGTAGCGCCTCGTAAGGGGACGGGGGGTTCACCTCCACAATCTCGTGGCCCTGCTTGCGAAGCGCCGCCTCGACCATCTCGAGGGAACGCCGACACGCCGGGCTCGGGTCGACGACGCCGTCGGTACGCAAGACGCCCACGCGGAGCCGCTCCTTGGCCAGATACTCCGTCGCCATCTCGGCGCGCCACGCTAGCGGGTGGACGGTGTAGTCGTATTTCCATGGCTTCATCTCGACGACGGCGCGCGTGAAGTAGGTCAGGTCGTCCAGCGTGCGAGCCATGGGGCTGTAGACCGACGGCACGCCTTCCTGGCCCGGCATGCTCGTGCGGAAACCGACCTTGGGCCACCGGCCCGTGGAACAGCGCAGCGCGTAGCAGCCCGCGAAGTGGGCGGGAACACGGACGCTGCCCGCGACGTCGGAGCCGATGCCAATGCGGCCGCCCATGGCCAGGAGGGCTGACTCGCCGCCAGTCGAGCCGCCGGGACTGTATTCCTCATTGTGCGGGTTGGTAGAGCGGCCCCAGACGTCGTTGGTCGACTCGAAGGAGAGTAGAGTGACGGGCAAGTTGGTCTTGACGTATGGAACGGCGCCGGCATCCTTGAGTAGGCGGACCACTGGGCCGTCCTGGCCTGTCTTGTTCCCGACTAGTCTCGAGAAGCCAACAGTGGCGTCATAGTCGGCCACGACGATTGTATCCTTGAGTGACACGGGGATGCCGGCAAGGGGACCCTTGAGGTTGATGGAGCCGTCGGTCAGCCACGTCTCGGCAGAGGAGAGCATGACTTCGGTGAGGCAGTTGGTCTTTTCGTGGGCTTTTATGGCCACCTTGCCATATGTTCTGAGGATATCAAGAGGCTCGAGAGATCCCTTGCGAACATCCTCTACCAGCTCCCCGATGGGCTTTTGGACAATCTCACGATCCAGAACGGAAAAGGGGCCATGGTAGGCGGTTAGTGCACGAATCCTCTGGACCCTTTCCGACTGTTTAAATTGACTGTCATGAGGTTAGTGATACCAAGTAAACCATGTTGTCACGACTTGTAAAAGGGCTGCTGTCAGAACAGACCAGTCTCGGCGGTGCTGGAGATAACCGAATGGGAATACCATGGCGCTTCTTTTCAGGTACTGGTTGATATAGATCTATTGGCGTAAATGGAAAAGACGTATTGCAGAGAGCAATAACAACAGCTACCTATGCATTTGTTTTGGAGGGCGGTGAATAAGATGGAGAGAAGGTAGGTGTGAGAAGGTGAGAGAGAGAGAGAGAGAGTCCTACTGAGCGGAAGGAGGTCGGTGTAAACCCGGGGCCCCGCCTTCTTATCACCCGACCTCACTGTTATCGCCCCCTGGCCCGCTGATACCCGCCCCCACCTGGGCGGTGACTCCCGAGTGAGTGTGTCCTGAAACTCGGTAAGCTCGGTGAATCTTAATGCCGGTGGCTTCTCATGTCGATACATCCATCAACTTGAAAGCATAGCCCAGATATGCAACATTATATTATATTCGCATCTCATTTCCATATCAACCTACAACGTCGGTGGTCTCCTCTCGTTCCGATAGTGATCGGCAATCAAGAAAGCCAGTTCCAGGGCTTGCTTTTCGTTCAACCGCGGATCGCAAAAACTCGTGTAGTTTGTCGACAAGTCATCCTCAGCCAGGTTCTCACTACCTCCCAGGCACTCCGTGACCGCGTCGCCCGTGAGCTCCAGGTGTACGCCTCCCAGGTAGCTACCCTGTTCCTTGTGGATCCGTAGCGTCTCCTGCAGCTCCTCGAAGATGTCCCTGAACTTGCGCGTCTTGATTCCACTGCCCGTCGAGAGCGTGTTGCCGTGCATGGGATCGCACTGCCACACCACGCACTGCCGGTATTCGCTGTCCTCCACCGCACGGATGTGTGCCGGCAGCAGCGACCGTACCTTGCCGGCGCCGTAGCGCGTGATGAGCGTGACCTTGCCCGGCTCGCGGTCCGGGTTGAGAGTCCGCAGCAGGGCCAGCAGATCGTCGACGGGTGTGGTGGGGCCGACCTTGACGCCGACGGGGTTGGCGATGCCGCGGAAAAACTCGACGTGTGCGCCGTCAATCTGTCGCGTGCGGTCGCCGATCCACAGAAAATGCGCCGACGTGTTGTAGTACTCTTTCATCGTCGCCGGGCTCTGGCCGTTGAGGTTTGCGCTGGATCCGGGAGGGGGCGGCGTCTCGAGTAATCGGGTAAGGGCCTGTTCGTACTCGAGGAGTAGTCCTTCGTGGCTGGTGAAGAGGTCAACCGTATCGAGCTTCTCGCTCCTGTCGGCTCCTATCGTGCGCAGAAATCGCAGCATGTCTGTCAACGACAGGACGGCTTCGGAGTATTTGCGTTTCAGCTCCGGATCCCGGACATGGCCTAGGCCCCAGTCGAGTGGTCTGTGAAGATCGGCGATGCCGGAGCTGAGGGCCGCTCTAATGTAGTTGAGAGTGGCCGAAGAGTAGTGGTAGGCCCTATCCGTGGTTAGGAGTCAGCAACCCAGATCCTCCAAACACAAGAGCGCCTTCTTCTGCGCCGGGGCAAACACCAACTTAACCAGTCTTTGTGGGTCAATCTCTCTCTCATCGACACTGAACCCGTTCAGGATGTCGCCTCGAAAGGACGGGGTTTCCTTGCCGTCGACGATTTCGGTCGGGCTGGATCTGGGCTTTGCGTACTGGCCCGCCATGCGACCGATGCGGACGACTTTCTTGTCGGCGCCCCAGATGAGAACCAAGCTCATCTGCAAGAGCAGCTTGATCTTCGACTCGATGGCGCTCTGCTCGCAGTACGAGAAGAGTTCAGCGCAGTCTCCTCCCTGGAGCAGGAAGGCCTCCCCCTTCGCACAGTCCCGGAGATGCTGCTTCAAGGCTACGATCTCCTTGGGGTGGACGACGGGGGGTAGCCTGGAGAGCTCCTCTACTGACTTTTTGACGAGGGCTTCATCGGGGTAGCTCGGGGCCTGCTTGATGGGCTTCGAGCGCCACGAGTCTGGTGACCAGTCTGAAGCAGTCATGGTCGCGACTCGTAGGAGCTAATATGGGGGGGGGGGTGGTTCTTGTGAGATGTGAGGTGAGAGATGATGCCCGAAACCAGGCGCCGGATAGGGACCGATGGCAAATTTGAAGGGAAGACTTATGTGTTAAGTTTGTCGGAGAATGAGTACGGGTACCAAGTCGAAAGATGAGAGGGAAGGAATGAGTCATCACAGTCACAGCAACCATTACGGATATATCACTGGCGCTGAAAGTACAAGGGAAACATTGATATTAATTTAATCTGAATATTTTCTTCTATTCTTCTTTGTCCTTGTCGATTTTAATCTTACTTCGTTGTCTTGTCTCGGGCACTTTTGGTAGAACCGGTACCTCAAATGGCGGTATTCTTCGTACCTGTCTCGAACTTCTTCTCTCTCCTCCCTCGGTTTCTGGTGGGACAATCAAGACTAAAGCGGTATCTTCCGGCAGAATGGCGGGGCAAGTCCGAGCTCCTCGCCCAAAATCTGTCTCGATATCGTCACAACTGGAAACCCAGGGGCCTCTCACGAACGAACGAACAGCGGTCAATTCGTCACTGTACCGCATTATCTCTAATACCACTCGAAACCAATCGAATCAAATTAGACACAGCCTCGATTGACAATGTCCGAGAAGCAACCCCCCACCATCGTCGAGGGCGCTACGACAGGGGACGTCGAGGACGAAGTTCCCTCCACAACTGCCAAATCCGCCGAAGATCGCAAGGCCGCCTCAGCACTCGCCTCTCTGGAGGGTGGCGATGACGCTGCGGGCAAGCAGGACGTTGACGCCGAAGCGGCTAAGAAGGCCCTAGGTAGCCTCAGTGCCGCGGACGCACCCGGTGGCGACAAAAAGACCATGGAACTGCCTGTTCGGAACATCAAAGTGGATGCGAGTGATGTTGCGCTGCTGGTGAGTTCCACTCTCGGTTACCCGCCAGCCTGGCCTGTCGTCTGCTTTCTATACGGATAACTCTGGCCAACGGTGCATAAGGAAATGAGAGAGATGGGACACATTGCTGACAGGTGGTGTATCATAGGTTGAGGAGCTTGAGGTTACGAAGCCCAAGGCGACAGAATTACTGAAGACCCATGAAGGAGACGCGGTCAAGGCTATGCGGGCGTTTATTAGCGCGTAATTACGACAGACACGATCATGATCAATGACAGCTCTAAATACCCAGAGTGGAAAAATGCCGCCACCGAAAGAGGCAGGGGTGCGATGGAATGGAGCATGGCGGTTTCGACCTTGGACGGCCCGTTCACGACACCATTGTGCAATTCGAACGAGTTTTATTATGGCGACTAGATATACCCGGTTTTCTGAACATACCATACCTTAGGATCAACTCCTGCAGTATACGTCAGTGGTCTCCTCAGAGTCCATGCCAAATCTCTGCCGTCCCTTACCCCCCTTTATCAAACTCAGGTAACACATAATGCACGGAGTATCGAGGTAGGTCAAGTACTGTTCCGAGTGCATGTCACCTCCAGATCTAGGCATTCCGATCCCCTCCTGCAACGTCATGTACGGAGTAAGCCATTGTGGAAGAATGTCATGTGGGCCGTTGTTATGCGGCCTTGTAATTTTCAATCGGCTTCTTGCTCTTGCGGGTATTATTACGCATTTCCGTCGGCGTCTTCACGGACAGCCGCAGCTTTGCGCAACGGGCGAACCAAACCGCGGATGCAAAAGTCAATTCATGAAATTATATGAGGAACACGAACCACACTTTCGGGTAGTTGTCTTGAACGCGACTTATTTTTAGCCATTCTAAAGGAGAGATGCGAATAGAGCGGTTGCTTGAACCTCACTGGCATCAATTCCCAGTCGGCAGCCGCTAGATTCCATCTTTCACAGTAACGTCTCGTCTGGCTTTACTTCGGGCGGTTGCACAATGCATGATCCTTTCTCGCGTATGTACCAATTCAAGGATAAGACGAAAGCCATTGAGCCAGTCAGCTATTTCTCGGGGTTTACCAAGGTGTACTCCGTAGGTTGGAACTGGACTTCTCCGACGGTCAAAGCAACCCTGCGAGAGGTGTGTACAACGTACAGATAGTTCCCTTCGATGTGTGTGTCCCGAATATGCTGGTGGCTGGGACGCCTTACCGGATCAGGGCAGACCGAGATGTTCGACCTCCTTCGTTGATGAGGGGGTCAATGGAAAAAGGACGCCACTTCGCCGACCATCCATGGGCAAAAAAGCCCAGCAATGTAGTGATTCCAGACCATAGGAGATGCACACGAGCAGAGTGGCGCAACGGCTCGGTGTGACCACCGACGCCGTTTAAGGCATCAGTCGGTGAGAGAACTAAGGCGTAAAGACTGACCTATCTCAGTTGATAGGGAAGGAAAATAGGGCAAAGGAGGGGTACATGAACCCAATATACTTATGAGAAAAAGATGTACGATTGCACCTGCCCGTGATAGTTACGAGCTCATGCCCAACTGGACAGGCGCTGGGCGTGCGTAGTTGCTGCATACACGTGTGTACGCTGTCGCGGATCAAACGATACATAAGAAGTCGAGAGTTAATAATAGCCAGCAAGCCATCGTTCTCCACAAGCCAGTCTCATGGGGACATATGCTCACGGGCTTTTTGGGGGGTAAAATCGCGCAGCGTTGGCATTACGGTACGGAGTAGAGCCTAGGGGTTTCCGCGTGGGGGTGAAGATGTTCTGCATTTCTTGTTGAATTCGGAGAAACATAATAATGGTTTGCTTCAGACGAAGGACGAGTTTTCGGTGAGGAGATCGTTGGGCTCAACATGTAGGTATAGGCATTCGGGTCTATTCGGGGAAAACTCCAGTCACAGCGTGGTATGGACCTTGCAGAGGACGTTGCAGTGTAACGGCGACCTGACCCCTCCCCTTTCCACACCCTTCCTTCTCTGCCCCCTCTCTGGGCGATATGAGGTGGACGCAATATGAGTTGGACCAAGATCTCAAAGTGGGCGGCCTCAGATGCACGGAATGGCGGACGGACGGACGCCATCCAGGTGCGTCATAAGAAAGGGGGGGGGGGGACATCGGGGCCATGGACGTCCGAAAAAGGGGTAACGTCGTCAAGAATGAGTAGGGAGAAAGTGGCTATTGCCATCGTGACCGACTATCCCTCGACGTTCCCGACAACGCATAATAAGGAAATGAGTGGAGTCTGCGTCCATGCCGCGTTGACCGAAACCAAACGTGATCTGGCTGCTACACCGTAGTCACCCATTTGATCGAATTTTCCCCTTCCTCTCCTTTGTATCAGCCCGTCATATTGGTCGTTGGCTCAGGTGGCGTTAAGTAGTCGCGAGTTGGGATTCTGCAGTCTGCAGGTCAACAGTCAAGTCAAGCGCCGAGTTACGTTGTATATCAGATCCCGGAAGCTGGATCACATCAACCGCCACGGGAACGGAAATGAGGGGGTGAGGAGGTGAGGAGGTGAGGGTTGCCGGCTTAACCCCCCCACCAACCGCGACTGGGTATGGTGCAAAACCATTGGACACTAGTGGCCAGCCAGACCGACCGCTGAGCCGAGACAGTGTGACATTGGCATTGATCAGTCGGTGGTCACATCTTTGGGCCCCCTTGTGTTCCTTTCCGCCTTCCCAATCTGGTACATTTAGAGTACGGAGTATGAAGTATATTTGCATAGGGTACATGATGATGAACATAACAGACGGCCTAGAGATAAGAGTTGCAGTGCTAATTAAGGTACCTGAAGGGCTTATGTACCAAGTCGTCGTATGTAAATAGGTAGCCTCAAGATCCCCCGGTGACCCTTTCTTCCCTTCTTTCCTCTCCTCGGTGTCATCCCACGCCCCTCGCAGCTTCCCGGACCTCACATCCGCATCACCCGCATCTGGCCCCTGGTCCCCCCACCCTCTCGACTAGGGGTCGATTTGCAGCCTGTAACGTTTTTATTTCTCTGTGCCGGGTCAAGCGCGTACGAAATACGTTGCGAGATAATTAATTAATTACTCGCATACTTACGTAGCTATTCGTCTCTTCTGGGTAAGAGAACATCAGCATCAGACACAGCTCTAGGCCGTCTCGCCCAGACCGACGTAAACTTCGTGACTCCCGCGATTTCCCCGATATCCGCCCGGCCCTTTGCTAATAAACTGAATCCCCTATGACATTTTTCTCACCACCTTGACCGACTTGAATGTCCCGCATGCGGAGGGGGAACACTTACCCACTTCACCGAGCCAACCCGATAGGCGGGATGAGCTCTGGCCCCCTACTGCCCTGTCCCCATTTGGTGCTGGAGTGGTACGGAGTACAAATATGTCTACCTGGTACGAAGCTGGCAATAGAGAGAAGGCAGACAGCGGCTGGCTGGCTTTGCGCCTCACATGGCAAGACAAGATGGGCAACGAGTTGATATAACGGCGTAAATAAGTGAAGCGTAAATGGATGAAGACCAAGTACGAGCACGGCGACAGCCACCAATGTACCTTAGGTCCTCGGTAAAGGGAAGCGAGAGGTACCTATCCCTCGAGGAAAGAAGCAGGGACCTCGAGTCACGTCACCGCCACCTCGGATTGGTCGCACCTTACCTTGCCTTGCCTTGCCATACTCTCTTGATCGAACCGAACCTGTTTCTCAGAGGACAAAAGTATCCGCATGTACTAATAAGGTAAGTACCTAAGGGAGTAATTATAAAATATAAGTACTTCGTAGTACAGTACCTTAAGGTAGCCAAGCTCGTGGCACACGAGCAAGACGGATACCTACACAGTGTATCCAGAATAGGACGAGAAGAACTGTGACGCGCTTGCGAGACAATAGGTGGAGTCTCCGCGTACCTCTCTATGTTCCTCGCTCGGTGCGCTGTTCTCCGGTTCTCGGTGACCCGCCGGTGCATGGGGCACATCACCCCCTCCCCGGCTCATTCTCTCCTCCTGCTTGATGTCTCGATTTTTTTCTTCTTTTTTTCTTTCTTTTTCCCCTTTTTCCTTTTTTCCCTCGTTCTTTATTACCGTTGGACCTTGGTTCCTCTGGAAACTTTGGCGCCTATGCGAACCGATGCCCTTCCTCTTATTCGTGCACTTCATCCCCCCATTTCTGCTACCAAAACACCCTTAGATCCATCCCTCCCACTTTTTTTCTTCCTTTTTCTTGTCTCTCTCGCCTGTTGAGTATTTGCCTCACCTTACTACACCTTTCACCTTCCACCTCACCTCACCTCACCTCCCATCACCTCAACAAAACGAAAAAAAAAAAGTTCGCCAGACAGTGGCCGATATCATCACAACACTTCGACCATTACACGACACAGTGTGCAGCAAGCATTGGCACATTATATGAAGCACGGCCCAGAACCTCACTTTTTATCACCCTTGTCGCCTTTCTTATAGTCCCTGCTGTAGGACAAGAAAAAGGGGTAGGAGCTCAAAAAAATTTGAAAAGGAACAATAACCATTCAAGGCGCTGCTGGTTGTGTCGCACACCTTATTACCACTTTGACTTTTCTGGCCACCCCTCTTTCTGTCACTGTGCCTTTCGGTGAACCTCGGTGGGGCCCCGAGGTTAAAAGCGTAACGAGGGTACAGCGGGGAACTGGCGCGCCATTGCTGAACCGTACTTGACTTCTCTCCTGATAATGGGCCATCGAGTGCCTCTCTGACAAGCATGCATCCGGCTCCCAATCTACTGGAGGCGCCCCCGAAGACGAGCTCCTCCGATGAGGCCAATCGTGCCGGCTCTGTCTCGCACCAACAACCCTCACCGAGTCCGCAACAGACTCACGACCAGCTGCCACACCACCACCACCCGCAGCAGCATCAACAACAGCAGCACCAGCAACAGCAACAGCAACAACAACAGCACCAGCACCAGCAGCACCAGCAGCACCAGCATCAGCATCATCACCACACGCAAAGTCAGTCGCCGCGACCAACATCAGCAGCACCGGTCGACCTGACCATGTCGCCTCAGCTCCGGGCGACCGGCTTGCCCGCTCACCAGTCAGCCTCAACCTCACCGCCCATAAGAAAGGACACCAATTCGTCCATTTCCACACAGGCCACTATGGTGACCACGGCCTCTGCTGTTACCAATGTGTCAACGGAAACAAACAACACATCGTATAGTGCCGACACCTCTCCTAACTTGACATCCATTTTCCATGTGAAGGATGGGACCGACGTCTCTAACCGGGTTCGCGCGAGCAGGAGGCGAACTGGTCCTTTGTCGCAACAGCAAAGAGAGAAGGCCGCTCTCATCAGGAAGCTCGGCGCATGCGGCGATTGCCGCCGCCGGAGAGTTGCTGTATGTTGTTGTCATCCTCTTTTCCATCTGATTCTTCCTCTTCCTCTTTCCTTTCTATATCTATTTCTTTTCGTTTCTTTTTCTTTTCTTCTTCCTCCCTTTTGCTAACTTGAAATCGCATTCTCAAGTGCCATCCCAGCCATCACAATATGACATGGGAAGACGCCGTCAAGAAATATCACAGATCTCACAGCCCTTCCATTCAGGAACTCGCCCCACTCTCTGCACAACGACCCCTCAGCCCATCCCAAGGCTTGAGCAGCCACAAGTCCATGTTCGCCCAGGATCCGAACGAGATGGACCTCGACCCTCCGGTCGGCCAGCCTGGCCAGGCACGACTCAGCGAAACGCGCATCCGGACCCCGTTGCCCTCAGGCCCCAGGCTGGACAAGCCCACGGTCCTGCCCGGCATCGAAAGCCTGAAGAGCGACCTGCAGACCAACGTTTCTCGAATCCTGTCCAACCCGCACCGCAGCCGGTACGCGAGTGCCCAAGTGCTGCTGCTCTACTGGCAGGACGACCACGATCCTCATGTCGATGCTGCCGTCAAGGAACTGGCCGAAGTCTTTGACCAGTACTACCGTTATACGTTTGAAATCCACACCATTCCGTCCACTTCGGAAAACTGCAAGAGTCCGTGGAGATGGCTGTCGCGCAAGATTACCGACTTTTCCGAGGATCGCGACCAGCGTGACGTTCTCAAAATCGTTTACTACAACGGTCATTCGTATTTGGATGGCCATCGGGAGATGGTCCTTGCTAGGTATGTCGCGCCTTCTCAGCTCTCTTCTCGGAGAGTGATGGGACAAGACATGGGGAAGTGAGGAGGAAACGGAGAAACAGCAAAAAGAGAAAGGGAGAGACAAGAGGGGGGGAGGCGGGAGAGGGAGGGAGAATTGGTTACTGACGAAAAGGCAATAGTACTAGAGACCGGGAAAAGGCCGAGACCATCCGATGGAGCGGCATCCAACAGGTCCTCGAGCAGGCTTGCGGCGACACCCTCATCATCATGGACGCCGCATATTACCCCTCAGCCAAGATGGTCCGCGAGCAAGGCGTCCTCGAACTGATCTCGGCGGCCATCTCCGAAGAGCACTTCAACGAGCTAGAACGCTGCACGTTCACCAAGGTGGTGACGGAGCAGCTCAAGACGCGAGCGTCCCAGCGGTTCATGAATCCGTTCTCGGCGGCCGAGCTGCATTCGAAGCTGCTCTCGAGCTACCCCACCCTCATCCACGATAGATACCCCGAGAAGGAGACCATCACCAGCTTTCCGTCCCCGCTTCACATGCAGATGACGGGCAACGCGCGGCTGCCGTCCATCCTCCTTGCGCCGACCAATATCAGCCCGCTAAGAACGAGCCTTCCGTTTGGCGCGGAAGGTCAGCAACTTAATCTGGTGTTTCGTCTAGGGGACGAACCTGTTGATAACGAGGCTTGGACCGAGTGGCTGCGGATGATGCCTGATGGGGTCAAGGATGTGAGAGTGGAGGGCCCCTTTCGTGCGGGTCGTTAGAAAGATGTTGTTCCGACGGTCTAGGGCGCAGGGAACATATATATCTCCTTTTTTTTTTTTTTTCTCGCTTTCTTCTCTCTCAGATTTACGATTCCCTAGCTGGTTGTTATTTTCGACCTGGGCCGTTCCTAGGGTGGGATACATTCAGTGTTCTGTCTGCATCAGTGTGTTATGTGCGGCAGTTTATGACCGGTCTCACATTCGTGCTGCATTTTGATTGAGCTTGGTGGCCCTCGCGCCCCCTTTTTCGCATGATGTTCTCACGACGTCCGTTTTTACGACTTTTCTAGACGATCATGATGACGGCGAAAGCAATACATGGCTTTTATGGCATGGATGGGGGTTATATATGGTGGGCGGGGGTGGGTTTTTTGGAGTGGCATGAGACGAGTGGTTGCGATTTTGCGGGCGAGCTGTCGACGGGGACAGATTTTGCGTCATATGCTGGGCTGGAGGAGGTTATGGTATGAAGGAAGAAAGGAGAGGAGAGATCGCGAGTCGTTCTGCCGGACGGGAAAGGGTAAGTAGGGTATGGGTGCCGGCAACAGCGGGATATACCAAGGACGCTAATCGCACGAAATATACGGAGATTCTGACCATCTGGTCGACAAGGACGACGGAGAGGAAGCAAGTCGGAAATGAAAATGAAAAATTCATGAGTATGAAATATGGACGGGTGAAGCCATTTTACCATGCATCCATCGCAGACTCGTTAAATTTACAAAGCTACCATCAGCACCGCCACACCCAGCATGGCACTCAACGCCCAGGGGCCGCGGCTCCCCGGCAGCCCAGCAGCCGCGTTCTCCTCGGAGCCGAAATCGGGCCCGATGATGTACGCAGGGTCGTAGTTGCGCACGGGGGCGGTGTCGGTGGAGCCGTCCCAGCAGTAGCGGTCGAAGCAGCGGGCGCAGGCGTCCGGGGCCGACTCGTTGGCCTTCCACCAGGAGCGGCTGAGGACGGCGCAGGCGACGCAGACGGGCCATTCTTCGTCGAGGGTGTTGTTGCCGCGGGTGGCCGAGTTGAAGCCGTTGCGGATGATGGCGTCGCGCTGGCCGAGCGGGTAGGAGGGCTGGAAGGTGGAGACGTTACTGAAGACGGTGTAGGGGGCGTTGGGGACGTAGATGATCAGGGGCGGGACGACGAACAAGTCGTCGTCGTCGTCGTCGTCGTCGTTGATACGGCTGGAGGTGAAGTTGGCGGCGTCGCAGCCGAAGAAGGTGGGGCGGCGGTTGAGGCCTAGGTTGATGAAGGTGTCGGCGTCGGGGACGGCTGGGAAGAGCGTGCCGTTGCCGATTTCGGTGGCGACGCGGTCGTAGGTGGCGCGGAGGGCGGTGCCGTTGGGCCAGCTGTTGTGGGTGTCGGCGGAGGAGTCGACGGCGAAGATGACATCCAGGGCGCGGAAGGGCTGGATGAGAGGGTGCAGGGGGATGTTCTGCAGGTCCTCGCCGCCGTCGACGAGGCTGAGCTGGCGGGCGTCGGCGTTGTGGGACTGGCCGGTGGGGTTCCAGCGGTAGAACGGGTTGGGCTCGTACTGGGCGATGTCGTTCTCGTTCCGGTCCAGGCGGCGCAGGATGGACTCGATGGCGTCGACGACGAAGGAGGGGACGGGGGTGTCCGCGGCGGCGGCGGTGGTGTTTTGCAGGATGATCTGGTTGAAGAGGGAGGAGGAGGTGCCCATGACGAAGCCGATCTGGTCGAAGCCGCGGACGCAGTTGTTGTCGTCGCGGTTGTCGTCGTCGAGGCCGCCGCCGCCGCGGCCCACGGTGCCGTCGGTGAAGTTGGAGGCGAGCCAACGCAGCGGGGCGAAGCCGTAGGTGGTGGGATCCCAGGAGCCGATCTCGAAGGGGTTGAACTCGTAGACGGTGGCGTTGAGGGAGATGATGCGCTCGCCGGGGGCGCGGCCGTCGGCGACGAGGATGGGGAAGGGGGCCTCGGCGTCGCGGAAGTGCGGCGAGTTGGCGATGGAGGAGAAAGTGTAGGCGGGACCGCCGTCGGTGGCGTTGACGAGCTGGTAGGAGAGGGCGCGGCCCCAGTAGTCGGTGATGGAGGTGTCCCAGCCCGCGGCCTTGGCGGAGACTTGGTCGTGGATGGTTCGCCAGTAGTCGATGGTGTTGAGGATGCCGATGCCGGACTCTCGGGGCCCGCGGAGGATGGAGCGGTCGAAGCGCCAGAGGGGCGAGTCCTCGGCCCCACGCTGCAGGGCGGGGACGGTGGAGAAGTTGTTGGCGAAGACGGAACCGACGAGCCAGCCTCCGCCCGAGAGGCCGGCGATGTAGGTGGCGGACTGGAGGAGGCCGGCGACGGCGGTGGCGTGCTCCGCCAAGTCGCGGTTCCGGCTGTCAGCGGCAGTGAGGAAGCCCGCGCCGTTCATGAGGGCGCGGTAACCACCGCCGGAGAAAGCGATGCCGATGTTGGGGAGGGCGGTGGTATTGTCGCGGACGCGGTTGATGTAGGCGGCGGCGTCGAAATCGGGGATAGCGGCGCGGACGAGTAGGTCGCGCATGGGCTCGATGGTGTTGTTGCGACGGCGGCGGACCCACGAGGCCTCATCGTCCGAGAGGCGGTCGGCCAGGCGGATGGAGGGTCGAGTTCGGGGACAGTCGACGATTGCTGGGGCGTAGTCGCCGCTGGGGGAGTCTGGGAGAGCGCGGGGGATCACGTCGAGGGACAAGACCGGGGAGGTTGAGTCGGCAGCCGGGTGAGAGCGAACACCCGGGGCGCCGGTCAATGCCAGACCCAACCATAGTAACGTTCGCGAGACTGTGAGCATTATGGGTATTTCCGAGTTCATAGGGATGTCGTTAAGTAGAAATATGAACCAAATGAGCCGGCGCAGAAACGCCCAGGGTTCCAACCAGGGTTCAGGTACCAAGGAATAAGGACCGTAATATTTCAGTAGCAGGCAGGACAACGAAGAGTAACTGAATTGAAGAGTAGATAGGGAGGTACAAATGAAGATGGAAAAGCGAAGGACAAGAAAAAAAGGCCTCCTAAGTCTGTTGCAGGTAAGGGCGAATGTTCTAAAAGTAAACGAATGGAGAAGAGGTGGTTTAAGAGTTGAAATAGAGAGATAAGAGAAATAGATGTAAGGAGATGGTGAGATGCGGTGAGGCTGAGACGGCTCCCGTATGTACGTACATACTACTTACTTACTGTACCTAAGGTACCCTATTACTTCGTACGCGTGTTGTACGAAGTCCAGGTCCCCAAAAGAAGGAACGAAAAGAATGAAGAGGAAGGTATGAATACAAAGAACGGAGTATTGTGTAGGTACTTTGAAGAAATGAAAATCAGATGAGAAGGTGAACGCCTGGCGGCGTAGGCACCGGGATCCCTCCCTTGGCTTAATATTAATATTATTGGTAGGTATGTATTCGTAGGCTTTGGTATTGGTGCAGAGTACAGTCGGTGGCTGAAAGAACCGAAGCGCTCTATATGGAGTATGACGATATAAACTGCTTCGGTTCTTTTGCCAAGGTACCTTAGTGTACTTCAGTTACAGCAGTCGAGTTGGGCGAAATGTGTACTGAGTAAGGTACTTGGCGCCGGGATCCTCGGCGTCTGGGGGATTACGAAACCAGGGCGCAGCTCGCATAGCCCCACCGACTGTACAAAAGAGTGTCAAAGAAAAACACAAAATATAAGACCGCAAACGTCCATGATGGCGAGCGATGAAGAAGGGGACTGGTTGATTGGAACTTGGTGTACGGTACGTTGTAGCCAGCTTTACTTCCAAATGTCGTTCGTTTTGCTAAGAGTGTGCCGGAACGATGGATAATTCAAAGTCAATTACCTAATCCAAACAAAGCTGGGGACGAAACCGTTCGTGGCGTTTGTTTGTTCACGTGTCTGAGATGAGGGACGAGGAAACTAAATTAAATACTCGTGCAGAGGACGAAAGGGGGAGAAGAAAACAGAGAGACAATAAAAGAACAATCCCGTGTCGTGTCTTTCCCCTGCCATATTGCAACGTTGGTCTTGGACAAGAACATTCCAAGTCCTGAGTGGTAGTTTGATCTGGTCATATATAAGGCGTGACACCGGCACAGAAGAGAGGAAGAGAGAGAGAAGAGAGCGAGACAGCTACATCCTGTGGATAAGCTCCATCTTCGATCATTTCAAGTCTCTAACAATACCCAATATTCGTCTCATTTACGTGTACTTCCCAATCATTCCGAAGAACAAGTAGCAATTAGTGGCACCTTCTGGCATATGACGATGATGTCCTCAACGTCAAAAAGGAAGAGGAATATACACGATACACGATACACCGTCCAAGTCACGCGAAGCTCTGTTATGGGCCCCATCGCGGTAACCGTGTGTTGGCCTGGCAACAGGACAAACATGTCCAAGCTTCCTCCGATCACTAAGCAACTTTGGCCCCGTCAACAAAACAGCTTTCCCCGTCGTGCCTACCAGCACTGTTCGCAACCTTGCACCTTGTCATCAACACCATAAACCTACCCCATCAACGTATCATCTCGCTGCTGCAGAATGTGAATCGACAGCTTTAACTTGGTCCGAAGTTCTCCTTGTTTTACTAACCTAACCCAACAGTGCAGCATATCCTCTTTTTTCCCCTCCATTTTCCTTGTCCATTCTGTCGAGCACGACATCTTTTTTGCTTCCTCCCGTTCACGAAACTGCAAGCAACACCCTTCCGTACATATCATATCTTCCCTGGGAACCTAAACTCAGTCAACATGGATCCTCAGTCTCCCCCCAAACGCATGACCCGAGCTCGTGCTGCCGCAAAGGCAGGCGAGACCGGGTCGTCCAAGACCTCTCGCGTCACCACCGCAGCTTCCAGAGCCAAGGCTGCTGCCTCGGCCGGCCCAGTTAGTAATAAGAGGAAAACTCGCTCGGACGATTGCGAGGTAGAGCCACAAAACAAAGGACGACAGAGACAACAACTGAGACACGAAGAAGAAGAAGAACACAACGAAGCAACCCAGCGACCAGAATCCGCCACACGCCTTACGAGGGCAACTCGAGGCCGGCCTAGGAAGAACCCTGAGCCTGCCACAGCAGAGTCTTCATCATCATCAGCAACAGCAACAGCAACAGCAACAACAACTTCAACTTCCACGTCGGCCACCGCTCCAACCCGCGCCCCTCGCGCCAGGGCCGCCACTCGCAAGACTGTCGTCGAACCTCCTCGTCCAGAGTCGGTCAAGGTTGAGCCTTCCAAGCCCACCACCCGAGGACGGCCGAAGAAAACCCCGGTGTCCGAAGACGCCCCCACGTCCACCGCGCCAGACCCCCCCAAGAAAGCAACGACGCGTTCCCGTACGACCGTCTCATCAACCGCGACTACCATGTCCGCCACGACTACCAAGGAGAAGGTGAAGAAGAAGGTCACCTTCGAAGCACCCGAGAAGGAGAATGTCGATCCCGACGCCAGCAAAAAGTCTGCGTCTGCCGATAAGGCTCCTGCTGCCACTGGTCTTCGCGCTCGCCCGGTGCGCAAAGCCCCGCTGCCGAGGGCCGCCCTTGCCGCTACCAGGGCCGGCTCGACCTCGACCTCGACCTCGGCCGCGGGCCCTGCGAGGGAGCCCAAGGCACCTCTGAGCCCTAAGAAGGTCACTCAGGTGCCATACTCCCGCGACGATTCAGAAGATGAGCTTACCACCATGGAAAAGGCCCCCGTTAGGTCCATGGTCAAAGATCCGGTCAAGCCTCCCGCGAGCGCCCTTTCTTCTTTCAGAAAGCCCAATCTCCGACTCGAGCAGCCAGACTCGGTACCCGAGAAACCCCGGTCCGTCGATGAGAAGGGGGAGGAGGAGCAGGAGCAGGAGCAGGAGGAGGAGGGTCTGCCTCGGAACGCTCTGACCAGCCCAGCTCGTCGCCTTGCCACATCTCCGTCTAAGGAGAAGGAGTCGATGAAGTCGCCCGCCAAACGGGGCGAGGGTCTCACACTCCCCAAGTTGTCTTCTGCCTCGGCTGCAAATCCTAGCTCGGACGCCCACGCCACTCCCTTCAAATCGTCTCTCCTCAACACGCCTGCCAAGCGCCCTCAATCGGCTCTCAAGGGCTTCCACTTGAACCTTCCCTCCGCCAGCCGAAGCGCATCCGACGAGAACGTCTCTGCTCGGAACCCTTCGTTCCTGAAATCACCGGCCAAGCGGCCTCACATGTCCATCCTGCCTCGGCCTTCTCCAACCCCGGAAGAGCCTGTTGTGGAGGAGACCTCGTCTGCTGTGAATAACGCGCTACCTGCCGTCGTGGCTGAACCGTCCGTCGAGATGTCGGAGTCTCCCTCAGAAAAGCCGACTGCCCTGACGTCCTCCGAAAAACTCATGATCGAGGAGCACAGCGAGGAAGCGATGAATCAACTTGCCGATGAACTGGACCTTCGCGAACCTCTCACACTTCACTTCCCCGGCAGGCTGTCTGCAGTTCTCCCCCGCCACGCTGACCCGGCCCTCAAGGACAGACCAGCCATTCTTCACGAGCAATTCGAAGGCCGGGCCGCCCAGTCAGCAGCACCGTCGCCCGAACCGCTTCAGATTTCCTACCAGGAACCATCATCCGCCGAGGTTGTGGATGTCGTTGACCCCATGGTGGTAGATGAGTCGGATTCCCCTTCTCAGACGGCGTCGCAGCCGGCTGATTCTACTACTACCCCTTCTGCCGCACTGTCCCGCTCTCCTCCGAAGGGTGCCTTCGGCCTGCGACAGAGGGATAGGGAGCCCTATCACGATTTGGATTCGGAGCCTGAGGACGACGACGCAACTTGTAAGCTACGAATGAATCATCTGGCCTCAACGACTCCTGCGACCAGGTCATCTCGACGCAGCCTGGCATCATCGGCTCGTGTGCCCACTGCTGGATTCACCCCTCTTGCCCAACAACTCAGCGCCTGGTCCACCGCCAGTCCCGTCAAGACCACCAAGCAGTCTGTAACCCCGGGAGGCTTCGCGTCTCACGGCTCTCGTCCCAAGTCCCCCGAGCTCGAAGTGACGTCTGACGTCGAGCCGTCGCCCGTGAAGAGCACTTTTTTTGAGGACGAGATGACTGTCCGCGCCGAGTCGGAGGCCCAGGAGTCCTTGAACGCCGCCATTGACGCGGTTGACGCAATTGACGCTGGCTTGATGAGTGGCACTGAAGAGCCCGAGTTTGACGACATTATGGTGACCGACGAGGATATGGAACTGGCCGCCGAGGCCGATGAGATGTCCCTCCTGGAACCTGAACAGGTCTACCATGGGGCGAACACCAAGAGCTTTGACGACTCTCTTTCCGATGCGAGCCAGGAATATGGCGATGAGAACGAGATGCCCGTCGACCCTGCCCTGGCCCGTGCCGACACCCGGCCGAGCGTCTCCATTCCCCCCAATACCCCAATGCGCACCCTTCACCGGGAGTTCCATACCGTGTCCAAGGTTCCGCTCAAGCCCGCGGATGACTCGACGCCTCGCCCGAGGAGGAAGCGCGCCGCCAGCATTTCACGTCTGCCCGTCAGCCGCCCGACCCAGGGACTCACTAGGAGCGCCACCGTCATCTCGTACTCTCCAATGAAGAACAACAAGATTGACGACGGGCAGGAAGACCCTGGATCCGGCGGCCGGGGGACGTCGGCGCCCGCAACGCCGACCAAGTCGGAGGCGGCGTGGTCCAACATGGGAACTCCCGCACGCACCCCACGCCGGGACCTCAACCCGTCGCTCCTCAGCGGCGCCGTCGTGTTTGTGGACGTGCACACCAGCGAGGGAGCCGATGCCAGCTGTATTTTCGTCGATCTCCTCAACCAGATGGGCGCCCGCTGCGTCAAGAACTGGGCCTGGAACCCGGACGGCACCGGTGGTTCCGACAAGGTTGGCATTACGCACGTCGTCTACAAGGACGGCGGCAAGCGTACGCTGGAGAAGATCCGTGAGACGAGGGGCCTTGTCCAGTGTGTTGGCGTCAGCTGGGTTCTTGAGTACGTTTTTCTTTTCTCCCTTTTCTTTTTCTGCCCTGGACTTACTACTAACAGATGCTTTTCGATAGCTGCGAGAGGGAGAACAAGTGGCTTGACGAACAACCGTATTACATCGACACGTCCCTGACACCCCGCGGGGGGGCTCGTCGTCGCAAGACCATGGAGCCGAGAGCTCTGGAAAAGATGAACGGCATGCTGGCGTCCGGCTCCCCGACTAAAGGCCGGCGTCGCCACACGCAGACGGCGCCCAACACGCCGATGAACCGACGCGACAGCACGGAATGGATGCACACGCCGTCCGACCGGGCCGAGGAAGGCGACGACGACGACGACGACCACTGGCAAGCCCTGCTGACGCCGGTTCCCGTCACGCCGGCGCCGGATGCCCTGGCGCGGTACGCGGCCGAGCTGACGCCGGAGACGCCCACGATGGCGTTCGACTTTGACGATTCGCCTTCCAAGAAGGCTGGGCTCATGACGTGCCCGTCCAAGCCCAGCACGTACAGCGAGATGGGCCGGGGTATCCTGGACAGGGAGAAGGATGAGAGTGTGTTGATGAGGCTGATGGCTGCGCGCCGGAAGAGCTTGCAGTTTGCGCCCAAGGTTAGCAGCCCGTTGTCCAAGGCTTGGTGAAGCATTTTGTTCTATTTTTGTATGGATATTTGGCGTTTGGCGGGGGGGACACCCGACCGGTGGATAACTCGGGAGGCGTTGGATTACGGGTATTATTTCTTCTTCTTTTGCGGACCGGATGGTATTCGCTGTAGCTGTCCTCATAGAAGAACTAACTAGCCAAACGCATAACACGTCCCTGGAAGATGTCTTGTGGTCAATTATGTGCTCGCGCTTCTTCTCAGCGGCGTTCACATGCTGCACCTATTTCCGCAGTGCACCTGTTGGCACCTGCGAGTTAGAGTGATAATAAGGTACCTTATGTAATAATCCCCCGCAGTGATTACTACTCCTGAGCGTGGAATATTTTCGGCGATGGTATCGACTGGGGGCGACTTCGACTCCATCGTCTTCCTCCCCTGCTTGTTGACCAGGCATGAAACTTACGTGTCGCGCTTCCGAGGACAAATCTCAGTCGTCGATGCTGACATGAGCCGGGGAGTCGGTGTAACAACGTCTAGCATTTTCTCCGCGTTTCTATGTCCCCGTGATACCTTGAGGCTTCTCCAACGGTTATCTCTGGCTTCCGTGGGCCCTTGGGATTTCATCTCACCTCGTCCTTCGTGATATACGAATATCTGCTACTCTTTTCTGCCTACCACACCACTTACCCGCCTCACTACTTCCCACCGAATTTTGCTACTACTTTTGACTTTCTTTACATTTCCAGATTTCTTTCTTAGGGTTATTACTCGGGCCCGAATCTCATGTTACACTCAGAGGCCACCTTGATTCCTTTCTTTTCTTTTGCTTCTCTTTCCTGGCCTCTTTTATTTTAGGCTCGATAACGACGGCTTGCGAAGCGGATCTAAGATGAGGGAACACGATCCCCTTGTCCTATCCTATTCCCACCTGGCGCACTTCCCCCGGGCGTCGGAAGCCCTGCAAACGCTCAAGAAGGTGGCTTCGTTGGTGAAGCCCATCATGCGGGCCAGGAAGTGGAAGGTCGGCGAGCTGGCCGAGTTCCTTCCCAATCAGCATAACCTGCTGGGTACGCCGCTGCAATAGAATCACTATCTATCACCAGCATCAAAACTAACACACCAAACAACTGCACAAAAAAGCATCTACGCTTGGCCGGTACACTTTTGCTAATATAGGGGTCTAGGGCTAAACGTCAACCGCGGCGCGAAGATTCTCCTCCGTCTCCGGCATGCGGGCGACCGGAACCAGTTCTTAGCGGTGGAGCAAGTGGTCGATACGATGCTGCACGAGCTTTCGCACATCGTCCACGGGCCGCACGACGACAGGTTCCACGCCCTCTGGAACCAGCTGCGCGACGAGCACGAAGGTCTCGTCATGAAGGGCTACACGGGCGAAGGGTTCCTCTCGGCCGGTCGCCGACTGGGCGGCGGCAGCAGCAGCAGCAGCAGCAGCAGGAGGATCCCGATGCAGGAGGCGAGACGGTTGGCGCGGGCGGCGGCCGAGGAGCGGACGCGGCGGCAGAAAGCGGCGTGGGCGACGGGGTCCGGCGGGCGGCGGGTAGGCGGTGCTGCGCCGCGGCCGGGGCCGGGGCAGGATATACGGCGGACGATCGCGGCGGCGGCGGAGAGGCGCAAGAGGACGATGCAAGGGTGCGGGACGGCGGGCGGGGGGCTCGGGGAAGGGGATATTCGACGGATCGAGGCGGAGGCGGCGCGGGGCGGGTTTCGGACGAAGGCGGAGGAGGATGCGGCGAACGAGGCGGCTATTGCGCAGGCGTTGTGGGAGTTGGTGCAGGAGGAGGAGAAGCTGAAGTATGGGAACTATTATGTGCCGCCTAGCGCGGAACGGCCGGAGGGCAGTGGGGGGGGTTCGGTGATGCATGGACCGTCGTCGACGAGGTTGTTGGACCAGCAACCGCTGCCACCGCTGCCACCACCACCACCACCGCAGTCGGCCCAACGGGGATGGACGTGTGGGGTGTGCACCCTGCACAATCCCTCAACGTTCCTTTGCTGCGACGCGTGCGGTGCCGAGAAGGGTTCAAAGACGAAGGAGGATGTGGGGGAGACACGCTGGACGCCTAATGAGGAGAAACGGCGCCAGCAACAGCAACAGCAACAGCAACAGCAGCGGGCCTCGATGTCGGGTACCACCACATCTACATCTACGGTGAAAACGCCGCCGAGGCGAAGCGAGACCATCGACCTCACAGAGAGTCCTCCCAATGTCGGGGCGAAGCAGGTGGCTGGGGATAGGAATAGGAGTACACGAATCACGGGCAATACCCGAAACAGGCGGGACGCAGCGCCGAGCACGGCGGCGGTAGCGGCGGCAGCGAGGCCTGCCAAGGCGTCGGACTTTTGGCAGTGCTCGTTTTGCGGGACGTGCATGGAGAGGGAGTGGTGGACTTGTTCAGCATGCGGGCTGATGAAAGACAATTCCCGGTGAATCCAACGATTGGTGGTTGGTGCATGGGAACGAGGAAAGGGAAAGGAGGAAGGAGGAGGAAGGAGGAGGAAGGAGGAGGAAGGAGGAAGAATGAATTTGCAGTGCAATGTGACGTATGACGAACATGGTCTTGTCTTTGATCCGGTCTAGACTCGCCCAGCTTGGCATGGCCCCCTTTTCTTCCCATACCTGGCAACTTTTTGTTGCTTTCCATGGTGGTGAGTTCTTGGCTTACCTTACACAGCAGCACATGCATGCATGCATGTACGTACTTCGTACAACGTATGCGCTTGCCTCGATTTCTCGTGGGTCGACTCTCCTTTATGTCCTTTTGCTAGGTATATGTTATAAATTGTCTAAGGTATATTTTTTACTTGATTCTATATTTCCCATTCACCCTTTTACCCCGTGTATTTTGCGTCGACCTTTTTATTCCCTTGTTTACCTTGTAATGTGTAGGATGGTCGTCTTTAATTAATTAATGTCTCGACCCCCCCTATTCCTTGGCGGGCCCGCGGAAGGGGGGCGCGAAAGTAGCGGTTTCGGGGTTTGGCTCCGGCTGATCCAGGGTCCTACCCCCAGTTTAAGTCCCCTATTAATAAAGGGTGTACGGAGGGAGTGGACATGCTCCTGCATCTGACCTATCGGTGATTAGCTCACCAGGACAGAAGTTAGACCTTGTACAACGTACACGTACGGAGTAAGCACGAAGGTGCCCTGTCCTTACGGTAAAGGAATGAATTGTATGCATCCAACCCATGATGTGACGCCAGTCACGTCATCTGATTCGTACCCTGCCTCCTCCGCTGCCTCCTCCGCGGCAGTCCTTCCTTCCGCCTAGACTCTTCTCTTATAGTGGGTAGGTAGGGTAAGTAATCATTTCAAGAAGGGCAAATGACGTCAAGCAGCATGACTCCGCTCCACACCCTGTGGGGACCCTTCCTAAATGGATCGGCATCTCGCAGGGAAGATACGTCAATGGCTGCAAAATAGGGAAGGGACTGCAGCTGTGCCTGCCTTGGGCCTTAGGGGTGCCTGGACCATGGTACAATGTACACTTATCCCCGCCTTGAAAGGAATATCATTTTGTACCTGGACCTGGACCCGGACCTGGACCTGGACCTGGACCTGGACCCAAATGGTGATCCCAATCACCTCTTCTAAGCCTCATCACTTCATAGAAACGGCCACGTTGACACTGACACAAAGCTATCTAAGGTATCTGGTCATATTTGTATTTACCATAGTAAGGTACCCCACCGTGAGCTTTCTCATCCTGGTCTTCCGCCACCCCCCGATTCATATCTCTCGGCACTCGTGCCACGATCAAGACCTAGTTTTTCAACCAAACCCACTCAACCGACAACAAGTTTTCCCGCTCTCGCCCGGGTCGCCATTACATAGTACGTAAGATCCTCTGTTTTCAAGCCAATTGCAAACTTGGAACGGGAGATTTCCTGACGTTTCCGGTTCCCCCCTCCCCCCCCTGCTTTCCCCCTTCTTCCTTTTTTACCCGAGTTGGTCAAGCACTGCCCGAATTCAACTGCTATCCCTAAGAGGGAAAAAAAGAGAAAAGAATTAATAATAAACAAAAAGTTGCCCCCATTCCCAAATGCACCTACCCACCAAATAGTGGCACCCCGGAATCTAATCCCTTCAACTCCCGACATCCAGGGTGGCTGCTAGTCCATAGGACCACGGGGCCAGGCCATGACGACAGATTAATCATCAAAATCCAGCTAATACCAACTTGGCGATAGACATCCTTCTTTCTTTCTTATGCTTCCGCTTTCCCACTCTTCACATGTCCCGTTCTATACCCTCCCTTGGTCCTTTTCTCAACTTCCATTCCAGGTTCTCTCGAGGAGTTTGTATCTTTTCATCAGCCTGCTTACTACATCACTTATTCCCCCGCCTCTCCTCTACTATATTCAAAAACGACCTGGCCTTCTATTCCACTGGCTACTTGTCTGGTCGTTTTCTCGTTGGGGCAGGCACCAGTCCGCTTGCGGCATCGACCAAAACCTTTCACCACCAGCTGGAACGTAACCACCCGCAGAAGTCATAAAGCTACCTAGATACACACATTCCGGCCGCTGCTAGTCCTGACAGCCAGCCACTACCTCTCAGTGCTACCTGCTTCCTCCCTGATGGACCTGGTCCCTCGAGGAAACTGTGGGTTCGGTATAGCTTGTACCACTCGCCTCCCAGGGTTGGCCTGGACCGCCCCCCAACTAGATCGCGGACTTATTTCCGTGCCTTTTACCGGTATTGTGTAGACCATGCCCTGATACGAGTGTAAGACAACGTTTTTTTTTATTATTTATCTCTGCTTCTAACATACTCAGCCTACATCCAATTCGACATCTCTTGTTTCTGAGCTGCGGGATCCGCCCCTCGCCGCTCGCTCACGTCTAGTTCCTAGTGTTCTTGCCTTCACGAGAAACTCTGGGTGCTTCTTATGCCCGCTCCAACGTTGCCAGAATGGTTTCTCTCAATCCCTCGGATCCCGACGATCCTGGGCAACGAGGGCATCACTTCGCGGCCCAGGCGCGCACTGATGGCGCATCAGTGCCATCCATCCCCACCCCCGACCCAGCCGTTCCCTCTTCACCTAGCTTGCCGTCGACGTCGATCTCAGGCCACCACCGCCATGCTGCCGACGACTCTCACGAAGCCCCCTCCATGACTCCCTGCGCGTCCTCGACCGGCAGGAATCGCTTCTTACGGGAGAACTTTGGTCATGTCCGCGACGACAACAAGCAACCCCAGTCGACAAGTCCTTTTCGATTATCGATGCCCTGCATCACTCCCGGACAGCTCGCCTTCTCCGCCATGCAATACCTGCCTGTCCCTCTCCTCGTGCTCAACAACCTGAAGACCGTAGTCCTCGCAAACGAGGCCATGGGCAGGATGCTGGGTATCATCGACTTCAACTCAGATTCCGCCGACAATAGCAACCGAGTGCTCGAACAGCTGCGCGGCCAGTCGCTGTCCCAGGTTGGCGTTGATATGCTGCAGGACGGCTGCCCCGTGTGGATCACATGGGAATCTTTCCTCGATTCTCTACTTTTGGAAATGGGCTCGAGGCGGACATGCAAGGACCGTGCGGATAATGATGCCTGGCCTGGTGATGATGCCTGGCCTGCTGATACCACCCCGATGGCAGCAAAGAACGCAGCCTCTCCGGCGGCCGACCAGCCTCGGGAGTCGCACTCATCACTGTCAGCTGCTTCTGCTGCCGGGCCCGTCAGGGATGCCGCCGTAGAGGTTGTGATTACCAGGAGGGGGGTCGGGAAAACGGGACCCGTTTCGCGCGACCCATCGAACCAGCCGGACCGTCAGGTATGTGCGAAGATGCTCGTCTCCATATGGGAGATCGAAGGTCACCAGGTCTACTTCACCATCACCTTCACCAGTACGCAGTCACCACCATCCGCCCTGGTCAACAGCAAGAAGTCCATCGCCAGCCCCAACCTGCTCGAAACGGCCGAGCGGAAGTCCATATTCAACTCGAATCCCCCGTCCGTCGGCTCTAGCCGCGATTCCGGCTCGCCGTCCCTCCACGTCAGCCCCAGCGCCGTCTCGCTGTCATCCAACCCCTTCCCTCCCATGGGGCCCCCGTCGACCGCCGCCCACACGGGCACGCCCTCGATCCTGCGAAAGATGATCCTCATGAAAGACGCCTTGCTGGACAACACGCGCGTTCCTATCATCGCCATGTGGAAGGACGGCAGCGTTTCGTTCCCGAACCGGGCCGCTCGTTTCCTGTTGCCTGACGAGACCGCCCTGGATAACTCGGTCGACGGCTTCCAGCTCGCTTCCGCCTGGGCCATGTGGGACGAAAGTTTCACGCGCCAGCTAGCCGTTCACGAGCTCCCCATGTCCGTCCTCCTCCGCACCCAGACCCCCTTTACCGGTGTGCGTACCGGCATGTATGACAGGACCGGCGCCAAGTTGCTGTTCGACGTCACGGGCGAAGCGATCCTTGACCACACCGCCGGCGAATTCCTGGCCGGCGTCGTAACCTTCCGGGACATCACCGACATGACCCAAGAGATCACCGAAATCAAGAAACAAGAGGAGGAACGCTTTCGGCTCATTTGCGACACCATGCCCCAGCTCGTCTGGACCGCGACTCGGGACGGCCTGGTTGATTTCTACAACACGAGGTGGTACAAGTACACCGGCCTGACGCCGGAACAGTCCCTTGGGTGGGGTTGGGCGACGGTGGTGCATCCGGACGACGTGCAGGGGATCGTGTCCCGTTGGAAACGCTGCTTGGCCACGGGGCTCCCGCTCGATACGCAGTACCGGTTTTATAATAAGAACGGCGAGTGGCGCTGGATGCTGGGTCGCGCGCTGCCGCTCAGGAACAGGGTCACGAACGAGATTGAGAAGTGGTTCGGGACCTGCACCGACGTTCACGAGAGCATCGAGGCCACGCTGACGGCGAAGCGGACAAGGCAACATTTACTCAGCGTCATCGCACATTCCCACGTCACCATCTTCACGGTAGATGCCAACCGAAACCTGACCATGCTGGAGGGCGCCCTCATGTGGGACGCCGTCGACGCCGGATCTAGCAGCAGCGGCAGAAGCAGCAGCAGCAGCAGCAGCAGCAGCAGTAGCAGTAGTAGCGGCGACTCCAGCTGGTATATTGGCGAAAACATGTACAACGTGTTCAATCGCCTAAATCCACAGATGCCGTCGGGGGAAAAGCCAAAGTTCCTACGGCCCATCGAGGGTATGCTTAACGGCCAGATGGACGAGATGCTCGAAGAACACGGCATGGGCGGCCGCTGGTATCGGACGCGATTTATCCCCATCCTTGGCAAATCGAGGACCGACCACGGCGACCAGGCGGGAGACGACAACGCCCAGCAGACTCCGGTCGAAGGTGTCATCGGCGTCATCATGGACGTCACCGAGCTGAAGGAGAAACAGATGGTGTTGGAAGAGGAAGCCAAAGAAAAGAAACAAGCCATGGCCAACGAGGCGGCGGCCAAAGAAGCCAACAGGCTGAAAAGCCAGTTTCTCGCCAATGTACGTTGGGCAAGAGCCGAAACAAAACGACCAACTAGCAAAGGTGAATGGACGCTGACCTGAATAACCTCGACAGATGTCCCACGAGATTCGCACTCCCATCACGGGCGTCATCGGCATGGCGGAGCTGTTGCAGGATATGGAGCTCAATGCCGAGCAGCGCGACTACGTCGAAAACATTCAGAGGTCGGCCAATGCTCTGCTGACCGTCATAAACGACATCCTAGACTTCTCCAAGGTCGAGTCGGGTCGACTCGATATTGAAGAGGTCCAGTTCTCGCTTTCGGTCATCGTCAAGGACGTGAGCAAAATGCTGAGCTTCGCAGCCCAACGCAAGAACTTGGCTTTCCAGTCGGACATCGCAAGCGACATCGCGAAAGGGCTGGTCGTCATTGGGGATCCGGGCCGCGTTCGACAAATCATCACCAACCTGTTGACGAACAGCATCAAGTTCACCAATCAAGGGCGTGTCAGGTTCAGCGTGCAACGGGAAGACGAGACGGCCGATTCCATAGTAGTCAAGTTCACGGTCGAGGACACGGGCATCGGAATCGAGAATGAAGTGCTCGATAAGCTCTTCCAGCCTTTCAGCCAAGGGGATGCGTCGACTGCGAGGCGGTTTGGCGGTACGGGTCTCGGGTTGACCATTTGCAAGAACCTCTTGGACCTGATGAACGGGAGAATCACGCTGGACTCTCACGTCAACAAAGGAACTACGGCAACATTCTGGATCCCGTTCAACAAGACCCAATCCCCCCAAGAAGGGGCCGACTCTCTGGTCGAAATTGACGGCTTGCACGACAGATTCCAGTCGGCCATGAGCATGTCATGCAGCAGCTCAGACTTGGAGCAGTCCGGTGCCACACAGCCCTGGTCCTCCGAGTTTGCGTCTGAGAGGAAGTTGAGCCTCCAGGGTCCGCGAACACCTCCAACCACAGAAGGCGGCGCCACCTCACTTTATAGCCAGCCCAGGCTTCATGTGCTTGTCGTAGAGGATAAGTGAGTGAAGTCCTGTGAAGTGCCTGAACTTTGGTCATTCAAGTTGTACTGACTGGCAACCTCCGTCACTCCAGCGCTATCAATCAACAAATCGCGACTAAAACCATCAAGAAACTCGGGTATGACGTATCTGCTGCGTGGAATGGCAAGGAAGCGCTCGAGTACTTGGGCGCGGCGCAACAGGGCAAGCATCCCAAACCCGACATCATCTTGATGGACGTGCAGATGCCTGTGATCGACGGCTACAAATGCACACACCTCTTGCGCCGTCATGCTCCGTACAACACGTACGTGCAGGACATTCCCATCGTGGCGATGACGGCGTCCGCAATACAAGGAGACAAGGAGAAGTGCAGAAAGGCGGGCATGGACGACTACCTTGCGAAGCCCGTCAAAGGCAAGACGTTGGAGCGCATGCTTCTGCGGTGGAGCCAGACGAGGCGTCGAGGCTCCATGCAGAGGCTCCCGACGTCGTACCGGCAGCCCTCGGAATGCTCTGACCATGCCGAGCATTGCAGCAGCGCAGACATTCCCGGCGTCGGACTGGAAGAGCAACAAGCCACTTCTACTACGGCATCTCAGCGAAGAAGTGACGCGGGGGATAATTCCCCGGAGGAGCAGGCTCGGTCGCCGGAGGTCCCGGTAGAGACCAGCCAAGGAAAAGCAGAACCGTCCCCGTTGGACTCGTCAACGGCACCCAACAACATGCAAGCCGTCCTGCGGTCCGATACGGCCGAGATGGACCAGTACGCACAGGATGATAAGCTCATCGTTGCGGCCGGTGGCTCAGAAGAACCTTTACGACACGGGGGGTGTTCGTTCGGACAACCGGCACCTGCTGTCGATTCTTTGACCGAAGCAAATATGGAGAAGCATCAGTTGGAGGGCGAGGCGATTGAGCGAGAGAGGCAACGACACCACAATCATCATCCTCGGGTGATGATGAAAGAAGGGCCTCCTTCCTCTGGCGACGACAGATTTGGGACGCACACACGGAGCACCAGCCCAGATTCCTAGCAACGGCACGAAAGACATGACGACGTTGGGAGGAAGACACAAGGAGTGATGGATGGCGGGTAATCTCAGGAGTCACCCAGCCTTTACCAAATATCTTTGACCCTTTTTCGAATAATGGCCTATTGTTTTGCTGCCAGGTTTTGGGAATCACATTTGGGCGACATCTTTGTCACTGGGGGGTTTGGACGGAAAGGTTACAAGCAGCAAGCAACATTAGCGATTTCTGATTTTTTTTTATTCTTTTGTAGAAGGAAAGCAGAAACGGCGCATAAGAAGGGATATTCCAGTTTGGAGTTTAGGGGGTGGCAAGACTTTTCAATACAGGATGGGCTTTTGCTGAAACTCCTAGTCTTGGTCTTTTTTTTTCTTCTTTTAACGACATGCGAAGAATAAATATAAGATGAGGTGCCTCCGAGGTTTTGATTGAACTGGTCTGCAGTTTCCCCATCTCTGTGTTCCGTGATGAACAGAAAATACGAACGGGTCTATGAGAGTGGTGCGAGTTGGACACTCAAGATGCGTCTAGAGGGTGAACAAGGATCGTTGGGAGTGAGATGGATGTAAGACATCGGTTGGAAGGGGATTTGGTGAGGAAGCGTACAAGACAAGATGGGTGCTGTGAACTGTGCTAGGGGGGTAGGGGATGTGTATGTGTATAGCCACCATGTCGATCGCACGAGAAGGAAGCAGAAACCGATGCAGAAAGGGTAGTTTGGAACCCTCATGGGAAAATGATATATATGGTATGTAAGGTATGTACGCAAGCCGCCCTCCAAGTGTTAAAATGACATACATGCCTTGCACGTACTGTATGACCAGCCACAAAAAACGCCGTCCACCTCTCTCCGTTTCGCTTTAAGGGGTCGCCCTCGGGCAGACGACCTCTTCCCCATGAATATTCTACCGTCCCCGGCCTTGACTTTGACGCGGCCCGACTTGCTTGTGTACGCATGCACCAGTTCTTCTACTACCTTACATGATGGATATCAATGTGTCGATGGATGGCCCCCCGCGGCATGGCGCTTCTGTGATGCTTCTTCTGTTTTGCTTTCCTCGTTGGGATTCTGAGAGTTGTGTGCGATGTGTATATAAAAGACGAAGGGAGAGATATGGAATAGAATGGGGGGGGTTTTATTTGTATTTTAGAAATGTTCTTTCCAGAAGCGAAAGTTGACTTCGGGCGCGGTGGCCTTTTTGCATGCTCCCTTGATGTCGCGAGCTGGGAAGACTCTACGTTAGTTACCAGGTCGCATGGGGGAGGGGAGAACAAGAAGAAGGAGTGGGAAAAGAGGGGAAGGGGGAGGGAAGAAAGAGAGAAACGCACCGGCAGCGGAGGGACCGCAAAAGTACACACCAACGGTGGTGCGCATGCTCCCGTCGAGGCCGTTCAGGTAGGACCGGTCGAGGATGCCGTCGCGCATGGTGGCGAAGAGCTTGTGGAAGTTGGGGCGGCCAAAGTTGGTGCGCGACTTGAGCTCGGTGAGCGGGTCGACCTGGCTGCCGACCGAGTTGAGGACAATGTTCTGGGTGGTGTCCATGTCGAGCTTCTGGGTGAGGTAGGTGTGGATCTTGAGGAACTCGATGCCGTTGCTGCCGGGCAGCTGGGCGGCCTCGTCGGACTGCGACTCGAGCGACGACAGGAGGGTCTGGAACCACTCGAAGGAGCCCGTGTCCTTGCAGACCCAGATGAACTCGACGCGGCGCAGGCGGGTGGGCGGGTTCGGCCCGTTGCGCAGGTGCCAGATGTTCTTGAGGATCGAGGCCCAGGGCGTCACCCCGATGCCCGTGCCGATGAGCACGGCGATCTCGTTCTCGAACACGTCCTCGGCCGGCGCGCCGTAGGGGCCGTCGATCCGCAGGCCGGGCATCTTCTGCCCGTTCTCGAGCGCCACTTCGTAGATGGCCATGGGGTCGATGTCGTCGTACGCCTTGGCCTGCTCGGGGCCGGCGCCGACGGCGTTGCCGAGGGCGCGGGTGAAATCGCCGACTTGGCGGACGTGGACCGAGACGTAGGGGTCGTCGGGGCAAGAGGTGATGGTGAAGGGGTGCCACTGGTACTTGGAAACTTCCGGGACCTGCAGGAAGAGCCACTGGCCGGCCTTGTACTTGAACGAGGGCTTGTTGAACTGGATCTCCACCACGTCGTAGGGGTGGCGGACGACGCGGGTGATCTTCGTCTCCCGACGAGCGCGCACCTCCCGATAGAGCCGCTCGATGAGATAGAAGCCGCCGGTCCAGAGCTCCCATCGCCAGCCCAGGTAACCGATGCAGTGCTCCCAGTACTCGTCGCCAGCGAAAGGCGAGATGGGATCGGCGGTATCGCGCACGAAGCAACCGACAGTGTGGGTGTAAAGGCCGAGCAGGAAGGGGATGAAGAGGTGGTGGGTGTACCAGAAGGTTTCGAACGACTGCTGGCGGATTTTCGCATGGGCCGTGGTGTACATCAGAAGCATGCAGAAGAGCATGACGTGCCCAGTGATCCCTCCGGGCTGGGCGTAGTGAATCTGAACAGCCGTCTCGGGGCGAAGTTGAAGGCGTTCGACGTTGTAGAAGCTGCGCGAGGTTAGCTGACGTCGTTCGTGTATGGTCGATTGATCGGGGACTCCTTTTTGGAATCCTACTCACTTCACGTAATGGGCGCCGGTGTGCAAGATGGTGAAAAAGAGCATGGAGTAGGCCAGCTGCCTGTGGAACCAGATGTTCTCGTCCATGGGGATCCAGCGGATCTTGGGCCGGATCCATCGCATAATCGTGCGGCATACCGGCAACAGAATGAGCATACCGTCGACACTGAGCACCAAACCAGCACCTCGGGAGATCCACACGGAGAACTGGAGCAAGTTGAGAGGCGCAAGCCTAGGCTCTGTCGCTTGCTTCCACCTGTTATGTTGGGAAGGGGGCCATCGTTAGAAATGGGAACACGCACACGCACACGCGCCGATTTGAGAGCAGAAAGCGCTGCTTACCATCCGAAAGCAAAGATACCCCAATGTAGGCCCCAGAAGATGAAGTGGAAGAGCAGTTTCTGGGCAGTAAACTGCTTCTTGATGAGGGGGATGTTGACGAGCGGCATGATGGGCGAGAGATGTGTGTCTGAGTTTTCTCTCCGCACAAGAATGAGATTAGGTGTCGACCTGCGACAATATAGGCGAGGGGAAATCGGGAGGCTGTCGTTGTGTCGTCCGACGTGCGCTCCGTGACGATATGTCGATGTCTTTGGCTTGGGAGTGGCGGCGGCGAGAGACGATTCTCGACAAGATGACAACGACTCGGACCCAAAGATTCCAGCCTTCTTTTCCCTGCTCGCTTTTCTTCTTCTCTTTCTCCCTTGTCTTGTCGTGCCCGGATTACAAGTCGTAGTCGAAGCGAAGAAAGAAAAAGAAAAAAAGTAAAGCGAAAGCCTCGACAAACGGTTTTCAACCGATTCGTTCAAAATTTCAAAAGAGTGATCTGAACCAGCAGCAAAAAAGAATGGAATGAGACGAGATGGCAAAGATCGATAAAACTCCTCGGCCTCGCCTTGGACGCAACCAAAGGAAAGAAGAAGAAGGGAGAAAATGCGAAACGAAGCGACAAATGGCGAGAGGGGAGGAGGGTAGATGAGTAAAAAGTGAGATGGGCTGATGGGTGATGGGCGTGAAAACGGGGAACCGGCCTAGGAGAGAACCAGAGACCGGACGAAAAAGGAACAAGGATAGAAGCCGGCAAGGGGGTGCAAGGACGGCAATGCAATTGCTGAGATGGGCACAACGTCTGGAGAGTTGACAGGGGAAGAGGAAAGGGGTCCCCCCCAGTTCGAATCGAGTCGAGGTCCGTGGTCCGATGGAATTGTGGGATATGGTGGAGATGGTGGTAGCAATATGAGGATATAATGGGACGAGCTATTAAGCTATTAAGCCACCTCTGGCTCTACTTCGGGCGTGCAGTGCAGAGTAGAGAGAGGGCAGCAAGAGGTTGAAGCGGAGGAGAGTTAGAAACGTGGCCCAGGATACCATGCTAGACAGGAGGCCATGAAACCACCGATTCTCTGGTTCCACAATGCTAGCTAGCCTTGAAGATCAGACGCAGGTGACGACGAGGACAAGGCTGGATGGAACCATGGATACCGATAGAGAAGGGGGGTTTTGATTTTGTTCGGTTGAGACGATGGTCGTCTGAGCGCTCCTTTGGGTAGGTACCTTAGTGAAAGAAGGGTGCGGCTCTCTGCGACGTTTCGGCTGGGACCAGGGGTTGTCTGGTGAGGGTGGAAATGGAAGCAAGCAAACTAGGCCCGAAACAAGCGACCAAGCAGGGGAGTGAGTCCGTGTGTCGATTGTCGATCACAGAGAAATTGCGTCGATGAAGAGGAAAGAAAGTGGTTGTCCGAAGCATTCAGTGACATAGGCAGGTCGAGGAGTAGGTTTAAAGGCGAAATGAATGAAAGAAACAGACTTTGGAAAGATAAAATTGGGAACAGTTGAGGGCTTCCGAGTGAGGGCTTTGCCGCCGCCGAGGCGACGATGGAAGGATGGCAGCAGACACAAGAGTGAAGACGAGAGATGGAGAGATGCCGAGACTAGAGAACGCCAGCTGAGTGGTCAAGTCCATGGGGGTGGAAACGGACACTATGCCAACTTGGGATTGGTGTCCACCGTTTCGGGCGCTTAAGCACAGGTGCAGTGGCTTGGGCCCCCTCGCGTGGAGAAGTACGGAGTACGAGGAGGATACAACGTACTCCGTCTTTTGTGCACGTTCCAGGGCTCAATGCTACGTAGCAGGTAGGTGGTAGGTACAGTATATCATGGGATTCTTGGTGGAGAAGCTAGGCGGGCTAGTGTACAAGTACGTGTACGTTGTATTACCTTCGTTTAGTGGCTGGTGACGTCGTTGCAAGGCCCTTTCGCTAAAGCAGCAAGATACCTAGGTCCACGAAGGTACGATTGCTTCGTACCTTATATATACTGATACTGCTGCAATTATGAACTCGACCACATTTTTAGGTATGTTGAAACATGGCTCCATAGAACCAAGCTAAGGTACCTTGGTGAGTCCTGTGCGGGGCCACCGTCTTGGGTCCTGTGTCAGGTTCACCCTACCTTAACTAGCGAGAGTCCGAGATCCAGGGGTCTGGCAACTGCGATTTGAATTTGGTTTCCCTCACAATACCTTCTCCCCTTCTCCGTAGGCATGGCATTGTGCGACTCGAAAACGCCCCGAAGCACCCCTTGTTCCGGGTCATGGACATGCCGAATTACGGAGTACTTCTGCTTTCATGAGTGACATCATTTGCTTTTGATCTCGTGCCCATACATACCTACAACGTACGTTGTACTCCTACACCCAACGGTTGACCCCTTCGTTCCTCGGCTGCTTGGACCGAAGCAGTCTCCCCTGTCTGTCATCGCATCTTCACGACGCCTTGCATGTTGTCAAATCGTCCAGCATCATTCTGAGATGGTTAGCTCTTGCCTCTGTCGTCAGAATCGTTCGATTTTCCACCTCTAGGTTGTCTATCCCTGGGGCCATCACCGCATCCCCCATCCCACGTCCCACATCCAGAGAACAGAGACAGAAGAACATAAAAGGAGCCCATTGCCCTGCTGTTGTTCAAGGTGGCTGGATGGCGATGGGTTTGGCCATATCATTCCACCGTGGTCCCCATTTCAATCGTTGTCACGGATTACATACTTCGTGCCTGTTTTCTCAGCCGCGCCCTATCCGATGCTGATGCCGTCAATGCTTTCCTTCACAACAGCGAGAGAATTTTGAATTCTGACGTCCGACCGATGCTATCGTACAAAGTAGGATTCCGAGGTATTCTCGGGGGCAGGCGGGCCACGACTCTCATCCGCAAAGTTCGCCATGTTAGTGCGACCTGTAAGCACAAAGCTCAAGCTACCCAACGTATCTGCGAACGGCTGGCCAGCTGGAATGCGGGACAGCTACGGGATCACCTCTCTCTCTCCGCCCCTTCTTATCAATTTTTCTTTTTATGTGTTACTTTAATTTTTCATCTTCTCCCATCTGGCCTCATAAACAATTCGAATTGTCCCATGTACTCACTGCATATCCATACAGTGAGCACGAAAGGCTTATCGTTGGCGTACCTGACTAACACACGCTTACTCTTCCCTTCTTCGCCACTTGGGCGTACCTTGTACGAATTTTCATCCATCTAAGGCACAAGGATTGCTCTAGACCTGGACGATCTTCACTGCGAAAAGATCTAGATCCCCCCCGCACACAACAAGAAGGAGCCCATATCTCATCCATTACACAGAAAAAAGTGGGTCGTCTCACACACCTTGGACGATTCCATCAAGAGTGGCATTCCGGGGACCAATCAGCAGTGACGATAATGATACAGTAAGGTATGCCTCTCGCCCCGCCCCCCGCTCCCTCCCCCCAACCTGGAAGGGACCCCCGACGCAACCTCAACCGAACCGTCCAGAACCTCGACCTACCTACCTTACCTTATTCAAATTCAGTACACTGTACGGACGGATACCTCTACCTCTACCTCAACCTCAACCTTTACCACTCTACTTCGTGCCTCACCATTCCATTTGCCATTTACCGACCTACAAATTTACCCACCTCAATACACCTTTACCTGTCCCCTTCGTTTTCCACGGACCTGGACTTTGATCTGACTCCGGAGACGTTTCAATAGAACCTACCTCATTTCCACGACTAAAAGTTTAGATATCTTTCGCAGTATCCTGTTGTTCGGCATTCGTCCTACGAGATGGCGCCGGAAAGATCGGGAGAGAAGCTCTCCGGGCTTCCTGATGAGCTGGTGCTTAGGATCCTCTCGTGTGAGCCGAGCCCTGCAACCCCCGTGCACGTACAATCCCTCAGGTCTCCTTTTCTAACGCGGTTATTGATTGCTTTTACCCACGATTCGCAGTCCTCGAGCCCCATGACTTCCCCAACATCCTCCTGACCAGTCGGAAACTTCGCCAAATCGCCCTTGATAATAATCACTGGAGGTCACGGGTCTTCGATCAATCGCACTTTCTCGAATCCCTTGAGCGTCGCCGTCACATGAATAGCCTCGTCGACGATGATGTTCTCGACGAGTCCCTATCGAACGCCCCGGAATTCATCCCGTTATCATCCGAAGCGCGGAAACAGCAACGACTGAAGGATATGGCCAACTGGGACCCGACATTGCCCGGCGAGTCCGTTCTTTGGTACGATGAATACATTCAGCGCTATGCCCCGTCTAGGACGAACTGGTTCCAGCAACCCAGGATACGAGATGGCGACGCCGAGGACCTGCTGGAAGTCCTGGGTCTCGCCGTCTACGAACCACCGGGCGAACCCGATAGCATGTACGCTGTCTCCCCCCTCGACGACGGCTCGATATGTCTATGGGACGTCAAGGGCCGACGGCACCACAGGAAAGGCGCCATGCTCGCCAAGAGTCGACCGGGGATACTGCACATTGACGGGCCCGGCGCCGCCGGCCGATCCCGCAAAATCGACACGGGCGTCACCGAATCCATCACCGTGGACAGCTACAACAAGCGGGCCTTCGTGGCCGTCCAGAGCCACCTAATGGAGGTGGACCTCGAGCGACTGGCCGTCGTGTCGGATCAGTCATTCGAGTGGTCCATCGCGACCCTGTCGAGCGCGCACCCGGACGTGCCGCTCACCGTAGGGACTACGCTCGGCATCCACATCTTCGACCACCGCGCGCGCGTGAACCCGACCCAGAACATGATCGAGCAGATATTCGACCCGGACCCTCTACCCAAGTACGCCGCCCTGTCGCAGCCGCACCCCCTCAGCATCCTGCACCTGCCGAGACTGGGCGACCCCGCCTCCCTCTCGGACGACATTTTCGTCGCCGGCCGCTTCAGCAACATCCTCCATTACGACCGACGCTACATCCAGCCCAACGTCCGCAGCATCCAGGCGAGCTACCACTCCGGCGCCAGGCTCTCCTGCCTCACCTCGCTGCCGGGCCTCTTCTCGCCTCTGGACAGTGAAGTGCGACGACGGGGGGAGCTGTCGGTTGAGCAAGTCCGGGCATCCAAGGCCAAGGCAGGCCAGACGCTGATAGCGGGGGGTGAATACAACAGTAAGGGTTCGTTGGAATTGTACGGGCTGTCGCCGTCGGACAACCAGCAGCAGTGGGCCGCTGGGAAAGGGGTTTCGGGAGAGGGGAGGCGGCACAGCTCGAATTTCAAGAACCGGTACAACGCGGCGGAGTCCAAGATATTGTCCATCGCGAGCCACGGCACGCGCGTCGCCTTCTCGGACGGGTCGGGCTACGTCCGGTGGTTCGAGCGCGACGGGTTCACTGAGGTGCACCGCCACAGGATCGGCCATAGCGAGGTCATCACCCGGCCTTCCATCTTCTCGCAGATGCCGGGCCTGGACGATTTGGCGCGGAAGATTCTCCCGACGGGGGGTCAGCCCGGCGGCGGGGGCGGGGGCCGGGACCGGGACCGGGACAGGGTGAATGACAACGACTTGCTGTTCTGGACCGGGGAGAAGCTGGGGATGATTACGTTTGGCGAGAAGCCCGGGTTCCAGGCGGACGACTTTGAGGAGGAAGAGGACGTGCAGATGACGGAGGATGAGACGAAGATGAAGATGGAGGAGAGGAATTACGGGGAGCGCATGAGGCTGGCGCTGGAACGGGAGGCGGACTCTGTGAGGTTCGTTCGGGGGCTTGGATTAGGGGTACACCCGTGAGGCGGAATGTCCTGCGACGACGAGAAAGAGATATCACCCATTATGGGAGCAGCGTGTATTCTATGATAACCGGTACACAGCGTATGACAGCGATGCATCAGCTCATAGCATAACGATGGCTTAGGTAACACCGCAAGGTACATTTCGACGGCGGATTCCAGTATGTGGCAAGTACATTTGTTGTGGCGCAGCAGTGGCACAGTCGTCAACGGCTAAACATCGGCAACCCCCCTGGGAGGTGCGTAATCTGCGTAATCGTAGCCTCGATAATTACATCGATAATTACATCCTCAACAACTGGAACCTGGAACTTCCTTACCAACAACCCCCCCCCCCCCCCCCCCCCCCCCCCCCCCCCCCCCCCCCCCCCCCCCTACTATCAAACGTCATTCTCATGACCAACTCCCACGAGCCACGAGCCCATGAGCCCTTGAACCTTTTCTCTCTTTTCGTCTAATATCTCTTCTTCTGCATCTGCTATCTGTAACTCTGCCTACGTTGTGCAAACTTTCCCGCCCCGTCCTCCTCCTTTTCCCTCCTCGTTCTCCTCCGCTTTCTTGCCTCCTCCAACCCTCACCACCAGCCTTGTTGTCAGTTTCTGAGATTTGCCCAGCATGGTGAGTCTGACCCGCTTCTTGTTCCAAGCAGCAGTCAGCATTCTCAAAGGCGGTAGGGGTCAAACAAACTGACTGGAGCGTCCACCGCAATCCATTAGGGTATCACAAGACGACACAAGGATAAGGCGGCGAGGAACGCGCAGGCCGGCGCAGCATCGGGCCAAGGCGGTGCCGCAGCGAGACCGAAAAAGGCCACCTACGAAGTCTCCAAGAAGAGAGAGATTGGCGTGTCCGACCTCACGCTGCTCAGCAAGGTGTCCAACGAGGGCATCAACGACAACCTCAAGAAGCGATTCGAAGCCCGCGAAATCTACACATACATCGGCCATGTGCTGGTCTCCGTCAACCCCTTCCGGGACCTCGGCATCTACACCGACCAGGTCCTGGAGAGCTACAAGGGCAAGAACCGCCTCGAGATGCCGCCCCACGTCTTCGCCATCGCCGAATCCGCCTACTACAACATGAAGGCCTACGCCGACAACCAGTGCGTCATCATCTCGGGCGAGTCGGGCGCCGGCAAGACCGAGGCCGCCAAGCGCATCATGCAGTACATCGCAAGTGTGTCCGGCGGCCCCGGCGGCGGCGGCGGCGACATCCAGAAGATCAAGGACATGGTGCTGGCCACCAACCCGCTGCTCGAGTCCTTCGGCAACGCCAAGACCCTGCGCAACAACAACTCGTCCCGCTTCGGCAAGTACCTCCAGATCCACTTCAACGCCCAGGGCGAGCCCGTCGGCGCCGACATCATCAACTACCTGCTCGAGAAGTCCCGCGTCGTCGGCCAGATCACCGACGAGCGCAACTTCCACATCTTCTACCAGTTCGCCAAGGGCGCCTCCCCGGCCTACCGCCAGCAGTACGGCGTCCAGGGCCCCGACGCCTACGTCTACACCAGCCGCTCCCGCTGCCTCGACGTCGACGGCATCGACGACCTCGCCGACTTCCAGGACAACCTCGACGCCATGCGGGTCATCGGCCTCAGCCAGGCCGAGCAGGACGAGATCTTCCGCATGCTGGCCGCCGTCCTGTGGACCGGCAACATCCAGTTCCAGGAGGACCAGACAGGCTACGCCGCCGTCGTCGACCAGTCCGTCGTCGACTTCCTCGCCTACCTGCTCGAGGTGACCCCCGAGCAGCTGGTCAAGGCCATCACCGTCCGCATCCTGACCCCCCGCAGCGGCGAGGTCATCGAGTCCCCCGCCAACCCGGCCCAGGCCGCCGCCACCCGGGACGCCCTGGCCAAGGCCCTCTACAGCAACCTCTTCGACTGGATCGTCGCCCGCATCAACAAGTCCCTCAAGGCCAAGCAGGCCACCAAGAACTCCATCGGCATCCTCGACATTTACGGCTTCGAGATCTTCGAGAAGAACAGCTTCGAGCAGCTCTGCATCAACTACGTCAACGAGAAGCTGCAGCAAATCTTCATCCAGCTGACCCTCAAGACCGAGCAGGACGAGTACGCCCGCGAGCAGATCCAGTGGACGCCCATCAAGTACTTCGACAACAAGGTCGTCTGCGACCTCATCGAGTCCGTCCGCCCGCCCGGCGTCTTCTCCGCCATGAAGGACGCCACCAAGACCGCCCACGCCGACCCCGCCGCCTGCGACCGCACCTTCATGCAGAGCATCAACGGCATGTCGAACCCGCACCTGACCCCGCGCCAGGGCAGCTTCATCATCAAGCACTACGCCGGCGACGTGAGCTACACCGTCGACGGCATCACCGACAAGAACAAGGACCAGCTCCTCAAGGGCCTGCTCGGCCTGTTCAAGGCCAGCAGCAACCGCTTCGTGCACGACCTGTTCCCCCACCAGATCGACCAGGACAACCGGAAGCAGCCGCCCTCGGCCGGCGACCGCATCCGCACCTCGGCCAACGCCCTCGTCGAGACCCTGATGAAGTGCCAGCCCTCGTACATCCGTACCATCAAGCCCAACGAGAACAAGTCGCCGACCGAGTACAACGTCCCGAACGTCCTGCACCAGATCAAATACCTCGGCCTGCAGGAGAACGTGCGCATCCGCCGCGCCGGCTTCGCCTACCGCCAGTCGTTCGAAAAGTTCGTCGACCGCTTCTTCCTCCTGTCGCCGGCCACGTCCTACGCCGGCGAGTACATCTGGCAGGGGTCGTACGAGGGCGCCGTCAAGCAGATCCTCAAGGACACGAGCATACCCAAGGAGGAGTGGCAGATGGGCACCACAAAGGCCTTCATCAAGTCCCCCGAGACCCTGTTCGCCCTCGAGCACATGCGCGACCGGTACTGGCACAACATGGCCACCCGCATTCAGCGAATGTGGCGGGCCTACCTGGCCTACCGCGCCGAGTCGGCCACCCGCATCCAGCGTTTCTGGCGCAAGAAGAGGACCGGGGCCGAGTACCTGCAGCTGCGCGACCAGGGCCACCAAGTCCTCGGAGGCCGGAAGGAGAGGCGGCGGATGAGCCTGCTCGGAGCGAGGCGGTTCATCGGCGACTACATGGGCATCAACGCGACGACGGGTCCCGGCGCCCATATACGCAACTCGATCGGCCTCGCCCACAACGAGAGGGCCGTCTTCTCGTGCCGTGGCGAGATCCTGGAGGCCAAGTTCGGTCGGTCGAGCAAGCCCAGCCCGCGCACCATCATCGTCACGAACAGCAAGTTCTACATCGTGGCGCAGATGCTCGTGGGGGGCGACAACGTGCAGATCGCCGTAGAGCGGGCCATCCCGCTGGGCGCCATCAAAGCCATCGCCGCGTCGTCAAGTCGGGACGACTGGTTCTCGCTGCTCGTGGGGTCTCCTCAGGAGGCGGACCCCCTGATGAACTGCGTGCTCAAGACCGAGATGTTCACGCAGATGCAGAGGGTCATGCCCGGCGGCTTCCACCTCCAGATCGCCGACGTGATCCAGTACGCCAAGAAGCCCGGCAAGATGCAGCCGGTCAAAGTGCTCAAGGACTCGCAGCAAGCGGCCGATTATTACAAGAGCGGCGCCATCCACACCCGGCCCGGCGAGCCGCCCAACTCCCGGTCAAGGCCGACGCCCAAGGGCAAGCCGGTGCCGCCACGACCGATTACCCGCGGGAAGCTCATCAAGCCGGGCGGTCCCAACGGCAGACCTTCTCGGATCCAACAGAACCGGAAACCGCAGCCCCGTCCCGTGCCATCGACTCCCCAGCCGGCGGCTGTTCCGCAAGCTGTCAACGCCGCTGCTGCCGCTGCTACCGCTGCTACTACGACTACTGCCATCCCGTCGCACACGCGCAATTCGTCGACCACCTCCACGAGCGCGGCAGCCCGCCCGCCTCCTCCCGCGCCCCCTGCTCCTCCGGCCAAGGCCAAGATGAGGGCGAAGGTGCTCTACGACTTTGACGGACAGAGGGAGAATGAGCTGTCCGTCAAGGCTGGTGAAGTGATTGAGATTGTGCAGAAGGAGAACAACGGTGAGCTACTCTTTTCCCCTCTGACCCCCAATCCCTCGGAAAAGAAAAGAAAGAAAGAGAGAAAGAAAAAGGCGACTAACTCCCGACTCAACAACAGGCTGGTGGTTGGGCAAGAACGCTTCAGGCCAAGCCTGGGTACCGGCGGCGTACGTCGAGGAGGTGGCGGCCGAGCCAACACCGGTGCAACGGGCGCCGCCGCCCCAACCCCCCAGACGACCGGCGGCGGGGCGGAAACCCGTCGGACTGCAGGCGCAGGCGGCGCGGGACTCGGTGATCAGCAACGGGGCGAGCGGGTCGGATAACAGCCGCAGCACCACGCCGACGCCCAGCCTTGGTAACAGCTTGGCTGACGCGCTGCTGGCTCGGAAGAACGCGATGCAGAAGAGGGAGGAGGAAGACGACTGGTAGGACGAGGGCGTTTGACGGATAGATGGCGGAATAGATGGCAGAGTATATGGCAGTTAAAGATACAGGAACGGTGCGAGAAAAGGGAGAAGAGAGGGGTATGCTGGGGTTGGATCACTGCATTGGGCTTACGTTGTTGATATTGCATGGGTTTGTGGCCCATTGGCGATGGTGTTGCTTGCTTTTGTCTTTCCTTGCTTGCCCCTTTTTTTCGTTTTCTTTTTTTCCGGGTATTCTTTTTTCCGCATCCGATGTAAGCGGCCAGGCGGACTTGATGAACGGCATGACTACGGCCGACAGCTGTCTTTTTTATTCTCATCTTTCTCATCTTCCATTCCTCATTTCTTCTTCTTTGCCCCTAACAGCATACGCTCGGCGTGGTCGAACGACAATGATGTTGTGCCATTGTCTGACGAGAAACTCCCTCGGCGCTTCATCGCGCTTCATCGACCACGAGTCAGATGCGTCCCTATCTCTTCTGAAAGACCCGCGCCACGGATTTTGGCTCAGTCATCGATGCGACGAGAAGTGGTGCTGGTATCGCTTCGAGGATGGGGAACGACTCGCCTCTGGAATTTGATGGCGTGTCTTGTGTGTGTGTGTTCTTCTTGCTGCTCCCGTCGTAGCTGGGGCGCTGGGTTACAAAAGCGTGTGGACGGGCTGGTTGGGAAAGTTGTCTTTCCAGAATAGAATGCCTTGACCTTTTTTTCTTGTCGTCAACTTGAGAGCGCATTTGTCGTGTTTCCGGGTTTGTCATGAAAAGAAATAGTTAAAAGAAACATGTCCATTACCCCTCGGCATCCTTAACTGGGACCTTCCTCCTTCGCAGGAGCTCCGCAAGGGGCACATCATCGTCTGCGCGCTCCGTGGTTTGTCGCTGTTGCTGTTGCTGGTCGTCCGTCTCCGTCTCCTCATCGACGCCGTAGTCGCGCAGCGTTTCGCCGTCCGAATTCGCCCATCCTGCCCTGGCCTTCACCTCCCTTTTGTCGTGCTTGTTCCGCCTCGGAAGATCATCGTGTTCTGCTCCCACCTCTTCCAGTTCGGCCATGAGTTTAGACCGGTTCCCCCGCCACCGCCGCAGGTCGGCCTCCTGTCGGCGGCGGAAGGCAGCAACTTGTTCCTCCGTGCTCGCGTACGTCGGTAGTACGGCTCCGTCCCGGGCAGGATCCGCTCGGGCAGGCCATTGTGTGCGCAATTTTTCCGGGTCGGGCGGCGGCCAGAGGCCCTCCCGCCGGTTGAACCCGTTCTCCTCCCATTCCCACCCGACGCCCTTCCCCTCGGTCGGGGCGATGACGGGGTTCCCCGCCCAGGGCAAAGGCCAGGCCAGGACGTTGCGCGTGCCCATGGCCTGGCTCAGGTTTTCGAAGAAGCCGAGGTCGTAGGGGAACTCGATGCGCTCGCGGGGTCCGCCGTCGTTGTAGTCATCATCGTCCTCGTCCTCGTCCTCGGCATCGTCTTCCTCCTTCTTCTCGTCCTCGTCTCCCCACCAATGTTCCTTCCGCCGGCCCCGACGACGAAGCAGCTCCTCGTGCCGCTCCATCTCCCACCCTTCAATACTGGTCGTGTTCAAGAGCCAGCCGCGCGCAGTGGAGAAGAGCAAGAGTCCAAGGGCGAAGGAGGCGAAGAAGGCGACGCCGGCGAGGAGGGACAGGTGGACGAGGGAGGCGAGGGACGGGCCGAGGTAGGAGGGGAGGTGGCGGACGCGCCAAAGAGCGGCGAAGCGGGCGAAGAGGAGGCGGGCGAGGTACCAGAGACTCAGGTTGGTGTAGGAGAGGAAGCGGAGGAAGTGCGGGAAGGTGGTGAGGGAGACGCAGTTGGTGGTCCAGGGGCAGTGGTGGTCCATCCTGGGGATGCAGCGGGCGCAGGTGCGGCAGTGGTGCGCGCGAGGGGGTTTCGGGGCCTCGCACTTGCGGCACCACCTTGCGTAGTGGTTCGGATTGGCGTTTATTCTCCTGCTCAGTTCCTCGCGGCGTCGTTCGTCGTCTTGTTCGTCGTCGTTACGGCCATCGGTGGCGGGCTTTTGGGGCTTTTGGTCGGCACGGGAAGGGAGGGAAGGGAGGGAAGGGAAGACGTAGCGACCTGGGTCGACGGTGCAAGTCTTGTAGTAGGTGTACCAGATGCAGCACAAGAGGGTATTGAAGATGATAGACTCGCGGCGGGAGAGCGGGCCGGGTTCCAAGTCTTCTGCGGTGTGGAAGAGATATTGGGAGGAGTAGCCCAGAAAGATCACGAGAAGAGAGACAGCGGGGATGGCGAGTTTCTCGATATAAGGGGCATCACCAAAACCAGCCATGGCTGTGGCCCGAACGATGTGGTAAGAGCAGAGACGCTATGGAGGTGCTTGTCAGTCATCCAAGGCCCCGTAGAGTTATCGTCGGGTGTCTAAAGCGTAGAGACCAGGATGGGACCATGGGAGATGGAGGAATGGAGGAATGGAGGAATCGTCGCGATGTGAAGACAAAGTTACAAAGTAAAGGTACCTTACAGAGGACGTCTGACGCGTGATAAGATAAGGGGAGAAAGGGACGCGTTGAGAGAGTTGGAGAAGTGCTGCTTATATAATACAATCAGCCCCTTTTTAAGTGGGTGAGTACCTTGACTATGTACGCTGTTACGCTGTTCTACTCAGTTAATCACCCAGTCGCTTATTTGGACCTCATTTCGAATTCCCCTGCCTGTTCACAGTCCAAGACTTTCAATGGAATCCTGGGAACTTCCCTTTGCCCGACTTGCTCGGTTCCCGTATATATCCTGTAACTTGGGATCGCAGCTTCGTCGATGAGACCCTCACAGACCCTTCACAGCTGCCAGCCATCACACATCAACCCTCCTTATGCAGACGCTTCGCCAAGCCCCTTAAGTCCCTATGGCCCACCATGCACGCATTCAACTCGCAGGCCTCTGGTTTGTTCTACGGTCCCTTTTTAAAATCTTTTTTTAATCTGGGTTTTTTTTTACTCATTTACATGAGAAATGAGAATGAAGACTAACTGAAATCCTCCCTCAAGTGCCGTGGCGTCGTTCATCTGGACCTCCACTACCTTCGAGACACATACCTTGAACCGTGAGATCTCCTTCCAATGTTTTGCTAGAAACGTAGGGTGTTGCTTTCGGTTCCCTCCTTTACTGACAAAGTCGTTCGGATCACCTCACTCCAGAATGGCCTCGTTTTTCGGCATGTCTTATTCTGCTTCTTTCTGCCGGGTTGACTTGGACCGTGAGCTACTTTTCACGCTGGTTTCCTGGGCCTGATGGCAGATTCGGTGAGTCTCCCTTACGTTCCCACCTATCTACACACTTCTTGGTGGTTTGTAGACCCCCTATACTGACAGAATGAGGGGTGGGAAAAGACGAAACATCTTCGGGACTCCTGAATCAACCACTCCCAAATTCACCCGAAAGACCACGACGTTACTTTGCTCCGGCCGTTGTGTTCTGCATTGTCCTGCGCTTGGAGCTGTTCCATCAAATCGTCGCGAACTTTCAGTGCTCGACGCCGGGTGTCGAGGTGAGCTACCCTACCACCCGAGACTCTCGTAGCTCGTCCCCTGTTCTCGAGACCCGGACTAAATGGAATGACCAACAGTCGTTTTTGTGCACGTTTATAGTATTTTACGATGTCTTCTTCGGCCACAGACACAAGCCCCCCACCAGCGCCTTGGAGCCCGAAGACCCTTGGCGCAGTTCGACCGCCGACCTGCTAGACTGGCTCAAGCAAGCGCGTCTGCTCCTGGTAGGCAGCGTGCTCCTTTTCAACTTCGGGACGTACAGGGCGGCGGCCAGTCAGAAGGTATACTCCACCTACATGTGTTCGTCTCTCTTCGATACCCGCGCAGGCGTCGTTCTCATGCAAGTCCTCGGTTTGGGCCTCGATGCCACCATCGCCATTCTGCTCTGGCGCATCCTCGCCTTCGCCAAGACGACCAAGGCTCGCTTGCGCACGGTAAGCAGTATCCAGTTCTCTGCCGCCGCCTTGGTGGGCTTGGTCTGCTTGCTCTTCCGACTCCGGCATGCCCCCATTCTGCCCTCGGGCTTCCGAGGTCTGGGCTGGCTGTACGTGTTCGACATGGTAATCGACAGCTTCGCCTTCTCGGTGCTTGCCATCTCCACTAGCCTCCTTATTTCCGACGCTGGTCCCCTAGGGCCACTCGGTATCGTTACATTCTTCGCTGGTCTTTCCACCTCTTTCCGCAACCTGTCCTCGTTAAACCTATGGCAGGGGCCGTCCAAGGTCGCCGTCATATTGCCTCTCCACGCCATCGTCATCGGGTTCAGCGTCTTTCTGTTCACTTGCAACATACGTACGGTGCTTTTTGTTCGGCGTGTCTTCTTTTGGGTGGCCCTCTTTGCCGTCCTCGCTGGGACCACAATCTACACCCTTTTCGTCAGCAGGCCATTCCATGACCGACACCCGCTGGGTGATATAATCTACGCCTCCCGGATCGAGGCCGACCGGTGGCTTACACGCGCTTCCACCAGTAATACCCTGCACGTCGCGGTGGAGGAGTACCGTGGACGGAACCACGGCCGCGATCCTCCACCCAACTTTGACAAGTGGTTCGACTTTGCCAGGTCGCGGGCATCGCCCATCATAGATCACTTCAAACAACTTGGAGACGACATGCACCCTTTCTGGGGCTTGAAACCAGAGGCCATCAGACAGTCACTGCGTAACGTTCTACCGGAGGCGCCTAGCATAGCATGGGTGAAGGTAGCAGGCGGACGGGTGTCGCACAGTTATGAAGCTCAAGACCGCAACCGAAAATCACTGGACAGTCTGGTGCAGATGATGGAGAGCTTTTCCGAACACCTGCAGGACATGGATATTCCCATCAACCTCGGCGACGGTCCGAGGGTTCTGACCCCGTGGGTTGACCTGCATGGGCAAAGAGGCCCCCCCAGCAGGGGCACCGCAGAAGGACATGTTCTCCCCGAAGCCTTCTTGACGCCGACAGTATTCCAGGAGATGGAGGCGCAGACATGTCCAGTAGGTTCCAGCGGCAGGACGCTTCGGCACTGGAATGTGCGAGACCTCTGCTTCTCCTGCGCGAGCCGTCATGCCAAAGGCCCGTTTCTCGTGGACTGGGACGCGTCCCTGGATCGTTGTGACCAGCCCGACATGGCGCACCTTCACGGCTTCTATCTGTCGGACAAGGAGGTAGCTCCGTTCCAGCAGCTGGTGCCGGTATTCAGCAGGTACAAGGCGAGCGGTTTCAACGACATACTGATTCCGTGGCCCGATCCGGTCGAGGACGAACCCGACTCCAATCGCGACTTCCGCACTCGCAACAACAAACTGCACTGGCGGGGGGAGCTGGGAACCCACGATGTGAGGGGCGATGAGATGCCCCGAGGCGGCCACAAGCAGAGACTGCTCCATCTCGTCAACAACGCAACGTCCTCCGAGGAGATCGTCATGTTGCTGCCCAGGATAACGGATGTGCCCTTCCGAAAAGGAGCCACCTGGGGAGAACTCACTTTTACGTACGAAAAGATTCACACGGCGGAGGCAAACGAGTTCCTTCCCTTCGATATTGGTGTCTCGTCATACGCGTCATGCCAGGACGCGCAGTGCGCGGCGGCAGCATCGGAGTTCGGGACGAAGGAGATGGACGTGGAGGCCCAGGAAGCGCTGCGATACCGGTACGTGCTGCTGCTGGACGAGTCCCTGGGCCCACCGCGGCAATTCCTCCGGACGGTACGGTCGTCGAGCGTGCCGTTCTTGGCCAGCGTCTTTCGGACCTGGTACACCGAGCGGCTGATGCCGTGGGTGCACTTCGTGCCCGTCGATATCCGGTTTCAGGGCCTGCACAGTACGCTCGTGTATTTCGCCGGCCACCTGGGACGCAAGGTGGGCGGCCGGACCTTGGATGACCCAGGGAATGAGGCTGATGCCAAGTGGATCGCTCTCGAGGGACGGTCGTGGGCACGCAAGGCTCTGCGGCGGGAGGATATGGAGGTATACCTGTTCCGACTATTGCTAGAGTGGGGGAGAGTTATAGATGTCGACAGAGATAGCATTGGATTCAAGTTTGAGGAGTGATGGACGGACCTGTCTGGCGGGTCAGAGATGACCGAGCTGGAGGGCATTAAGGCATTGTATTCGGTACTTGGCAAAACATTGAGTGTACGGATGCTTGTATCATTAAGCGTGATAGACAGGGTCGGATATCATCTGTACGGATAATTATAAAATGGAGTTGTTTGGTATTATCTTCTATCCGACAGTTGAAGCGTGCAAGTGACAGGTAAGGGGTCAGTCAGGATGAAGAACTAGGTGGGTAGTACAAAGTACAGTGTCGTAGATATCACGTACTGTACATAAGGTAGGTACTGACCGTTTTGCGTCGTCCATGCGTCAGGGCTTTTCAGGGGTATTCGGTGTTTCAGCTTCTGCATCAGCGGGGTAATTAGTTCCCCTAAGGTACCTAGTTGGAGTCTTGACTTTTGTCTGGGAAACCGAGACCGGCCGTCATTGCCAAGACATGTACAGGTACGGGGACTTAATTGAGATGCTATCACACCCTACGGAACTTATGCGTCGTAGTGGTTATCCATCATTCAAACATATGAAAGACAACCTGGAACGAATCTCCTAGGGCCTCGCAAGTGTTAATTAATGATGATGCCACTTGCCTCGATTTTGGCAATATCCGTAAGGCGAGGGACATCGCTCTGGCCTTCATCACGTAGACTTGTTACCTATACCTTACAGTACGCATTGCGTCCACTTGTTACTGCCCGATATTCCGGTACTGATACCTATTCTTATCCGTACTTTGTACTCTTACCCCTCCCCCGCTGTCGTCCTCAAGTGACTGCAGTTGCTCCCATCGTCCTTTCCACCTTCTCCCTGGCTCTCCCCTAATTACCCCTCCTCCCCCGGCCTAAAAAGGGGAACACGACATCACCCATCGTTAATACAGCTACCTACCTTACCTACCTCACCTACCTTACTCCCTTACGTACTACTTACTCTCTTAACATTCTGCCTGTTTGCGCATCTTCCTTCAGCTCCCGCATCGTATTCAGCGTCCTAAACCGTTCACTTGCTGTTCGTCTCCTCTTCCTCCACTGCCTCACCCACTCCCCCCCACCCGACTTACCTTCGCCTCGAGCTCCCAGGAAACACCAACGAAGAACCTATCCCCCTCGACTTAGCCTATCGCCGCAATCTCACCTACCCCCAACTCCCATTCACCCCCCTCATCATCGCCCGCCATGGTCGACCGTCCCAACAAGCCTTCGGCCTTGGTCTCGACGCCGGGCCTCCCTCCCCAGGCTCAGGTCACCATCTCCCATAACAACTCGCGCGTCTCTGCCGTCCTACCCACCGGCGATAGCATTGAAGTACTCCTCCATGGTGCCACCGTAATCAGCTGGAAGGACTCGTCCGGCGAAGAACGACTTTGGCTCAGCGAGGCGTCTGCCCTCGATGGCAGCAAGGCCGTCCGCGGTGGCATCCCTCTCGTTTTCCCGGTACGTTCTTCCTCTCTCCTTTTCCCCCATATCCCCCCTAAACCACTGCTGCTGGCCTGGCCAAGAAATGAGAGCAGAGAATCAAAGAGCAATGAACTGAACGACGCCCGCCGCCTAGGTCTTCGGCACCGCCCCCGATCACCCAGCCGTAGGTCAGCTCCCCCAACACGGCTTCGCTCGCATCACCCGCTGGGAGTTTCTCGGCAAGTCCACCTCCGAGGCTGCCTCGGACAGCGTCAAGCTCGACTTTGGCCTCTCCTCCGAAAACCTCGACGACAAACTTAGAAGCCAATGGAACTACAAGTTCGGCATCATTTACAGCGTCACCCTCGAGCGCAACTCTCTTTCCACCTCCCTTGTCATCACCAATGAGGGCGACGAGCCCTTTGAGTTCCAGACTCTAATGCACACATATCTTCGTGTCAAGGTAGCTAGCTCCGACCCCGTGACGGAAAGAATAAAACCGAAAGGGAAAAGGAAAGGAAAAATCGCCGTGTTAACTTCTTTGTCTTCTCAAACAGGATATTACTTCCCTTCAAATTAACAATCTAGAGAACTCTCCCTACGTCGACAAGGTCGACAACCTCACCTCCAAGACGCAGGATGGGCCCGTCACCATCACATCAGAAACGGACCGGGTCTACACCCCCGCCGGCGGCCCTAAGGTCCCCATCGTCGTGGCCGACGCCTCCGGCCAGGCCGTTTACAGCGTTGTTCGAGATACCCTAGACGACGTCGTCATTTGGAATCCCCATGAAGCCAAGGCCAACTCCATTGGCGACTTTGCTCCCAAGGACGGCTGGCGCAACATGATCTGCGTCGAGGCCGGCGCTGTCAAGGGGTGGCAACGCCTAGAGGCCGGCGACGCTTTCGAAGGCGCTCAGGTCATCACCCCTGGCCCTTTGTAAGTTGCGGCTCGCTCTCGAAACTATAGGGACGAGGGATTGAAACTCATATGAGTGCGAGAATGAAGCATTCATAACCTGATTCCATTTTGAGACCTACCCTAAACCCATCCGATCGGTTATGACTATAGAAATGTGTCATTCACCAAACCCAAAGAAGCAAGAAGAATAATGCATCATGAACATGTTGTGAATCGACCCGACGCCTTCATCATGGTATAATAATACATGCTATGCTCCCGTACGCCCCGGCCAGTGATGCTTCCAATGTCCCCTAATTTCCCTTAGCCTATCCATGTATTTCCCAATTCAATAATCAACACATAGCATGTTTGGATCATGTAATATATGCAACAACTTGTGTGTATGTCATGTGTGTCGCATCGTTCTGTGATGGGGGGTTTTTTTTTTCCTTCTCTTTTTTCCCTTTTCCCCCTCTGCAGATGGGGGAGCATTATAAGAGAGAGCCTTTCAGCTGCGTCCTCTCCTTTCAGCTTCGTAGAGCTCGCGTTTGATGTCCATGAGGACATCCTCCATTTTGTACACTTCATCACGGGACAGGGCCGTGGACCGCAGCTGGGCCAAGACGTCCGAAAGAGAACCGAGCATAGGGATGTCTTTGGCCGCCGGCGTGGAAGGCTTCTCTGCCGTGGCAGGCGTGATGAGGGGTTCCTCGATGCCTTCGTGCGGCGCAAGGGCCTGACCGTGGGGCAAGTCGTCCGTGTCCATCTCCACGTCGTCCACTGATGGTTCGGCGGCGGCGGCGGCGGCGGGCTGGACATGGACATCCTCGACCTGCTGAGACTGCGAGCGGCTGGCGGCTTGCTGCTCCGCCACGAGCTGCGACTCCAGTTCCGTATCCGTGTCCTTCTCCTCGCTCGTGTTGCGGCGCTTGGCGCTACGGGTCCTTGGCGACGAGGCCCCTTCAAGCGGCGCCATGTCGTCGTCGCCTTGCGAAGAGTCGGCGTTGTTCGTTGTGGTAGATGACTGGCTGTCGTGGACTTGGTCCGCGTCCTCAGCGAAGCTGGCAGACCTGCGCTTCTTCCGACGCGGCTCGGACTTGGATGAGAGGCGCTTCCGTTTCTTCCTCTCGGACTTTTCATGCGATGGTGATTCCGCCACGTCAAAGGCTGACGATGCCTTTTTGGAGGGAGATCGCGACTTGCGGCGCTGCGGCGTTCCGTCCGGCGTCGCGACGGTTATGCAGTCGAGCACCGGTCCATTGACCTCGACTCCTCCCTTGTCAGGGGACTCGGCCGGATGTTGGCTCAATGGGAGAGGGCAGCGGCGTGAATCCAGCTCAACCACAAGCTTGAGCATGCTACGTTCATCACCCTCGCTCATAACGAACGACGCATCTCCGGCTTGGCTACCCTGTTCGTCTGTGGTCTTCACGCCAGAAGTGCTGTTGATGGGTGATGATCGCTGGGGACTGCTGAACGCGTCGACAAAATCCTCCTGTTCCGACCTGAATTCCTCTTGAGCTTCAACATTGCGCGGCGGTGTTTCTGGGGTCTCGTGGAGTTTGGGCCGAGTGGTAGGTGCTGCCGGAGCAAGCTCGGGAGCGCTGGGGGGCACGACATCCATCTGGAAGGAGTCCTCGATCGCAGACACGGACTTTTGGGAAGTTGGTTTCGGTTCGTCTGCTAGGTTCTCGTTGTGAATCGAGATGTCGGTAGGTTGTATATCGGTAGCATCCTGGTGGCCGAGAATAGGAGAGACAGGAGCAGGCGACGAACTAAGAGGCCAGTCATCGTGAAGCTCTCCGCGGCTGCTTGAGCGGGACTGAATCTCCGGTAGAAGAGGGAAAGGTCGAGGCTCTGGGGGAGACGAAGGAGGATCCGTCATCTCATGGTCGTCCATGTCGATAGTGAGTGGCTGGTGAAAACGACGAGGCGTGGGAGTCGAAGTGACGTATTCCTCATAGCCCTGACGGCGCTCAGGAGTCCCCTCCTTGGCTGATGACCTGGGAGAACGGCGGCGGCCCGACTGCGTCGACGACGGTCTTGCACTAGATCTCAGTTCTGTAAAGAGAGCGGCCGTGTCCTTTTGCCTTTCTCGGACCTCCTTCTGCCGCTCGGTAAGCACCTGCGACTCTTGATTGGCAACAACAGAGGGTGATGGTTCGATCGCGACGAAATGTAGCTGCGAATCGTCGTGCTTCAGCCGAGCCGTCGGGGTGTTCCGGGTGGTTCCGCGGGTCCTTTTCTTCGGCGTACCATCGAGCTGACGCTTCGCGGGGAACGACAGACTGACAGCCGGAGACGGGGAGCGCACAGGCGTGAGAGAAGAAGGTGGCTTGTGTCGCAGTGAGTACGAGTTGAGGTTGGCCACGCCGAGATCGTCTTGCGAGTCGATAAAGAAGCGGGGATGAGCATCCGATGGAGCACTCGCTGTTTCCAGACCGGGAAGAACAAGGTCGAGAAGCGTCTGGGACGAGAGCAGGACTGTCTTGAGCTGTTCAGGATACTGCAATTCTGTCGCGTTTTCGAACACGCGGTTCCAGGTTTCGGCGGTGATGTTGACAATCTGCCTGTGCCTGCTCTCGAAACCAGCACAGAGAAGCTGCTCGTAATTCTCCAATTGAGGCTTCTCGCCCTCGAGAATGATTTTGCACGCCGTAGTCCAAATCCTCTTGATCTAGGAAATCAATCAGTTAGTACAACAAATTAACATAAATGTAGAAATCTGGAAAGGGGATGCTCACAGCTTCAGCGCGGGCGCCGTCACGGCGGCCGCTTAGCATGCCCCTCTCATCCTGGATCCAAACCAAAATTCCGCTCTCCAGATTCTTAATCGACTTGAGAACGAGCTGCGGGTTGCATCGGGAAAGGAAGCTAGCAATCTCGCTGAACAAGGGAGTCGCGGACTTGCTGAGGTCGTCCCCTTGGTCAAGGTTGTAGAGGCGAAGGAGGATGTCGTTGACGAGCTTGTAAAGATGGTCATACGGATCGAAGGACGCAGTCCTCGAGCCCGTCACTGCAGTCCCCCACAAGCGGCGCCGGGCAGCCTCCAATACATGGCGGTCAGCCGGGTGAGTGGCCGTGGAGATCAGTTCGATGGCCACCTGAAGCGATTTCGGCGACATGACAGCCGACGGATCAGCCGGGAGGGCATCCCTAACCATCTTGGCAACGGGTTCGGTCATTCCAATGGCGAGGCCAGGCTCGCCAACTTCGCCAACAGCACGGCTGGCAAGAGCGGCATGGAGCGAATACCATTGCTCCAGGGGGAGATTCGGGGTCTCCTTCCACCCTCTCTCGAGCAACCTGATAATGCCACGATATTCATGGCCGAGAACCGTGTCCCCGCTAGAGCTGGTCGTCTGAACGCTCAATTGCGAAGAGTTCATGCCAGCAATCAGGTTCTCCGACGCAAAAACCCAAGGCCCGTACGGGTGACTAGACACAGGTGGAGTCCAGTTGGGAACTGTCTGAAGCATTTCTATGGCCAGATCCGATCGTGCTTTGGCGGACTTTTGTGATGTAAAGAAGGGAGAGAAGACGGATCGAACAAAATCGAGATAATGATCGTCGTCCGGAATACCAGGAGGTAGTCGTAGGAGCAGACCGAAAAGGTGCTGTAGAGGTGATCGAACGTCGCCCAAGTTCCTGCCTGGCTTGTGTGACGGGGTCGCCACGGGAGCGAAGTGGCTCAATCTACCGAGAGAGATCATCTTCCCGGTCCAGGGGAGAAGACCGAGTGCTTCCACGGCCGTCAGGATGAGATCTTGTGTGCTGCGCAGGAACTGACGAGCCTTCTCCGGCTCCTCCGCGTTCTCCGATACACCGGCCTGCCACTGCTTCAGGAGAAAGCTGAGCATCTCCGAAATAAAAGTCGCGGTGTCAACGGAGACTTTGATCTCCTTGGATGCAGCAAGCACCACAGACCCGACCAAAGTCTTCCAGAGACGGTGTGTGAGGCTCATCTTGTCTGACAAGTCGCAGAACTGCCGTTCGAGAATGGGGCTGACGACCTGGAAGACCCTTGAGGCATTGTGCCGGATCCACTTGGGGTCGATGGCGGGCAGTTCTTCCGGCTTGGCCACGGGGCTGTCTTTGATCCGTTCGTCGTTCCAAATCCTTGGGGTCGAAGAATCCAGCAGGCTGATCAAGATGCAAGTCAGGCGCTGGAAGTGCTCTGTCACGGCCTCTGGCCCCTTCTTAGAGGGCACGAGAGAGTCAGTAAGCGGTTTCACGCTGATATCCCAGTAGGTGTCGAAATGGGCCGAGTTGGTGCTCGGCTTGAAAGCGTAATAGTACAAGTTGCAGAGGCCCCCGAGCACGACTTCGCGCTTTTGGTCCGAAATGTTGGGCTTGCTCAGCTGACTAACAAGCGGTGTGTAGAGTGTCGAGAACCTCTTGTTGAAAGACTGCTCTTCAAGGTTGGTGGTGTAAACGAAGCGATTCCAGGCAAAATTAGCCTCCTTGTTGCACTGCGGGTCGCTGCAGTTGAAGCAGGTCTGGAGCAGATGAAGCCAGCGATTCGAGAAGCGCCAACGGTCGAGAGGGCGTCGGAGCAGCAGAACAATGACACTCCATATCCTGGGGACGGCTGCCTTCTCCTGGCCCTTGGCCATTTTGGAAAGCTGGTCATGGTACCACTCGATGTACGTCATCTCCTCGATAGACGTCTCCAAGAGTTCCATGACCTTGCGGGATAGTATCTTCTCCTTCCCGAAGACGAAAGCGGCATCGGTCCCGAGGCGGATGGCGGAGTCCTTGATATCCCTCACATTGCTCAGCATGTCGGTGAAGACACCGTTCAGCCAATCGGTGTGCGTGGACATATGAGCCCTCGCCTGTGTCATCAGGCGACGGTAGATTCTCATGCGGCCGACGACGATGCTTTTGCCTCGTAAATGACCGTCGATGTTATGTAGCGCATTGACGAGCCTCCGAACTCTGTCAGACGTCATGGCCCTCGGAGAGAAGTCCTGGATGGCCACGATGTGCATCAGGCGTCGAGCCACGTCTTTCGGGGTCGATTGTTCCTCGAGTGAGCGGACGAAGTGGTCGAGTATAAATACTCCAAAGTCGTTGGGTATTGTGGACGCAATGGCGGGGAAGAAGAGGAAAGTGTCGAGGAGGGTCAAGGCTTTGTTGATCAGGGCAGAATCGAGGACTCCGGTGGGAGTTTTGGCAACAATATCGCGTTGAATGAACTGGACGAAGAGGCTCATTTTGCTCTGAAGGGCGATACGGTCGGGGAGATTGTTGGACGCCTGCAACGCCCGCACGACCATGGTATAGGCGTCAAGCTTGGATTCTCGATCAGCTCCGGCCAGCTGCTTGACTGTTGACTCGAGCATGTCAGATATGCTGATGGGTTGTGGCGGCTCATCAGCGTCTGGTCGTAGGGACGAGTCGAGGTGTCTTGGTGAGGTGGAGGGCTTGAGGATGCCCTTCACGGGCTTCGGTTGAGATGCGGAGGGAGGAGACGACCTCCTAGATCCCGGGGCTTCTAAGTAAGAAGGGGCTTCCTTGTACTCGGCCCGGGCAGAGAAGCCAACGCGTTTCCCTGTCCTGCTAGCGCTTAGGTTCCCGGAGTTAATGGTAGCGGAGTTGGGAGTATGGAGGGTCGGTGGCGTATTCAGGCTGGTGCTCACGCCCAGAGTAGTGGTGGTCGGTCGGGATAGAATCGACTTTGCATTGACGAGTGCATCCGGATCCTGGTGTGTTTCCCGCGGTGGTGTAGGAGGGCGAGCCGGTAGGGACTGGAAAAGACTCTGGGCAATCTCGGTCGAGCCCATGATTGTAAGGTTTCTCTCTATAGAGCGGGAAGAGGGAAGAGGAGGAGGAGAGGAAGGGGAACGACGACGGCGTTCTCCTGCACGCCAGTGTAGCTCTCGTTTAGGCTGTATTGCACATGAGGTCTACCAGAAAATGGAATTTCAGATGCCACAAATGCTGACTATCGTGCAAATATCAGTGATGAGAAGAAAAGAGGGAGAGAAAGGGGCTAGTATCCGTAGGAGGAGAGAGTCCGATAGAGAAGTTGCAGATGTGTGTGTTCAAAGCTAAGGTACCTTATTAGGTGGGCAAGGAGATTTGCAGTAAGGTAAGGTAGGGAGGTACCTTCGAAATATTAAGATGGGTCTCGGATGCTTTAAACGCGGCCGCGGGTTCACGTCCAAGACGCGAGTCCGGCGCGAGAAAGCCATTAAGAACATGGTCCGTGCGTGCCGCGTAAAATTGGCAGGGCCCTTCGCCGTTTCGGTGGCTGGGGAGGAACGACTATGGTCATTGGTCATTGGCTCCTTGGTGAAGTAGGTATCCACTCCGTTACTGGGCGTCAAGCCACGATGGGGTCGATAGCCACATACCTTAGCATGTATTCCGTACCTACCATTTCATACTATGATTACCTAACACCCCGCGGAATTGGAAACCCCACACCCGAGGTACAACGTACTCCGAGCGTCGATATCGACTTACCATCGCCAACTCGGACCAACCCCCAATGTGGTTCCTGGAGAAAGTATGGCTTTTTTTATGGCTTGGCATTAAAACCCCAGTTCAGTGAACCGGTATCCAAACGAATACATACGCGAGGAACCAGACCGTAGCGTCGTCAGATAATTGAACGGGGGCTCCAAAACCGTCATGACAACGGTAATGGCGGCTGGAGCATCTGGCCCAGGCAAGTCAATGGTATTTCTGTTTGTCCTATTGGGTGCTTGCTGACTGACTGATCAACGCAGCTAAACTTCAAGCTGTTACCCAGTTGATGACCAAAGTCCAGGGTCACCTTGAGAGCCCAACCCTGTCTCAAACAGGTGAGTATCATTCCCCGCGTGAAGTCTTAGAAAGCGCACATAATAACCACATATGTAGAACTTGAGGCTTCTCTGGAGCAATTGAAGCTGTACGGAAGAGACCCGAGATTTGCAGACCCCATCTTCAGCCAAGATGTAAGCCTGCTTAGCACGACTGTCCCGGCCGTCACGGTCAGCCCGTCTCTGACATCCAGCCGGGCGTAGTGTGCTAACTCAATCCAGGGCATAAAATCTTTAGCCAGACTCGCTTTCGAAAGCCAGTCTAGGCCGGTTGCTCGGGGCGCTCTGCGAGTGCTCGCCAACTCTATGCTCCTGAGACCCAACACACGGCAGACAGTGGTTGACCTTGGGTCTCCGGGGATAGCATGCAAGCAGCTGCGTGAGGAGGGTCCTAAGGACTGGGACGACTCGTTCCTCTTATCCAGAGTACTTCTCCTCGTCACTTACGCCCAACTGGATCTCTCTACTCTAATAGAGGAGAACGACATGGCGGGCGCGATTGCAGCAAACCTGAACCGCCATGCCGAAGCCCTGGACAAAAGCAAACCATCCGAACCAGCACATCCGATGCAGGACATGGCTTTGGACGAGACCCTCCGGCTTCTCTTCAACGTCACACATCTCTCCTCCGAACAGGCGTCGCTATTTACCTCAGCCGTTCCACCTATTGTTTCCCTGCTTTGGAAGCAGGAGATACCCCCTAACAGGCCCCTAGATCCGCCCTTTTCTTCTTTGGTCAATCCGCTTCTCAACCTGAACCTACAAGCCGAAGAGGTTCGACCGTCTCTCTTTCCCAAAGAAAAGCCGACGCGCGTCGTAGAAAGACTAGTTCGGCTCCTCGAGCTGTCCCTCGAGACGAAGGCATATAGCGAAACAGACCTGGAACAGAATCTGCCGCCACTCATAGGTGTCCTGCAGGCGCTCCATTCGGCAGCAAATGACGAGGTGAAGAACTATTTGCGGACTCGGCTGCTCCCACCCGAGGAAGACCGGAAAGAAGCTCTAGGCCGGGGCGCCTCGCTCGGCTCCAAGCTACTGCGAAACTCGAACAACCCCACGACGCCCCAGCTAGGGGAGGTGATAGCCAACCTCTTATTCGAGCTTTCCGATAGGGACGCGACCCAGTTCGTCGAGAATGTCGGGTTTGGCTACGCGTCGGGCTTCCTGGCGAAGCATAACATTGCCACGCCGGAGAACGTCGCCCACACTTCCAACAGCACCACGAACAGGCCCGTCAACCCCATCACGGGCCAGTTCCTGGACGAGGAATCGACCCCAGACATCCCACCGATGACGGATGAAGAGAAACTTAGGGAGGCCGAAAGGCTTTTCGTGCTTTTCGAGAGGTAAGTTCCCCCTCCGGTTGCTACGGAACGCAGGGGATCATGTCGCTAACTGTGAATCGCTCTTAGGCTGAAGCAAACCGGCGTAATGAACGTCCAGAATCCGGTGGAACAGGCTATGCGATCCGATCGCTTCCAGGACCTGGGAGAGGATCGGGTGACGGAGGTTGATTCAGACTAGCCAGTTATTTATCACTTTAGCTTTGCTGATGAGCCATTTGGATAGGTCTGGGGGGCCCGCAAATGGGGTCTTTCTCAAAAGTGAGCCTTAACATAGTACCGACTCGGATTTCTGGGGGTTTTTCGTGTCAGTTGGATTGACGCTGTAATCCAAAGGGGCCTTTCAGCTTTTCTATGTATCTAGTCACTTCATGGGAGAGTATCATCATAAGAATCTGGATATTGAGGCAGACAGGTGATGGAGACTGCCTCAGGTAGTTAGTTTCATCAACAGAACACGGCTTCGTATCCATGCATCCTTATACAGAGTACGAATGAAGTATATGCTCTGTACCTAGTAAGTTTAGTGGAAGTAAAAGACGTCTGTTGACACTTAAAAGCACTTTCTACTCCGTTGACGGGCTTTGTGAAGAAAATGGTGTTGGGACATTCCTTGTAAAAATCTGAGACGTCGCAAAGCCAAGTAATTCAGAATGTACTAGTACCTGAGACAAAAGAATTGGGGAGGTTGGGGGCTCGGAGAATTGAACATGGTACCTCCAGGGAACCATCTCACTCATTTTGATCTTAAACAGGCATCTACCCCGGACCTGTACCTTACTCCGCTAATAAGGTAATTACTTGCAGTACCCCAAAGACACTGTCGCGTAATTTTTTTCCTTTTCCTTTTTGTTTTGATCTCTCTCATCTCGACGCGGGTCCAAGATCAGGATAAGCTACCTTGGCCAAACAACCACCCCGACGAATTGATTCATGCGATTCTTGCATTAACGAATTCATCTTTTAAACCTGACAACGCGATCGAGTTAGGACGTGATTTTTTTTAGGCACTGAGGCTATCTTAGCAACACCCCCAGCAAATCCATCTCAAAAGACAACTTTTCCCACCTGGGAAGCACTGGCGCTCCTTTCTGCTGCCACCCATCGCAATCACAAACAAAGCCAGCAGACCAGCCACCTCATCACAAGGAAGCGCCATGTCATATCAGACGGTGTTCATTGGGCGGGAGGTCGAGGCGACCAGAGAGGACATCATGATGCGACCCTCTTCCACAACAAGCCCGTGAGTATTCCAAGCGCCTGGTCACGTCTTTTGTTTCTCCATTATTGATTATCAACACAGAATCATGGGTGATATCAGTATGGGCCAGGAACAGAATGAGAATGACTTGGATTCCTTCCCTCTGGTCACCTCGGATTTATTCGGTTTGGGTGCAAGCAGTGTTGCTGCTGAACCTCCAGCTGCAGGCCCTAACGGCAGAGAAGGTAAGAGCTCCCCGAGTCGCCAGGTGCAGGCGGGAACCTTTTTTCTGTCCAACAAAGCTGCACCTTGCCGTCTCTCATTCTCTTACTTGCCTTCGTTGTCGCAATGAGGAGAAGAAAAAAACCAGCACGAAATTTTGACACTAACTGGTTTGTATGTGCAGAAGAATACTACAACATTAGCCCTAGGCCTGAAGCTACTTCTAATCAGTTGGAGGAGCTTGGTCATTCAGAGGATCACCATCCAGAGGATCGTCATTCAGAGGATCGTCATTCAGAGGACCTGCGTCATTCAGAGGACCTAGGTGACTCCGAGGAGCGACGCCATTCAAAGGACCTCGGTTATCTAGAGGGCGATCATTTAGCCCCGCTGGAAGAGAGCCCGGCCATGGATGACTCTGCGCCCAATACCCCGGAGGCCGAATCAATTGCGAAACCCGCTAAGAGGAGAGGTCGTCCACCCAAGGCCAAGTCCAAGGTCGAAGCAGCTCCAGTTGCGCAGGCACAGCCCGCTGTCAAGAAACGCGGTCCCGGTCGCCCTCCGAGAGCTGCTGCCACTACCACTGCCGCTGCTCCTCCCGCGCCATCGCAGCCAGCACCCAAAAAACGCGGTCGCCCTCCCAAGTCCGCCAAAGCTTCTGAAGATGAGGCTCCAGCCAAAAGGCGCCGCACTGACTCCGCTGCCGGTCCGTATCCCCCATTCCCAACGCCCATTTCGCGGTTCTGTATCTTTCACTCGCGCACTGGAGAACTGACGCGTTACTTCTAGAACCACGCCGCCTGCGGGGCTCCCTCTCGGCCACCCAACCTGCCACGAAGGTCAAGGCCCAGGCCAAGCCAAAGGCCAAGCGCGGTCGGCCGGCTCTCGCAAAGGAATGGGAAGTCGAGGCCGTAGTGGACTCCAAAGTGGACCGCGACGACGGTATGCACTACTATCTCGTCAAGTGGAAAGGTTACGACTCGGAGGACAATACGTGGGAGCCGCGCAAGAACTTGAACAATTGCGAAGAGCTCCTCACCGCATTCGACAAGTCTCAGAAGAAGCGCCGAAGATCTGCGAAGTGATTTTTTTTTCTACTTCTCCCTCCTTCCTCAGATTTCTCACGGGCATATTTGGACACAAGCTGCATTGCTCCATTTTGCCTTGCCTAGTAACTTTTCAGGTCTACGGGTGGCTGGGCTTCGGGGGATTGTATTGGTCCAAAGAGGCACTGGATTCCTTGGGGTAGTCTAGGGACGCATCGGAGTCGATGAGGTTGCGGTTGGTCAGTTTGTGATGCCTTTTGTATTTGCGCCATCTCCTTGTTTTTTTTTTTTCCTTTTTTTCTTTTATTTTCTTTTTCCTTTCCTTCTATTTTTCACCGTCACGGGAGGGGACGCGAGACGAGCTTGACGCGACGCGTAAGGTGGGACGACTGGAGACCAGAAAGTGGAGCACGTCGTAATTGCGGCGTCATGAGTGTCTTTGGTTTCTTCGCACCATTGGCCTATAAGTAGCTTTCGATGGGAAATATCCGATTGGCTGAAGTTTGTCCACCTCCGAAATGTGACGTGACCTCAGCTCGATTTCCCTTTTTGTTTCTTGAAGCCTTGGGATTGACCGATTTCCACCGTGTCACTGACCAAACCACCATTTTCGCAGTCTCTCGTTCCTTATCAGCGGATTGCAAGTCAGTTAAACCGACCGTGGGAGAAAGAACCCCTCCAAAAAGAAAAAAGCCCCCCAAAAAAAGGCCCAAACGACCGCCCACGATGGACACCCTCCAAGATGTGCTCCGTCCGCTCCTCAAGCCCATCACCAACAACCTCCCCACCCCCGCCGACGACCTCGCCCTCTCCCTCCTCGGCAAGGAATGCCACGCCTCGCTCGTCCGGGAGATCACATTAACCGACCAAGCCTGTCTCAAGCTCGCCATCTCCAAAGCCCTAGGCCTCGGCATCGTCGGCGCCGCCAGCGTCGTCAAGGTGCCCCAGATCGCCAAGCTCGTCGCCTCCGGCTCGGGCGCCGGCGTCTCCGTCCTCTCCTACGTCCTCGAGACCGCCGCCTACGCCGTCTCCCTCGCCTACAGTGCCCGCAGCGGCTTCCCCTTCAGCACCTACGGCGAGACCGCCCTCATCGCCGCCCAGAACGTCATCATCACCGTCCTCGTCCTCGGCTTCGACGGCCGCCGCGTCCTCGCCACCGCCTTCGTCGGCGCGCTCGCTTTTGCTGCCACGGCGCTCTTCTCCCAAGATCTCATCGGCATGGATACCATGGCTCTCCTGCAGGCCGGCGCCGGCGCCCTCGGCGTCGCGAGCAAGGTGCCCCAGATCCTCGCTATTTGGCGGGAGGGCGGAACCGGCCAGTTGAGTGCCT